GGACCTAAGTGGACCACCTATCCTATCATCAGACATCATCAGATCCACTCCAAATTTGGGGCATGTACTCGGCTAAGGGCGCAGCACAAGAGCTGAAACCAAGCCCCAACCCCTCCACTTCTCCATCCAAGCACAGTCTCTAACAAGCTCTTGCACTGCACCTGTTAGGTACCATGCCGGCTCAAGAGGCAGAGGGGTCGGGGCTTGGCTTCAGCTCTTGCGCTGCGCCCTTAGCCGAGTATGTGCCCCGAATTTGGAGCGGGTCCGACGTTGTCCGACAGTAGGACAAGTGGACCGCTTGGATCCGCTTTGAGGGTCGGGGAGTAAGAGCTGCTAGCGGCGGACCGACTAGGAGCAGAGCGGAGAAGGCAGGGAATGATGCAGAGGGTGGATAGGAACTAGGGAGATATTTGATAGGAGCAGAGATGTCGGAGGATAATGCAGAGGATAGGGAAAGGGGTGATAGGAGGATATTGATAGGGGTGGGGTGATAAGGGAAAGACTTAGAGCACGGCTCTAAGTCGGAGCGGAGGGTCGGAGGTGACAACAAGTTGAGACTTGTGTCCAGAGGAGGCAAGGTCCTACTGAGAATCCTCACAGGATATAACTGTGAGAAGACAAGTAATATTAAGACTAAGGAAAAATATCTAAGTACATGATATGTTATATACTTCTATGTATGAGGCAGTGACCAGGATAACTATGTAGTAAAGCTATGTACCAAGGATATCATTTGTAAGTACTTTACATAGGAAAGACATAAGTTGGGGCGGATATCAATATGTACACGTCGGATCAGTGATCAAGTGGTAATAGGAATTACCAGTGATCCAGAAGTAATAGTCTAAGTACCGAAAAGGAAAGCATATATCTAAAAGGGGAAAGAGGTCCAGTTGAATGGAGAGGTTTATGGAAGGGGACCGGTTGAGTGGTTGAGCGGAAGCGTAGGGCGGAATGTGGACTTGTGATAGGACGGAGCGGTCGGATCAGGTATATGACAGCACCCTTAGCTGAGTATGTGCCCTGAATTTGAAGCAGGTTCAACAATGTCCAACAATAGGATGGGCAGACCACTTTGGTCCACTTTGCGGGTCAGGAAGTAAACACTACTAGTGGTAGTCCGACTAGAAGCGGAGTGGGTGAAGCAGAGGAAATGTGGGGGACAGAGGGGCATAAGGGGATTGATTGGTTGGGTCGGAGAGGTAAGAGTAAGTACTTTAGAGCGCAGCTGTCATATCCTGTACCTCCAGACCCAGAACTCCAGATTCTCCCCTATGAAAGTCTGGGTCTCCATCCTTTCCTCTGTCCTGTTGTCTGCCTGGTGCTCCACCTTCATCTCCAGACTCACATCTATCTCCTTTTAGAATATTGCTCTCCGGTTACTGGTTGTACATCTTTCCATTTTGCTTACTGATCCATCCATCTTCACTTCATTTCCGACTTCATTTCTTTGATCCATTGTACACTTACTAATAGACTTTCCATATGCTTCGGGCATAGCTTTTACTTTGCTGACTGATTACTTACATGATATCTACAGTATATAAACTCCTGTAATACTCCAGTACCCCCTCAGTTCAAATATAATCTTAGTTCCTACTCATTCCTGCTCCTCTGGACTTGAGTCTGATCTCTTGTCAACCTCCGAGTCTTAGGCTTATTGCTTAAGACTACATCTCCAGCTCTACCTTAGGGTAGTCTATCTCTGTTCCATTTCTACTCTGGACTTGTCCGAAGTAGTCTTACTCTATTTACTCCTAGCCTTCCGGAGTTTCGCTGAACTCCCCCTGTGTCTGACCTCCAGACTTACCCGGACTTCTGTCAGACTTCCCTTCTACCTCTCAGAAATTAAGGGCACCTACTCAGGTAAGGGGCGCAGCGCATGAGCTGAAGCCAAGCCCTTTGAGTTACTCTTCCCTTGAACATGACCTTAACAGTGGCTCTAAGTCAGAGTGGAGGGCTGGAGGTGACAACAAGGTAAACTTGTGTCTGGAGAGAGCAGAGTCCTACAGAGAATTCCCACTAGTAGAGACTGTGGGAGATGAGTAATTCGACTGCGGAGTAGCCTAAGTACAGGATATTTTTTTATATACTTAATGTAGGAGGGCAGTGGAATGAGTAGTCCTTGGTATGGGGTATGTACCAAGTATACATTTTTAAAGTTCTTAACAGGTGAAAACATAAGTTGGAGCAGATATTCAATAGTAGCGTCGGATCAGTAGTCGGGAGCGGTTATAGGAATTACCGGTGATCCAGGAAGTAAGGTCTATGTGTCCAAGGGGGGAAAGTATACCTAAATGGGAAGAGGCTTAGTTGAATGGGTACCAATATGGACGGTAATCAATGAGGCGGTCAAGCTGAACCTGGCGCAGATGCGCGGAGCATGACATGTCTGAGTGGAGAACGGGTTGAGCGGAGGTGACGGGGAAAGCGGGAGGGATGAAGAGTCGGGTGGAGCAGATATTGATATTGGTGGAGTGGTTGGATCAGTATATGACAATTGCTGGAAAATACCAACTGACTTTGAACTTAAAATCACACTTGTCATTGGATTCTCACCCAAAGCCATGCCCTTTCACATATTGCGCACACCAGTAATGATATCTATTTATAAATTACCAGCATTGCAGTGTGACTTGAGACTCACCATGCTAGGCAATGACATTTCCTTTTTCATCACCACTTACTATTACTTGACTACTAATCTTGTCACCTCACTGCTATCCCCTCCCATTGTCTTCAACTGTTAAGACCATGCTCAGGGGTAAGACGGAGTCTGAGGGGCTTGACTTCAGCTTGTATGTTGCGCCCCTTACCCGAGTACATGTCCCTAATTTTGGATTGTAGTCCGACTTGAGTTCTACGAGCTTGTTAGGTACTGTGCTGGGCTCAAGAAGCGGAGGGGTCGTGGCTTGGCTTCAGCTCTTGCTGCTGTGCCCTTAGCCAAGTATATGCCCCAAATTTGGAGTGGGTCCTGACATTGTCTGAAAGGTAGGATGAGTGGACTGCTTTGGTTTCGCTTGAGGGTCAGGGAAGTAAATGCTACCAGTGGTGGGCCGACTAGGAGCAGAGCGGAGAAGGCGGAGGATAGTGCAGAAGGTGGATAGGAGCAAAGGGGGTTCATTGATAGAGGCAGAGAAGTCAAGGGGAAGACTTAGAGCATGGCTCTAAGTTGGAGCGGAGGTTGGAGGCAGGCAACAAGATGAAACTTGTGTCCAGAGGAGGCAAGGTCCTACTGAGAATTCTCACAAGTAGAGACTGCAAGAAGATAAGTAATGTTAAGACTGAGAAAACCTATCCAAGTACAGGATATGTTATATACTTCTGAGTGTGAGGCAGTGATTAGGAGACTTATGTTGTAAAACTATGTACCAAGGATATAGTTTGTAAGTACTTACACAGGTGAAGACATAAGTCGGAGTGGATATCAATATGTACATGTCAGATCAGTGATCAAGTGGTAAGAAGAGTTACTGGTGATCCGGAAGTAAGGGTCTATGTACCGAAGGGGAAAGTATATGTCTAAAAGGGGAAAGAGGTTCCAGTTGAATGGAGACATTATAGAAGGTGACTGGTCGGGTGGTCAAGCAGAAGCATTAGGAGCGGATGCAGGATGATGATTGGACAGGAGCGGAGGACAGGATGGAGTGGAGGTGGTCAGAAAGCGGGGAGGATGCAGAATCGGCAGAGCAGATATTGATATCAGAGCTGGTCAGATCAGGTATATGACAGAGCTCCCAACAGGATGTCAGGAGCAGAGGTCCTCCAAAGGAGGACCTGACAGACTACTGGGTGAGCATGGGAACATTGGGCAGAGCTTGGTCCACCTGACAGGGGAGAGTCGGAGGTCTACTGCACTGGAGCTAACAGTAGGAGCTGGAGCGGAGGAGACTGCTCGGATGAAGTCCAAAGCAGAATAGAAACACAAAGGATAGTTGTATGAGAGTATTGGTCGCAAGTCCAACACGCAGGAAAGGCGGCGGAGGCATGGGAAGTCAGATGAGCATAGAAGGCAGCTGACCTAGGGAGTCAATCCCCTAGGCCAGCAACAGGAGTTGTCAAGGGTTTTGCCCAAGAACAGGGATAAGAGAGCAGGGCTTAGAAAAGGTAATATTCAGACTATGTACTGCGATGGATCAATAATCACTCAGGTATAGGGATTACTGGTGATCCGAAAGGAGGAACTATGATACTAAAAGGAGATAGGACCAGTTGAGTGGTTCCTAGTCTAGGAGTGGACTGATGAGGTGGTTGGACGGACTGATAGTCAGGTGGATTGATATGAGTGAAGGTGGAGGAACCAAGTGGGTCGGAAAAGCTGGAGATGGTGGAGGGAGTAGGATCGGTCGGACCAATAGGGCGGAGGAGTGGAGCTCCAGATAGGGTCGGATGGTAGGGATATGGTGTCGGAGGAAATAGGGGTAGTGTTGGAGGAGTGGAGTGGAGTCGGGCAGAGGTAGCAGGGCTAGTCCTGCTGAGATGCACTTCGTGCATTGTCGGAGAAGGAGGGATGGAGCAGACAGGGAAACAGGGGGTCGGACCAGCAGTGGGAATGTTCATAGGTGGTATTGGAGGTGCTTGGGTCCAGTATATGACAGATTTACACAAAGTACACACAGCAGTGCGGCTCATTCCAAACACCACTGATAAGCAATGAATAGCATCCTTGGGGCTTGAAGACAGGTGTTGTGTTGATGTCTTGCTAATAACTCATCCCAAAAATCACATGGCTAATAATGCTAATAACCCTCTATATGGCTGCCCGTGCCTCAGATATCCATGTATACACCGCAGATCAGGTCAGGAATATCATTGTGAGACTTGAGTTGACCCACCGGCTAGCTTCTACTGACATATTATCAACTAGTTACCATACTATGTAGCAGCCATACAATGTTTAAATATTTTACAGCAATTGGTGTGAGGCTATGAGCCCTCACCTGTGCGTTGCACTTTCGACTCACCAAACCCAGTGCCCACACTGAGGGATGAGCGCATTGATGAGCCTTGCGAATACCGTCGAGGTGCATGACCACACCGAGCATCATGGTGATGTTGCATTCATGCAGATCTATTCCATTCCAGAGCATCTGGCCGCCACTCTTTTTCCCACCTCAGATCTTCCCATCTCTGCATTCATACAGTTTTCCATTCCATCTGTGACTTCTGCCCCTCAGGCTGTTCTGCCTAATACTATTCAGCAATACTTTTGTTTGGAACACCTGCACCCCAGCCCAATTGATCATGCTCTCCTATCTTCGCTGCCAATCCCAACTGAGCCAATCATTACGGCACTTGTGCATGTGGCGCCAGAGGCTTGGAATGCTGGGAAGTGCTCTGTTATATATGCTCACACCAACTCAACTTATAGATACCCCTTCTGGCTAATCGCATTTTGGGATCAAATTGCAAAAGACATTATACCTCCATTGATGAAATGGCAGGCAGCACATTGTTTTGTAGAGCAACAGTTGCGTGCCTCAGAGGCCAGTTCATCAGTCGCATCTAACTTTCAAATGCATTTATCAATGCTTCCTTGGGAGGGTAATGTTTGTGGCTTCATGGATCACTCGCCTATCAGCAAGCTGGCACAATTTGCCTCGTGGAGCTGGCTCTGCGACAACAATATCAATTTTGCTCTTGAACTCATCCTTTGGCAGATCAAAAGTAGTATCATCCTTGCCCCATTTTGCAACATTCTTCAAACCTACTTCACCAATAAACTCAGGACCACCTTCGAGGCACGTCACCGTAAAGACTATTTTGGTGCAGACGATTGCTCACAACTTTGCGAGGTTGGGCAGGACATAGCCAATGGCATGAAGACCTATTGGAATGACTTGCTTCGTCCACTCCAACCACTGGCTATCTCTTGTTATTGACAGCTCAAGCCATACAATTTACTTTGGAGACTCGTTTGGATGCCATGAAGCTCCAGATTCAATTTGTCACACAGTTGAGTGGTGGCTTGCATTCACACACATCTGTCTTGTTCGGATGGCAACCTCTTGCCTGCACTTGCCAACAAGATCAATATTCATGTGGTATACTTGCCATCAATGCCATCAGCCCATCACTTTCTTCCGGAATCTTATCCTCTCCTCTCATCCACTTGTGATGCACTAGATGGAGGTTGGATGCAGATTGGTGTGGCCGTCATTGATACCCACCTGCACACATTATCTGTGAGTAACATTTTTGTCTTTTCACTATCAGTCACTCTTTGCTAACGCTACTCACAGCAGCTCAAATATGGATAAATCTTCTTACCCCAGCCACCATCTCATGCCGCTGCTTCGACGATTTTGATGACACCAAAGTAACATTTGTGTCTTTCCGCTATCAGTCACTCTTTGCTAACGCTACTTACAGCAGCTCAAATCTGGAGAAATATTCTCACCCCAGCCACCATCTCACACCTGCTGACTTCGACGACTTTGGCGATTTCGATGACACCAACAACAGCAATAATGACAGCATCACAGGGAAAACCATCAGCGAGTCCCTGCAAAAGTCCATCCATAAGGCAGCTCCTGCTGCACCAAAGAACTCAGCAGCCTGTCAGTGTTCAAAAGAGCCCTAAAAAGTGCTCGTTTGTCATGGTGAGGTTCGAAACCGATTTTTTTTCAATGGCTAGCTAACAAATAACCAAAGTCAAATGGTAATACAAAGTCGAAGACTGATGTACCATCAAAGAAAGTCAAGGTGAGCTGATCCATTGGGCAGGCTGCACACAAGTGTTCTTGATGATGTCTTTGAGGCATATTACCCCGACCCAATGCAATGTGAAGCCAAGGACCAGCATTTTTGGTGTCTAGGCAAAGGTTGTGATTATAGCCTTGGTTATCCACAAAACCTCGCCTGTTGCCTCAAACATGCAGCCACTTGCAGTAAAGTGGATGATTCACTTCGTCAGGCTGCAAGTCAATACTTGGGTGGTGAAAGTGTTAGTGCGAAGCTTGATATCGCTTTGAAGGCAAGTGGATCACAGCAGCTGCAGGTGCCAGCGCCTAATCCTGCTCTGGGGGACGAGCAGAAGGCTGAAATTATACCAACTAAACCTACAATGATTGAGCTTGACTTCGGGAATGCAGGATGGAAGGTCCTTGGTCTTCACATGGACCTTGCCATTGTCAAACTTATCTGCACTGCAGCTCTACCACCACACATCGCGGATTATAAAGAATGGAAGGATCTGTTTGTGATTGCCAATAAATCATACCATCCATCATCGGGTTCAATCATCGCCGACAGCCATATCCCAAAGGAGGCTGCACATGTACGCGTGCTAGTCATTGAATTTCTCAATTCACACTTTAACCTGACCGTCTCATTTGATGGAGGAGGAACTGAAATGCCAGCAGTCAGTATATACCATACACTTCACGACACCAGATGGATTTGAGCTTCCTAATTCAAGGTGAGGAGAACTCTGATGAGTCACACACAGGCAAGCTCCTTACTTGGATGGTCCTGAGAGCAATTGACCTCATTGGACGTAATCATTTTGTGGGCATCACGTCCAACAATACAGGAAACACAAGGGTCGCTCGTCAACTTTTGTGTGCTGATATCAAAACTCTTATCCAAGTTCCTGATATCTGCCATCACCTCAATCTTCTCTGTAAGGACATCACACAGCTGAGCATCTTTTCATCTGTGAGTGTTCACCTTTGTTGCTCGCTCGCAAGTTGAATCAATACTTTGATTCGATGCACAGATGATCAAGAATCTTCAATCAATAATCACCTACTTCCGAAAAATTCGCATGCAGCCACTGATGCTCTGAACAAAGCCCGCAAGTCACTGGATATCGGGCGTGGTCTGGAAGGCATTGGAAAGACTCACTTTGCGACTGTTTGCGTTTTGTCCCTCTCACTCAAGCGTTGTTTCCCCTGCACTCTGCCAGGTTGTTGACTCTGGTCATGTAAAGTTCCCATCTCACAAATCACACGTCACTGGCCTCCTCCTGAGCAGCTCACCTCGTTCACTTGATTTCGAATCTCAGGTAGCTCGCTACATACTCATCATGGCTCCAATCGCAAAGTCAATTGCTTGTCTCGAGTCATCACAGACTGATTTATCAGACATTGGCCTGTACTACTTTGCAATAGGTGCTACATTAAAACAAATCTTCGACTGGTGACAACAATCCGTTCTCACCAGAAGAGGCTGGCCAGATCCGTGCGATCTTTAACTCTCAGTTCCGTGAAGCCCTGTCAGAGGGTTCAACTGATGCTCCCATCTCCACCCTCTATTTACATCCACGTAAGCATGCCAAGAAAGTCTCATTCACCACACTGACAACATCATATTACAGGCTATGTTCACAGCAAAATATTTCAGAAGAACCTAAACCCACTCACCCTCACTATTGTTCTTCCTGCATCAAGTGCGAAGACTTTAAGTTCCAAGTCTTCCGGTCCCACCATTCAAAACTATGTTGTTTTTGTTCATGTCCTCACGTTCTTGAAAGCTCTTCTTGAGGCGAAGTGGAAGGCAAAAAGAATGCAATTCTCAAAAAATTACTTGGTCATGAGGCTCAGCAACTATTTCTTTGTCAATTTGAATGTTACGCATGTGGTCAATATCCATTTGATACCCCCCTCAAAGATGGGCAATCAACACTATCATGGTGGATGCACTTGATGAGAATTCCTGAGGGGAATATCCTTGTGGTCAGTTCATCTCTCACACAAAAATATGGTTCACTTACTCCGATAAAGACACTTGCCATCAAGATATTCTCTGTTCGACCTAGCTCGATGCCAGAAGAGCATACAATGTCCATGTTTACGCACATGAACTCTGCACTGCAAAATCGTCAAGATGTCCATACCATGGTGGATATGTTGGAAATTTCCTAATTGGGTTTCGTCGCCTTGTAACATGTTGCAATGATCCAATGACAAGCCAAGGTCCCAATAGGTTGCAATAAAAGAGTGTGACATTACATTTGTGTTACAATTCATGTTACAATATTGAGTTTGTGTCACAATCATGCCTTCAATCAGGGTTTCAACCCAGTCAGCAACATTGACCATTGGCTGCAACTGTCCAAGCTGATTTTGTGGTACCTTGAAATCTAGATCCCAAGGCTTATCCAAATAACCTAAGTGTGTCTCAACGACATTGGAATACAAACAGGCAGGTTTCAATTCAATTCAAATATCATTGAGAGCAAGTAAATCCAATTGCAACTAGCACCCATCCTCAACAAAACATATTGAATAATACAGTAATAGCAGTCTGTAGGTGGCAGGTCCTTAATACTACTTCTTCTGGGATCGTTTCGGTTGGCTGGCCTCCTCACCTGCTGGCCCACTCGACACAGGCACCAGCATCCCCGCCTTCCTTCCTCAGCCCCGATGACCAGAGGATGGAGCTGCTGCCGCCACCAGTAGAATCTCTATGTCATTGGGTACTTCAGGAACCTCAATAGCGGCTGCTGGAGGGAATTCAGAGGCCACAGTGACTGTAACAGCAGCTGTGCCCGCAGATGCCACAGTTGGGGTCAGAATAGCAGGCAGGAGGGTTGTAGGATTGGGATCCAGAGCAGTGGTAGTTTTTGCAGGGCCAAGCACTGGGATGGCCAGTGCAGCAGGAACAATGACCAGTACTGCAGGTTCAGGAGGGGGGGCTGATTCAGATGCTGCCAGAATGACTATGGGTGAAATGGGGGTGACTGGTCCAGGAATATCATTGTCAGTAGTCAGGTCCAGGAAAGTCAGATTCCTTGCACCCTGCATTTGTGATGGCCAAACGCATCAGATCAGAAGGTAAAGTCTTCGCTGTCAGTGTCAGATGTCACAACATTGGAAGTCGAGGACGATTGCCAGACGTAGGTGTCGATCTTTTTGTGGATCAAGCAAATACAAGGTTGATCCCAAAGGGTGACCCACAGCTGCTTGTAGGCCATAAACATGGCAGCATATGGTAGCCGAGACTTTGCGCCAACTCCAGCTTTCATGAATGAAGTGTTGGGAGAAAGGATGAAGATCAACTAAAGAATAATAGTTAGATGCTGATTCAGACGATCGACCATAGCAGAAATAGAACTCACTGTGACCCAACCCCATGTAAGAAGACCGGGAGTACAGGATGTTGTGCCCCATTTTTGAGCATTGCACTTAGCACATGGCCACCTGGAAATGTCTAGTGAATTCTTTCCAAACATCACGATCCTAATTGCCTATGTAAATCCGTTAGCACGAAATGATATTCTTCAAAGAGTGAAGCTTAAAAAATTACCTTTGCAAGTGGTTCCCAATTACCGAACACCGTGGACATCGTGGGGTCCATCTCTTGATTTGTAAAAAGGACGGGCGGAAATTTTGACGGGGAGGAGCGACCACCAGCGGTACCTGGTCCAAGCATCTTCTGGATCTCAGGAATGGTATCCCACTTCATGAAACTCAAGTCACAGTAGGACAAATCCAGACCGAAGATACACCCTGCCATCAAGCGTAGTTTGCCAATCTCACTCGAGCACCCACCTTGGAGATGCTGCTCTAGCTACAATACATATCAATCAGTGTTTGGTTGCACAATGAAATATATGAACTAACATACCAATGATTGAAAATGAGAAGTAGGTACGAAACAATAGAGGTGATCCAGTAGAAGTGAATACACCTCCATCACAAGACAAAGTTCTTTGGCACTCTTGCTTGCGTAGCGACTAGCAGATATGATGACAGGCGGAGGGTTTGGCACGGGCAATCTGAGAATGCGGTGCTCAGGTGGGAACATCTCAGCAATAACACCATATTTGCGGGCAAAGGTCGAGAGTTCAACGTTGTAAGCCTTCAGCTCGTCAGGAACTTGCACACTCGAACGTCGACATTGATTGGATGCCAAGATTTTGTTCTTCTCTCCCAGAGTCCTATTGTTATTTTTAAGCGACTGGTTTTCTAGTTGCAGACTTCAAATGATCTTGAGATGCACAAAGTTAGGGTCACCAAATGTGAGTGAAGCAAGGCATTAACATTACTTCCATGTCTCCACCCTGCACAGAAGCTGATGACTGAGTGGTTGACGAGATCCCTACTGCGACAGATGATGGTGCATCTGATTCAGATACGTCATTGTAGTCTAACTCAGACTCCGAGTCATCATGTGCGATGGGACGCTGAGGCATCACAAGAACTGGTACAGTCGAGTAAAACACAGTGTGGAAAATAATGACGGACGGACCCACCATTTAGTCAAAAATATTGGCTGTGCAACTTGGACCGGGACCAAACAACATGATGAAAGAAAACACAAGGGCAATTACATCATGCATAGCCTTGACATGTAATTGAAATCAGCATGCGGGTGAATGACAATATGACACAAGGCAACTTACCTGTGTGGCGCCATCTCTAAGTGCTGATGGCCAGCTGGCATTGAAACTTAAATGCACCATTGGGACCAATGACAATGTTAAACAGTCTAAGCACTGTTTAATATTTAAAACCGAGAGATTCAGACGTCATGCTATTAGCTCAACATGCTTTGACCTAGAAGACTAATGATGCAGACTCACCTGCACTTGCTTGACATCCATTGAATGTGCTTGAATTGTGGTCCCAATTGGCTTGGGACTAAGATTGAGAAGTTGCAATATTGAACATTGAATTCAACCAGTGAACTTAGTGAGAAAACGCGATTAAATGCTGACATAATCATATTGACAATTCATTGAAACGCGCCTTTTTAGTATGTGGTATGAATGAAAATCTCAGAGGATGGACTAGATATTAGTTTCAGTAGGACGTAACTAATACCGTAGTAGTTACAGTGAACACGGTATTCAGAACACCTGCACCTGTATCAGAATATGAGCATGGTATCCATACGGTGCAATTGAGTTGCATTGGCATTACTACTGCCACCCACATTTGCATCAGTCGTCCCCTGCCGTTCTACACACTTCATTTGTTTTCTGCAGTGGTTGCATATGGTACCAGGCCCTTCTGGCCCAGGTCCCCATTTTTCTATGCACTTGCTGTTTTTGTAGCACCCTGGTAAACCACATTGGCGGCAGATGCGCTGGCCGATTGAGTTGGTTGGGGGGAAAGAGGTGGTGGGAGGAATAGTGGGTGGAGTTGCTGGTGTGATGGCAGGGACAATGGCATTAGGAGATGTTAGTGGGGAGCCATTGTGAGCTGGTGCTACGTCATCAACTCAAGATCCATTCATGAAAAAAGGCATGCACTGATATTTGTACTTGACCCTGGGGTGCCCGTGACGGCAGGGGCAAAATATGGGTTTGATAGGTCCTGAGTTCGCCAGGTTGATCTAATGGACCTAGTGGGATACCCTTGGACTGGGGGGCAGCCAATACAGCACAGGGAGACTGTGGCTGTTGGTCGTGGGCATTGAGAGCACTCCTTTCATCAGTGGCAGCGTCAAGGAGGTAGGTCCTCGATGTCCTGTGAAGTAGCACGGACACGGGAATCGGGATCAGCTGCTGGATCGGGAGTGAGATTTATGAGTAGGCTGAATGGTGAGGTGATGGTTGAGGTGTTGAATTTGAGGAAGCTGTTGGGGGAGGGGGAGTTACAGTAGTTACAGTCTGAGGCACCATGTATCGCAAGATGGAAGAAGACCATAATGGCAAGAAATGGGTTTGCTCTGATGAGGATCGAGGTGGCTATTAGTCTAAGGCAGGGATTCAGAGATAAGGGAGGAAGTAAGAATCCAATCACTGGCTGTGGATGTCCTGCATTTGAAGGAACATACCTGTGTCAACAACCAAAAACTCATCAGGTCTGCTGGCATCCTCTACTATCATACAACCCCGAATAATTGAGTGAACTGAAAAAAACTCTGCAGAAGCCCTAGGCTTTGTCCTTTTGTGGACGAACACCAACCGGTTGGTCGTATGGAAGAACAAGCGTGATAGCATACTGAACATCCCCTACCATACAGGTGAAAATCAACATCAATTTTCCAAAGATGATGCGAGTGTTGGTCTGCAAGATGATACAATCATATCGTGGTGAGCCGTGGAACATTGGCGTGCATCGAAGGTAGTCCGTCGACACTCACCAGTCGACAAACAACTCAAAATTGACTTTAAGGAATTGATATTCTGTGATCTGAGCAGGACTCAGAGTAAGATACAAATTATATCATTTTGGAGCTGCAAACATCATCAACTCACCATCTCGCTGGCAGTCAGTTGGATCCGTCGTCCATCCGGAAATGGTATCTTGTTGGCGGCAAATGAATGGTTCAGAAAGCTGTTTAGCTTGATCCGAAATCTGTCAAATGCTGGGTTACCCACACTACCTGCCTTGATGTCTATGAATGACATTGCTGCCTGCTTTGAACCAAGACTAAAATGCTGTGCATCAGTTGGTTCTGTCGGATCAACTTCATCAGCCTCCAGTGCAGTATCAGGTTGATCTTCTGAATTGGACACACTGAGATTCCAAGTGTCGAGGTAATCCAACTTGCCACGAATATATTCTGCAACCAGGCTGTCATGGTTGTATTGGAGAATCTTTAAAATTTAAATTATCATGCAGACTTGGATTCAGAAATCGCTTACCTGTTCAGCAAAGTTCTTGAAATTTGTACGATCTTGATAAGTGTCTTTCAACAGGCCATGCATTTTCTCATTAGGCTTGGTGCTATAGTTTTGGGAGACACCTTTCACCTCAATATCATCGAAGAGATGGGTGGAAAGATGTTTCTTAGGAAAATTCCAGGACTTCTCACAAATCTCTGCTGTATCTTCAATGTATCTCTGATTGTAAAATTTGAATCAACACCACAGATCAATAATATACTAGTATGAGGGATACATACATCCAACAATTCAGTGAGCTTTGACAAAGCTTCTTGGCCATCTTTGATGGTGTCTTCAGTATGGACCTGTAATGAAGCATAGATATTAAACTCTACATAGCTTCAGATACAATGGAGCAGGAGATATGCCTCCGGATCCGTATCACAGTCAAACACATTATGTGCTGCAAAGATGATAAGCTAAATTGATGTGAATAATATGTCAAAAAGTGAATAGTCTAGGCTTGCCTTCGATATGTCTTCGTATTTTGTTCCATCGGAAAATGATACTGATATAACCTGATTGAAGTGATTCAGGTTTCGCCAACATGGAACTGATTGAAAGCTGACAATCTAAATTAATGCCTACAAAAATCCAGCTGAAAAAATGACTCACAAGCTGTCAATCTGCACAGCAGCCTGTCGACCAAAATGTTCGACCCATTTCTACAGTTCAGCCCATGTGTGATCACTGAACAATCCCTCGTCGTTGAAGTGGATTTTATCATGAGATAGAGCCTTGTGAACATTGGTGTGCTCGAGGACATCAAATGAGCTCTGATAACAATGGTAGATTATTAAGTAAAATACAAACAAAAGAGAGACCCACATCAACATCACAAAGGCTCTGGGAACTCAAGATCTGCTCTCTTGCCTGCAATGTAGTAGACTCTCGGGCTTGAGCACGTAATGCCTTGGTGTCTACAGATGTGCAGAGAGGATACACATTAAGTGTATTAGAAAGCTCGTCATGAGGCACTAGACAGATAGGGCAAGGAAACTTGCCCATCAAACCATGAATCAATGCCATTACAGCCCTACAACAGTGAACATATCCAGATGTTATCTAATAGTACCAAAGGAACTAATAGCATTATACATACTGTTCTTTGTAGTCTGCAGAGAGTATGAGCACAATTGGATAGAAAACACGAATAACATTGTCCCAGCATTTAATGGCAGAACTGAACTTCGATAGTGGTGCAAGACAGGCAAGAATCATCAGAAACGCTGCGTGCCATACCGCATTCTTGAAGTTGACAAAAGCAGGCTTTCCGGAATGCTTCTTATCTTCCTTTACCTGTCAAAGCTCTGAGTGTTAATAATGTCAGCATCATTGGCAAGGAATTGTAGAGCGAACAATAGGTAGCCAACCAACAACATGCCCCCCACCCAAGCCTTCTCCATTCCGAACCACAATAGGAAGATTAGCACAGCGAGCAACTACAGGATAACCTTTCACATGACCAAACGACAATAATTTGGCTTTGTCGGCATACAAAATAAATGCAAGAGGTTTTGCGTCCGGTGGGATTTTTGACTACAATATTAATCCTCAGTTGGTACATGACGCAGACACTTAACAGGATATTAAAAAGGACGTGACCTACTTGATATTCCCAGAAATTATTTGCAGTCCACGGCTCATGAATGAACCGAATGAACTTCTCACCGTCGAACTTCAAAAGCCTTTGGGGATCGAAGATGAAATGCGGACCTACTTGTGGATCTTGAAGTAGATCCATAGCCCAGTCCCACAGCAAGCAATGAAATAACGGGAATGTCTTATCGATCCCTTGGAAGGGCACAACAACTTCCTCCTTCGTAAACTATTACATGAAAGGAGCACAATAAGCATAGACTTTACATATGATGTTAATGAATAGTACATACAGGTGTCATTTTGAATGACGCCACCTCCCACGTGTCTCGCACATCTTTGTGATTCCAGAGGGTAAACAATTTGAACCTACTGTGATGAACGAGTTCAATGAGCCGGTCCAGCTGCTCGTAAGAGAGTGCAGCTTCATGGGCAAGTTCTGCAACCTCGAAGTTGATACGAGTGCAAAATGGCTTCCAGGGCTCAGGATCTGCTTTCGGAACAGCTGTTGGGGCACCGGCGCCACGACCATAGTCCTCAAAATGGTACACTTGGGTAGGGTGACCACTACTGGGGTGGTATTCCACTTTTATATCATCCACATCGTGTTGAGGTACAGGTGATGCTGTTGCAGATAGTGGTGGAAGATCTATATGGATGTAAGTTGCAAACACAATAATACAAAAAAAAATCATAAAGACATACGATCGGAATCAGTCTGTCCCATGTCAGCGTCATCCGGATAGTCTATCTGATTATCGAAATCGAAATAAACATCCTCTGAACGATTGATGGTAGCTTGCATCAATGTCCGATAAATCAGTATTAATACAATGACTTACGAAGAGATGAGCTGCTGACAGATGGATGTTCACCGATAAACACACTACTCTGTTGTGCCTGTTCTCGTTCTACAATTTAGAAATTAGTCAACGAGCATGAAACCATAATAATGTTATAGACAACGTACCTCGACGAATTTCCCTAGCAAGCTCTATCTCCTCTTGCCTTTGTTCCAATCGCTTCTGGCAAGCTTTTTCGTGTGTTCGGAATCCTTGGCGATGGAAGGATTGGCCACAATGATCACAGGATCACTGCAAATCGGCAGGCATCTATGTTGAAACAGGGACAATTCAAGTCCAGTCTAAGTGTAAGGGCACCCAGTACAGGAATAGTGTACTTTTATGGAGAAGCGCTGGCAGGTGAAGCTTGAAGGATCTGAATCAGTTAAGGGCTGGTGGACTGACATTTAAATTATTATTACCAGGCGAAATTCTGATTTGACAGTCTAAGATCCAGATGGTAATATTCAGATGAATCAGACACTGTTTGTCTCTGATTCGGAGGCAACTGTAACAAGTAGAGTGGAAGATACTAACGAGGGCTGAAGTTGATGGTGAAGGAGTGTTGAGAGGATGGTGTGGCAATAATTGATTGTTGGCAGTGCTGCAGTGCTTGTTGGAACAACATTGTAATTGATGTACTAAAGTCAAGACCTGGTATCAATAGTACACATCAGTATCAATGAAGTGACTTTGGTATAAATATTACTACTGGGCATTAAGAATAGAACTTAGGTACCGATATCTTGACTTGGTATCAATATGGTTGAAACCGAGTCTCACAGGCACGCTGTTGCAACCAACTTAGGAAATTTCCGACATATGACTCAAATTAGGCAGTGGCATATGTATGATCCTGCTGTAAGTACTCACCGATATTTTCAGCTCCTTGCTCACGCGAGCATAGTCAAAATGTCCAGAGTGTCCGACCATCAATTTCTACAACCTAGATGCTTGAATATTTGGGTCAAATTTGAAAGATGGCAAACGGGAACATGATGCAATGAACAGCTTACTGTCAACCAATAGCCATGATGGAGATGAAGAGATCGAAAAAGATGAGGCTGGTACTTGGTTGGATGATATGCAGGAGAGTTCCATGACACTCAACGACATCGAATTCAATGTGGAACCCGAGATAGACTTGAGTGCTGATGGGTTCCTTGTGGTGTTGGCTGACTCAGCTCCTGATGGCACAGGGAAGAATAAGGGTAAGGGTAAGGCGGAGGAGATCCTGGAACTTGATGATGGTGATGACAAGTGGCCAGTGGAATGGTCTTAGGTGTGTTTTCTGCGCTGGCTAAGTAGCTAGAATTTGTAGTGACTTCTTTGCTGGCTGAAAACGATCACATGATGACATCACATGACTGGCTAAAAAGCTTGCTAATATTTACCTGAATAGTTTTATCCCAAACCCTAATATTCACCCTTACTTCTCCAACCTATCCAATCAATCCTCCTATCCCCCTCTGCCCCTAAACACTTTCTCTGCCTCTGTCATATACCTGATCTGACTGCTCCTCTGATATTAATATCTGCTCTGCCTGACCTCATACTTCCCCCACTTACCTACCACCTCCACTCCGTCCACCCTCTGCCCGACCCAGTCAGCTCCCACATCTGCTCCTACAGTTCCGCTCGACCACCTCATCAGTTGTCTTCCACACCATCCATTCTACTGTAAACTCCTTTCTCCATTTAGGTATATACTTTCCCCATTTGCACATAGTACTTACTTCCCAGATCACCGGTACTTCCCATAACCACTCAACTAACTGATCCAATGCATACATATTGATATCCGCTCCAACTTATGTCTTTCACCTGTGTCTACTTACAAATTGTGCTCAGTACATAGCCTCCTACCAAGAACTAACTAGTCACTGCCTCCTAAATAGAAGTATATAAAACATATCCTGTACATAGCTACTCCCCAGTCTTAATATTACTTGTCTTCCCACAGTCTCTACTAGTGGGAATTCTCCATAGGACTTTGCTCCCTCTCCAGACACAAGTTTATCTTGTCGTCACCTCTGACCCTCTGCTCCAACTTAGAGCCGCACTCTAAGTATTTGCTCTTACTTCTCTGACCCAACCAAACCCAATCCCCTTACTCCCCTCCATCCCGACACACTTCCTCCGCCTCCCCTGCTCCACTTCTAGTCGGACTACTGCTATTAGCTTTTACCTCCCGACCCACCAAGCGGACCAAAGTGGTCTACCCATCCTGTCATTGGACATTGTCAGATCTGCTCCAAATTCAGGGCATGTACTCGGCTAAGGGCGCAGCACAAGAGCTGAAGCCAAGCCCCAACCCCTCCACTTCTCTGTCCAAGCAAGGTCTCTAACAGCCTCACCCGCTCTGCTTCTAGTCAGACCGCCACTAGAAGCTCTTACCTCCCAACCCATAAAGCAGACCAAAGTGGTCTGCCCATCCTAGCGTTGGACATTGTCGACTCCACTCCAAATTCAGGGCATGTACTTGGCCAAGGGTGCAGCACAAGAGCTGAAGCCAAGCCCCGACCCCTCCGCTTCTCCATCCAAGCATGGTTCCTAACAGAAGAAGGCTATGGCACCCTTTAGGTGTTTCACCCATATCTATTTGGAATTACTCTACATAATACATTGAATATATCTGAAAGTATCTGATGTCTGTCTGACAGGTATACTACTAGATGAGTTATGTCTGATAGTTGGTATGTTTAACGTCATCATATCATGTTGATATTTCAAATGTCAGATATCACGAGGATCTGTTGTTAGTGGCATCAGAAATTTCAACTTGTCATGTGATGTCTGGATTTGGTAATTTTGGTGATGGTGTTGCAGGATAGTGATTCTCTCATTTATGGTGACACCTGAGACAGTACTGAGTTTGATAGAGGAGAATATTTGGTACATATGCTATAAAATATTTTAGACATTTCACCTAATATGTCAGTGAAACAAATAATGGGCAAATGTAAAATTAGATCTTAACTTTGATTGCCTGTCAAATTTGACTTCAATTGTTGAATCTATTGTCATTTATATTTAGAATATAAAGGGGGACATCTATTTTAGTGACAGATGTATTGCCATATTGAAAATATAATGATAATATTTTATTTGTGTAGATTCAAAGTGTAATATTCTCAATTTGTTCTGTTATTGCCCAATAAGAACACTCCATTCCAAATATGTATGCCGCTCATATTTGTCAACAAGTTTTGAAATTGCTTACCTACAATATTCATGCACAAATGCTAAATATGTCACATATCTAAGGGCAAAGCAGTTTGAATTTCAAAATTTGAACATGTCATGCCATCAAATTTAGCATATTCTATATACAGTTATCAATGGGTACTTGAGACACAAAATTGAAAATTTATGTACCACACCTATACAACACATGATAACAACTCTGTCATATTTTTCCTGACAAGTAGTCTACCTCAACACTCCAGATCTGAATTGTTAGAGAAAAATATCCAACCACTCGAGCACAACGTCCAAAACAGTGAGGGGACCTCTTTTTTGCCCATTATTGTTCCTTGAGACACGTGACTGCTTAGCTAATCTTAGCTTATATCCAACTATAGCAAAACAGTTCACACTCGTCTAAGCTCGCAACACTAGCCAACACTGTTTTCTACACCACACATGATGTTTTCCAGCTATTTTACATGTTCTGGAGAGCTTAGATACTTGTTAATACAGTTTTGATTGTTTTATGCATGATAAAGCAGTTTAGTGTTGAATAATGTTGAATAAGATGGATTATAAATTTCAGAATGAGGCTTCGGGGCGTGAAAACACACAACTCAAAAGCAATTTCCCTGATTAAGTTCATAAAAATTTTGAGACCATGTGAGAGGCAAGGTCAATTATCCTTGTGGAAGTATTTTTGAGACTATGAAGTGTGTTGTGAATGCGGGAGATGTGTTTGTATCAAGGAGTGATAGTGTCTCAAGGACCCATTGATAACTGTACAATTTGTATAAGTATCATATAACTCACAAATTTAAGGTCTGATATTGAATATACATGGTTGTCAAATGGGTCAAAATATGCACAATTTGTTTCCAAATTTATATCGCATCTGCCATTAAAACTTTTTCGGCTTTGCCTCAGGTGTGAGTAACAAGCTGCTTGTACCGCCTGATAGTTGCTGACGAAATTATTTGCAGCAGGACTTTCGTGGTGAGTCAGTTAAGTACCATCATCGGTGCGGTTATAATAACCGGGTTCATACTAAGTACTGAGGCAGTCTGCATCTCTATAACTCTGCAAGCGATGCCAAAAAATGGTCGGAGATTGATGCGGTAGTGTATTCACTGCGCGCAATCACGGTAACACGACAACGAGGCCTCATCCCGAAGAGGCCGCGGACGTTGCTCGAAAGTTTCTTTCGGAGAACCATCCCCAGCATTTCTTGAACTTTAGATAGGTATCACGGTTGCAAGGCAGCGTGTTACTGTTACATTATACCATCACTTCAGATCATAAATGACCCTCCTAGAATGTGACTTACTTGCGCTACCACATGATCAATGTTCCTCCGCAAACGCCTTAAACCAGTCCCTCCCAGCCTCCCACGAAACCCTCGCCGCCTCCACCCCGTCAAGTGGATGCGTCTCCTTCGGGAACGTCAACATCTCCACTCGCCTATCTCTCCCCTTGAGCGCATGATAGAACCGCATCCCCTGCGTTGGAACCACACGCAAGTCGTCTTCTCCAAGCACTACCAAAACCGGCGCACGTACGCGATCGACATGCGCGATTGGCGATGCTTCGAATAGCGTTTGGTACGTGATGGGCGTCATGAGCGACTGGGGGGTGAATTCGAGTCCGAATTCGTCGTAGATCCAGTCGGGGATGTCGGATCCTGTGAGCTCGCCTACTGAGATGACTGGGTTGCACATAACTGCTGCGTTGAATAGGTTTGGGTATTGTCCTATCACTGAGTGTGAAGTTTGTTTATTAATGAGTGCGTCGCTGTTGGGTGGAGAGAAGGGGTCTTACGGTGCGCAGAGAGGAAACCGCCGTGACTTCCACCTTGGACGACTTGTCGTCCGTGTTCTGAAATACCGAGTCGGATGAGCTCGTTAACGCTTTCTACTACGTCTTCTACGTCCATCGTCCCGCAATGCCCGAGAAGTTTTCTGATGTATTTTTCGCCGAACCCCATGGAACCGGTATAGTTGGGGAGGGAGATGGTATCTGCGGGCGTGCTGGTAGTAATCAGTAGTTGCGTAGCTTGGAAAAGATACTTACATCCTTCTAGGGCTAGTGCAGCATTGGCTGGTGAGAACGCTGTCGTTGACGTCGAATGAGGTCCTCCATGTAGAAAGGTCACGCAAACAGGTTTTGGGCCAGTCCTCGACGAGAGCGTCTTTGACTGAATAACGAGGGTCTCTGTAGGAGGACGTGCACCGATGGGTATAATTGATGCAGTGAGGTCACTGAGCGCATTCTCCGCTGAAAGATAAGATGAGACATTGACAGGAACCGAAGTGACTCGACCGTACTTTCTACAGAAATCATTGGTTTGTCTAGGACTTTCCAACTGAGGTTCCCATGTTCATCGAAGTATCCCAGTAATACTTCAGATGGGGCAGTAGGCGTGCTCCTCGAACAGATAAAGTGTGTCTTGCTGTCTGTAGTAAGTACGTTCCAGCTGTACATAGGTTCGCCGTCGCGCATTTTTGTCTCGTCTGTGATTGCTCCTGTTTCTGTGTCAATGACGAGCACAGTTGTGCGCGAGTACCATGTGGAGTGGAGCACGAGATATGCGTGGTCTCCGCGATGCACAAAGGGCCTGGAAGGCATGTTGTACTCCGTATAAAGTCCTGGGAAGTGATTTTCCGGGGTAGTCTCCATGACGGTGTCCACGACGATCTTGTTGGTACCAGCAGTGAGATCGCGAGATTCCAGAGAAACACAAGATGAATGAGCACCACCAACGGGGTTCGAAAGCCAGAAGAGCTTCACGGGTGTTTGACTGTCGTCGTATAATACACGAGGTGAACGACAAGATCGTTCTAGTGGTGTCAGCTTCAGTGAGTTGCACGAGATTCTAGTGCCAAAAGGCGTTCCATGCAAGCTTGCTGACTCGGGAAGTCTAAGCTCCCACATGCCCATTGGACGATTGAAGTACCATTTAACCCCCAGTATTCGACCGTCTTTGGTGTGGTCGTATCCAGTGGCGAAGATGACATCCTCTGTTGCAAAAGTAGCTTGGCCGAATAGGACAGGTACTTGAGTGACCTGCGCCAGTGAGAGCGCACAAAGTAACATGTCTTGCTTAGCGGCCCTGGTAAACGCTGTGGACCTTGTCCAGCGGAACAGAAAGATCGTGGGTCTTTTCTTCGTACGAGATGGTTCACCAAAGTTCGGGGTAAATCTGAATTTTAGGTAAGGATCGTCTGAAGCGTCGGCGTCGGCGTCGACATTCGCTTCAGCAGTGTAAAGAAAGGATGTCTCCGACGGAGAGAATGAGAGCGACGATAGGATCTCTAAATGCGATGAGCATAGTATATTCGTGAGCTTTTATAAAGATCGTTCGACTGACCGTCTGTATGGAAAACGTCATGATACTTAGTAACATCCAAGGATGCCTCTATCTGGGTGCCTGCCCAGATCTCGACGATTCGTTTTGTACCTGCGCCATCGGTGACCTCTCGCAGAATTGCCTGACGAGACTTGGAAGGAGACGTTATGAACGCCTTGACTTCAGATGAATCATGGGAGACTGCAGGGGTTGTATGTTGGTCAGACCCAGAAGTACTAATGACGGGGAACGTCTTGGTTAGAGATCGATTGGTGTTACGCTCGTGATCGCGAACAGAATAAGTGACTCGTGCAACTGGGCGGGTGTCTACATCACCGCCAACGAAATCAGCAGTCACAGGAACGGGTAACTCTGCTAGTTCCGTGTAAAACGTTGATGGACCGGTGTGCTTGAGTGAAGCCATCATGATGTGTGAGTAGTACTAGTAAATGTATGATTCTGGCGTTTCACGAATGACCCGTTGGTATTCGGGTATGTATGTGATCTACGGGGGAGCAGCACGAGACATGCTGACGCTGAATTTAGCACATGCCATTTAAGCCTGAGGAACCTTGAGTTGTATCAATTGGCTGATAACAAACTTAAATTGGGACCGCGGTGGAGTAGCCGGTAAGAAGACGTGGATATGATAGATGCACCACAGAAAGACACACCTAGGCCTGTAGATTATATTTATTCTGCAAGACACCACACATGGAAGGAGGTCAGGAGGCGAATGCCGGTGTGTATGTGTAATGCCGGAATTCGGCCGAACACCTTTAGACTTCATGGAACTGAAGTAACTTAGAGCCAATTTCCCCAACCAGAAACTTGTCAGAGGGTTCCACTGGATTCCAGCGGTATTAAATCTCGACGTCACCATGCATGGAGGAGTCACACAAGCTACTAGCCGCTGAAATCCCGCCAGCGCGATGTTGGATGTAAGACGACCTGTAATGGCATCACAATAATATTGAACTTGAACAGGGTTGCAATAGGGCAATTAACAAATATATCCGCAGAACTTGCAGCTGCGTGAAATAAAGAAACTGTCTAATCGCCGTCACATAGTTGCTTGAGCGGTCCGTCCAACTCAGAGATTGGGTTTCGATATAATAAACAGTGCGGATTTCTTTGCACTGTGATAGTGCATGGAAAAGTTGCTCAGCCTCTTCCCAAGGCAAAGTACCAGTTGTCGAGCACCCTTGTAGCGAGGGGAATTCAGAGTCTCGCATGACCGTGATTACATCGCATTCATATCTGAACCAAAGAACCTTGATGTTGAGGAAAAGTGCGAAATTGAACTTATGCCAGCCCGACGGGGAAAGGACTTTGACTTCTCCACCCAACCCATAAATCACCACGTTGGGAAGGGTAGGGAGGTCGGAGAGATGTTCCCATGCTGCCAGGTTTAGCGATGGACAACGAAGAGCTACGTGGTGCTTGCATGAACGGATGGCGTCAGACAGCAGGGACAGCTCATCTACTGTTTCCTTATGAAGGATTGCAACGGTTAAGCTCTCCAGAACAGCACAGTGGGCCATGATAGATTTCAAATCGGGAGGCAAGTCCGGTAGATAACAATGACACAGCATAGGAGGCAGGAAGAGATGTAAGCATCCGATGTTTGGAAGTCATTCCAGCCAGGATGAAGACAGCAGTCTTGGGAGCCATGTCTTGATAGGGAGGACTATGAGAAGGTGAAAATGTTCGTCGGCGAGTATACGCATTGAGTGCACACGGGGGGCATGGCGCAAAAACTGACGGGCCTTGTCCTCACATAATGGTTCGACACCTTGGGAATAGACACCGGGTTAGGTGGCAGGTGTGCTAATAAACGAAAGAAATGAATATAAGAAGAGGCAGTGTGACTAGTCCGCACTCACCACCGTGCCGGCAACGTATATGATGGGATGTAGCGTTGATCAGGCAATGCAATTTGATTGGGATGCGCGAATATGTCCAGGAGGACTTCGAAGAGAAATAGAGCGATAGACCAATATAGATGTTACTTTTTACACGCGCACCACCGTGTTCTTCGAGAACATGTCGGGCAGGTCACCCTCGCACTTGTGGTTCACGTCTTCCTGCTTCTCGACGGACACTGCGGTTCGCGAATGGATGTGCTTGTCCAATACAAACGGACGGCCCCGATGTCCCAATATAACAGATCCAACGTTGTGCTCCCACAACGCGCCATCACCAGCCGATTCAGCGCCATCTCGATAGGTCAAAGGGTGGTGTTGTCGTCCTCGGGCCTAAAATCAGATTTGGAGAGCTTTAGGAAGGAATGATTATGCAAGAGTCGTCATCATTTACTTATTCTCAGGTTTTGATTAGTATGGTCGAAGTTCATGCCACGCATGATGGTCGAGGGGTGTAGCGCAATCCAGTTGCATTCTGGATTTCTAGTGCATCGACTGAGAAATGACGGCTGGAAGTGCTAAGTAGATATAACCAAGCCTATGACTGAATGAATGAGAAGAGCAAAATGATGTAAAGTTGGTCTCACCCGATTGAGCCGTGGCCCAAGGGCCAACGTTAACACCGTGACTGATCTTCTCTTTCATCAATCTGGAAATCCTGTATTATCTGCTGGTAAAGCCTATCATCTAGGCAGCTGTATGGGCCATTGCCAGCTTTTTGCGTTTCGTGCACAATGTCGTCTGCAAACTTCCTCCCAAAATTATCTTCACCTGACGTGCAACAAGCAGCGCAGGTACATACTTCAAGTCCGCGCCTCTTTGGGGAGATTTCTTACGACGCTTCCATAGCTGATACAACAGGCATATTCGAGTGCCCAGGCCCAGGTGGATCAAAGACGGATACAGCAAGAGCTGGTCGAGATACAGAAACGACCAGAGGCATGGGGATTGATTGTACCTTTCCTCGAATATCCCGACCCAAATGTGCAGTTCTTCGGTGCACATACTGCGCAGGTCAAGATCATGCGTGATTGGTAAGTTCTTCACCTTCCCTACCTTGCAATGGTACTGATTGCTGCAGGGATTCATTTCCTGACGAAAACGCCGAACATCTGCGTGACTTGTTGCTCAAGCTCACCTCGCACTCGATATTGACTGGCAAAGGAAAGGTAGTATGCCGTAAACTATTCGTCGCAGTGAGTTCAATTTTTAGATGGAAGTTCCTCTAGTGATCGTTTGTAGATCACATCACTTGCACTCCGCATTGCGCCGGGTTCACCTTCGAGGTGGCCAGACTGGATAGTGTCGGCAGTGAATTCTCTCTCTTCGTCTGGCATGCCTCCAGAACAACTCCTTGCATTCCTTACCATAGTCGCTGAAGAGGTCGAAACGGCCGACCTTCTAGGGTCCAGTAAGTGAGTGCGGCGATTGTATTCACTCTGCATCATCACCAATCTCGTTCCAGGATGCAAATGCATCAATCTCTTCTAGACGCGTCTCCGATGGTCGTCCAAGCTGTAGTAATATCTATCACTCGACCAAGTCTCATATTGCCCGAGCTCCAATCTGCGCTCAAGTGCTTCCAAGCATGGATATACACATTACGGGCCAAGTAATGTTCTTTTACACGCTCTGTTTGATTTATAACTTAATGCGTCACTCAAGTGATATCACCCCCATCATTCCGCTGTTGATCACCATTATGACGCCCGCACCAGACTCTGGATTCGACGAGTCGACTTTCTCAGCGGCTTCTGACGTCTTGCAGGAGATCATGACAAGGTCCTCGTTGGCTGGAGGTGCGGGTGCGTCCACGTTGACAGAGCCGCTTCTTGTTTGGCTTGATGCCTATGGAGATCGCGGTGAGCCCTGTTGGTTGCGGGCGCTAAATTTTATGAATCCTCATTGTATCGGATATCCAGCTGGTTCAGTCGACGGTGTGTCTCATTCACTTTGTAAATTACTAGTCGCCCTCGGAGATCACTCCACAACATATTTCGCGTCCAACATCACGTCGTTGAAACCCGTACCCTGGAACACCCTACCAGCGCGCCTACTTCGTACAGAAGTTCTTGCATCTCCTTTTGAAATACACTGGATTACCGGGTTATTACGGTGTCGACGAAGAGGCGAGCGAGATGACTCTTGGCTTTTGGTACCTCTTTCAAGAGTCCTTGTGGAGTGTGGAGTACGAAGACCAAGCTGACGATCAGGAGGGTAGTACCTTCCCTTGTCGATGTCGAGGAAAAGGAACAATGGGCCGTTGTGAATGCGGTATATGTTCAACTCGTGGAGGTGCTGAGAAGGAAAGTGATGTGGCCCGACCAGCAGTACTCTCAGTTACTGGGCAAAAGGTGATGGTTTTGTATCACTTATACTTGCGTTGTGCTAAAACGAATTGATTTGCAGACGAAGTCGATAGGTTTCAAGTGTGAGTGAGAGCATCGTTCATAAACTCACGTGGCGTTGACGATTCACAGATATCGGAGGGACGTTGGTGATACTCTGATTAATGCGTGAATAAGATGATCGACATGCCAGTGTTTTATGTTGATGCGTTCTCAGATATTACATCCTGCGAAATGACATGATGAGGTACTACCTCGAGGACATGCAGAAGCGCTTTGCACAACCCAATGGATCCCAAGGGTGGGAGGTGAGTGCTTCTTTCCACCTATGAGACACTCATTCAATAAATTCCGCCAGGAAATTGAAGCTACTCTGCACTGCATCATGTCAATCCAAGAAGCGGTTCCGCTGGAAGACAATCCGTTCCTCGCCCGATTGTTTGGACCTGACTGTGCTCGGTCGTCTACCAACATCAGGTCAGGATCGAATACGTAGGACTATGCTTGGCTTGATTGGTAGGAGCATCGCACACACGACTTTTGATCGTCTGTTTAACCTTCCCTGTTCAGCGGCGTACTCAACATGGTTCACCACCCAGCCCAAATCACCGACACCCAGCTCAACTCCATCTCTTCTGATGAACGCCATTTCTTATGTTGTAGCTGCTTTACCAGAGCCTGCGTTATGCCTTCCGGCTGCGAATGCCCTTCGTGATCTGTGCGATTCTAACCGTGCTGCGCTGGCGCCTCATATTGGAGCGTTTGCGGAGCTGCATGCTGGATTGAGTGGTATCCCGGTCCGTGAGATGCATCTATAGTTTGCATCTTCGCTAATATGTTGACTTGAGCAGGATACGGAAAAGAGCAAGGTCCTTCAATCAATCGCGAGCGTAATACAAGCATTGCCACCTGAAGAGGAGATTCCACCCATCCATGCGATTATCAGCCCGGTAGTCGAAAGGCTTGCGCAAGCCCTCCACGTGTCCTCCTCGGTTCGTATTGGGCTAAATAGAGGACCCTGGAGGCTGAACTGTTTGTCTTGTGCAGCTCCTGGACGAAACTCGCTTTATCATCATTTCCCAGCTTCAGACACTGTCAGGGGTAGCCAAAGGTCTCACACGCACGCAAGACTCGTTGCTCATCCTTGACGAATCACCCGAAGAGAGAGCCGAGGCTGAGCGCCTACAACGAGCACGTGATGATTACACGATGGTCAAAATTCGCGAAGATCTGTTTCACCACGATAAGAAACACAGCGACGCTTTGGTCTACAGACGCTGGTGTTTCGGATGTACGTTTCCAGCTTATTGCCTCACACTATTCGACTGACAGTGAACAAGGCTTTGAGCGACTTTTTCCGCTCGATAACCTCTTTGCCCTCGGATACCACCCTGCTTTCGCTTCCTGCGGCTCCGATTTTTGAGATCATATGTCTTGCTTGCCAGAGGCAGCTTACGGCTGTGTGGCTTTCCCTGGCAAACATGCTCGTCATACAGCTTGATCCGCCGACATTGTTTACGGCCTCGACGCTTAAATCCGCACCAAGTCCTGAAGCGCTGGGGGTGATCTCGACTTTGCTGCCGCTTTTGCTTGAAACATCGCTAGGGATGCTAGGGCAGCCAGGTGCGATGGAAGCTGTAGGTGTACCCTATCGACTGAATGAGGGCACTAATCATTTGTTGGTGTAGAACCCTGATATCGTACAGGCATTTTTCGGGTGCATGGATACCGTGAGTACTGGGTGCGGAATTAGAGACTCAATGCAAGGTTGATATACATTAATTAGATCGCGAAGCATTTCCTTGTGGTCTTCTATCGACTGCCACCCGGTGCCCTCGATGCGCTGATGCAATGTGCCGTGACTTCATTGTCGCTGCAAGAGCGATATTCGCTTGTTGCAACATGCACTTTTCTGGTACTTGTGCTTTTGCACTGATGCTTATCACTTCTCAATGTTGATGACAGGAAACGCTCATCAGGCGGACGGCTAGCAGTGATGATCTGGGAGATGCAAGTACGATACTGATCCAAGGACACGGTCGGCCGATCCTCCAAGCTATTTTGTGTGGCTTCGCGGGCGTAGCGCCAAGATCCGCGACGCAAAACCTGATTGAGTTGCTGTCCATAGTGGCGTCCAAGTTCCCCGCAGAGACGAGAACTTGGATGAATGATATCTTGTTTGCGGTATGCGTTGCTTGTTGCTGGGCTGTGAGTAAGTCTGACACGGTTTCAGGACGACTTTGTGCAATCAAAAGCAAGCCCGGAGGCAAAGCGGGCTTTCGTAAAAGCTATCATAGGGTTTGTCAACGCCGTTCACACGACCTTGTTATGCTGATTATGAGCAGGTCTCGATCGCCAAAGAAAACGAGGGAGGCAGGCACAGCAGTTTACGCTTGTCGCTCGGGGCTTGGAAGGCACTAGCTTTGGATATGCCTCTGTTAATATTTGATGTGGGGTTTTCCTACTGGTCCTCTCACTTCAACATTGCGTCTGGTATGCACTTGTACTTCGTCGGCGATGTCGGTCAGTACGTTAACGTTATCAGTTCAATGCGTACCTTGTGCCAGCGTGCTGCCCGTGGAAGGCCTGCGTGAGTTCGGCGGCCACGGTGTAGCGTGCTGTATGATCTCGCGGTTAGTCTGTCAATTGGTGCGAAGCTCCCACAGCACGCAGAGATGGTTGGTATGCTTCCATATTATCGTGCGACGGCCTCCGATGTCGATTAAGTGGAAGGAACATGGATCGTCGGCGTGTCGGCTCTGCTGAACGATGCTAATGATGACCGGTTAATACGACTGAAACCTGTGATATCGGATAGTCCGGGGCTGGTCAGGGTTGGTCCGGGGAGCATATCTGATAACGTGGGGGAATCAAGGGGAGTCGGCGGAAGAGCGGCGCAACGAGGCCGGGGTCCGTCAAAAGCAGGAAGTGGTTCGGCTGTAGCGGGAATAATATTACAAATCGCGAGCTGTGATTGGCTATCAAGCGCCCATGAATCACAAGCATAAATTGGCAACTTTCGGAACGCAAATGTCCGAGCACACGCTTTTCTTCAAACTTGCTTGTCGTCCACAAACTGCTCGTCGGTCTGCTCGACGATGCCTATCCTCTCTTCCTCAACGCGCGACGCGATGCGCTCGCTGCAGCGGCTGGCCGCGGGGATGGCCACTGCTGCCCCAAGAATCGGTGACACAAAAGTTCCCATGTCGCTCCTCGAGAAGGGCGCGTACATAAACTACCAACGTATTGAGGATAGTCTTGCCGTCGTTCGTGACAGGTGAAAGCAATCATTTAATTGACTTATAGTTTGGTTTCTAATGTAATATGTGGTCCGCAGGCTTCAGCGCCCGCTTACTCTGTCGGAAAAGATAGTGTACGGACACTTGGATGATCCCCATAACCAGGACATTGTCCGAGGCACAAGTTACCTCAAGCTCCGCCCTGACGTATGTCGATCCTTCTCTTCTGCTCTGAGCAACCATTTGATTTCCATTATCCTTATCAACAGCGAGTAGCATGTCAGGACGCTACCGCCCAGGTTCGTTCATACGTCACTGCTTCGTCTTCTTGCTGACGTAATTGATAGATGGCCCTTCTACAATTCATGTCTGCCGGCATGGACACAGCAGCTGTTCCAACTACAGTCCACTGTGACCACTTGATTGAAGCCCAAGTCGGCGGCGTGAAGGATTTGGCACGTGCCGTTGATCTCAACAAGGAGGTGTACGATTTCTTGGCTACCGCAACCGCAAAAGTTAGTTTCTGTCACTTTGGGTTTTGCATTTGCTCATGGGTTCGCAGTATGGTCTTGGTTTCTGGAAGCCAGGTTCTGGTATCATCCACCAGATCATTTTGGAAAACTACGCATTCCCTGGTGGACTTATGATCGGTACTGACTCTCACACTCCAAATGCGGGTGGTTTGGGTATGGTGGCTTGTGGTGTTGGAGGTGCTGACGCTGTTGACGTCATGGCGGACATTCCTTGGGAACTGAAATGCCCCAATGTTATCGGCGTAAAGCTTACTGGCAAAATTGGAGGCTGGACTACGGCCAAGGGTGTGTGCATTCTTCAAATCGCTCTTTTCCAAGGCTGATGCCTCGTAGATGTCATCCTCAAGGTCGCTGGTATTCTCACGGTCAAGGGTGGAACTGGTGCCATCGTTGAATATCACGGTCCTGGTGTTGAATCTTTGTCTTGCACGGGTATGGCCACCATCTGTAACATGGGTGCCGAAATTGGCGCAACTACCTCGCTCTTCCCCTTCAACCGTCGCATGGTTGACTACCTCGACGCTACCAAGCGTTCCGAGATTGCCCAATATGCACAACGCTTTGCACACAACCTTAAGGCTGATGAGGGCTGCGAGTACGACCAGAACATCGAGATTGTGAGTAATGTCACTAATGTCCTCGTCGTCTTTACTAATGTCTTGCGCCTAGAACCTCTCTGAACTCGAGCCTCACATCAATGGTCCCTTCACTCCTGATCTTGCTACCCCGCTCTCGAAATTCGCAGAGGAGGTCAAGAAAAACAACTGGCCCCAAGAACTCAAGGTTGCTCTCATCGGTTCCTGCACTAACTCTTCGTACGAGGACATGTCACGCTCTGCTTCCATTGCACGTGAAGCTGCTGAGCATGGTCTCGATGTCAAGAGCAAGTTCACTATCACTCCTGGTTCTGAACAAGTTCGTGCTACTATTGAGCGTGACGGTCAAATCGGTGCTTTCGAAAACGTTGGTGGTCTCGTTCTGGCAAATGCATGCGGTCCTTGCATTGGTCAATGGGACAGGAAAGACGTCAAGAAGGGCGAGGTCAACTCAAGTGCGTCGTCCGTGTCTATTGTATTACATTATCTTATCGGCTGTTTACAGTTATCACGTCCTACAACCGTAACTTCACTGGTCGTAACGATGCTAACCCCGCCACCCACGCTTTCGTCGCCTCCCCGGATATCGTGACTGCAATGGCCTTCGCTGGTGACCTCACCTTCAACCCAGTTTCGGACACCCTCATTGGTTCTGATGGCAAGCCATTCAAGTTCTCTGACCCCACTGGCAACGAGCTTCCTCCTCGTGGCTACGACCCTGGCCAGAACACCTTCCAACCTCCTCCTGCAGACCGTGCTAGCGTTGCAGTTGCAGTTGACCCTAAGAGCGACCGTCTCCAACTCCTCCACCCCTTCAAGCCTTGGGACGGCAAGACCCCGACTGACCTCCCCGTTCTGATCAAAGTCAAGGGCAAGTGCAGTAAGTACCACCCGCTGTTGATTCCTCGCATTAGCCTGATTGGTGTGTCCAGCCACTGATCACATCTCTGCTGGTGGTCCCTGGCTCAAGTACCGTGGTCACCTCGAGAACATTTCACGTAAGTCCCCATGCCCAATAATTCACTAGACCTCCATCTCACCTTTGGATAGAAAACTGCTTGATTGGTGCTATCAACGCCGAGAACGGCGAGGCAAACAAGGTCAAGAACCAGATCACCGGCGAATACGGTGCAGTCCCCCAGACTGCTGCTTACTACCGCGACCAAGGCATCAAGTGGGTTGTCGTCGGTGACCACAACTACGGTGAAGGTTCATCTCGTGAGCACGCTGCCCTTGAGCCCCGTTACCTTGGTGGTCTTGCTATTATTACCCGGTCTTTCGCTCGTATCCACGAGACGAACTTGAAGAAGCAGGGCATGCTCGCTCTTACTTTCGCTAACCCTGAGGACTACGACAAGATTCAGCCTAACGACAAGGTTGACATTTTGGGCGTGGAGACCTTCGCCCCCGGAAAGAACTTGACTCTTGTTGCCAAACATGCGGATGGTAGCAAGGATGTGAGTTCTAGCTAGACCGTGTCTTTGTGTGGTGTTGACGTGATGTTCTTGCAGGAAATTCCTCTCGCTCATTCCTTCAATGAAGGCCAGATCGAGTGGTTCAAAGCAGGCTCTGCTCTCAACTTGGTTCGTTCGATTGATATGCTGCAGGGGCATTTCTGACCTCGTTGACAGATGGCTGCCAAGGCCAAGCAATGAACAGCGACATAGACAGAAAGAGCATGTGTCATGTCCTGACACAGTAGACCTCATTTCCCGTTCAGTTACATTCTCTCGTTTGACATTACTTATTTACTTGGTTATCCACATCACGACGTCGACATCTTTTTTTATAACATTTTTGTAATAACACTGGACGACATCAGAAAACATTTCAATTCTGGAGGATACTCTGGCTGCAGGATCAGAGCATCGTGCTACTCATCCAAAGGTTCGTGCATCGTCATCTTCCGTCTTCTTTCCAGCAGCGCTTTCCTTGCCATGCTCTCTCTCCCAGACAGGTGACCGGGCTGAGGTGCACGTAACAAATCTGATCCAAATGATATCATCGAAGACGCCGACGATGATTCATGGTGAATTGGTTTAGGTCTTGAACGTCTCCGCTGCCCACCCCTCTTTCGCGACGACACTTTGGAGCGCCCAGACTGCATCGTGTTCGTACGCGAGTTCGGAACGTCGTCGTTGAAAGGGAGTGCCTGATGCGATTGTGTGAACCCGTACCCGTAGTTCTTCAGGTTCGACGAGGCTGCAGCTACAGACTCGGAGGTGTAAACGCTGCTGGAGCTGGCATGTGAGGCACGACTCTGATCCTTTGCTATGCCAGAAGGAGCTGCATTGTGTTTCAGTGATACGCGGGACTCTTGCGTCCATACAGGTGTCATGTCTGGGCGAAGCGTTACCTGGCTATCGCTGAATCCCAGCCCCGACTGCGATATGCCAGGAGAGCAAATCTGATCTCGAGGATGGCCACCCAGTCCGCGAATGCGCAGTCCGTTTACGTCGCTATTGTCCTCTGCAGAGTATGATGATAGCTCGTGAGCAGCGAGAGGTACATCATATTCGGGATCTGGAAACTGTTGTGGCCAATGGTGTTTCGCAGAGTCCAGCGAAACGCCGCTTTCTTCGATGGTGGATGAGCGCGATGTGCGGTTGGCTGCAACAGTGCCGAAGGCGGTCATGAAGTTGGATTTGAGGGTGGAGGCCCAGCCTTCTGGGGGTGGGTATTCATGGACTATTGCTGGGTCGTGTGGCACGACGTCATCGGGGAGTGGTACGTTGTGCCAGTCTCCAGGGCTGATGACTGGAGTGTTTTCCATAACCTGTGGTAACCTCTCTCTAGGCGTGCGTTGGGCATAGCCCGGTGAGGGTAAGAATTGCGGTAGACCATCCCCTTCCAGCGGCAGGAACCGTGGTGTGGGATACTGGACGGCGCTTCTGGGTGGACCTAACACGCCTGCCCTTGTGCTGTGATACGTTTGGCCACCATGGCTCGACTCGTCACCAGAAGTCAGGTCACCAGGGGCTATATTTGCTACTTGGAGCCGCCCAAGCGTGCGTGGACTTTCCTGTACGCTGTACGCACTTGCGTGCTTGTTGAATGCGGGTCGCCGCTGCTCCATGGGTGGATAGACGTTGCCGAATGCCGCTCTTGACGGACTGTACCCTGGTGCTCGATCACAGGTTTTGTAGAAACCCGCAGCTGTTGGTGTACCGACGGGGCTGGAAAATGGATCGTTCGTATGTCGCCTGACGAGGGATGCAGGAAGGTAATACTCGGAATCTTCATGCGGGGTGCGCTCCTGCAGACTGGGTTCGTGGCCGTCCTCGAGTACGTCCCTCGCTGTCCAAAGTTCGTCGTCGTCTCGCGTCTTCCGCGCTGATGCGCGCGAGCGCAGCCACCATGCTAAGAATGCCAGGCAACAAGCGAGGACGCAGACGGTGCCCAGGATGATGGCAACGTAGAATGGGGCGGAGAGGTTTTTGGATGTGTGCATGGACGCGGGAGAGACGAGTGCTGTCGGACGAGAGGATTGGCTAGTGCTACTTGGGGAGTTGGATGGAGTGCTGGTCGTGGTGCGTATATATGAGGAGCTTGGAGTGGCGCTACTGAGCGATGAGGACATTGTGCCAGTTGAGGGAGCTGAGGTCTTTGCCAAAGCAGGAACAGTGGTCATCGATTCCCTTGACTGTGTCAACTGGCTTGCCGTCTGAGTTCCAGCTGCGCTGATAGGGTTGGGACTGATCTGCGTTTCCTGAGCGCCCTGCGGTGGCACAGAATCCGGCCTGCGGTTGCCTTCGGGGTTGAATGAATCCTCTCCATGTCCTGCTGGAGGGTCTGAATTCACGATTGACGGTTGCCCGTTTGTTCCCAGAACCAAGTGGGAATCCGCTCTGCGATTATGGCCATAGTGAGCAAAGAATGGCATGCGTGAAGCCAAAGATATGGGCATGATTAGTTGTATATGCGCACCTGGCGCTGAGCTGCCAGAGCCCTGTAGAAGATGAGGTGACTTTTCAGAATCAAGCGTACTTTCTTGTTTCTTAAATCATGGAACCTGGCTTAAAGTTTGAGTTCAGACTGCTAGTCTGACAGGGGATTACTATATTTGGCGAATTGATGGAGATATAGTTATGTTCAAGTCGTCGAAACAGCCGGCGATGTGTTGGATGCCACTGCCAGACGCGCCGAACCAACATGAGCGACGCATCATGCTAATCAAAACTCGCGACCTTGTAAAAAGCGATCGGGCTCAAGTCAAATCGATGCGAGAAGGTTGTTTGTGTATGTTTTGTATGACCGCTCTCGGGCTCGAGTCTCAATCTGATGCATCCAGCTCTACTTATTTCTGAAGTCCTCTTGGATATATTCACGCATGTGAATAAAATCCCAGGACCACCAAATGGCAGGCAACTATCCCTTGCAGCGCTTGCCAGGACATGCAAAACTTTTCACGAGCCTGCGATGGATTTACTTTGGGCTCAGTTGAATGGCATAGAACCACTGCTAGGCTGTGTAACGAGGCTACACGCGATGATATATGGTCATGTTGTATGGGTTAGTCACGCTCTCGTTCATCGGCTGACCGAGCATCTAACCGTAGTGCTTCCAGTCTGACCTCAAACCATTATCTGAGCACGAGATCAATCTATTTTTGCGTCACGCCGTCCGTGTGCGCTTGATGCACATAACATCCCATGTCCATTTTCACCTTCTCTCAGTTCTGCCCAACGACACATGCATGTTCCCAAGATTGCTGTCGTTATCAACAATTGCACGTCCAACTAAATACTTGTATCTCTTCCTGTCCCCCACGCTGCGTTGGTGTGTCCTACCGAACATTCATTTGGATTTAGAATTTATTGTGACCCGCTGTGCTGGTTTGAGGCACTTATCCATCAGGAGCTTCGATGAGAGCGCATCAGATAAATTGTCACTTCTGTCCCGCAGTGTCCGTTTGTGCAGGCAGCTTGTAACTCTGTCCTGTCCGCCGCTCGACTTGGCAGCATGGGAGCACCTCTCTAACCTCCCCACCCTGCTCGCCGTCGTGATAACTAGGACGATGATCACTGTCCCTTGCCCATTGGACCTCGTTAATCTCAATTTCGCATCTTTCCTCAACCTCACGACTCTTTATTTCTTTGTAAAAACGGCTGAATATCCTATCGCAGTTATGCAACACTCAGGATTCCCCGCGCTGAAAAAGTTCGAGATGGTTGTTCATGCATTCTCTTGGACAGAGGCTGAGCAGCTCTTTCGTGCACTGTCCCAGTGCAAAGCATGCCAGACCCTTGAACACATTTCCATCGCCTCCTATGATCCAGACGTTCAGCAGCCCTCAGGCAACTCTTTCACAGCTGTTACACATTTCCTTTGTTTCACGCAACTCCGTACCCTACGGCTCATGCTTCGTCACTTCATCTTCCTCAACAACGACCTCCTTTTGGAGGCCATGTCAAGTTGGCCGCACATCCGCTCGCTAGAGTTAGTGGACCGACAGATGGCATCTGCCGTTACATTCCGCGGATTGTTCACAGCACTCCGTCGATGTCCCCACTTGCATACACTGCATTTATTATTGGACGCCCAGCATATCGATATCGATCCTAAAGCCGAGTCATTTCAACATACTGCCCTACAAATATTGGACTTGACCTGGTCTCATGTAGCTGATGCTGAAGCTGTTGCTCGCATCATATTCTCCATGCTCCCCTGTGTTGACCGAGTTGCCCAAATAGGCACCTGGTGCACCGGGTCGCGCCCCAAGGAGGAGTGGTACGAGGTGAATAGGCATCTGAAATCTTTGAAATCTTCTGCGGTTCTTGGCTGCCATATCACAGGAGAAGCCGCGAAGTCCTGAGCTAGTGTGGGATACACTGAGGTCGGGGAATTGTCTGGGTCTGTCCTCTGCCCAACATGCGTTACGTTTCATTCAACCATTCAATGTTTCGCTGAAATACATGGCAATTCGTTCCTGTTAAGCCACACCATCGCCTGATACAGTAGTACTGTTTCCGTCGCCTACGCTCTTCTGGTTTCTTAGTTTGTAACCTGCACTGAGTGACAGCATCACTCTCGCAGAAACTTATCGGACTCTCGAAACGCATCTCGAACCTTGTGACCTGCTTTCAACGAATTTCTCGCCGCAGGGCGCTCCTTATCACCGATGATGCATGAGCGCTTTTGAGCAATGTAATCTGGAATGGATGAGTCGACATGCCTCAGGCCTCCTCATCCGCACGTCGTGTTTTGCGCCTTTGACGGCACGTGGAATTTCATGGTGTGTAATTGTAAATGAACCAACTGGTGGATGCTTCCGGTGACTGACGTCGTCTAGAGTCCCGATGGGCCATGCATCGCAACTTGGGTTGATCCACTCTGCTCCTGACGCCTGCAACCCGATTCCGCCCTTCACGAATCCATGTTATGTAAAGAAGTCGTCTATCCAAATCACTCTCAGAAATTCACGGACCACAAAAATTCGAAAATCCGCATAGCAAGCAGCGAAAAATAAAGCACCGGAGTGGGTATGGTTTAGTACCGCTGGTTTTAAAAGGCAAGACCCTGGCCAGGAAGTCGTTGTGCATCATGGAAACACGCACCAACTAGATAGCTACTACCTTGGAAACGTGCTACGGACAAGATCTTCATCTTGTATCGATAGTGGACCAGTAACAAATTGGATTTCCACAAAGTTCAAGACTCGTACAACCCCTGCGTTCGAATTGAGAATACTTATCGATTACGCACCTTCTCCTCAACGTGAGATTACTAGCAGAGCATACAACGGCGTCCGCGCATCTGAGAATAACAGAGCTCCAGTCTTACCATCCGATCTCAAGTCTCAACCAAAACGTTGAGAAGCGACAACGATGTGCTTACCTTATTTCTGGACTGCCTGGACAGGCTTGGGACCTAGTCAAGAAGGGGTATTCTGCGAATCTTACAATAGCCTCATTTGCTAAAGCTGTGACGGTTATATATGCCTCTTTCCACGCGTCCGCTGCACCATAAGCCCAGCGGCCACTTGCCTTGTTCATTTCCTGGAGGTGCCTTGATGTTGGTGGTGTGCGGGAGTTAATTCCTGGGTCTGGGATTTGAAAGCAGTCAAGCACTCTCATTCCACGAGTGAGTGAGTGACTTCTTATCAGGGCCTGGGTTGGTGATGCAAACCTACCCGTCGTCTGACCACTGCAAACGTCTCTCGGATAGGTGTAAAACGACGGTTGGAACTTGGCACCGTCGGTGACGTGTAAATCGTCGTTGTCGAAACAGAATAAGCCAGCGAGGTCATCAAATGCGTCAATCTGACATCAAGCTAACTAAAACCCGTGATTCCACTGCTCGAGTTCACTCCATGTGTAAATGATTGGAGCAGAACTAGAAGTTGCGTTCAACATAATCCCCGACTCGTGGAGGGCTCTATGATGATGATTGGAGATCGCCCAGCCAAGGACTGTGCGCGTGAGTCTTTTTCGGAGGCGGAATGTCTTCCTCGGCGATGCGGCAGAAGAGAAAGTGGAGCTCAAGAATTAGGACACTTCTGTGCTTGGTCAATAGATGAGCGGCAGGAGACAAAGCATTGGTTGGTATATGATATAGCAGCTGGTAGGGGTTACTTCGAGTTGTCGCATAGGATTGAGCTAGAGTACCGAGTGTCATGGATTGATCGTTAAACAATGAAGACGGGACATTCAAATGGAGCCCACAAGAGGATGTGCAAAGCCAGAGTGTCAGAAATAGGCGGTAGACTAAGATTGCATGTGAGAGCGTTGCCTGCGACCGGAGGACTCCAGGAAGGTTCCATAGTCATATTATGGATAACGTGGAAGGAAACCATAACAATAATGACAGGGCATGAATGATCATGAAGAAATATAACAACTGCGGGATAATGCACCGAACATGAGTGTATCCCAAACTCAGGTTCTCGAAGCGGCTCCTGAGACCTGGCGGCCAAGCAGCGCAGAAGCTTTGAAAGCTTTGAGATGCATGTTGACTTTCTGCCATTCCACTGCGAACTCGTTAACTTTGTCGACGCAAGGAAGCATGGAAAAAATGATACGAGCAACAGCTTTAGCATCTGCTATGTGAGAGGCGGTGATCAAGTCCAATGCTCGTAGGGTGGTATGTTGAAATGACTCGGCTGTAGGATCGATATCAATATTCTCGACGTTCACTAATAGCTGCAGTGTATGCAAATGAGGCCATCGACGAAGTGCCGCGAATAGTCCGCGGAATGTGACAGTAGGTATCGCTGGGGGGTCCACCGCGACTATTTCCAGCGAGCGGATGTGCGGCCAACTTGACATGGCTTCCAAAAGAAGGTCGTCATCAAGGAAGATGGAACACGGAAGAATGAGCTTTAAGGTTCGGAGCTGTGTGAAACAAAGGAATTGTGTGACCACTGTCAAAGATTTTCTGTGCTCATGAAGTCCTTGACGAATGGAGTGAATGTCGATTTTTTCCAGGGTCTGGCATGCTGCGCACTGTGACAGCACATAAAAGAGGTGTTCGGCCTCTGCCCAAGGCAAAATATCGACAATCATCTCGAACTGTTTTAATGAGGGGAATTCGGAGTGTTGCATGACTGTTATGATGTATGCAGCCCTGTCCAAATGGAAAGCCAGAGTCGTGAGGTGGAGGAAAGGTGTGAAAGTGAGATTATTGAGATCCAGTGGGAGAGGCACTCTGTTCCTCTTATGAATGATAACTGTGCGAAGGGTAGGGAGGTTGGAGAGGTGCACCAATGCCGCCCAGTCAAGCAATGGACAAGACAGAGTTACAAGTTGTTTGCACAAACAGATACTGTCAGACAGCAGGGAGAGCTCATCTGCTGTGCTCTCATCAAAACACCTGATCGATAAGTCCATCAAAGCAGTAGAACGGGTCACAATACATTTGAGACTTTCATTGATGGCCGATAGAGAACAATGCCGCAATGTATGGGACAAGAAGAGGCCCAAGTTTCTATCAGTGTTAGACTCCCAAATTAATGATCGCAGTCTCGGGAAGACGCATGTCTCTATGGGGAGGACTGATAGAAGGTGCAAATGGACGTGGAAAGATATACGCAATGAGCGAACACGGGCGGCGTGACGCAAAAATTGATGAGCCTCGTGCTCAGATAATGGATCGACGTCTTCTGACCAGTTGTACTACATATTTAGATCGGTGAGCCAAGACGTGAACAAAGCGCGACGCGTCGGCACTCACCGTTGCACCCCTACGATATATCATTGGATGTAACCTCGGTACACAGCCTAGCAGTGGTTCAAGTGGTTCAACCCAATGAACATCTGTGTTAGCCCAAAGCAAATCCATTGCAGGCTCGTGGAAGGTTTTGCATGTCACTGCAAGCGCTGCGAGGGATTGCCGCGCCAATTTAAAGGATTTCTCGAGAGCGGACGATGGGTTCGGGATTTGATTCACATGTGCAAATATGTCCAGGAGAATTTCGGTAACAAGTAGAGCCTGGTGCATTAGTTGATGGAGTAGTGGAGAGATATCGGACAAACAGTAGTCTGCATTTTTGATATCTACCGTACTCAGCACAAGTCAAAATTTGACATTCCGACGGAGTGCCGCAAGTGCCGATTCTGCAAATAAAGCCACACAACGCGAGACGCGTTGAGGAATGTATGTAGCTGCGTGTCAGTGCAATATGAGCTCTCGCAATGATCCTAATCGATACGTGTTCAACTCAGACGAAGGTCGCTCATACATCCTCAGACAAAGAATGTCTCACGACACTCATGATTTCCAGCTCGAGACTATAGGGTGTTTGTTGGATGGTGAGGATGCGAAGGTGCTGGAGGTTGAGATGGTGTGTAAACAAAGGCTTGACTGGACAAAGATATTCACGATCAGCACAATAGGAAGAAAAGATACGAAAAGCGAACCTCACGGCTCTGGCAATCAACCAGGACACTGTCGAAGCTGCCCGGAGAGAGAACAATGATATATACAAGGCTGCGAGGACTGGTGTAGCAATGCTCCTCTTGTCGCCGGAGCGCTCCAGTCTGCTGCATTCGAGAGATTCCTGCAGTACAAGAGCTTTGGGAAATGGTTATGCATGATGAGGGTTGACGAAGCTCACCTCATTATTGCTTGGGGGGGTTTCGAAATGACTACTTGGAGATAGGTTGGATGCAGGGGCAAGGTTTCCGCAACGAGTTGCCATTATTGCTACTACAGTGACAAGCCAGGCTAGAGAGCCAACGAGTCGGATCTGCAGGACCCTGTGCTTCCAGGACAGCCGTTATCGCATAATCAGACGGTCTAATTCTCACCCTGACATTCAACTGATATTTTGCACCTTGATCTCAGGGGTCAACAATCCTAATCTCGTGGAGCTGGATTGGGTCGTGGACAGCGCTGAACGACGTCGAACACTGATCTTCATGAAGACCATTAACTTTGTATTCCACGCAGCAGTTTACCTTCGAAATAAACTTGCCCGTGATCCTGATCTGGACATACGAATCCACATTTTTAACGCTCTCAATGACAAGGGATACAATGACCAAACACTCAGCTATTGACGCACGAATCACCCCGCCACTCAGATTGCTATCGCCATTAATATCCTGTCTGTTGGCATTGATGCGCCCACGTTCAACAATGTCATTGTCTAGCGTGAGCCGTTGGATCCAGATAAGTTGATGCAGTACTGGGGTCGACTGCGCTTCAGTCGTGCTAAATCCCCGCGCGCGTTTCTATATTTGACATCAGCTGCTATCATAAAAGCTGAAGAAGCCTGTCATTGCAGATCGAAGCGGAGAAAGAAAGGTCAAAATTCACGAATCAGACAGAATGTCTGCCGCCATGGCCAAGCTTCTTTTAGCGCCCTGAAAAGTCGTGTACTTCATCAGCTCTACGACAACCCAAAGGATGAGACACCATGCCAGTGCCTCTTCTGCGAGGTCAATCCACGACCACAGCGAACAGAGTCTTGCAACTGCTCAGGATATCAGCCTGAACCTCCTGCCCAAGATACAACCAGAGTCGCACCCCAAAAGACAATGAGGAACCTGCCAAGCAATATCATGGCTGCGATGGTTATTCATGCGTTTCCCTGGACAGAAGCTGAGCAACTCTTTCATGCACTGTCCCAGTGCAGAGCATGCCAGACCCTTGAACATATTTCCATCACCTCCTATGATACAGACGTTCAGCAGCCCTCAGGCAATTCTTTGACAGCTGTCACACATTTCCTTTGTTTCACGCAACTCTGTACCCTGCGGCTCATGCTTCATCACCTCATCTTCCTTGACAATGACCTCCTTTTGGAAGCCATGTCAAGTTGGCCGCACATCTGCTCGCTGGAATTAGTAGACCGACAGATGCACACCTAGTAAAGTAGGAAAGTGTCAGATAGGGTGAGAAATAGCACCGCTTTCTGCAAGGTTTTTGGTCGAGTTTAATATCTTGTATGGGAAAATATTTTAAACAGAACGCACATCTACCTATCATCTCGCTTCAACTGACAGTGGGCCTTCTGTGTTCGAGCTATGAGTGGCAGTTGCGCATCTTGAATGGGGGTCGGTGATGGTGACGCGGGTTCCCGTAGAGACTACTGGGAGAGCATGCAACAGTAGGAGCGTGAATTTGACACCCAGAGGAACACTGTTATCCAGACGTGTTCCTTCTTCAGGAGGATGATCGTCGCAGAGTGAAGGATTATTCAAGCAGGTACTACCTAGGCCTGGGGGAAGCTCTGTACCATGGGGCTCGCGGAGAGCAGAGTTCGCGAGTGATGTTCTCGCGGTTGAGCTAACGAGGGTAATATACTGTGAAGGTAAAGGGGAGTTCATCGACTGCCATGGTCAACAGAGGGTGAATAATTAGAGGGGGGGAGGAAGCTGAAAGACTCGTTACTCGAATATGAGCAGAAAAGGCGAAAATAAAGCCATGCGTGCTGACTTATTGATATCCGCGTAGAGCTCGACCCATGACATTGTGTAGCTCGCAACTCCCTCAGCTCGAAAAGCATGTCCCAAGGCCCAACCGTGTGCGCTACGCACGCAGTACTGTGTTCCGGGAAGACATATGACTGCTAGCCATGTAGCGTGATTTCTTCACCATTGATCTAACTGACTACGCACGGTTAATGGCGGCCAACTGAGCTTGAATCGCGGTGCCTGCCTTTCAATAAGAACTGTAGTGGGTACATTGCTTGACAGGGGAGAAGTAACTAATGTTCAACTTGGCCTTCCGTCGACAGTATGAAGTTCGAAGACACGAACGTCAATGGTCAAGATGTCTGTAATTCGGAGAGTCAGCAGAAATTGGGTAAAATATAACTGGCTCACCTAGATGGTTATGGGACGGTACCGAGGGGATTTTCTTGTTCGTCAATGAATGGGAGTGCCGGAAACGTACATATGACCGTACTCCTCGCCCGTCCCCCGCTACTTTACTTTGCCAGCTGAGGCAAGTGGCAACCTATCATAAGCATCAACCCCGGTAGGATAAGCAGAGACAATGCTTGTAGTACTTGTATTAGATAAAGGAGGACAGTACTCGCACGCATCGACAGCATATATTCGGTTGACATGCGAAGATACACGGCAGCTGCGTGTTACAGCCGCATGCCCAAAGTCCGTGCCCGTGAAGTTGTGGCTTCAGACTGCTCTCATGAAATGGCAATGTCGTAGTCAAAGACTCCTAGTGCGCCCGTCTAAGGCCAGCATTTATATTTGCAAAGGGAGAGCAGGCTGTGCGTGCGAGACGTCTCCGTCGCAAACTGCAAGAAGAGAAAATATCAATAGCGCTCAAACCTCACCTTCACCTAAAGACAAATAGTGAGAAGCTATGTCCATGCGTCGGTTTGATTGTCCTGAGCCAGAACATCTTCGCATGCTCATCTCTTAGAGGACCCTCCACACCGGAAGTGGATTCCTGGGTCTGGGTGTTGGAAAAAAATGCAGATCAAGAGTTCTTGCGTTACGAAATGTGACACAAAGTTCTTCCCATATACATCAATATGAACGACAGCCTTGGTAGCGATGCAGGGCTGCCAATTTGAATAGTTTGACCAGTGCAAAGCATCTCTCGGCAAAAATGATAGCGGGAGCTGTCAGTGATGCTGTAAATGAAAGAGGCATGTCAGCAGTGTGTTGGATGGCCGTAAGACGCGTCAACCTGCTGAATAACGCGTTACAATCATGTAAAAACACTGCAGCATGGCACCTCCGAAGCTCCAAGATCGCTGTTCGGTTGAATCGGTTCGTCACGGCCGCGACGGTGGGCCAAGCCTGTTTGTGTATGTTTTGTGCGGCGCTCCAGTACAAGTCAACTCCATCACAGCAACGATGCATCGAGCATTACTTCTTTCCGAAATCATCTTGGACATATTTGCACATGTCGATACAATCTTGGACCCATTGTCATATGTCGAGAAATCATCGGTTCGGAAATCTCTTGCAGCCCTTGCCAGGACATGCAAAACCTTCCACGAGCCTGCAATGAATGAGCTTGGGCTGACATCTAGGGGTTAAGGCCACTGCTAGGTTTGTGTAACGAGGCTTTATCCAATGATATATCATAGCGGAAGGGTCAGTACTAATCACACTGTTCATTCATTATCTCCACGAGCCTATCTACTAAACGCAGTACCTCTGGTCCTCTGAAGGCATTGAACCATTATGTGAGCATGAAGCCCGTCAATTTTTTGCGTCACGCCGCCCGTGTGCGGTCATTGCAAATACCATTCGACAACCACTTTCACCTTCTCTCAGTCCTCCCCATTGAGACATGCACGTTCCCGAGACTGCTTGTCGTTATCAATGGCTCTACATCCGACTGGATTCTTGCATCTCTTCCTGTCCCCCACGCTGCGTCGTTGTTTTCTACCAGCTATTCATCTGGATTTGAAATCAATTGCAACCCGTTGTGCTGCTTTGGAGGACTTGTCCGTCAAGGTCTCTTATCCTTATCAAAGCACAGCGGATGAGCTGTCTCTACTGTCTGACAGTGTCCGTTTGTGCAAGCGGCTTGTAACTCTGTCTTGTCCACCTCTTGACTGGGCAGCATGGGAGCACCTCTCAAACCTCCCTACCCTTCGCACAGTGACGATTTGTGGCGAAGTTCTTTCCCCATTGGACAGGGATAATTTCATTTTCGCATTTTCCCTCAACGTCACGACTCTTTCTTTCCATGTAAACACGGCTTCATATGTTACCTCACTCATGCAACACGTAGAATTCCCCTCGCTGAAAGAGTTCAAGATGGTCCTGCGTAGTTTGCCTTGGGCAGATGCTGAGCAGCTTTTTCGTGCACTATTACAGTGCAAAGCAACCCTTGAACACATTGACATTTTATCCCGTGATCAAGGAGTTCGGGAGCCCTCATGTGGCTCTTTAACAGCAATTACACAATTCCTTTGTTTCATGCAGCTCCGAACCCTGCGACTCGCTTTTCCTCATTCCTGCATCGACCTTGACAACGACCTTCTTTTGGAAGCCATGTCAAGTTGGTCAAACATCCGCGATCTGAAATTAGAGGACCCAAATCTTCGTTCAGCTACTATTACATTCCGCGGATTGTCCACAGCCCTCCGTCAATGCCCCCACTTGCATACTCTGCACATACTAATGGATGCTGTGAACATCGATATTGATCCTAAAGTCGAGTCATTTCATCACACATCCCTGCAAACATTGGATGTACGCTCCTCTCACGTAGCGGATAGCGAAGCCGTCGCCCATATCATCTTCTCTATGCTTCCTTGCGTCGACAACGTTATTTACGGCTACAGTGGACGCTACATCCGGTACGCGTGGCACGATGTCAACAGGCGTCTCGAATCTCTCAAATCTTCTGCGGTCATCGGCCGACATACCACCGGAGCAGCCGCATAGACCTGAGCTCAGGATATGTACATGTTTGGGCAATCGTTCTGGAGCTGTTATCGCATATTTTCATATACTTAGAATGCGGGTTTGGGAGGTGGGCACGAACAAGGTAGTTCATTCCTCACCACGTGCTTCGATCTATTGTACCATTAGTACAACTAGCTCTCATATGTTGTCTGAATATTCTTCCCAACAGAACATCTGGGAATTTGAAAATCAGTCCCCGTTCTACTGCGTCTGCGTCTATCCTGATCCGTGTGCACCTCAAAAATATAAATCTTGCACACGGCCGCATATATTACGACAGTCCTGCAACACTCAGAATTCCCCTCGCTGAAAAGGCTATCTATGCTTTGCCTTCGACGGATGCTAAGCAGCCTTTTCATGCGCTGTCCCAGTGCAAAGCATGCCAGTCTCCAGACCCTCGAACATATTTCTAGGATGCCTTACGGTCTAGAAGTTCAGGAGCCTTAGGCAACTTCTCTTTGACAGCTGTTACTCAATTCACCCATTTCACGCAGCTCCGAACCCTGCATCTGGTCCTCCGTCGTCCCATCTTCCTCGATAACGACATTCTTTTGGAAGCAATGTCAGGTTGGCCGCACATCCGCTCTCTGACAATAGAAGACTTGCATCGTCGTTCACCTAGTACCGTGACATTCCGTGGATTATTCGCAGCACTTTGTCGATGCCCTCATTTGCATACGTTGCGAATATTAATGGACGCTGTGAATATCAATATTGATCCTAAAGCCGAATCATTTCGACATACCACCCTACACACACTGGGCATGACCTGGTCTGATTCAGCAGATCCTGAAGCTGTCGCTCGCATCATCTTCTCCATGATCCCTCAGGCTTGCGTCGAGCGAGTTAGCCAGCTATTTACTGAAAACTACCTACCGCACGCGTGGCACGAAGTCAACAGGCATCTCGAATCTTTCAAATCTTCTCCAGTCCCTGGTCGCCATATCGCAAGAGCACCCTCGAATACCTGAGTTTGGGATATTTTCACTCGTGTTCGGGAATCATTGGAGTTGCCACAGTCCGTGTTCGTTTGTGCACCGTCATTGCTACTATGGTCGCGATGGTTTTTCCACGCAGTTGCGAACCCTGCGGCTTCATTTCTGAAAGCCGCGTCGAGTTGGCCGTACATCCGCTAGCTAGAATTAAAGGATCCGTCTCTTCGTCCACATACCGTTACATTCCGTGGACTGTTCGCAGTGCTCCGTCTTTCTCTCGACTTGCATACCCTGCGACTATCAATGGATGCTGTGAACATACTGATGTGTTGATGCGGTTCGTGAACTCCGTCCATTCATCTGACTGACGTTTGTGTTTGAGGTTTGGACTCTGACTTTCCCTGCCCATACAGGAAGGACAGAAGGATTTGATCGAGTGCGCAGTGCGCAGCTTCACGTTTAGCTGATTGAAAGGAGAGCTGTCGATCGAGGTCTCAACATGCCATCCCGAGCCCAGTCGTACAATTCTCGGATCTATCATCAATTCTGCGCTGTGAAATGGTCCAAGTGAATTCGACTGGGAGTGACAGTGGAGATATTGAACCGGATCGGTGCGTCATCAATTTCGCAGCACGTAAGATGGTGAGGGAGGAGTATCAGAAACAGCATTGTTCTGGCCAGGGCCCAGATTAAGATTGCAAGGATGATTCTAATAGGGGGATCATATGATACAACTGGCCAATGCAAGACGCGACTATTTGGCAATTCTCATGACAGATGATGATCTACTGGCATACACCCGGCTGTCTGCAGACGAACATTGCTTCTCCTGTTAGGTGCCTCGTCTCCCCCACCTCTTTACATCACGTTTAGCACTTATTCTTCACAGTTGCTGTAGACGGACAAGTGTCATCCCCGCCTGCAGACCCGCCGTTGGACTGATGATCGCCAGTAGGTCAACTGAGAACAATGAACTGCACAATATCCAGAAAGCACTTACGGTGTAATACATACAGGATACTAATGCGCCGCCATTCAACTTGGCACTGTAGTAACTGCCAGCCTATCAGTGACTTTGTTCAATGAAGATGTGTGTACGACGCACTAGCAAGATGTAAGTAGGCTGCTTGGGTATCCTGGGATGGTGTCGGATAGGTACACGAGAGTATTGCCAGGCTCGAACCTCGCTGCGGCTGGGCACTGTATACAGGCATTAGCGCCAGCGAGGGAGCTGAGCAGCGCAAACATGATTGAGCGGGACGTAAACATGATTGAGTTCGTGGAAGAGAATGAGGGAAATTCATAGTACTAGGCAGGTGCTTTATAGCCTGAAACTTCCAGTGTGGACGTAAAGGCGTTGCTCGCTTTTGCTGCTGAGATGCCCTACATTAGGCGAAAGCAGTTGAGCCAAAATGTATAATGATTTTCGCAGACTCGGTGAACCTGATGAGAAGCTAATGTAGTACTCAAAGGGAGATGTGCGGAACGATGGGGTCGTGGGGCACGAATGAATCTCCGGGTCCTGGAAGGCCTTGGCTCCGCGTTCCTAGTCAGATATGCACACGTTCATCGGACGATGTGACTTCCCAAACAACACTCCAATACCACCGCATCCTTGAATCGATGAAGCTCAGCACGGTCACCCCATAGATCTCAAAACTCCTGCGTAACGTTTTGGTTTTGGTCTTCCGCAGAAGGTTCGTGGTCAACAAGATTGATCTTCGTAGGGTACGATTGAAAGGTCAATGGTTATAAGGAGGTGCCAGATATTCCGGTTGTTAACTGTTTGTAGCACTATTAGAATGTCGTTCTGTGATTCGGCGACCTCAGTCCTTGTCGCCTTCTTTTAATGAATTTTTATTCACGTGACGCTTTGTGGCATTGGTTGAGTCCATCGGTCATCGTGTTGCCCCACATTAAACGCTCTACTCCAGGGCACCTGATTGTCCTATCACTTCTGAGCTCACCTGCAGGGCCTTCGAGTTTTCCTTCGTTTGCGGCAACCAAAGTTGTCAAGTGACAAGACCAGACCAGACCATGTGGCCGAAACTCGGTTGCAACCAAGTGTGGCGTTGTCACGATCGAGGATAGAGATCGAGGCAGAAAGAATAGACGAAGCCAAGAACTAGTAGGTGCCTAAGCCGACGTTCGTGGCTCTAACTTAGATGTGACTCGAGTGTCTTAGAAGTATTTGATTTCTTTCTATCACGGGCTCAGTTCACATGCTACTAGTATTTACATCTCTTTGCATAAAGGATGGCACTGGCGTGAAATTTTCGTTCAATTAGGAAATGTTAGACTTAGTGAAATTTTGCTCACTGTACACTCACATCCCCTGTAATTCATTATCATCATGCCGTTTATAACTATTTCTGCCTCCAAAAAACACAAGAACCTGCTAGAGCATGACAGTGACATTGATTCCAATGGGTCCGATGAGGATGATATTCGAATGAAAGAACTTTCGGAGGAAGAGGAACCTGACTCTGATGACGACGGCGAAGATGACGAGCTTGAGCAGTCCCAGCCCATGAAGATCCTTACACCACCTCCGACCATGTCCAAAAAGCGAAAGCGTGGAACTAAAATCTGTGACTAATGATCCCTACTACATGGACCTATGGCTTGATTGCTTCTTTTCGCAGCACCTTCCGACCCTGACCCTCTAGCAGGTGTAAAAGAGGTCACCTTCATCACGAGCATCACCTCCGCAGCTGAGATGAAGAAACCCGCAAGCAAACGTACCTCGAGGAACCAAACCTTCACACTCAATCTTGACGAGCCTTGGGACACCATGAAAGCACAGACTCGTCAAAATCTCGGATGCACTGAACCCCCGACTTCTCAGCTACGAGGATTACGAGGTCTCCTGGTTCATTCCGCGTGTCCTCCCCAAACCTGGCTTATCCAGATTGGACTTCTACACAAACGGACTTCTACGCAAACAATTGTGCTAATAGCCTGCATGCATACTGTACATTTTTGGACCTTTCATTGCTCTCGCTCGCTAGAAGTACCCTGCATGAATAAAATACCCATGTGCATCATCCGCAGTGATGATCTCCAGAACCGCCTGTCCTTGATCGTCCATAGCGTCTACCAGGTGTCCGCTCATCTTTTGACGTCTCGTCAATAAATCCCAACTCTGATGGATCATACTGAGCCATGCGTGCGATGAACGCAGCATGGAGAGTCTCGTTGCGTTCCTTGGCAATGCGCTTGAGTTTCTTGTAACTCACATCAGCACGTTCGAGCTCGCGGAAGATTGTCGTGAAATGGACAGATATGAATTGGTTTGTCGCAAGGAGGTGCATGAGCTCATCCAAAATAGTCAGGATTCTGCCTTACAAGGCGAAGCAGGCAATCAATATCTTCACGATCGAGAGCACGCAGACGACCACGCATTGCTGTGTTAGGCTGACGGTCCACGACATCGCCGGTTTCGTGCCAGAGCTTCAAAATCCGAAACCAAGTGCATCTGGAAAATCCGCAGCAATCTAGGATATCACGAAGGCTTAGAAGGTTCCGTTCATGGAGTCGGATTGCCGCAAGTTTCACATCACGACTGATCTTGCGAAATCCCATGTTGTGAAGATGATAATATAAGGGTAGTATGAGCGTACACGAGCAAAATTTCACGCCAGTGCCATCCTTTATGCAAAGAGCTGTAAATCCTACTCGTACTGTAAAGATCCTGTGACGGCTGTGAGAAGTCAAAGACTTTCGTAGACGGCACAGGAGAGAATAAGACGCTCGAAAATAACCAGATACAAGTCAAGTCAATTCAAGAACGCCAGCGTTACAAGTTCGAATTACGACTGCCTTTATACTAGCGAGTACCATAGGCTTGTGATAACAAATAGAGTAGGGAATGTTTCAGATTGCGTGACTGGGAAGTTGGTCTTGGCCTTGAGTTGTCCTGATAACCCGATATTCGCAAGTCCGAAAGCCAAACGTTCACAGATCCCTTAGTTCTTTTCCAATCGAATCAGACTGGTATATCTGGTGACTTTGCGAGAAAGACTCTATTCTATTCAATTCCATTCCTTGTGCCGACACATCAAGTCTTATCAACTTCGACTGCCGTCACACCAAGGTTGCTTACGTCTGTTTTGTATGAGCTCGACATCCAACTGATGCGGCACCGCACTCGACTTGTTCGCGAGATCCTCGAGGACATATTTGCGGACGTGGATCAATTCCTGGTGCTATTAATATTGACATATGCCAAGATACCGTTGGGTCAAAAATCCCCTCCAGCGCTTGCCAGGACATGCAAAACCTTCCACGAGCTGGCCTAGATGAGCATGGGATTCAAACCGCTGCTAGGCTGTGTAAAGAGGCTACATCCCAATACATCCAATGGTATATCATAGCGGTAGAAGGGTGAGCTCGGAGTTGCACTTTGCTCATGTCTTGGCTCACCGATTCAAACAATACACGTAACACCCGACCAGAGGCTCGTCAATTTTGGCGTCGTGCCGCCCGTGTTCGCTCATTGCTTGTACCATTTGGCGTCCCTTTTCACCTTCTGTAAGTCTTCCCCATCGAGACGTGCGTCTTCCTGTCAGTCTCCACATTTCACTCGATTGTAGTTGGGGCAAATATTGATGCCATCTCCCGATCTCTAAGGGTATACTTCTCGTGTAATTGTGTAGGTCCGAGGCAGATGAAGTTCCATAACACTGGCTTCATGGAGGGCCTACGTTTCCCGACATGTCGGAGACCTCTCTATCCGTCGCCAGGATCATATGCCACGAAAGCGCTAGGTCTCAGATCCCACCTTTGTCTTCTGCACGTATCAACTGTGATTGACATGTGGTCGGTATTCTCGACACTGCTACGAGGTGCGCCTCCATCACTACGTCCTAGAGGTTGTGTTAAAGTTAATGTTTGTATGTTTACAATTAACAATTAACATAACATGTTCTGGATTGTTTATCTGCCGACCCTGCGGTCCTGCCTATACTCTCTCCCTCAAGCGAGTCCGCTAGGTGCAACCATTCTGATAGAACTGCCGAGTACTTCCGTCTACGACATAAAAGCCTACTGCTAGTATCAGAACTACTATTCGAGATCCCCCTTTGACGCATCCCATATTACCTAGCACAAGCCATGCGTTTCTCATTCCTTTTCGCTGTTGTTGCTGAGCTGATAAAAGACACTCATGCTACTCGACTTGCGTACGTTAATTTTCATGAATGGACAAGAAAACCGGTGTATCCAGCCAATCGAAGTGCGTGTACATGTTCTTGAATATCATCCAGGAGGCTAATAGTGCCGAGGACACTCGACCGTTGCCATTCTGTCGGACCTCTTCGAGAGCCACTTGATGAGTGCGAATAAATAGAGAGGAACGTCTCAAACATGGTATTGATTTGTATACATGACATGTGTAGCTCCCTCGGCACTGATTTATTATCATTTTGCTTTCATTGGCATCTTCCGTGCGTTGTTCTCTTTTAGTTTTGTAGCCCTCGGCGCTGTTTGTTTCGTGATGGTAAGCGCTGATGGCAACTTGAAATAGCGCCGGTGAGACTCGAGTTACTTGGGCAAAGAGGCAACGAAGAGACTGGTTACAGATGGGCCTGTCAGGTATGGTGTCAACACGAAATCTGGATGAATACCCAATGCAACTACTTATAGTACATGCCACTGCACCATCTGGCGGGGCTACCTTTGCGGCACGATAAGTATCACACTACGCTACATTTCTTACTCGGTCACGAGCAGCTCATGTGTGCAAGAATGGTGCACATCGTGTTACATGTTGTAGTACAACATATTGTATAATTATAATTCCTAGAAAACAGTACGAAACATCAGCGAGAATGCGGTCGTATTTTAGCAGGAAAGCGGGTGGATAATGGCGGGAAAGTAGTTGAATGATACAGCAAACAATGCCCGCCGCCGCGTAGGTTAAATACATTATACCATCGACAACCTGCTGATCGTGTTTCAGACCTAGATATTTATCGAACAGTGGACGAATGTTCAAATCAGTAAGCATGACAGACACTCGCTGATTTTGTAGCCTCTGATTCGTAGGACTACCAAAAAGATAAGCACAGGGCCATACAAAGAGAGAAGAGACTTGCGTCTTGTTATTATGTACTAGTGCATCCCAGTAGATACTCGAATCTAGAACCCGTGAGTCTTTCTTGACCAACGCGATCGACTATTACTGTTCAAAGTGGTTGAAATCACGCACCTATAGATACACGAGTGTATCAGCCATGTATATTGACGAAGAAAAACTTACAGCAGGAAGGGCAGAGAAAGTATTGTCTTTGAGAAAACTTCATCGAAGGGATTGAGTGGGCCACTGGCAAGTATAGTGGTAGCATGACATGGTGGTAAGGGAACAAGAGGCATGTACGATCATAAAGCCGGACTTCATAAATCCAAGGCTTTATGAGTGCATCTGCACCAGATACAGTCAGTGAAGCATTGAAGCATTGCTGGAACGCAGCAGAAATCGTGTAATTGGATGTCGGTGTGAAGGAAGTGCTTGTCTTTCATCTGCACAGCGTGTACGTTCATGACTTTCACTGGAAACCGGTCAGATGGTGAGCGCGACTTGGACGCTGGTGGTGGTGGTGGTAGTGGCGGCGACAGGCAAGGCGTGGGTGCGCTGACTGACGCTGGTGGTGGTGGCGAGGTACAACGTAGTAGCCCGTCATTGTCCTTGCCGACGCCAAGGTTGTCAAATTTCAATGTTTATGTCTATTTTGTACGACACACTTCAACTAGTACATCCAACTGATCAATGCATACCGCTCTACTTCTTCCCAAGATTCTCGAGGACATATTTGTGCATGTAAATCAAATCCGGCCATTATTACTGTCATATGGCGAGATACCATTGGGCCGGAAATCCCTTGCAGCGCTTGCCAGGACATGCACGACCTTCCACGAGCCCGCAATGAATGAACTTTGGGCTGACTTAGATGAGCATGGGATTGAACCACTGCTAGGCTGTGTAACAAGGCTACATCCAATGGTATATCGTAGCGGTGGAAGGGTGAGCGCGGACGAGTTGCGCTCTGTTCATGTCTTGGCTTATCGATTCAAATACTTAGTACACCTGGCCAGAAGGCGTCGATCCCTTATCTGAGCATGAGGCTCATCAATTTTTGCGTCACGCCGCCCGTGTTCGTTCGTTGCATATATCATTCGACGTCCATTTCCACCTTCTGTCGATCTTCCCCATCGAGACATGCATCTTCCCTAGACTGCAGTCGTTAATTTGGGGGCTTCCCACTGATACAAACTTGGGCCTCTTCCTGTCCCCGATGCTGCACCGTTGTCGTCTATCGGCGATCGATGGAGGTTTCAAATGTATCGCGACCCGTTGTAATGCTTTGGAGGACTTGTCCATCAGAATCTTTGAACCCTGCACAGTAGATGAGCTGTCCCTGCTGTCTGACAGTGTCCGTTTGCACAAGCGGCTTGTCACTCTGTCTTGTCCAGCGCTCGACTGGACAGCATGGGAACATCTCTCCAACATCCCTACCCTTATCACAGTCGTGATTAATATGGGGAACAGAGTCCCTTGCCCACCGGATCTCGACAGTCTCAATTTCGCACCTTTCCTTAACCTCACAGCTCTTTCTTTATATGTAGACACGCCTGCATATATCACGACACTCGTGCAACACTCAGAATTTCCCTCGCTGAAAAAGTTCGAGATTATTGTCAACGCATTACCTTCGAACGAAGCTGAGCGGCTCTTTCGTGCACTGTCCCAGTGCAAAGCATGCCAGACACTTGAACACATTACCATGGGCACCTATGGTCCAGGAGTTCAGGAGCCCTCGGACAACCCCTTAACAGTAATCGCGCATTTCTTTTGTTTCACGCAACTCCGAACCCTGTGGCTCATGCTTCATCGCCCCATCTTTCTTGATAATAACCTTCTTTTGGAAGCCATGTCAAGTTGGCCACACATTCGCACTCTGAGCTTAGAAGAACCGCATTGTCGCCCAGCTACTATCACATTCCGTGGATTATTCACAGCGCTCCGTCGATGTCCCCACTTACAGACGCTGGACGTATTAATCGACACCGCACGTATCGATATCGATGATACAGCCGAGTCATTCCAACACACGACCTTACGATCATTGGGCTTGATCCCTTCCTCTCACGTAGTGGATGCTGAAGCTGTCTCTCGCATCATTTTTTCTACGCTCCCTTGTGTCGACAGACTTAGCAAGTGCACGGAGGGGTGGCAGATTGAAGTCAATAAGTATCTCGTATCTTTCAAAGCTTCTGCGTTACTTGGACGCCATGTCACAGGAGCCGCCTGGAATACCTGAGTTTGAGTTATATTCATATTCGGGAAACACCTTGGAGTTGCTACATTCCTTCGTGTTCGTTCGTGCTTGTCGTTGTAGTTGTAGTTGCAATTGCTTTCTCCCATCTGACAATTTGATTTCTGTATCACATGAATTTCTATCACAAATTTCTATAGATACTCTACATCTATCTCCGTCCACCTGAAAGGACCTCCCGAGTCCCTCAATCCGTTTGTTGAGGCACAAATGCCACTAATGTTCCTTCTTACGGCGTCTCCTATTACGAAATCCACAAAGCTATTCCCGGACGGCTGCACAGTCGAGAAAATCTCTCACACGAAGGGAGGGGAGGTGTACCCCGGGGATAGCCACTTCGACAAGTTGAGCGGACATGGGCTTTGGTGGTAAGCAAGATCATGTTCGTGCAGCCTGGCAAATGCGGAATTGACGAGAATTGAAGGAGATCAGAGCGTACGATGCCTGAGCTTGGTCTGCTAGATCTCGTGGCGAGCTTCGAACTAATGTCTGTACCACCCCACCAAGGATGAAGGACTAACAGGCCCCATGAACCGCGGTTAAGGTTCAGCAACTTTCAAACCAGAGAGAACCATTGGCGAACCAGGATCGACAGGAATGATGACTCTCAAGTGGCGAGCCAGGATCGGCAGCACGTAGTATGAGAACGCCCAGTGCGACTCGACCACACTTTGCCTGGATCCTTGCTACATGACAACACACCATCGTGAAACGTACACTGCTGCGTGGATGATGTATCAAAATACGCAAATGCTGAATTGGGGCACTGAAACGTCTATGCGTCAAATGCTAGAACTGGAAGATGTCAAGTACGCAACTTACCATAAGACATATCAGCAAACGCCTCGTCAATACAAAAAATATCAGCAAGTGCCTCGGAAATGGTACGCAAGACAGTCTCTTCGTCGAGCTGCAAAATGGTGCTAGCGTATGGTAGACTGTTGAAGACCTCTGAACATATTAGCGAGTAATTATAAATGAGATTATTGATGAGGTATATTCAAATGCGGGTCGAGTCGTGACACCATTCCATGACCCAACGGTGCTGTATGGATGCGCGAGACAGAATAAAACGCGGTGACGAATCGAGGGTCTGATCTTGTTACGAGTCGGGCTGTTGTTGACCAGGCAAGAACTTGGCTAGGATATAACCAGCATTTGGCGGGCACTGCCAGTTACGCGACTCAACAAAGACAAGTCAGGCTGTCAGCAATGTGTTGATGGTCGTAACTTGTAAGACGTGTCATTCTGGCCCATCATGATGGCTGCCAAATTGTAAAGGCTGTTTGTGTCCATTTGTCACGGTGCGAGTCTGTGCGAGTCTGCCGTCAGTACACTACTCCCTCGACATAGAACTGATGCCATCATGCGCTACTTGTATCAGAAATCCTCCTGGAGGTATTCGCGCATGTGAATAAAATCCTGGATTTATTTTCTGCCGACAAGAAATCGTCGTCTCGACAATCACTTGCAGCACTTGCCAGGACATGTAAAAAGTTCCATCAGCCTGCAATGGATTCGCTTGGTCTGACATGGATGGTATACAACCACTACTGGGCTGTGTCGAAAGGCTACATTCAATGATATATCGTCACAACTAAAAGGTAAGTGCATATTCCGGACTAGTAGTCGCGCATTGTCCATTCTTTTCGTTCATTGGCCCACCGAGCATCTAAACGCAGCACTCCTGGTCCTCTCGAGGCGTTGAACCATTATCTGAGCATGAGGCCTATCAATTTTTGCGTCACACCACCCGTGTTCACTCATCGCATGTATCATTTGAAAAGCCACTTTCATCTTCTCTCAGTCCTCCCCATCGAGACATGCATGCTTCCCGAGATTGCTGTCGTTATCAATGATTTCAGATCCGACTAAATACCTGCATCATTTCCTGTCCCCCACACGCGTCGTTGTCGTGACCTACCGGTCATACATCCCGATTTGAAATGTGTTGCAACACACTGTACTGCTTTGGTGGACTTATACATCAGGACCTCTCATGAGAGCAGGGCAGATAAGCTGTCCCTGCTGTCTGACAGTGTCCGTTTGTGCAAGCAGCTTGTAACTCTTTCTTGTCCGCCACTCGACTGGGCAGCATGGGAGCACCTCTCCAACCTTTCTACCCTTCGCACAGTTATAATTTATAGGAGGACCAGAGCGCCTCTCCCGTTGGTCCTCAGTAATCTCACTTTCGCACCTTTCCTCCACCTTACGGCTCTCTCTTTCCATGTAGACACCTCTGCGCACATCATGACATTCATGCAACACTCCAAATTCCCCACGTTAAAACAGTTCCAGATGGGTGTCGACGTTTTGTCTTGGGAAGAGGCTGAACACCTCTTCATGTGCTGCCACAGTGCACCGCGTGCGAGACCCTGGAACAAATCGTCATTTACTCCCTTGATTATGGAGTTCAGGAGCTCTCGGACCCCTCTTTCACAGCAATCACACAATTCCTTTGCTTCACGCAGCTCCGAACCCTCCGACTCATGTCTCGTCGCCCTATCTTCCTTGACAATGACCTTCTGTTGGAACCCATGTCAAGTTGGCCGCACATTCGCTCGCTGGAATTAAGGGTGGCACAGATGGCACCTACCGTTACATTCCGCGGGCTATTCGCAGCACTCCGTCAATGTCCCCACCTGCGTACGTTGCAGCTATCAATAGACGTCGAGAATATTGATATCGATCACAAAGCCCGAGTCATTTCAACATACCAGCCTACGAATATCGGGCTTGATCTCTTCCTCTCACATAACGGATGCTGAAGCTATCGCTCGCATCATTTTCTCCATGTTCCCTTGCGTCGACAAGGTCAGCGCGCTAATGCAGCGGTGGCGTGAAGTTAACACGCATCTCACATCTTTCAAAGCTTCTGCGCTGCTTGGCCCTACATCATAGGAGCCACCTCGAATACCTGAGTTTGGGATGTTTTGGGAATTATTAGAGTTACTACATTTCTTCGTGTTCGTTCGTGCCTGTTGTCGTCGTCCGAGCCATGGCTGGCGTTATCCATGGTTGCAATCGTATTCTCCCGTCTGACTGTTGAAATGCTTCATAACCATCGGTATCTTTTACACATTTCTGTAGACTATCTATGTCCATCTCCACCCACTTGAAAGAACTTCTCCGAGTCGCTCGATCCATGTTGCAAATTTTCCGTCAGCACAAATGCAATCCACATTCCTTCTTGCTCAGCGTCTCCTACACAATCTCCACAAAGTTTTTTCCCGCACACCAAACACTGCTGCACATCTTCACGATCCAACTTTGTTCAGTGACAGGCACTGCAAACAGTCGCAAAGCCCCGTGATTGCATCCGATACCTGCGCTCCTTGGACGTGGGGAGTATGAACGAGGTAATTGTACACAGAGCTAATGTGATGCGATAAAAAATACATGTCGTCAACGCGGAAGGGAGAGGAGGATTGCCCTAGGTATGGCCGTTCCGACTTGGCGTGTCAGGCGGGACAGTGTTCGTACCGCAACCGTACGGCACTGTAATTGTGGGGTCGACGGAAAATGATGAAATGAGAGTATTTTCAATCTTGAGCTTTGTCTGCTAGATCTTGTGGCGAACCGGGACTACCTCCATGAGGAGAACGAATGAGATTCATGCGCCATAGTGAGTGAGGGCTCAGCAGATGCGGAACCGTAGAGTGAACCATTGTTATACTAGTGACGACGAGAATTATAATCTCGGGTGGTGGACCGTCTAGTCTGCCCTAGTCAGACCAATCGAAGGAAAACAGTCGTTCTATGGACCGTCGTGGTTGTCGCGTCGACTCCAAAAGTCACGTGTAAAGCACGTGCATCATCCCTACGCGTGTTGCGTCTGCCTCGTATTCATTATCGCCTACCTGCAAGAACAAGATTTTAGAGGACCTATCTGGACATGGACGAAGATTTGGAAAGGTCAGTCATGTCTATCGCAACTTACATGGTTTCTTCTTACCAGACGAGTCAGAGTGCTTGCTTTGAGTCTCCAAGAATCACGGGCCAACGCATCATCATCGAGGGCCATTTCGATCAGTGATTCTGAAGACGATGACGACCATGACTTTCAGTCTGAGCTGCAACAAGCAATAGAAGCGTCCAAGGCTGAAACTTTGCGGTCCACGACGCAATCTGTCCATGATTCTGAGCCTCCATCTCAGAGCTCTCGGAGCACTCCAGCAGCAAGCTTTTTGTCCGAACGAGCACAGATGGAGAGAGAACGCCTTGAACGGCTGAAGAGGGTGCGTGGGCAGGATGCAGATGATGGAGGTCCCAGCTCAAAGAGGCAACACGTTTCCTCCTCTGAAATACGCGCTAATGGTAGAGCAAACAATGTTGCTTCTGCTTCTTCATCTAGTGTCTCTTCGGGCTCTTTGACAAGTTCGCGAGCAGCCGGCGCTACTAAACCCCCTATACCAACTTCTGAGCAAATGTTCTGGGATGGCGAACTACGCCCAACAGCCAACAAGCATTCCTGAACCCCGTCAAGATGGAAAGCCCACTTTCCGCCTCACAGAGGTACTGGGTTTGGTACGCGCTGTTTCTCCTGTGTGCTTATTCCAGAGGCGTGATACTGTAACTTCAGAAATCTGATATATCCTTTGCCATCATAGCGTCGTACTCGACGTCTGTCTCTTGGATATATGAATTCTTTGCGCCCTCTACTCCAGTGATTATTGTGGCACAGCCTGACCAGTCAGGTCAACCAACCATCAGGAATGTTCTTCCAAACTGGGTCATGACCGCCCCTTTTCTTCGTAACGGACGAGGTTGCCAACATATGAAAGTAGGTTTGGTGGTCCAGCATTCCACAACGCTCCATTGACTTCACCACCACCCTAGTTCATGCTTGTGAGTTCATGCAGATCACTTACACAACACTGACTGAAATTTTGTCTGGAGATATTCTACAAGACTGGACGATTACGCGTTGTAATATCCACCGCCAACCTAATCGATTATGATTGGCGCGATATTGAGAATGTGAGTTCTGCACTCAATCCAAGGGAGTCCTTGAACGGTTTTACAGGCCGTTTGGCTGCAAGATTTGCCTTTGCGATCTGCTCCGATACCCCACGATCCCAGAGTTGTCGATGACTTTCCGTCAGTCATGCAAAACGTGTTGCGTGCTGTCAACGTTCGCTCGGCGCTTGCGAACATGCTGACAAACGACGTTAGTCACGAAAGGAATCTCTCTTGCTGCACTACTAACCATGTCCCCCAGCACCCAAATCTACCTCTTCAAACTGTCAGCGACTTGCGAACGAAATGGGATTGGTCAAAAGTAAAAGTCAAACTCGTTCCTTCTATTGCGGGTAAACATGAAGGATGGCCTAATCTCATCTTGACTGGTCATACCCGGTTGATGAAGGTGATCCGTGACATGGGGCTTCGCACCGGCAAGGGAAAGGCTGCCAAGGACCTCGTTATCGAGTGTCAGGTATGTGAACATTTTCAGTTCTTCCGCGGGAAGGCTTATGTTGTGTAGGGCTCGAGTATTGGAACTTACTCAACTCAGTGGATCAACGAGTTCCACTGGTCAGCACGTGGAGAATCAGCCGAAGACTGGCTGGACGAGCCAAAAGCTAGACGTGCCAAGTTACCATGGCCCCCAGTGAAAGTTATCTTCCCCAGCTTGAAGACCGTGCATGATAGTGTTCTTGGTGAACCGGTCAGTCGTCTGTCTTTGGCGATCCCTCTTGAAAATCTCAAAATGATTAACAGGGAGGTGGCACCATGTTTTGCCGCACTAACCAGTGGGAAGGATCAAAATTTCCTCGAGAGCTATTCCATGACTCGAATAGTGCTGGTGGACGAGTACTGATGCACACCAAGGTATGCCAGTACAAGTGCATTTACGGATCTCTGACCCCTTGACTCTTCAGATGATTATAGCGACCTACCGCCAGAAGAAATCTATATTTGAGATGGGCAGTCAATCGAAGGGGAAAGGAAAGGAGGTCTCTGACAGTGAAACCGAGCCTGAATCCGACATCGAGATTCAAAACGAGCCAATCGGCTGGGCTTATGTTGGCTCGCATAATTTCACGCCTTCAGCATGGGGAACGCTGTCTGGCTCGGGGTTCAACCCAATACTCAACGTAAGTCGGTTCCAAGCCCCTTTCACGATGCTGTGCTGATGGCGTTCATCAGGTGGTCAACTATGAGTTGGGAATTATCTTCCCTCTTTACAACGCGAAGGATGTGGAGAGGGTGTCGTGCTTCAAGCGTCCAGCGAGGAAGTATGTGAGCGGACAGGATAGACCTTGGGTGAGTTTAATATCCGTGTGTTATTGGCGCGTAAACTTATGAGATGTTTGTCTTAAAGATACAGGAGGAGTCGCAGTTACTGCGGCAGATCCAGCAGTCGTGATGCTACATACTTCGCTAACATGATCATTACCTAGAAGCTCTTCGATGGTTGTCGCATACGATTCAATTCTCAGTCAGATCCAGTCTTTCCCGTAATACACAAGTTGCGAAAGTGAACAACGGTTTGGGCAACGACAAATCCAACTTGTTAGAAACTATACAAACGATTCATGTATGCTCTATGCCGATAGCGCTTAAGTTGCCGGTTCTCGGGGAGAGTGAGCGTTCAACAAAGACGGCAATATATTGATTTTTTTTAAATCTCTTGAGATGATAAACTTGAGAATTTGGGTCTCACTTAGGCTTTAGGAAGGTGAGTGACTTAACAGTCATATCTGTGCAACCTGACACTGAGCTAGGCTCGTGACCAGCCTGTGTAGCACTGAGCTTGAAAGGTGTGTATTAAAATAACAGACAGCAATACGATAGCATCTGCCAGTCAAATCGGCTTCGGACGTCAATAGATAGCTAGCATGTGAGTACATCTACATCCACAGATATATCCTTCGCAGATGTCAAGATAAAACAAACCATCAAAACAACACAGCACAACATAACTCATACATTCGTTCTCTCTACGTCCTCTTTCACCTCCCTCCTCGCCTTCTCATCACCATCGGTGCTCGACACCTCGCTCTCGCTCTCAAATTGGTAAAGTTGCTCAGGGGTGGGGTTCTGGAATAACACAAACTTCTTGAAGCCGTAGGGTATCTGCCGCAGGCCATATGCAGCGTGCGTGCTGAGTGGGACAGCGAAGATTTGATCGAGCTCCTCCAGAGTCCTACCCTTCGTCTCGCGCACGAAGAGTAAAATGAGCACCCAGAGAATACAGCACCATGCTGCGTACCATCCGAAGGCACCTTGTGGCTTGAAAGCCAAAACCAGCGAAGGCCAAGTGATCGATAGAACGAAGTTCCAGAACCAGGTGGTCGCGGTGGCGAAGGACATGCCGATGTCACGGATGTATAGAGGGAATGCCTCTGCAGAGTAAGTGAACGGCACTGGGCCTTCGCCTGGAGAGTAGAAGATTGCGAAGAGGTCTGAGGGAGTAGATATCAGCGACGATATCTAGTACCAACAGGATGACATACATATTCCAATACTAACGCCAGTCACACGACCTGTTTCCGTAGTGCTCCAGAAGGAGAAGCCCGTGATCAGAAGACAGATAGCCATGCAGGGGAATGTGAACAAAAGCAAGTTCCTCCGCCCGTAAGTGTCGATCTATGGTTTCAACTTTCAATACTTATGAAAACCGACTATCGAAAAGTCGACTCACGGTGAAAACAGCAGGCAGCGCGAACAACCAGTTAAGTGCACCGAATCCGAGGGAGGAAGCCAGTGCCGCAACCTGTGTGAAGCCAGAAGACACGAAAATGTTGGATGAGTAGTAAGCTGCAATCGCGTCAATAGCTATTTCAAAACACGAATAGGAATATCATACCAATGACGTTGACACCGCAAAACTGCTGACCAAACATGACAACCCAACTAGCAAGAGCAGCATGCCTGTTGCGCGGAATCGTGAACATCTCAACGACACGGTTGCGGCCCTTCCTCATCTCGTTCTCAGCCTCGAGCAAAACGTGAATGTAGTACAAATCGCGGGCAGCCTGAACGCGCGAGAAACGAAGCCGACAAAGCTCATTGAAAGCATCCTCGTAACGACCCTTGGAGATCAACCAACGAGGAGACTCGGGTGCAAATAGGACTTGCATACAGACGAGAAGACCGGGGATGCCGGCAGAACCTAACATGAGACGCCAGTTCAAACCAGTCACACCTCCGCTGTCCGGAATGAAGTAGAATGCCAAGTCGATAAGGTCTCCTAAAGCAATGCCGAAAGCGGTCCACATCTGCCACATCATGACGAGAGCACCACGTATGGGAGCAGGGGAACACTCTGCGGCATAAACTGGGACAGTGGCAGATTTAGGACCGATACCGAAACCAAGGAAGAACCGTGCGATGAAAAGGTGCCACCAGGAATTTGTGAGTCCAGACCAGATACATGTCAGGAAGGAGATCAAGCAAGTGACGAAAATGGTCTTTTTGCGCCCAAGATAGTGGTTGAGCGGGTGCGTCATCCAACAAGAAATGGTGGCACAGCATCTGTGAAGTGATAAGGGGCGATACTTTGCAATGAGAACGAAGCACACACAGGTAGGGTGCAGAATTGACGAGTCCAATCAACCATGAATCACGACCTGCACCACAGTTGTGAACGATGATCATTGGTGCAATAAAAAGACTTTGGCGCACGGCTATTAGTATCACCTATGCCAAACTGCTTGGGATAAAGAATTTGGGCCCCATTGATCACAGCCTCATCCATCCCCTGAACTGCAGCTGCAAGTGAGGACATCACGACCATCTAGTTTAACGGGTGAGCTATGGCTGACTCGGAATGAGGGACACCGACGTAATACAACATGGGCGTTTGCTTCCATTTGTTCGTAACTTCTTCCGTCAGAATACGTTGATCTTCATCTGTAAACATGTCTAGACGAGTGTGACCTGCATACCAAGAAGTTTAAATCAGGCAGTGAAAATATCTCGCTTCATCATACAAGTGGGATCCTGTGCAACAAGCGCCCCTTTCTTGAGCTCAGGCAGCAAATGAGTCAACCCTCTCTCCTGGGCAAAAATTTCGACCTCCGCCATAAGACGATCATAAGGTATACCATGTAGGGGGTTGGATAACTTGGCATCGGCGTTACTGACAAAAAGCGTCAGTCTGGGCGGTGGACACAGGGGCGATCTTATACGCACGCTATAGCCCTGGTTTCCGCATCCATATTTGGTGCGTGGTGGTGAGCCGAGTGCTCCGTTACGGGGTCGGATTTTTCGTTCAAGGGCGACGACATGGATATGTCAATAGGCGCGCTGGAAGGAAAGAGGGCGGAAGGCAGCCTTGCTCCTATCGGCTAATTCGAAGTTGGAATTATATAGCACGGCGCTCGGTAGCCCAAAAGAGCATAATAACTAAAAAAATAACATGCGCTATGCCGTCATCGATTCATCTCTAACATCCGAGGTTGCCACGAGCAAATCAAAAGGCCACCCCAATTTCTGCATGTATTTTTATCCAGCCATGTGACTGAATACGCTATGACCTTGCGCCTATCGTCGAGAGGACCCCAACGACTGCGTAAACCTTTCACACTAATCCGCGATGCCGCCGACTCAGTTGTGAGCTTTACTGTAACGGAGGACAAACCATTTGAGCGCGATCAGAGCGTTGCCAACTTGCCAACGTTAAAGAAGACACGTTTTATGAAATGCTAACAATTCGTCTTACGCATCACGGGTCCAGGTCGGAGCCTATAATATTCTGATGCGAGCTCGGTCTGACGGACGTATTGGAAAAATTGGAAATCTGTGGAAATGAGTATCAATATGCACTGGCCGAAGTGGTAGATTATATCAGAGGTAAGTACCACCACTGCGCAGCAACAGACTGACACGTGTGGGGCCCCGAGCGTGATCGTTGCTTGACATAAAATGGCTAGTTCGCGGAGTTGCTTTCGCAGCCATATTTGGACTCATCATTCTGCTAATGACTCAGGACTCTTCCTGTGAAGGCTGAAAATCACAGCCTGACTTCCATGGAGTATTAACAAAATTTCTGAATGTGTGGTATTGCTGTGGTATGTCAGGTTCACTTCCAACTATCCCCACATTAATCAGCAAGTCTTCTCGAGAGGTTGATGCCGGCGCATCTAATGCTTACCCCAAAATGTCCCGCTTCTTCTAGCCACAGCATCCGAACCATATCATGATATCCTGTTCATTGTTCTGACCGTGGTATCTGGGGTACGTTTCACACAGCTGTACATCCTGCTCCAAAATGAAACTACGGGTACATAACAATGTTCCATTGGTACAGCCGGTGGTCCGCATACAAGATGGCTCGGATCCAAAAATCTTACACAATGTTGTTCGAATCAGAAACAGCACGCCAACCCCATCGATATCTTCTCACAGGCGGTTCGGTTGAATGGGCATATACACCGCAGCAGTTAGTACTTTCACTGCCTCCTCCGAGTGGGGCGGGTATCGACTCGCCAGGTGTGGCTCAGCCCTATCCAGGTTGAGATCAGGCTTTAAAACGGCAAAAAGTTAACTGAAAGAAGAACTCACTCCTTCGGCATGTCAATAGAGCTACGAAGCTGCGTAAACGTATCGTACGTATGTTTCATAACCTGGTATCCATCTGTCACGGCATTCAACGTCAGTGGCATTCTCCGCGCTCCCAGGTGGAGTGGAAACTCACAACCTGACTCGCCTACCCCCGCAAATGGTAGTTCGTTTACTGGCCGATAAAAGTGGGTGAACGTCGGTCCAAGTATGACATCGATACCGCCAAGAAACATACCAGAGAGCTGTTGGAAGGTGTCATTAAAGACAATACCACCGCTTTGTGTTTCCGAGACAACTTTTAAAATTAGATTGTAACATTTCAGCATGGATCAACAGGATTGGCCAAGAAACGTACGCTGTTGCTTCACGCTGTCGTTGTCGCTAAAAGCGTACAGAACTAGCGGATGAGATCTTTGTGCGGAAAGTCAATCAAACGGCAAGTTGGATCATGGGGATGAGAAGCACTTACCGTGAATTAACGAAATCGATCGCCTGCTTCAAAGAATCCACAGGCACAATAGGCAATATCGGACCAAAGAGTTCTCTGTGAATGCCATGCTGTCAGGATCACATCTCCATCCACACAAGGCAATACTGACTCTTCTAGCAAGGAGTCGCCGTCCGCGACGTTCTTGACAATGCTAGGCTCAAGCCTCCTCCTCGCAGCGTCAGCGCGACCCTGGAGAACAATCTCACCCTTTGTGCGGGAAAGGAGCGATGTGAGGCGTTTATGGTGCGAATCTGATACGATACTTCCAAACAATGGGGAATCCAGCGCACCCTCGGGGAAGAAAGCTTTGTAATGCTTCTGGAAGGCTTTGACCAGCTCATCCTGCTTGTCTCGCTGTACGAGGACATAGTCAGGTGCCACGCAGATCTGCCAAATTCCCGTTCAGTCCGTTACGCCTTGCTGAATTAAGGGAGATGCCCGATCAACTTGCCTGTCCTGCATTGTTGCACTTGCCCCACAAGATTCTCTTTGCAGCAATATCGATATCATATGTGGAGTCAATGATAACAGGACTCTTTCCACCTAATTCGAGCGTCAGTGGCGTCAAGTGCTTGGCCGCAGCGCTGGCGATGATCCTGGCAACCTTGCCATTTCCTGTATAGAAAATGTGGTCCCACTGAAGTTCGAGAAGCTTTGAAATTTCAGGCACGGCACCGTTGACAACCTGGTACGCATTTGGGTCGAGGTACTTTGGCACAATTTCTGCCAATAGCTGCGAGAAGGTTGGGACAAGCTCGGAGGGCTTCAGTGCGGCAGTGCAGCCTGCTGCGATTGCGCCAATGAGAGGTTGGAAAGAGAGGATCATAGGGTAGTTCCATGGTCTGTTGAAGCGCGATGTGAGGAAGTGAAATTGAGATAGCACCTTTCGTCTCACGAGATTATCAACACAGTCCCCCTCGGGGCCTTGTAGAGCCTAGGCATGTATGGTCATCATCAGTCACATCGATGCATCGAATCCGATCATCCGATCGCTCACGTTGGCTTCCACGACTTCTGCCAATCAGGCACGTCAGGATATTCGGTCTTGGCCCACTCTGGGAGCTGCTCTGCACTCTTCACAGCTCTCTCAACGACAACGCCCACTTCAGCCATGAGGACCTTCTGTTTTCGGCTTTCCGAGATCCTTGTGTAGGGCATCGCAAATGAGCTCTCGTTCATTCTGCGCCATGCGTGCAAGCTGGTATAGCTGGTGCTGACGCCACGCTATAGGGGCGGGCCAATCCGCTGCGGAATGTCGCTCGAAGAGCATCTCTGATCTTCAGCGCTAATGGAATCGTGCAACAAGTGCTGAACAGATAGCACTCACCTTTGGGATTGTACTGATGGGAGTTGACAGCATGTCGATCGATCGATCGAGCGGTTAAGCGATCAAGCTAAGCTCTACCGAATAGTGAGAGATAGTGCGGCTTTGGTTTCATTCACACCAATTCACACACTGGCAAACACTGGCAAAGACAAGCAGCCGAGAATTGTGACTGTATGCATATGTGATATTAACACCCGGGCCCGTCGATGGGTTGGTGTTTGTCGATGCTTCGTGGCATACTATAGTTTCGCAACGGTTTGCGGTGAGTTTTCGCGACAGCCAAACGCGAACTTACATGTGTCAGTTCGGACCCGATAAGCAGAAGGGGGGCATCATGATATCATGATCATTGGTACAGTGAAATCGTACTCCAAGCTTCAAATTCCAGCTCGCACATAAGTAATACTAGTACAAACAACCCAAGTGTACATTAAGTACTACATACATACAAGATATAGTCCGCGCCCATTCTGTCGACCAATTCGAGATGAAAAATCACAGTTCCTCGTCAACAGTGACCCAGCTATCTCTCTTCGCAGATCTGTAACTCGACATGTCGGTCACGCCAAATTCCATTGAATAGGAGAAGACTCACGTAAGCGCGATGTTTGGAATGTCAGACTTCTTGGTTTCCAGAACTAACTTCACAGTCTTCACTTCGAAACCTCGGAATTCGAGCTTAATTGTGCTACCATTCGCCGTGCACATCAGGCCAAGTTCCCCTTTAGTGTCCTCCAGAATGTTCGTGACATACGCGCGCTTCACAGGCACATGTTGACCAACATGTAACTTGACAGAACCATGTCCACCGAACGCTTCGTACATGCGCAAGATGACAGTTGTGCTGGAAGCCTTCGGTTCGAAATCGTCTTCTCCTCTCTTGATAGTCTCCAAGAATATGTTCGGTGCACCTTCGAACCAGAATGGGAGAGACGGAGCGGCACGGCCCCCGTTCTGTCCAGGAATAGTTCTCACTGATGATAGCATCAGGCTCATGACTGCAGACATATCAGGGGATTATCCTGACCGTGTAAGGGCGAATTATAAATAAAGGCAGCCATCGGAACGTCGGATTCAAGGAAAGAGCCTATGTGAGGCATGACTGCCCACGAGAACTCGTGCCTGCCTAAAATAACATGTGAGGCTGGTTTAACATTCGTTGAAAAACTCGAGTCAAACCTTGGTCTTGCTCTGCGTCAGGAGCCGTGGCAGCTCTGAGCAGGGAGATACGAAGGACGTTGCCTTCGCATGCAAAACCATATTTGGATTCCGAGAGGAACGCAACACCATATCCATACTCGCTGAGATCCGCGAACTGATGGTTCATGGATGAGTCTTGACGGAAAACAAAATAATCAAAAGGAATACACGCACCTTATGCCCACAGACCTCAAACTTGGCAGCGTCCAACTGTTGTGTTCTTGTGCGTCGGCCGCTGAACGAAACCAAATTGGGACTCGTAAGTCGCATAAGTGTTGTTGATGTCCAGCGGTAATTCGACTGCAGTGATACATTAGAACAATGCCGCAAGAGGTGTTACTGTCACGTACATTTGAGGAACTTGTGTCTCTCATGCCAGTCAACTACGGCGTCGAAATTGAAGAAAGAGCGAGAACTTCCTTTCACCGTTGCTAGGCTTCCGCTGTAAGCACTTGCTTCTGCATTTCCGGAGTTTCTTACCAGTGATGGCATCAAGAGAGATCTGCACAGCCGGTACAATTGATCAGCATCGGAACGATGACCGTGAGGACCGCGATGGAAGGAATGAAGGCGTGGCAAGTACTAGATACGCACCGTGACATCGATTGTACTCTTCCCGTACTTAACCTGCGTCTGAACAGCGGCCCGAAGAGGCCCTTCAGCTATAACCCGAACTTGAGAGAATGAGAGTGGAGTAGACGTTTCGAGGTGGTGGAATTTCCACATCTGCAACATTCAAGATAAAGTCACGTCATCTCTGGCCCGAAATGAACAACATAATGAAAGAACGGACCCCAGGCATCCCAATAATTGGGACGATCTTCGAAAATGACCAATCCACCGGAACTTCCTTTGGGAATAAGTTCACGGCTTAGAGGTAGCATTGAGTGGGTTACGACGGTCAAGGAAGACACGACTAACCCAAGTTTCACGTCGATCAGACTGCTGATTCGTCCTTGCAAGATAGTGAGCTGGACGTTGGCGTTTCTGAGGACAAAGTGGTCCGTTCCATTGGTAAACACTATAAGGGATGTTCAGTATCAATATGTACTGGGGAACTTTATCAGACACACCAGATGCAGGCATGCAACCCGAAAACATCCCCACAGGTTGTGACGCGACATTGTTTCCAGCCGAGTGCATCAGGGCATATCCGTACTTGCCATCCGCAGATGCTTGCATAACTTGCGCTTTCAAGCGAGCAGCACCTCCGGACAGAGGAACCTTGATAACATCATGACGTTCGAATGACGTGGGATTAAACGCGATGAGCGTTTCGGATGCCGGGGTCGATAGAAGGGGCGAGGATCGTGGGAGAAGAACACTGAATGCATCCTCGAGAAGACCCGTGCACACTTCGCGAACTTCGGCGTACAACTTCTCTGCGTCCTCATAGACCATGCCGCTACAAAACATATTCAAACTTTAGCAGGACATGAAGAACTGCGACTCACATTGCAGATCCAGGCAAGACTGACACGGTCATTTTAGATACGATAGAGGTGCCAAAACTACAAAAACTTACCATCATGGACTGTCGAAAGGATGAGTACGAATGATAACTAGTACATTATGCATTATGGATATAAAGCACTTACACTGATTGAGCAACACTTTCTCCCAGCACTCATCAATGGCCTGCTTTGGATACACATACGAATGTCCCTCAGGCTTGAGGAGCGAAGTCAGGGTAGCCACGCGCTGTGATTGTTTAGGATAAGAGTGCAACCGCGGACCAGGCAAAACCGACCTCTACGTCTCTCAGAAGTATCTCGCCCTTCCTATTACCTTTCTTGATAGAACCTACCAAGCATATAATCAGCGTTGAGGGCGACAGGTAGCATTAACCGCTTACCATGAGAAGTATAGGTTCCCCTATGGAACTGTCTCTGGGCTTCAGGACTGTCTGCTGACGCTGCTGAACACACTCACTTCAAGGTACAATTCTCCTTTCCTACAAATCATGGTACGTCAGCAAAAAGTGACGACAACGGGAGGCTTGACATCACCAAACTGGTAGCGTCTTTCCCGCCTTCGAATCTTCCTCAATGTCCTCGAAGAACTCCTCGACAGAGCTTCCCATACTAACAGACGGAAGTTCTCTGTGTTCGTTAGTAGCCGCGCGAATGCGCCGCAGCTGTCAAGTATCATCAGGCTGGACTCGAAGGCCCGAAATCAATGCCCTTACGTTCTCTAGCATCTTAGGCAACGCTCCACCGCCTCCATCTCCGTTTCCAAAGACAAGAAGGGCAGTAGCGTTTGACTCAAGATTCTAGATGCCAGTGAGAAAGAAGACTCATGGCCAATTGTGTCGCCCACACCTTATGATTCGTGATCCCCTTGTTGACGTCTCCAACTGTCGCTTGTGCAGTGTAAGTATCTGCGCGGATGATTTAGTTAGCATTGGCAGGACTGCTAGCTGGACGTGATCTTACCAACGGGCGTCATATGGCAAAGCACTTGCGAGCCATCGATGCCAACCCAATTGAAGGTGGAATGCGGGAACACATTTCTTTCCTCATCATCAACAAACTAGAAAAACAACTCAAAATGACACCAACATGTTATTCCTGCCACCATATCGTAAGCTAACTGCAAACGAGGTGCATATATTCACGTACCAGCTCAACTTCTGCGTGAAGAAGTACTTCATGCCTGCATCCCTGATCAACTGCGGGTACGCTGCAGTGAGCCCGAACGAGTCCGGGAGCCACGCAGTCTCGCACCGCTTGCCAAACCGTGACTCGAAATAGCGTTGCCCGTATAGAAATTGCCGGACGAGGGCCTCGCCTGAAGGCATATTTCCATCGTTCTCAACCCACGAACCACCAATGAGATGGAATTGGTCAGAAGCCACTTTCTTTTTGATACGTTCGAAAAGCGGAGGATATTGCTACAAAGAATGCATACATAAGTAAGTGAACTGAGAGGAATGGTCAAACACACCTCTTCGAGCCATTTGAATTGCTGGGCTTGCGAACAGGCAAATCTATGTTCTGGATAGCGTTCCATCAAGTCAATCTGAGTGGACCAGGACCGCGCGGTCTTCTGCTGAGTGACTGAATACGGCCACAACCATGCTGTATCCTGTTTAAAGCACAGATATTAGAAAAATGCTCATGGCCTGCATCGGTAAATCACTAACGATGTGGCAGTAGGAAATTCCGACAACCTGGGCCTTTTTGGGACCTTCGTTGTATATCTTGTCGCCTTTCGCGTGCCAACCTTTTCCGAATACATCCTCAGCAATTCCGCGCAAACGTTTCACGTTCTCGGGATCTCCAGATTTAAATGCATTCATGATTTTATTAGCTGTGACAAGTGCCTTGTTTTGAAGGGCAGTGTTGCCAGGGACAGTGTCCACAATTTCGCGAAGAGTGTCGAAGTCCCACATTAGATGCCCTGAGTAAGTTTGAGCCGAGCGCACGGTAGAAATGTGAAGTAACATACAAGCATCTTGGTTTGGGACAACTAGGTCTGCAGACGCAAGCTGAAAGTACCTGTTCATCTATATGGAAATAAGCGTCTGCGTCGCGCTAAGGATATGACAAGTTTACATCTGGTGGAGCGATGGTGTCTCCATTCCATGGTACACCAAACATCCCGTTGCAGCTAGACTCGATGACCACAGCATAGTGGCCGTCACGAACCGCTTTAGGTGGAATGATATGTTCTACTCTGCGATCTCCGCCATAACCTCCCGTAATTCCTGAACAGCATCATTCATTTGGGATTACCAAAAAGATTACCCAAAATACCTTGGAGCGGAACGCCATCCGTGGAGAATATCATAGCTTCGCAGCCAGGGTCAAACTCGACTGGAGCAGGCATACTTCAGTATTATTTACTGGATGGAAACCCTTGCCTTACATTGTACGCGCTCATACTGTTGCCAGTAGGAAGGAATCTTGAGAGTAACTTTCCACCAGTGGTTTGTCTGCAAACAAATATACTTGTGAGAAACAGATACGATCCCATAGCATTGACATACCCCTGCGAAGAGAGGGTGAGTTGAAAATAAATGCTGAACATGAAACGTGACCTACAAGATGGTCCAAATGAATCGCCCTTCTTCGCTGGCTTGAATTCTTGTTTCATTGCCTCCCGAAACGAGGGCTTGGTAAGACCTGGTGCGCTCCAAACCTGGAGATCTACATTGTGCGAGCCATCGACGCGATGAGTGAAGAGGATAGACGTCAGGTTGACATCTTGGAAGTGACCGCCAAGGAAAGTGGACAGTCGGTTCTGGGTCAAACTCTTGATCCATTTTGCCCCAGATCCATAATTGAGTTCGGGGTAGTTCTTCTGGTTTTGGTTGTGTGAACACATCGTTGACTACAGCTGTCGCAGTACCTCAACAAGCTGCCCGGTAAGTAGTACGTCGTTGAACCGACGTGGGGCCTGGGGATGAATGAACGTGGGACAAGCGGCCCGTAGGTGGGTTGCGCTCTTCACATTGTCACACGATGTTTGACTCAAGTTTCCTCCTGGACAAGACTAGCGCTGACTGCCGTACTATAGGTATAGACTGACTTAAAGACTACGTTATCTCTAACACTCTGATGATGCAGATTTGTTGCATTCAAACTTCAATGCCTTTTTTTCTTCAAGAGACGTCATAAATCTGTGGACCATCCAGGTGAAGCCTTCGTTCTTCGATTGTTCTGAACGGGTGCTCCATTCCTATTCCTATCTTTATTACAAGGCGACACCACAGCTCACAGATGCCGGTATAATCAGCCTGGTATAAGCACTATAATATGTTTATGATATCATCAGTAGTAACAAAATGTCGTACACTGGAAAGCAAGCGGCAAATCCCGGGCCTGCACCGTAGGTAAATATCTTGAAATTACGTCCTCAAGATATTTAGTATCACCTGCAGCTTCAACGTCAACGACAGCACTCATCATTCAACTTTCAATCTGTTTCAGCATAATTGACCCCTTTCTCTGATCTCCGGCTTTCGATAGTGCCAGCGGACTGTATCCCTACTCATCTCAAGTCACACCTTCCGGGCGTCTCGACTTTCTCTACATGGGCAGTGGTGTCAACCGTCATTGTCTCCTGTCTTGTTTCCATCTTTATGGCACGCGAGCTCATGAAAGATCGACATTCATTTAAGCTACAGACACTCTTCAGATTTCACAATGCATTGCTCAGCGCTGGTAGTTTTATTCTTCTGTTGTTGATAGCGGAAGAGGTCGTTTCAGTATGGATAGAAGTTGGAACATACGATTCGGTGTACGCACCATCGTCCTGGAATGATGTGAGTAGTGGCCTATAAAAGTTGCGATTACACTCACACGACACACACGACGAGTGGTGCAGAGACTAGAGCTCTACTACATGGTGAATTACTATTTCAAGTACTATGAGTTCCCCGACACGTTATTTTTGGTCTTGAAGAAGAAATCTCAGTACGTGGTCGAACTTGAATATCCTTTGCGAACAATTGTAGACCATACCGCCAGCCTTTTTACACGTCTTTCATCATGCCTGAGCTGCATTACTGGCTTTCGTTCAATTGAATGACAAATTGAGCCCAGTAAGTGGAGTCATGTGTTTTCATTTTATCCACCCTCCCTGCCTTGCATTTTAGTCTCGGACCGCTGTCTCCATCAACCTTCTTGTCCACGTTGTGATGTGTAAGTAACATGACACTGTTCGAATGTCGTGGCTTCTGAAAATTTCCCGCAGACTGCTATTACTATGCGACTGCAGGAGGCGCCAAATTCTGGGTAATCGCACCACCACTCTGCCCAACATTCGCTCACCGTCACACAGTGGAAGAAATACCTCACAGCCATGCAAATCATCCAATTCATCATCGACCTCTTTGTATTTTATTTCGGCCGTGCGTGCCCTTATTTCTCATCTGTTCTCTGGCTCAATTTTCGCTCAGTGTACCAGCACTACGTCCACAAGTATTTCCCCGCACTTCCGCACCTTGGCGATTTAGATGGCGATAATCCCGAAATATTGGAGAAAAAAACCAGTGTAACTTCCGTGGCGGACGACCGAGTACGGCCCCATTGTCACAAGTCGGTGCTCTTTTCTGATGCTAAGGGTGAAGCCCCAAACTTTCCTAACGTCAACGAAAAATAAATCCTGAACAAGCCGCCAATTGTGACAGCAAGACTGCCGGCGAGGAAAAGGGGGCTGATTGGCTTTGATTGAAGAGCGCGCACAAGTTGCACAGCTCTCAGGCTAGCTCAGTGCTCTGGAATTTGTGAGGGATCTATATGCGTGACGGGGATATTTGCCACTTCGGCGCACATATCGATACTGCCCATATACTGGCCTGTTAAATTGTTCACGATCTAAACAAACGACGACTTGAGTATACTAGGAGTGTCGTACCTTCATAAAATACAAAACGTGAAGTTCTGAAAACCATTTGGTGAAGAATTCCAACGCGGTGGAGGGCACCACTTTCTCTTCAGACGACGGTGGCTGAGAAGTGGTCGAGCAATGTACGCCAATGGCCGAAGCTACAATCAAAATAGACTCATGATGAACCACTGACCTCTCTTTAGAGCCAACGAGTCGCGTTAAATACCTAAAGCCTCCGAGTCTAGCATAGCACAGTTTCACAGGCTTGACGTTCTGCGCTATAAATTTGAATCATCTGTTGTGGTAGGCGTACGCAGGAATGGAATACTAGTCTGTCAAACTTGCCTTGAGTGCCTTCTTGTCGGTCGAGACTATTGTTGACGATAAGCCATTAGGTACTTTTAATAGGTCGAAGCAGAACCAGGCATAGTATGGATGTCGAGGGTTCGGAACCAAGTACTTACCGGACCCCACGCACTTGGTTCTGGGATCCCGTGAGCGCCTCGGGGCCCTGCGATGTAGCCAAAGTAAGAGCACGTGTGCTTCAGATGCAACAATATAATCAGTGTAAGGCGATGAGGAAGAGCGAAGAAGCTACCGGCGAGGCGCTGTGCACAAAACAAACACAAACAACCTTGAGATACGACGGACGAACAGTTGAACTGGATCGGTGTGCTGAAATAATTTTGATATGTCGTTCATGGCGTCTGACGATGCATCCAACACCTATCTGACTTGCCCTATTTCTGTGACGGCGATTTGCAAGTCACTGGCAGGGAAATAGAGGGCATTATAGAGAAGGAATGACTGTCTTCCTTCTATATGGGGAGACTGCTGGCAGGGCCCGCTATCACTTTGCATCTGCAGTGGTCAAACTCCTGACAGGCCTGCATCAAATCTCACTACCATTGCAAGGCTGCCGTGCATATGGTAAGAATTCTTTGTTACATTCTGCGAAACAAGAGTTCCTCATCTACTTTTTTTCGTCTCCCAGAAATCTACTTCAGCAAACCACCCGGTATTAAGGCACCTCCAGGGGATGAGTATACGAGGTCGCGCTGGTTCAGTCCGACGGATGGACATGCCCAGGTGTGGCCGAGTATTGTTGCAGCTTCTCACTATCAGTTTCGAGTCTTTGGAAGATGGCAAGGTTGGGACGCTATCACGTCGGTTTCTCGATGTTTCCGTTCTCGCTCTTGCATCTCTCCCAGTACTAAGTAGTCTCGACGTGAAGTTGTGTCATCTTTATCACCCGTTGAAGATGGTAACAGCCTTTCAAACCTGGAACGCGGAAGACTTTGACCTCGCCTAACAATTACTTAAAAACGATGATGGACAAATGTGAGTGCTGTTCAACATCTTTCCTCATACGAGTCTTAAATTTTTGGGAGATTCGAGACACTACAGGTTTGCTACTCGACGCAGCGTCACCTGAAGATCCTGTTTGTAACGCCTTAGAGCATCAGTGCAGTCTGCGACTCCACAATGCACAATGACATCCTCTGACATCCTGGGCAAATTTCTGCCTGGTAAAACAACTGAACTATGGGATCATGCTGATCTCTGCCCTCGATTTGTCGCTGCTTGCCCTGAAAACAGGACGATAGGACCAAGGTTCCGTCTCACATCGGTTAGACCCGTTGAGCGACCACTGGACCACTCATCTGAGCTGGCCATCCTGGGTCACTCGCTGCATCATTGCAAACTCCCTCGAGCCTGTCACATGAACGAAATAATCTCTGCTGCCCTTCTCCACGGACCACGGCATCGTTGGACTGTTCAAAGAAGACACTATTTCTCCGTCTTGCCTGACTTGTAGCCAGCCCTTCCTCGTGTACACAAAATCTGGCTCGTGTACTTTGGTCCTGACCCAGTTCCGAATAATCCAAACTGAAGGCTCTTCGTCAGAACCTTCGCCTCAGCGCAACGTCCTGAATCTATCACAGCGACGCACTCATTCTCGCTCTTTTTTATTTGCCTCTCGCGCTGTCTACCATGAAACCTCACTGGCGTCCTACGCTCGCACACAATGGCGCAACGCCATCGCATCTATAAAATATCGCGGTATCATCATAAAAGAATTGAGACGGCGGTTCAGAGCTTCTGCCTATTGCTGACACTCTGTTTCTCCCCTTGTAGGTTCCGACCAACAACCGCACGGCCCCGTGGTGTGTATCACGTCTCCCTCATTTAATCATCACTCGAAGACTAGAAATCTCGACCAAGATTTCATGTACCAAACATAGTACTTACAGTATACTATGTCCAACCATGATCATTGCACATATATAACTTACACGGCGCAAATGTGCCAGAAATGAAAGGATGTTTGTCGAATGTAGAGTAACGCATGATTATATTTTGCGTGGTTCAATGCTGAGTTTATATAGAGGGTGTTTGGTAATATGGTATTGTGGATCGAGTAGCGTACAGAGAAGAGATGCGATGGAGTTCCCACTCACCATCACGATGATCAAGTGGATCAAGCGCCAGCACCCCCCTTACAAGGTCAACGCTTCGTGAATTCGCCCACAAATTTGCCGGCAGTCATACTACAATGTTACCATGCACGCCCATCCGTCACCCACCCAGCGCTGACCTACACTACGTACAAAAGAACGTCAGTCTCTTCCGGACCTTCCTACTCTCCGAGTCTCCCCTCGTTTACCATGCTCAAGTACATGCACAAACTCCAGCTCGTTATATCAATCCTTGGATTTCTCAAAGTACGCCGCACAAAAGTCCAGTGGTCACTCTGAGTGACAACCTCCTTACGAGTCGATATTCAACAGTCCCGATCTATACATACGATTGCGTGTGTCTCTTCTCCATCCATTCCTTCTCATCCTTTCCCAGTCATGACCCTCGTCACAAACATCCTCGACGCAGCCCTTCAAACCGGCCTTCAAGAACGTTTCCATTCCTATATCCTCTATCATCCTAGACATCCGCTTCGTCCAGTGCGGAGACTATCTCCTCAATGTCCAAGGCAGTTGTCAGGTCGTCGACTTTATCGCATACGGCGATTACAAGTCCGTTGGTTCACACCATGAGCGTGTCTCCTATCTATTTCACGTCCCTACTGACTCTCTCGCCAGCGTCATCGTCACCCTCTTTGCTGGCCTCCTCGACCTAGGGCTAATATTACACACCCTCGTTTTCCTTTATGCGTTCGTTGAAAATGCCTTTTTCATCAGCGCTATTATGCTGATACCCACTCCTTGCAGCTTCGCTCACTCTGCTCGGTCGTCCTGCCTGATTCACCCGCCAACGTTGGCACTGCCAATCCCGCCTCCAGAAAGTAGCGCATCATGTTTTCGTTTTTAGAAGCAGTATTACAGGCAGTGTGTATAGGTAATGTTGCGAGGGTATGAGTGGTGGGTGGTGGAGAAAGATTCAGTTCGCTGGTGGGTTATTTTCATATGCGCGAGCTGGTTCATCGAGAACGGCGATCGCATTCAATCGCTCAAGCTCATGAATCACGATTCACGTGAGTCTATTTGCATTGCGATGAGGATTTGCTACTATCTTACTGGTATATTGTATACCAAGTTTATCCTTATTACTTACTGACTCCCTGCCATTGTAGTACACACTATATATTATCCACCCGAAGTCCGCTTTTCTCTCCCGGAGGCTGTGATCAAGAGTAGCAATGTGAACCGAAGATGGAACCTGATACTCTGGATTCCGCACTAGATGCGAAATGGCAGATTATGGCGCCACCTAAAGCATTGGTGCAGGATAGCAAGGCATGGAGAACGACAAGCGTGACATGCTGTCCAGTGTGGGTGACATAAGAGACGAACATGATGTACTCGCATATGTCGTCGAGGCCCGAAAATAATTATGTCCACCTACATACGTCAGACAAGAGTAATCATGGACATGCGACGGAGAACAGAAACCACTTATGGTACCTAAAATCATACGGTGTGCTCGAACAGGGGAGTCAGTTTCCATAGATTTCTTCTCCATACCATTGTCCTCCTAAGCCTCCTCTTTCGACACCGGGGGTTCAACTTGAATCAACTTCTTCTCAATACCCTTGTCCTCCTTATGCTCCTCCAGCTTAACCTTCACGCGTTCGTTGTAGATTATCCCGTTCTGGTCGAAACCCCTGAGCGCGAAAGTCCCACCAGCGGTTGCCATAATGAGATGAAGAGTGTTTGATACGTCAAAGCTGGTCCTGTGCCGATCAGTGTGTTTCTCTCTCCAAAACTGCACAAGACTGTACACGGCGCAGAAGATAATGAGAATGGTGATAATGGTGATAGGAAGCATGGCGAGAAGATATGTCGGGGATCGGTTAGTCCAACCTATCGTTGATATGTACATAGTCCCATTGACCGGGGAAGAGAGGTTGTTTGGGATAATATTATCGGGGAAGCTACCCACGACCATAAACCCCGAGCGCAAGAACTGTGAAGTGATGTCAGGTCAATATGGATTGAAGGGACTCAAAAACCTCACTGTAGCAGAGAACTCAACAACGCCAAGCCAGTACTCCTCCTAAGAAAATCATAAGAGCTTAACAATAATCTTGCGGCATGAAACTCACAAGCTCTGTATATATCTGTTTTTGATTTCCGAGATTGTCGTCGATGGATGTGTTGGTTGTCGAGGAATAGATCGAGTACAAAGTATCTCCGATTGCGCTGCTCATAAGCCCCTGCGAGTTGGTCGCCTGAAACCTGACAACTCCAGCGACGAATGACAGCAGATTGCTATTCTCTGGCCGGAAAGGGGTAAACGAGGTGGCAACGGACGAAATTAGGTCATTGGAATAATCGACGAGGACTGTTGTCAAGAATGGGACCACTTCGCACACAGTTGCATTAAGGAATTGATACTTATAAAATCCTTGTGACAAAATCGCTATAGGAACAGAGTCTGCCAATAAGTACCAAGGTAGATTTCAATGGCTTACCGAAGCTTGTGTAAGTTTGATTCATATTCATAGGGCCTGGGCATACGACAGATGGAAGAAAGCCACTCCCTGACGGGTTCGCATTTCCGCTTTCATCCACCATGGTCACATATTCCTGCGTCGTCAGCGTATCTGGGAGCTGGCAAGTGAATTTGAGACAAGATATGCCCGATCAAAACTCACTGATACCACAGTCTGTAGTGATATTCCATAAGCGTAGGCCCGCAATGGAGTTACTCGAGTCAGAAGCAGCCGGATTTGAGTAGATTACGTTGGAGTTATTCGTCTCCCAAAGGTACTGCGTTTGACTCGCGTCGATGGACTGACAACTGACGGTAGCCGTTAACCCCTGCTGCCACATCGAGTAGTTCCTGCTGAAGCCTTGAGGAATAGAGAGGCTGGTGTGTTTTTCCGGTATGGTTTGTGTGTTGACCGTAACATTTCCACCAGAAAACGAGAGACGAGTACCGTTTGTGGCATTTGGAACTCCATCCGAGCCGGAATATTCCTCAATGGTGGGAACGATTCCCTCTAGATTCACAACACAATATGCAAAGCGGTCTCAAGTGACCTGAGGGACTAGACGTACGAGTGGATATGTGATATTTTGCGCCATTGAAATTGAATGTCCCAGGAAGACCATAGGTATGTCCTGCAGCAGCGACTCCACTCAGCATTCCGCCGATATCGAGAACCTCGAATGAATTGTCCCGCACTTGGGTGGCCTATGTTATGAATAACCGATGTAACAGAAAGTAGGGATACACACTGTTAGTGAGGCCCTGCTTTTGAAATTCTTCGTAGAGCAAGGCGGAAAACGCGCTTCCGGTTATGTCAAGTTCGGATCCATTCATCTGTATTGGCCATAGGAAGTAGGTAGGTGTCAAGAGAGTTGTCCACCTATGTCCGCATTCAGATTAGACATAGAACGATGCTCTTAGAGACGATTTACCCAGCTGTCAAGAGCCTTTGCACGCCAAAGACGAACAGCGTCAGGGTGGTCCATAGCATGAACTCAGGTCTCAAAATAACAGAGCCCTTGGCCAAAGCGACAAAAGCACTTAGACGAATGAGAGAGATGGGTAGCGACATCCGATGTCTTAGTGCCTCTCTGACTGAAATGGCGAAAAGACTGGATTTCTTTTTGGTGAATGGCAAGTTAGAGAGAGTAAAAGGGTATACCGACATAGTGTTAGTGACGGAAAGCACAGTTGCTATCAATGTGACAACCATTGTCAGATCTCCGGGGTGACGCCTCATTAAGTGGCTGACTTCATCGGATGGAGCAAAGCAACCATAATATAAAACAGCAGTGAGGAATCCGTACCCAAATCCCAGGATAATAACTTGGACAAAGATAATAGCTGTGATACGCAGAATGTTTGTGAGGCTGGCGGGTGTACAAGACATTGCAGAAATAGGGATGAGCGCAGCATCGATGCTGGTACTCGGATAGAAATATGATCTATTTGGCGGAGTACTAACCTATAATGTTTCGGGCGCCTTGCCTGCATCGTGATACGTTCGTGGTGGGTTTACTTCATTTCATAGCCTGGACCTTCATAAGACCATGAGTTATGGAAGCATGCAGCGGATCTCATCACACCAACATGTGTGCGACGGGACATAAGATGTGTGTTCAGTTGGAGACTGCCCTTTGACTCTATTGACGGCTAAGTTAATAGAACAGGACCTGCATCGATGCACAAGTAATACAGCTTAAATGTTGCTCGGATTTTTTGTCTAGACACAAATTAATTTCAGTATTGCCATAGAAGATGCTTCGAAAGTTGATGCACACTTACACTTACAGCATTTAATCACCCAATACTCGTGGAGTGAATTGTCCTGGGGAGCTGGAGAAATATATCGCTGTCAACTACTAAGGTAGTCTAGAAAACTGCAAGTCTCACCAATTGATCATCCTTCACCCGAGGAATAAAGCATCCCATCAAAGATAGATGAAATGACAGTCGTATATAACGCGTGGTCAACACGTCAGTTCGTCATGTAGCCACGAGCGGAGGATATTAGGGAACAGAGAAGAGCGAGGAAGCCAGCGGGAACGTCGGGGAGGACATACAGTTGTACCGTGACATTAAATCCTGGCACCCCGCGCCGATATGCTCATCAAAAATGTGAGTAGGCTGTGAAATAGGAGGTCAGAACATGATGTTACGGTCTCGTACAAGATTCAACCGACCTTGTCGTGATCACGGACAATACGGTGGAAACTAGAGATATTACCAAAGTCAAGGGCATGAGGTACTCGACGATTAATCTGACTGCCCAATCTGGGAGGGCTAATGTATCTGAAATACGAGAGGGCGCCCATAGAGGCCTATCCAAAATTGTCTGTGTGACCATGGAAAGATGTGATGGGTGAAGAACGGCTCTGAGCATCGTGTAAGAAGCGCAAATATGCAAGTGGATATACCTTGAATTTGAAAGGTGACGATGCCATCGTTGATGGCACTGCTGGTGAGCACGCTGCTTGGCCACCCCAACTGCGCCATCAGAGACGTAGCGAGACAGTCTGCCGCATTGTTTATGCGAACTTGTAAGATCGGCGGTTCGGAGCCTCGTTTCTTATCACAGGGCCAGGTAATACAATGGCTCGAAACCCACACGTCATCAAGGGCTCCGGCGTACTATTAAACAGTTGGAAAGTGCCCGAGTCAGTATTCCACGGGAATCAGCACTCATTCCGAACGCGTGCGGGCTTGACGGATTCATGAGAACTGAACTGCTCGGTCTCCGTAACGAAACACATCTGCGGTGCAAAGTGTACACGAGCTGCCTGATGGAACAGGGCTGTGGTCCTCACAAATAAGCGCTGATCGCATATGCACTCGTCAAGTATGAGACACATTTGAAGGAAACTCACCCTAATAGAACCGTCCGCCGACAGTTCCAAGTTATCTCCAAGTCTGGAGATCCATCCGGACCGACCTACTTCTGCCTCAAGGTGCCACTGACGAGTAATGAGGTCCTGGCACGACGACATTAACGAGTGTCAAGATGTACGTACTATGGTGAATCATTACATACAAGAAACCACACAGCTAGTGTTGCCGTCGAACCAAGGTGACCTCGAGGTAACTTCGGTTCGGTTCGAAATTGAGGCAGTTCGATACAACTCGATTCGTTTACGCCTCGTTTAGATAAGCATCGAATTAGGAACGAACTGCCAAATGAAATGCTAAATCTGGCCTGTGACTTGGTGATTCGTTAGAGTAGTACTCCAGCAACCTCACATCTCTAGCATTTCCTCAATGTACTCTGCCCCTCCGTTGTCCGTCCTCGAACCTTTTGGTGTAGAACATCATTATACGTATTTTCGTCGGACCTTAGTACTGCTTTAGCGCCGGAGGACAGGCGCCTGCAATGCTGCACAATACAAATGTTGAGCAATCCTCAAGCGTGGTTAATTAGGCGACGAATGTATAGGTCGTCATATAAATTCGTGCGTCGTACTGTGAGTTTAGTATTATATTCCCAAAACATGAGTTTTCACCAGTGGAACAGTTCTGCAGCTTCTGCCATCCCTTCGGCATCTCAGCAACAGCATTATCACCCTCACCCAGGCTATACAAGTCTGGCATGGTCCGCCGCTCATGCGCGTCCACCATTTTACCCTCACACACCATGTGGGCTCCCGAACAACACTTCTGCATCTCCGCATCTCCCACATCCATTGCCTGTCGCAAATGCATTGGCAAACATGCATCACTTCGTGCAAGCCCCTTATTCACCAGCTGCAGCAAGCTTTGCACCGTCAAATCCATTTGCCGACATCACTCCTACGGCTGTCAATAATATCGCTCCAACTACTACTACGAGAAAACGCAAAAACGCGGCTGCGACAGGACCGAAATCCCGCGCAAAGAAACACAAGAACGCACAGCATGCTAAGGCACTCGAAGAGGACCGAAAAGATGCCCTGCGTGAGCTTGAGCGTTATGAGCGTGAACCAGTCACGTTCAATGCAGGCGAGCGTGTGACTGATCTCGTTCGCTTCTGGGAGGTGAGCTCGACTTTTCCTTCACATAAGGAAGGCACTAAAGTCAATTTCAGCGCATGGAAAAAGTCTATCCACTACTTTCTGCGTTGCTATGGATGTCCTGCCAGCTCAGGCATCCTCTGTGCCGTGTGTACGTGTATTTTCATCCAGCAAAGAAACCTGCACACTCAGTCGAAGCAGACTCTCACCACGAGCAATGGAAGCACTCCAGATTCTCAAATTTTCTTACAGACAGGAGATATTATGTTTCACTAGTGATTCGATTGCAAAAGAGGATGACCACAAGACTTCGGGGCCTGTGACACGAAGGGCTGCAGAGGAATTGATAGTTACGGGGAAGTTCGATGAGCTTGCTGATCTATTACAAAATGTCGACGACGATAACGTAGAATGAAACATAGCCACTTCATATCTACTTCACTTTACAAACAATTCTCATTGGCTGGAGCTTCGAGCCGTATTCGTTACACTTCGGTTCGTTCCACCTCGACCATCGAACCTGGAACGAACTCCCACCTCGTTTCGATTCGGTTCAATTCGCGGCAACACTACACACAGCACAGTTTATGGAGCCGCCCGGCACCCGATGGCTGTGCAGTAGCTGGCATTGCTACAGTGGAGAAGATGCAGTCATGTATCAGAACGTTATAACATTGACGGTGTGCGTCGAGGGTTTTTTATATTACCACAAGCGGTGAGACCTCGAGGCCTATCCTGATTCATGAATAATAGGCCCCAGGATTCAGCCAGTACTTGACACGCGCCTGCCAGGCCGGAACCGGATGGAACAATGCGTTGGTAGCGCATCATCAGGTGCCCGTGATCCATGCGGCAGGTTCAACGAGTACTTATTACTGGGGATTGAATATTGATGAGTATGGAACGTGGAACGTTTGCACGTGTTAAGCTTCAAAGCTTCACCACCTGAGGAATCAAGCTGCCGATCATGTTATGTATGTAATAGCGCGTGCTCGACACGTCAGTGCGTCATGTCACAGTGGAAACGACTCAATGTAGGCTAGGAAGGCGACGAGGAAGAGCAAGGAAGCCGCCGGGAGCGTCGCCGGGCATCAGTGGCGAGGGCAAGAGCAGAGTGTCTTACTGCAGTGATGTAAATCATTTGTATGTGTTTCGACATACATGTACAGTCTCCAACTTGTCCTGTTTCGATGATGGCATGACGATTTGCTAGTCACTGGCTCACTGGTGCTTGCTATCATTTTGCACCCGCAGTGGTTGAACTACCAGCAGCCCTACATCGAATTTCACTACCAAATCATGACTCGTCCGACTCAGCACCCATGGCAGCCTCGTGTTCTCCTGCAGCCAGGCGAACGCCCACTCGTCCTTCAACTGTGTTCCACCACCATCCGGCAAGCTTTTCATAGAGAATACTTGCGCCCAGTGCATTCCAGAAATGCGCTTCTTCTGTTTATTATGCGCTGTCAGGTATGTCGCACAGTGATATCTTTCGCCTCACCATTTCCTGGTATTTCTTGATCGATCTGGCTGTATGAATAAACACTTCCTCCACGTTGCGTCCGTTCTTGAGCGATCACTGGGTGAACGCAACATCCATCTCCTCTGCGAGTTTATTTCCCTCTTCCATAGCATCCGTCAGTCATCTAGCCTATTATGTTAGTGCACTCAAAAAGTCTCACCTTCTCAAGCAGTGACTTCAATTCATGTCAACCTGTCTTCGTCATCTACCTGAATAGCCACGAGCATTATCGCATTGTCCCGCTCGTGCTGCTTCCTCTTCATGATTCTCTTTTGCCAGCTCCAGCAACTTGTGATGGTCGGTAGAGTTAATGAAGTAGAACCTGTCGCCTTCAAGTTGCTGAATGTATTCCATCCATGTTGTCGAACCCTCGGGCAAATATTGCTGCTGACAGGATGTTGGGACCATGACGTCTTATCTCACTATATGACACAACTTTTACATAAATGTTATATACAATGACCAACGGAGGGTCGGGGACAGGTGCCCGCGCTGCGATCTAAGTATCGTACAAACCAGACTGTTCTATGCACACATGACTACGTCCGGTCACAAATTCTGAGTAATGAAGCGGGGCGTTGTACATGGTTGGGAATAAGAATTTCAGCTTCGCGGTAAGACATGAATGATGTAGGACTTTCTATGATGCAAGTTAGAAGTGCAAGAAAGAAGTGAAAAGAATATCTCACCTGGAGACACCGATGCAGTAGGCGTACTGGACTCTACAATGGCCGTTTGGGAAGTAGCGTGACGACTCGGTCTCGGTTGACAGTCCGACCATCTTCCATGCAATAGCGGGCGGAACTGAGGTACCATTCCAGCGGACCAACAATTATGTTCTGCAGTCCTTGCCCGTAGAGAGCTACCTGTCTGTCAATCTCTTTCCCCCACGAGGGGAGATTCACTCGGTTGTCTTCAAAGCGCTGAATGGCACTCTTACATGGCTGGCCCGCATAGTCGACGGCACCTTGCAGGTCCAGTCTTTTCTCGTGCATGAGCACGGTAACCAGATTATGCGTGTCGGGGCAAGATTGCTCCTTGTTGTAAGAATAAATATACTGTCAGCAGTGATGTCAGTAATGCCCCAGGGTTCGACAACGGAACGTGGCATCACGTTGGTCCAAGACATATGATTGATGACTGCCTCCTCCATGGCCATGATAACTGGATGTGAAATGACCTCGTCGGGAAGATCTATCTGAGCTGCGTATTCGACGAGGATCAACATCATCTTGCCACCAACCGTGTCCCGCCTCAAGGCGATATAAGACTTAAAATCATGGATACATCCCTTGGCACGGTCTTCCACCTCCTTAACCATAGCCGTGAGTATCAAGTCGAATGAGCGGATCAATCGCTCGGTGCAGCGGGTACCGCTGGTCTCCCTAAAGCGACTCATGAACCTAAAGGAGGTATGCATAGGCTTAGAAAATGTGTGTGATGAAAAAAGAATCGACGTACGATTTGCACATATTTGCATAGGTTTTTTTCCATCTGGAAGTCGACGGGATCTTGGCACACGGAAATACAGCATTCACGCAATTGCAACGTATCGTTAACATCAAACTCGTCCAACAAGTCGTCGAGTCTGAACCCCCATATTATTATGTCCACGCAGACTCGGAGATGGAAGGCATCTGCATCAGGATAGCAAGTTGCGACGCTCTCACCTACGCGCAAGCCCTTCCATTTGGTGATTTCGGGCTCTAAAATATGCGCTTCGGTAAAGAACCATTGTTCAGCAGCGCGAGCGACCTCATCACAGTGGGGATTTGATTCGCAGGCGATAAGGACAATCACCGATAAACTCAGGCAGAATGAACTGTGTAGGCTCAGAGTCAGAACGAGTGCTTGTGTGGGTCGGAGTAGGAGCCATGGAGTTCATAGGACTCGTATCGTGAAGGTCAAGATGAGTTCACGGGAGTTGGAAGAAAGTGACTTTGAAACATGCTAGACTTTATAGTGGGTATATCGTGTTTGCTCCAAGTTCGCTCCGATTATCGCGTGTTTTGAAGTGCGGTTTGTCACATTTCAGGCAGTAAGGAAACGTGGTGTAGACACGACATGCTGACTGTGCCCGATGATCAAAATACCTGATCAAGATTCAACATGAAATCCGTGAGCAAGAGTTAAGATATAAAAATTCTCCAGCTTCAAGGGTTCATAGCAAACCGAGGGCGACATGATCTACTAATCCAGGGGACTGCGAGGGTATGTTGGGATGTCACTGGAGTCTAGACTTAGCGAGCGATATCTGAACGGTGGTATTATTATTTTTAGAGCCGTTCTCAATTTTAAACTCAGCACAGTTAACGGGTTCTAATAATAACTTCAACTACTCGGATTTTGAGAAGTCCACGCTGCGGTGGGAAGCTGATACTCATCCGAGTCGCTGTATCCTGATAGGACCTAGCTAGTAGACTCAGACAACAATCTTCAATTTGCCCAGGGATATCAACACGAAATCCTGAGTTGCAAGAGTTACTTAAGATAAGTATTAGAGTGTCGAGCACCCTGTTATGACTCGAACGTTCTTGTCTGAATACTTACCCTCACACCGTTTCGAAAGGACCCTTTACCAAGATGTTCACACAGCCTCTGTGACCCTCGTGTTTTGCCATGCACATATCTTTGATATCCGTCTGGACTCTGGAGCTTGCGCTACTCCCTTGGCGTTATGATCACCGCTTTCAGCCTCCCGTAGTACTGCCCAAGCGCCACCCCCACCTTCAACCCCGGCGCTGCTCACAGCGGTCCTGCGACATGCCATGGTACCTTCCCTCTTCGCCCCTCCTGGCCATCTAGCGCACATCACCACCTTCTGCACCCCAGTAATCGATCCTGCCGGCCACACCCACTGCTAGCATGCACTTCTTGCTGCCATGCCACTCCGTGCTACCTCTTTGTCCATCCAGTCGAACGCGATTTTCCTTCCTTGATGTTTTACGCGACAGTGAGTTCAGATCCCTCAAGACGCGCATGTTTCGCTTTACTATGCAGTCTAGTCAAGGCTCGCTCAACGAGACTCACTTGAACACCGTGAGCCTAGATACACATCCCCTACTTCCACTGTTTCACAGGGGGGAAGTCCGCACGCTGCATATGGAAAGGACCACGTCCCGTCTGATCTGCGAACGAGTGAGGCTGTGTTTCGCTACGATCTATTAATTTACGTTAAATTCTTGACGAGGTTCCACGCAGCTCCCACCAGAATCCAGTGCCAACACCTATCTAGGTCCCACGAAGCCTCTATCGTCAATGTCTCTTCTTTGCGCCTCGCCTCGCCTTCTTTTCTTCCCCCTCCCTCCACACCATCTCTCTCTTTTTCATCCAATTCCATGGTATTGTTACCTCGTGCGATTTTACTCGGGTTCAGGTTCTAGTTGGATTGATGAGTTTAGGCTAACATTATGGTGAATTCGGTCGTAACTGCTTTATTGTCTTGGCGGGTGGAGTCGCTGGTTTCTAGAATCCAGATTAAGGAGAACGAAGACTGAGACGGTCCCCAGATTCAAGAGAAACCTGACAATCAGTTTATCCAGCGATCTATCTACATAAGCCCATAGATGATCATCATGATAAGTCATTCGTAGCAGAGCCGCTACCCACTGTTGATGCTATCGCTCTATATGCGTAGTTTAAATTCGTTGTCCTTGGGTAGTACAGCTGGCACAAGGCGTCGGCAGCTGCTTCACACTGCAAAACATAAACTAGTACTCTAGTAGAATCAGTACCACCCCAACCCACTTCGAACTTCGAATGCATCCTACATAAAGTGATCCACACAAGTCAGACAAGAGTACGCATGGGTACGCGATTGGGAGGAGATGGTCATGCGATCTCCTCCTTCGACATCACTAACATAAACTTCCTCTTGGCACCAATATCTTCCTCCCTCAGCCGAACCTTCACGCCCTCGTTGTGGATTATCCCTTCCCTGTCGAAATCTTCTAGTAGGAGATGCCCAGCAGCGGATGCCATGATGAGATGAAGAGTATGTGACACATCGAAGGTAGCCCAATAATTACGTTCATCTTTCCAAGTCTGCACGATGCTGTACAAAGCGCAGGCGAAGGTGAGAATGGTGATGATGGTGATAGGAAGGATAGCGAGAAAACATGTCGGCGACCGCGTAGTCCAACCTATCGTCGATATGTACATAGTCCCATTGACCGGGGAAGAGAGGTTGTTTGGTATAATATTATCGGGGAAGCTACCCACGACCATAAACCCCGAGCGGAGATACTGTGAAGTAATGTCAGGGCAATATGGATTGGATCGAAGGGACTCGAAACCCTCACTGTGGCAGAGAACTCAACAACACCAATCCAGTACTGCTCCTAAGAAAATCATAAGAGCTTGACAGTGACCTTACGACATGAAACTCACAAGCTCTTGGTAAACCCGATGTTCGAGATCAGTCCGAGTCCATAGTCGTGTTTGCTGTCGAGGCATAGACAGAGTACAAGGTATCTCCGATTGCACTGCTCAGAAGTCCCCTGCGAGTTGATCGCCTGAAACTTGACAACTCCAGCGATGAATGACAGTAGATTGGCATTCTCTGACTGAAAGGGGGTTTGTGATATGGGAGCGGAAGAAATTAGGTCGTTGGAATAATTGACACGGACTGTTGTCAAGAATGGGACCACTTCACACATGCTTGCTTGAAGGAAATTATACTTATCAAATCCTTGTGACAAAATCGCTACACACAGGGATTGGGCCAATGAATACAAAGACAGATATCAATGGCGTACTGAAGCTTGTGTTCATACTAGGTTCTAGGCACACGACAGATGGAAGAAAGCCGCTCCCTGACAGGCTCGCATTTCCACTGGCATCCACCATTGTCACATATTGCTGCCTGATCGGCGTATCTAGGAGCCGACAGTGAATTTGAGACAAGATATGCTGGATCCAAACTCACTTGTACCACAGTTTGCAGCGATATCCCATAAGCGTAGGCCCGCAATGGAGTTGTCCGAAGCAGTCCAGTTTGCGTAGATAAGGCTGGAGTTGTTCGTCTCCAAAACATACTGCGTTTGACTCAAATCAATGGCCCGGCAGCTGATGTTTGCTGTTAGCCCCTGCTGCCACATTGAGTAGTTCCTGCTGAAGCCTTGAGGAGGAGAGAGATTGGTGTATTTTCCCGGTATGGTTTGTGTGTTGAACGTAACATTTCCACCAGAAAACCCGAGACGAGTACCGTTTGGATACGGAACTCCATTTGAGCCGGAATAATCCTCGATGATAGGCACAATCCCCTCTAGAAACACAACATCACACACCAGTTCCAAGTGACCCGAGTAACTGGACGTACCAGTGGATACATTGTATTTTGCGCCATTAAAATTGAATGTCTCAAGAAGACCATAGCTATTCCCTGTAGCACAAAATCCACTTAGCATTCCACCGATGTCGAGAACCTCGAACTCGTTGTCCTCGACTTTTATGACCCGTTTGATGAGTAACCAATAGGAAACAGAAAGTAGGGATACGTACTGGCAGTGAGGCCCTGCTTTTGAAATTCCTCGTAGAGCAAGTCGGAAAATGCGCGTCCAGTTATATCAAGTTCGGATCCATTCATCTGTTTTGGCCATAGGAAGTAGGTCGGTGTCAAGAGGGTGGTCCACCTATGTCCACATTCAAATTAGACGACAGTGCGATAGTGCGACGCTCTTAGAGACGAGTTACCCAGCCGTCAAGAGTCTCAGCACGCCATAGACGAACAGCGTCAGGGTGGTCAGTCGCAAGTACTCGGGTCTCAAAATGGCAGAGCCCTTGGCCAAAGCGACGCCAGCGCTTAGATCAACGAGAGAGATGGGCCGCGACATCCGATGTCTTAGTGCCTCCCTGATTGAAATCGTAAAGAGACTGGAGAAATTCTCTCTCTGAATGTAAGTTAGAGAGAATGAATGGGTATACGGACGTAGTGGTGGTGACTGAAAGCACAGTTGCTATCAATGTGACGACCATCGTCAGCTCTCCAGGGTATTGCATCCATAAGTTGCCGACTTCATCAGTTGGAGCGAGGTAATCATAATAGAGAACCGCACTGAGGAATCCGTACCCAAATGCCAGGATAATAACCTGGCTAGTGATGATAGTTGTGTGGCGCAGAAAGTTGGCGGGCAGACGAGACATTTCAGACACTGGGGTGGGTGCAGAATCGATCCTGGTATTGGGGTAGAAATACAACGTACCTTGACGGAGTGCTGACCTTCAATGTTCCGAGCGCCTGGCCTGCATCGTGATAGGTTCACGGCGAGTTCACTTCATGTCGTAGCCTGGACCTTCACAAGATCATGAGTTATGGAAGCATGTCACATAGTTCCAAGCGGATCTCGTCACACCACATATGAGTGCACGGTATAATGAAGGTGGGTATCCAGTCGGACACTTCCATTCGGCTCTGTTAGAGGCTACGTTAATAGAACACGGGCCCATAGCATCGCATCAAGGTATAAGTGACCTGCGGCTTAGCAAGACACGAATCAATTTCAGTTATACATAATATCGTTATAGGTGTTTCGAAAGTACTTACAGAGTAACAGTACTCGCTAGACCAACCCCAGTGAATTGGCTTGGGGAGCTGGAGAAACCCGCTCGCACCATCACTGATAACTATGCATTGCAAGGAAAGCTGCAAGTCTCGCTGTGCGATCATCATATCCTTCACCCGAGGAATAAAGTATCACGTTAATAGTAGATAAAATAGCAGTTGCGTATAGCGTGTGTTCAACGGGTCAAGTCATAGAGGATGTTAAGTGACGAGGGAGAGCGAGGCGGCGGCGGGAGTCTAGCAATGAGGGCAATCGAACGCTGTCAATGTTTATGTCTGTTTTGTGCGGAGCATGCCAAACGTTGACTGATTTGCATGTCACCGGCACGAAGCTACGAGACTATAGTAGGTATGTACTATCTCTGGCCCAGAGTTGCAAAACTTTTCGATGTTCGCGTGATAGCTCAACAATAACGCAACATTTAAAAACGGCAACAACAGGGGGACGTAGGATTCAGTTCAGGCTTCAGCGCTATGTAAAACACATTTGCAAATTTTGTTGAGGCTACGTTGCCAGAGAGAAGCCGGCGTGAACAGTGTTTGAGCACAGAGTTGCAAAATTTCTCACCTGCACAGAATTGATCACGTCACACTGTGTCTTGACAGTACAACATTTGTGTCGCACAACACAGCTCGGTTTTTGTGTCGGAAAAATTTAGAGCAGTGTTAGAAGGTAATGAGGAATCATGCGTAAAATTCCTGATTTTTTGGTCGATGCGATGGCTTCCCTGTGATGGATTGGCGTGGAAAGTACACTTTCTGAGCGGTGTTTTACTCCCGCAAGCACTTCTCGTCCATTTTTTGTGAAATAAAAAATACAGACAGTGAGGTATGCATTGATCATCCTTCAGAATCATTGTGCAAAGAAAATGAGTGAAAGATGAGTGTGCTACATCGCATTTTGCAACTCTGGGCCAAAGATAGTAGTTCTGAGTATGAATGTGGAATTGTATAACAGCTCAGCACTCAGCACTCAGCGAGGAGTCATTAACATTACTAATGCCGCCAATGATTGTCGAAGTACTTATTTGTAGCTATGTTCCAGGCGCTCGAAGACTCCAAACAATGAAGTCCTGCAGTCCATCGTGCATCCTCGCCATACGGAGCTGCTGTGTCATCGACATCATTCCGGTGCTGGCATCTGCGCGGAATTAGGCTGCGGTTCCGGTGCTGGCATCTGCAGGGTAGGCTGCGATTCATGACGCGAACACCACCTCCGCCGTTTCTCGGCCTTCCTTCCCTGTTTGCTAGTCTTCCCTTCCACGTGCCAAATCTCAATATCTTCATTCCTCTTCAGACCATGAAGCTGACCTTCTAGCCCACCAGCCGCAGCAGCCGTGATGGGGTGGATGGGGTTGCAGTAGTCAAACACGACATCGTCTCCTCGTGGATGTTGCAGTTCTTTCCTCAGACTGAATCCGGCGGCCATAGCAGTAACCAGCCAGATCACAGTGGAGATGATAAACAGAAAAAGGTAGATGAGACGCCCTTGTTACCAGCCATACGTATTGACGAACATATTGCCATTCGTAACAACCGACGTGTCAGAAGGTATTTCTGTCCAGGGAAGACCGCCGGTGGCAGAGAAACCAGATCTCAAAAATTACCAGAGATAAGGGCATCAGCGTCTTCCGCCCCAAGAGGTAATTACAACTTACTGTGCCACTAAATTCTGTAAGGATTGCATATCCTCTACGCACCGATCACGCTTCAAAACGAAGACGACCTGCCTCCGTTACTCTTCGCATTCGAGTCACGCGGATACAGTCTTTTCCATTTTCATTTCCTTTTACGATCTTGCCTTGTGCTCAGACTCCACGATCCCCTTGCCTTGACCGCTTCATTTTACCTTCACCGTATGCTCCTTATGCTCATTCTGGCCTAGTCAAGTGCCCGAAAACATATATATACCACCCATGTACTCTCGTATCTAGCAGCAAATTCTATATTCAGATCCCCGCTCCAAGCACGACCGAAAAGCCTCACAGAAAGTCTCCGTCTTATACGTTTTCCTACTCGTCTCGATTACCTTTGCGCTCGTCTCCTATCTACTTCGTTTCGTTAACAATTCCCTGCAGAACTCATACACAGCCTTACAATTCTACCACCCCGCGCCATTAGCTTTCCTGCAGTTAACAAAATATTTGCATCTGAGTAAAGGAGTGGTCGGCTTCCTTACCAGTTGACGGTAGAGGACACCCGTTGAGTTGCTGCCGATATAAGCCGTTAAATAGTCCCCAATAACATTGGTCTGGAAGCCTTGATTATTCCCTGCTTGATAGTCGATTGCACTCGCGATGAACTCAGTCAGGCATGTTCGAGTCTTCGAAAAGACGACGATCGGTTACTGCTGCCGAGACTACCCCTCGATCATATCTGACGTCCACCGTCGTCACGCACAGGGTGAACCCACACACGGTCATAAGCAGGAACGCATATTTGGCACGACCTCCCATCAGAATATCTTTCAGGAAGTAGCATTAGTGAGCACGAAGTGAATGGGCGCGCTTGTTCACTCACCGAATTTGTCTGGGCTGAAACCTGGAGAACCCGACTGCGAACATGCAACTGTTGGAAGAAATCCCTCAGTATCTGGGTTCATTTCAAGAGTGGTCGCATTTGCAAAGGTGGAATACAACATGGTGCTGTTTCCTGTAATGCAAGAGGTCACCTTCTGCTTAACACGAAAGAGGTAATTTTGCTTGCCATTCGGACACTCTGCGATCACTTCCCACATTATCAAGCCGACATTGTCCCCGGTGGGAAATGCAACTGTAGAGTTATTGGAATTGGCACTGTAAGAATACATAGAGGTGTTCCGCTCTTGGCAGTTGACATCCGCAGTGAGGCATTGCTGGGTCGTGGTATAGTTCTTTCTCAGACCCTGAGGAGGGGAACCAAAACTGTGGCGACCTAGGTCGATTGACACGTTGATTGGCACAAAACCACTGGTAAATGCAAGCCCGACTGTGGTTAATTACAATGAGTTCAGAAAAGCAATCATCCCACAGACAGCGACCGTGAGCAACACGTACTTCCAGTGCTCCCTTGTCTCTGCAGACGACGAAAGTTGGCTTTGTCAGTGCAATTGTAACGCGGAGGCCGTACAGTGAGATTATTTTGGCCGGGTCATGCCTCGGAGTCTCCTTCATCGAAAATGTGAGTAGGCTGAACAATAGGAGGTCCGAACATGATGTTACGGTCTCGCACAAGATTCATTCCTGATGAACCGACCTTGTCGTGATTACGGACAATACAGTGGAAATTAGAGATATCACTAAAGTCAGGGCCGTAGGGTACTCGACAATTAATCTGACTGCCCAATCCGGGAGGGCTATGTACTGAAAATACGAGAGGGCGCCCATGAAGCCCCATCCAAAACCGAGGATAGCGGTCTGGGCGACCATGGCTGCCACTAATGGAAAGCTATGACGGGTGAAGAATGCCCGCCGGGGTTCTCAGCATCGTGTAAGAATGGCAAATATGGAAGTGGACATACCTCAGCCCATTGTTGAGGACGCTGCGGGTGAACATGCTGCTTGGTCACCCCAACTGCGCAATCTGAGAAGAAGCTATATAGTCGGCATATTTCCGAAGAAAAGTAACACCTGTCTCATTTTTCTCGTAACGTATTGTCAGGGGCAACCATTAACGCCATGGCTGGGCAGCATGCATCGGTTAGCGAGATATTATGGCACATTCCTTTTACGAACTTGTATGATCGATGAGTAGATCAGCAGTTCGGAGTCCCTTGGTTCTTATCACAGGGCCAGGTAATGGAATCGCTCGTGAAGGAATCGAATCGAACAGTGGAAACGCACCACTTCCAACATGTGCGCGCTTGATGCAGCTCGTTCCCTGAGACGAAACGCATCTGCAGTGCAAAGTGCACACAGCTGCCTGATGGAACGGGGTTGTGGTCCCAACAGATCAGCGCCGAATCTGTAAAGATCCCGGGTATACTTGACAAGCATGAGAGCACGTGTTTGATAAGAGACCCGCCCAAATCATCCGACAGTTCCAGGCCCAAGGGTATGTTCTTGATTCAAGTTCTGAAGCCGCCCGAGTGCAGGGAGACAGTGAATTTCGAATTTAGCATTGGATCAGGATCGACCAACTTACCTGCCACTAACCGATCTGTCAGCTGAACCGTGGGCTTGATACAAATAAAGCCAGACAGAACCGAATGGAACGTTGCGGTGATAGCGTACCATCCCTGACAGGAGTCCTTGATCCATGTGGCAAGTTCAATGAGTACATTTTGCCGGGGATTGATAAGTATGGAACGTGGAGCATATGCCGCACGTTGAACGTTGACTGCCACGGCTAGTGCTAGGTGGGCTGCTTCAGTGTGTCACCCGTTCAGGGATTCCAGGGTCCTGACGTGTTCTGACTACTCTTGTTCAAAGTGGGCGGCCGTGCATACAGTAGAGAAGAGAAAGGACACCAACCATAGGTAATGTTTCAGGAACTTCGAAGACAATTAATCGCCACCGTCAGCGCGACATCTATTGGGTTCGGGACTCGGAAACTAGTGACTATCCGACGGGCCGAACCAGTGATTTCTGTGATAACCAACAAGTACTAGACTCGTGTGCCATTCCTATTATCTGGCCACCAAGAACTGCGAAAGATCTGTAGGATCTGAGATTCGTAGGCACGGGGAAGAATGGAGAAAATGACACGAGCATCCACGACATCCGTTACCAAACGCAGGGTATGCAAGTGGGGGCATAAATGAGGTGCTGTAGATAATCTTCGGAATGTAACGGTAGGTGCATGAAGATGCGGGTCTACTAATTCCGGCGAGCAGATGTCATGCGAGGCCAATTTGACATGGCTTGCATAAGGTCGTTGTCAAGGTAATGGGGCAATGAATATGGAGTCGCAGGAGTCGCAGCTGCGTGAAACAAAAAAATTGCTGACAAAGAGCCACCTGAGTGTTCCTGACCTTCTGACGCCATCCCAGGGAGAATTATAATGTGTAACAGTGTGAATGCTTGACACTATGTCAGTGGACCAAGGAGTCGCTTAGCCTCTGCCCGAGGCGAGATGCGGACAGGCGTTATGAACTTTCCTAGTGAGGGGAATTCTGAGCGTCGTATCACTGTGGTAATGTCTGTGGCCCTTTCTACATTGAAAAAGATTTAGGAAGGGCGCGAAATTGATATCATGCCAGTCCAACAGGTAGAAAATTCGCCCCAAAATTGGTACTGTGCGAAGAGTGGGAAGGTTGGACCGTTGGACCGTTGGAGAGGTGCTTCCGTGCCGCCGAGTTGAGCGGCGGACATCGCAAAATTCGAGTTGTGTCCATGAACGGACAGTTTCAGGGACTAGGGACAGCTTGCGTGTTAGCTTAGTGGTCGGGACGCGTAAGTTCTCCAAAGTAGCACAGCGGGTGTCCCAATAAATTTCAAATATGAATGAATGGCCGAAGGGAATATTAATGGGACAGGAGGGGCATAGAAAACATGTGCATAAATGGAACCATCCAAGTTCAGGACAGCAACCTCGGGAACAGGCATAAGTTCTCGAGCCGATAGGATGAGGTCTTGAAAATGGCCGTTGGTCCGAAAACATTAAATATCATTTGAGCAAGGTGTTAGCTTGGGGAGTGTGAGGTCGTGCACTTGGTGGGCAGTTGGGGGCTGTGCATTGACAAAACAAACACAAACAAACTTGAGATTACACTCGTCACTGGAAGGTCATGATGCATCATCACGGTCCTGAGAGCAAGAGTTCCGAATGTCACTTTATTCAATTACTTTTGACAGGTCGTGATAAGCTCGCGAGTTCTGACCACGTCCTTGACGAGTCTGACGACTGTCCAGCATATCGCTGCCTTGTCCTGTGTTGACGATGGCGATATACACGTCTCGGCAGTGCCCAGTGACTGTCATTTTACACCCCTCGGAGACATGTTTGCAGTGGTCAAACGACGGGCAGGTATGCATTACCACCAAGGCAGCTGTGCATATCATGGCAAGAATCTTTGACACACTTTGTCCAACGACGTACGTTATCTTTTCATTCAGACTCCAGACACAGGAATTAACTTCAGTACACCACAGGATGGTTCAGGGCGATGGTCGTGCCGGCGCGTGGACAGACACATGTTGCCGAGTATATGTCAAGGTGGGCATAAAGTTGTCGTTCCTCGGCATTTGTATTAAAGCCCAGGATGATGGTACGATTGGACTGTCGGATCCCTCGATGTTTCTGTTCGGTATTTTGCATGCTCCCCTAGTAATCTCACGCCGAGGGGAAAGTATGCATCCCTCACTGTTCGTCTGACATGCAGCTGAGATGCATATTCAAGATGCGACATAGCCGTGCTTAACTCAAATGCAGAGATATCGCTTTGGGCGGCTGCTAAAAGCCACTTGAATGGAGAATGGACCAATGTGAGAGCTGTGATACATGTTTTCCCTGGGAAACAGGGCAGGTTCTGCTGTATTTTTCAGGTATATATACGCGCGTCATTTTTTAATGATTGATTTGGGTGCAGGTTCAACAGAAACAGCGAATTAGGAGGCTCCGTCTCGTGCATCCATACAGAATCGTTGAGTGACCACTGGATCACGCATCTGAGCTGGTCACCTTGGGTTACTCACGGGGCTGGACAAGGTAAGCGTTCTCGTGCCCATCGTATGAACAGGCTCAAAGTCCATTATGGCGCAGGTTAATCTCTACTACTGACCAAGGCAACATAGGGCTGGTCAAAGTCAAAGGCACTCGTCTAGTTCGAACGTCGGTTTCCTGCCCGAGTATACGACCAGTGTTGTATTTAACGCTCAGGGTCCAATATGCGAGGCTGATAAAGGAGGCGTGACCGCATTGATGTGGGTTGAAGAAATTTACTCTTTCTCCCTCTTTCTCCGGTCTTATCTGACTTCCGGTCGTTTTTCCCAGCCCATCATCATGTATACAAAACCCGGCCTTGTGCACCTGTGGTCCGGCCCAGTTCCGAAGCCACCTGGTACTGCACCCGCGTACTCCTCCTCGAAACCCAAAAACTCTCCGTCGACCCTCCGCCATAAGCCCTGTCTCTGGAGAGTCTTACATTCTTCACCGCGACGCACTTGTTCTCTCGCTTTTCGACGGTTCCTTCCACGCCATCTAAATATATCCGCGGAACCTACCTGGAGTCCTCTGCTCGCAGGCGACGCTTTCACCTATCACGACCGTCACGACTGTTGTTCGCCAAGGTTACTCCTGCGGGCATTTCATACATGGATGTCAACAAAATTAGTTGCATGGTGTCGTATGACTCGTAGTTGATACTCACGTGAATATACGAGTGAGTGCCATCAATGATATCGTTTACAATCACTCACCGATGTGTTTGCTTTTCTAGTGCCCTTCGACCTGCTGATTTCATATAAGCATGAGCCTCAGCATGAACGTATACTGCTCACTGCACCATCTTGGCACCTCGGCGATGAGACTGTCTTGCATACCGTTTTAGAGGCGTTTACTAATATCTCTTCTGGTGAGTCACCCATTCGGCAGCTTTCATGACCTGGTCATTTGACGTCTAGATGGTTAAGCTTCAGGAAGTGCCCCAATTCACCATTTGCGCGCTTTGATGCTTCATCTGCGCAGCAATACGCGCTTCCCGGCGCTGTGCCCTCGGGGCTGGAGATTTTATTTCAAGTTCCACCAGACCAAACAACGATAATTGTCTTCTCATCCTGGACGCAATTACCCCTTGCGATTCCAGCTCTGAAAAAGTCTGACCACTGACTTGTTTGGCTGGCCCACCTTCTACCGCTGCGAATGAGGCTCTTCATAGCCGACCTCTGTTGGATGCGTTCAAGATCGTTCACCTCGGTATACTTACCAAGTCCTGTTCACCACAGAAACTCTGCAAGGACCCAGAGATGCAAGCACAGTGTGGTCTAGAATCGCACAGGGCCTCCTAGCCTCCATCTCACACTGCCTGCTGCGGATCTTGGTCCGCCACTCAAGAGTCATAATTCCCGTCGTCACTGGCGCACCGATAGTCCACTCTCTTTTCTTATCTGCTGAGGACTCATCATAGCGCCTGCTATCCCAGTCACCCTCCGCAAGGTAGTACAGTCATTACTGCCCAGCTCGCTACAAGATCTAGTTGATGAAGCTAAAGCGTTAAAAGACGCACACACCACATCATTCCATATCGATCCCGCAATCGCTGCGCCACACAAACACTGTCCCGCCCGCCACATCAAAGTCCCACTCCACGACATTACCCGTGCAACTTGTCCTAACGGCCATGACTGCGGTACGGCTCCCCTCTTTCGCAAAGCTAACAATACGCATCTTATGCTTTAACTTATCTTATATTAGCTCGTTGTACGATCACCTCATTCATACTCTCGACCTCAAAGGTGCGCACGTGCATCACATGCGGTTGGAAGGCCTTGCTGCCGTTTGCAGCGTCGGATGAGGGCCAGTTGCCTGTCGCTGCACAGAGTTGGATCGTCAGGGATTTGCTGGAGGCTGTACAGCGGTGTTTGTTTTGCGGAAATGGCTTTGTGGAAATCTACAAAAGGTGATTTTTTTCGACCACCTCGTTCATACTCTCGACGTCAAAGGTACGCACGTGCAATAGATGCAAGGCCTCGCTTCAGCGTCGAATGAGAGCCAGCTGCCTGCCGCTGCAGAGTTGGATTGTGAGGCATTTACTGGAGGCCGTACAGCGGTGCTTGATTTGCGGGAATAGCTTTTTGGACATCATAGGACACGCGGTACAGGAAGCGACTGTGAGTTGCGTGTGCTGAATCTGCTGATGTAAAAATGTATCAAACAACTCGACTTTCAAGTGGGCGGAGATAGAAACTTGATGAGAACGCTTCGTTTTTCGAAGAAACTCGTATTATATTATAGCAATTCGATGATCCGAGGGGAGAAAACAATTACAACCATTGTGAACAATAACAGCCGCGATCACAGCAGGGCACATGCGTGACAGAAACTCATAAGATGTAGCAATTCGACGGTCAAAGGGAAGAAAATAATTGCAACTATAGTTAACTACCAGACGACTCGGACGACGACGGAAGAGCACGAAGGTATGGTTGCAGGACAATTGAGTACATCTCGAACTCAGGTCTTGGAGGTTGCGCCTGTGATAGGGCTGCTAAGAACTGCAGACACTCTAGAAGATTCAAGACGCCTGTTGGCCTCGTGCCAGATTTGAGGGAAGTTCGAAACGTATAGCGGTCCAACTCGGTCGACGAAAGGGAGCATGGAGGAAATGATATGAGCAACAGCTTCAGCATCAACTGCGCCAGAGGATGTCAAGTACAATGCTTTTAGGGATGTGTGTTGAAATGACTCGGCTGTAGGATCAATATTGACGTTTGCAGTATCCATTAATAAGCGCAGTGTATGTAAGTGGGCATAGACGGAGCGCTGTGAACAAACCGCGGAATGTCACGGTAGGTAGATCGAGACGTCGGTTACCCCTCAAATCCAGACAGTGGATGTGCGGCCAACTTGACATGGCTTCCAAGAGAATGTCGTTATCAAGATAGATGATACAATTACTAAAAACGAGCCGCAGAATTTGCAGCTGCGCAAAACACAGGAATCGTCTGACCGCCGTCAAAGAGGGCTCCTGAACTTATCGATCAATAGAGGAGATGATGACGATATGTTCAAGGGTCTGGTATGCTTTGCACTATAACAGTGCACAGAAGGGCTGCTCGGCCTCTGCCCACGGTAAAACACGAACATGCATCTCGAACTCTTTGAGCGAGGGGAATTCTGAGTATTCTATAACTGCGATAATGTTTGCAGCAGTTTCAATATTGAAAGAAAGAATCGTGACATCGAGGAAACGCACGAAATCGAGATTTTTCAGGACCAACGGGTTATGTCCAAACCCATTGATCCGCATTGTGAGAAGAGTGGGGAAGTAAGAAAGGTGGCTCCATGCTAGTAAGGAGGGACGGTTCTGTGTTCTGATCAGAGTGCATAATGGTTAAAACCTCCAAAGCTAGGCAACAGGTCCCGATGAATTTAGAATCCGAATGAGCGCTCAATAGGACACAATGACGCAGCGCAGTTTCGGGAACAAGCATGTCTTGCTGGGGAGGACTGAGAGAAGGTAAAAATGGTCGTCGAATATTATACCCATTGAGCGCACATGGCGTGACGCAAGAATTGGCAGGCCTCATGCTCAGACAATGGTTTGACGCCTTTAAACCGGAAGTGCTGCATTTAGATGATCGGTAAGCTAATGAACGAACAGAGAGTAACTGGTCTGCACTGACGGTTCGGTCGTGATCATTGACATATTTCATTGGGTGTATCCTCGTTACGCAGCCCAGCAGTGGATGTATACCATGATCATCCATGTCAACCCAAAGTACATCCATCACAGGTTCGTGGAAGGCATTGCATGTCCTTGCAAGAACTGCATGGGACTTCCGAAACAATATTTTCCCGCCCTGTGATCATGGGTCCAGGATCAATTAAAATGCTCGAATATCTCCCGGAGGATTTCAGAGACAAGTAGAGCACGTTGCATTATATGTCGATGGAGTATTCAAGTCGAAGTTATTATAAACAGACACAAACAACATTGCAATTGGACGGCCCGTTTCGAACCCGGCGAGCGTGTGGCGAAGGCTAAGGCCTTCCAGCTACCTTCAGATCGATAGACCAGAATCCATTTTTGTTCATTCACCGCTTTCGTTTACTTGTGGAGCTGGACAAACAAAAGGGTCCCGCCTGTTACGATACTTCGTCGGGTGAGATACTGGACTGCGCAACTTCTATGATACGGTATGCTGCTCGTTTGATGCTGCATCTGACACCCCTCTGAGCTCACTGCTGGTATGACTACTTATCACCGACTCATTATGGTATGTTTAACATCGTCTCTGTTACTGATCATTCCAGCATGAGCTCAGCATTAGTACTCGCAGGTTTCAACATCATCCGCTCAGGGCTAGCAACCTGGTCATTAGCGCGACGGCTTTCTCGTCTTCTCGAGTCTTTGACTTTGATGATCTCAGGATGATCCGACCGATACTGTTCCCCAATCCCCAATGGCCAACCTATATATAAGTGTTAGTGACTTGTGCTATGGCCTTGGATGACATTTGGGCAGACATAGTGACCCATTATTGCTTTATGGCTGCTGGAATGTGACGGCGGTTTCCAACTATGGTGAGAATGGTGTCCGAAGACAGTACCGAATGAGAAATTTGCGCAGTCCAGTCACCAGTGCCATTCTGGGGTATCTCGCTCGACGAAGTATCGTAACAGGCGGGACCCTTTTATTTGTCCAGTTCCACAAGTAAACAAAAGCGGTGAGTGAACAAAAATGGATTCTGGTCTATCGATCTGAAGGTAGCTGTCAAGTTCGTGCATTCATGGTCACTGACACCCTCTCGGGCCAATTATTCAGCAGCTACATACAAGAACTCCGATAAGTGCTCAGCCTAATGATTTAGGGACTTCGGCCCGGGGAAACACGCCTGGCACAGGTTGTTGATAGCCTCGTGATCAAATTTCCTAAAGGAGCATGACATGCACCAGACCTTGTACCTTATAACGTGTGTACCCGCAGTTCGCACATGATATCCTCCGATGCTAAGTACTGCCACAATTGCAATGGCATAACGGTCGGTGGTAGTTGAGATCTGAGAACCGGCGCGTATCAGTTACTACACCGGCTGCGCTAACGAATGTCGCCTGCAGTCCTACTAATCCGCTTTTGCTCCTCCGAGGTAGTCACAGCATCTCGTGCGCAGCTATCAACCACTTCTGTCGAAGTGAGGAGTGTCACTTTGAAATATGTAAACGCGACTCCATCGGCGACGAGGCCCTTCGAGCACTGCCCTTTGTTCACCACGACTTTATACAAAAGGCAAGCAGTCAACGCATCCTTTCCCTCATTTTTATACTTCTTCCTTCTTCGAATTCTTAAGGAAACATGGCTCTCGACACTCGGGGCATCCTTGCAGCGGTGACAATCGCAATGTATATCCCCTTCCTATTTCTTTCTGTCATGGTGGTGTACAGGTACGGCATATCGCGAGGTGATGGGTGGGTCCTGTTGCTGGTATTCTGCATCAGTAGGTTGTTTGATATTCTAGTCATCTATTAGTTTTGACCCAAATTATATCTACAGTCCGAGTATTGGGTGGTTCTTTGCTTGTTGCAGCTGAGGACATTACACCTGTGAACACTGGACTATACATCGGTGGTTATGCCCTTGAAGCATCTGGCTTATCCCCGCTGTTGGTTTGCACGCTGGGTCTGTTGCATTCAATGTGCGTTCAGAATGTTGTTGTTTACGGATGGGATACTAAATATTATCATAGATTCCAGACGCCCGATGGCGAATCAAGACATAAAAGGCTATTCCGTCTTCTTCAACTTCTTGGCTTGGTCGCTCTCATCCTTACCATCATTGGTATCTCCGATGCGTCAAGTTCCAGCTCAAGCTCGAGTGGGAACACCATGCGCCGGGCAGGTGTCATCCTCTTTGTCGTCCTATACATTATTCTTGTCGGCATTTGCCTCTTTCTATGGAGCCAAGTCCGCTTTGTCCTGAAATACCGCAAGCAGGTGAGCTTTCGGGAGCACACTCATCTCCGACTAAAGTTCTTACGCCTTGTCTTCAGCTCCTGAAGGCCATCTCTATCGCACTTCCATTCTTGGCGATTCGGACGCTGTACAGCGTCCTGTCCACGTTCTCTTCGAGCACGTTTGATATTTCGTCAACATCCTCCCAACCCAACACCAGCGACCTAGCGAAGTTCAACATTCTCACAGGCGAATGGCAAATTTACCTCGTGATGGACATGCTCATGGAGTATGCGGTTGTGATCATCTACACTGTTGCAGCCCTCGTGCTGCCCCTCAATCAAGATTACAATTCCCCAGACTTGAATCAAGACAACTACCCCTTGAATAGGCCTCAATGGTGAGCCTCGAAGCGCCGGTGGACTAGAGTCGTGACACGTCCAGTTGTGAAGTCGGTTCCATAGATTTGACGATATTATGCTTACGACACATCTACTCATAAAGTAGTGTACCCACCTTACAACTGCAGGTCCGTTCTGATATGTTTTCTTTCATTATAATAGTTTCATCAAGGTGTGATGATAATTTATTTATGTCATGTGTAGAGACCTGGAAAACAATAATTGATGGTTGAATGCAGCGGACAGTCGAGCGTGATATGAGGATAGTACTTAGGAAGGCTCCAACTCGTTATGCACTATCGGGTGAAGATTGAGAGGGCTGATGACCATCTAACTCTTTGTTTAGTGTGCGATACCGGTTTTCGAGGGGCTACTTCCGTCACCATGGAACGAAATGCTGCTTGGACTTGCTAAGCTTCGCATGCATACGGATAAAACTCTTGGATTTTATTACTACAGGAATTCGCAAACCGAGGTTAGTCAATATAGTTATCTCCAATCGCCCACTGCAAGCGTGGATGTCTCACGAAGCTGTGCGATGATTTAGGGGTGATGATCCGCAACCACCATTCCCCAGACAACCGCAGATCATATTGAATTTGTGCGACTGGTGATCCATCAAAAATACGACTCGCCTACGTAGAGGTCAAGGAATGGGTCTAGAGATGTCACTTGTTCGCAAAGATTCCTGTGCTCGAACTCCACAAACTTATAAATAATCACTGATCAGATGAGACTCCAGCATATCAAATGCAGCCAAACTCCAGCACCTCGGGCGAGTAAGGAGTCACAAATAAATAAAAATCAAGACGGCACAACGCTAGTGAGATTCATTGCGATCTGGTAATCAAACATGACAGTTATTTGATATAATATGGAGCGTGGTTGAAACACCACCTCAAGAATCCTGGTGGTATGATGCAGAGGCGTGTTGTCTAGTGTTGTCAAAATTGCCTGCGAGATACGGAGATTCGGTCACTACGATGTATCAGGTAGAGTTCGATGGTAAATGACGTTGGTACATGGCGATTCCCTGCACAGCTAGTAGCCCGCTTCGTTAACTCTAACGTGGTGGGTGCCGACGCGTGACCCGGCACAGCAAAACGACGATGGAACGGAGGGATTTAGCAACGACAATTACAGCAATGATATGACAATTCCAACCTCCTCCAAGTCTACAAAAACTATATTGCAGGAAGACAATTATTCCTTCTTCGTTGGATAATTCCAAAACCTGACTACATCCCAAACTCAGCTATCGGGGCTGTTTATATGATACGCTGTCCATGGGCCGCAGAAGATTTTAAACATTCAAGGTGCCTATTGACCTCGTGCCACCCATCCTCCCAGTCAGCACCTAGACCAACTTGCTCGATGCCAGGAAGCATGAAGAAAATAATACGTGCGACAGCTTCGGCGTCCGCGTCCTCGTGGTGAGATAGGCACAAATTCAAACTTGTCAAGGAGGTATGTTGGTATGACTCGGCTTCAGGATCGATATCGATATCATCAACGTCGATCAATATTCGCAGGGTCTCCAACTGGGGGCATAAACGGAGCGCTGCGAATAATCCGCGGAATGTCACCACAGGTGGAGGATAAAGATCTGGGTTACTCCCTAATTGCAGCTGACGAATGTGCGGCCAACTTGATATGGCTTCCAAAAGAAGGTCGTTGTCGAGGTAGATGGGGCAGTTATCACAAGAGAGCCACAGCGTTTGCAGCTGCGGGAAACAGAGGAATTGTCTAATCGCCGTCAAAGAGTTGCATGAGGGCTCCTGGGCTGCGTCATCAGATGAGAATATAGCGATGTCTTTGAGAGTCTGGCGGAATGATTTGCACTGCGACAGTGTCCGAAAGAGCTCCTCAGCATCTGCCCAAGGTAGAATGTTGACATGCATCTCGAACTCTATTAGAGAGGGGAATTCTAAGTGTCGGATGACTGCGATAGGGTATGCAGCCGTTTCTACATATAACTGGAGGGTCACGATGTTGAGGAAAGGTGCGAATTTGAGATCACTCCGATCCAGTGGGAGACATCCGTTGTCACGAATGCGCACTGAGAGAAGAGGGTGGACATTGGAGAGGTGGTTCCATGTCGCCCAATCGAGCGGTGCACAATCCAGATATTGGAGCTGCTTGCACGAACGAACGGTTCTAGCCAGGAGTGACCGTTCATCTGCTGTGCTCCGATGGGAGGCCTTGATAGCTAAGTGCTCCAAAGCAGCACAACGGGTTCCGATAGATTGCATACTTGGATGAAGAGCCGATATTGAACAATGGCGTAGCGTAGGGGACAGGAAGAGATGAAAGTTAATGGTATCTGAACGCGGAACCTCCCAGGTTAACGACGTCAATCTCGGGAACAAGCACGTCTCGGTGGGAAGGATATTGAGAAGGTGAAGATGTTCGTAAAATGGTATACACATCGAGCGCACACGGGCAGCATGACGCATGAATTGACGGGCCTCGTCCCCCGATAATGGTTCGATGCCTTCACAATCGAAGTACTGTGTTTGAATGCTTGTTGAGCCAATGAACGACAAGAAATGAAGAGCGTGACTAGTCCGTACTCACCCGTTGACCATCACGATATACCATTGGATGTAGCCTCGCTACACAGCCTAGGAATGGTTCTATCCCAACCATATTAGCCCATATCAAGTCCATTGCGGGCTCATAGAAGGTTTTGCATGTCCTTGCAAGCGCTACAAGGGATGCCCACCCAACCCACTGGTCTATGTCGGCAAACACGCCGCCCCCAGGCCATGACGGCACACTAGTGCTAATTAGTATGGCAATTAGCACCTGTAAATTAGCATGCACCAAATTTATCATACGATATTTGACAGGCCGGTCGCCCGCGGGACGATGGGTGCAGGTATCTGAATATCTCCAAGAGTATTTCAGAGATGAATAGAGCTCGATGCATCGGTTTGATTGGTTTGATACCGAGTACGCAGCGAAACCTATGCGAGTTGAAAGGGAAAAGATGAATCAAGCAGGATCAGAATAGTAGAGTCGTAGAAATACGAGAAGTAATGCGGAAACTGTCGAGCTTCGGACGGATAACGTTGGTGCAGGAGTACGAGGATACATCCTGTCTAAGTGCAAGTCTAAGTGGCTCAAATACCATGGTAATTGTATGCGAGAGGCTGAAAGGAAACTAGGGAGTCAAAGGGAAAGACGTCAAACATGCAAAAATCGGAGGCATGCCTTTGTTATATATAGCTAGGCGTGTTGTGATAGTAAAAACGTGAAGTGTGAAAATGTGAACAGGTGAAATGTTGCTCACGAATATAGTAAAAGAAATTCAATGCATCCGCGTACCTGAGAATCAGATGCGAAGAGTGAAGCTTCTTGACCGACGAGGTAAACGGATGCGGCCTCTCAGGCTGAAGCGTTGGTCGGGCGTAAACTTGGAGTAGGACTCCTTACAGTTGCGATGTACGTGACAATGATATGTAGTGGAGTATGATATATTAAGATGCATCATTAAGCACGTTCTCAGCGACAATTTGAATCAGATTACTGGAGGAACGAGGCCTCTAGGGGGGAGACATGGTAGGTGTAGAGTCCAGACTTGGTCCAGACAGTTATTTTTCTATACATAGAATAGATATTAGATTAGATATCCATACAGATAGACAAGTATATACTTCATCTTGAACAAAACGTTTGCAGTGAGACGAATATCATTGATACAGTAACTCGACAACCAGACCAAAGGAAACGAAAAAGAACACAACTGCAACCAGCAACGACGAACAACAACAGGGCACGAACGAAAAAAAATAATCGAACTAACCCGTAACAAATTGAGCAACGAGCAAACAGTATCACTAACCACCACACAGTATCACTAACCAACTACAGATATATACAAAAGCACTCGTCGCGCTCAAAATCCGACCCAGCCCATCCACACGCAATCTAGGGTTAGGCACCATCCGAAATGATACTCCCGATACTCAACACATTCTTCTTCCCTTGATGCCCTACACGCGCGTCATGCTCAAACGGCGCGCGCGATAGATGGATGAGCGGGTAAGCCGCCCCACCACCACCACCTCCCCCCGGCGTGCCCGCCACAGGCGACGACGCGTCAGATGAAGACGACGAAGACGAAGACGCTTGTTGACGGGCTGATGACGACGGGTGTTGGCGGAGCGGCGCAAGCTGGATGAGACCGTGCTCGCCGGCTGTGGATACGGAGCTGGGGTTGTTCCATGCAGTTGCGGGGGTGGCTGCTGGCCACTCGTGGTGAGAGCCTGCAGTTGGGTGCTGGGAGGGAGGAGGTGGGGGGAGGTTGTACCCTCCTGTAGACGCGGATGCATATGCAGATTGTTGGTGGCGCGGGTAGGCGGGTTCATTAGAGGAGCTGGGGTACGGTTGGTTGGCGTATCGAGAGGGGGGCGAGGAGGTGACGCGAGGGGTTTGAGGCTGGGAGTGGGCGTGGGCAGAATTAGACGGTTGGTAGTAGTCACTTGCGTTGGAGTTTGGATAGGGCTGTTGATGGTTGAACTCGTATGATTGGGTATGAGATGGCGCGGATGATGAGTAGGGCTGTGGATTAACGGGAGGAGCAGGGGTATTCCATGACGGAGTGTGAGCGGAGGATTGACTGGAGGGGTAGTAAGCTGTTTGTCCATGATTGTGAGACGGCCCAGTTGAGGTAGTCGGAGAGGACTCGTAATACGAATCACCGTTTGGACTAGCGTATTGTTGCGACTGTTGAGGTGGGTATTCATACCTAGACTGTGATTGCGAATATGGCGCAGGTGTAGGGTATGTATTGGACGGAGGTGCTCCATATTGCGACTGAGACCGCGATGATGAAGGGTATTGCGGGTGAGATGAAGTCGAGGGGTGCGGGTATTGATTAGAGGTCGATGGCTGACTGTTGTATTGCCCAGCAGAAGGATATGGCTCCTGAAAAGTGTTGGATGGGGTGTTCTGACCATCATAACCGGATGGATAGGCATTGCGCTGGTTTTCAAACTGGGGGCGTTGTGGCGGAGGCTCATACGCTGTTCGAGAGGTTTCGTATCCTCGTTGATCTGGCTGTTCATACGCTGCCCTTGTCTCGAACGACGGGCGTTGATTAGGGCTGCTTTCGTAAGGAGGACGTGGCGGCTCAAATGCGGAAGCGCGGGGAGCTTCATAGTTTATTCTGCCTTGCGAGTTGAACACGGGAGCAGATGTCGGAAATGGTGTAGACTGTGGAGGCGGATGCATAGTCTGACGTTGAGAAACGGTGGAGGACGCAGGCGGGATGGACGGCTGTGCGCTGCGAGGGTTATCGTATGTCGGTGCTGCAGGCGGGGATATCATTTGCGCTCCAGGTGGCGGAGGTATAGAGCCTCCCAGACGCGAGCTTTCGTAGCTCGCACCGCGAGGTGGTGGGATTCCCCCACCTGCAGGGGCAGGCGGTGGAGGATGCGTTGGCGCAGGAAGTTCGACACCGCCGGGCGCACTTGGAGCACCTAGCATAGGATCTAAACTGGTTGAAGATGGCCATGCGGGTAATCCCGCTAGTGACCCGGTAGGGGTCTGCAAGTCTGATGCGCCGCTAGAAGACACTGTACCGTGCCGAGCGCGTTTGGAATGTCCCGAAGAAGGGGCTGCAGAAACTGGGGTATCATTTTCATGCTCGTCTTCGTTATTGTTGTTCTCGGTATCGATGGGAGCGGTGAGTGCAGCGATAGGACGTTTACGAACTCGAATATCTTTACGGATGCGGATCTTGATGCCTTGGTCGGCTAGCGAACATGAAAGAGGTGTGGACTCTGATAAGAAAGTGCAAGCCAATCATATATAACAAATAATTAGCAAAGAACGAGGCGTTGAGCAATTAATTTGGATCATTAAACCTTAGGCCCACCTTCCATACCGGGGAACTTCTTTGCAGTGTAGACATAGAATGGCGCTGAGTAGATCGATTTACAGTGGCGGACGGTATTGCTGAGGAGAAGTCAGGGACGTGAGTAGGATGTGGTTAGTCAGCAAAATTCGAACATACCCGACGACTTCGAAGAGGCTGAGCTTTAAGCGATAAGAACCCTCGGTTCGAACGCTGAGGTCGGGGAAGACGAAGAATCCAGCATCCTCGTTGCGGTTTTCGGTATCTTTGAGGTGATATAGGGACGAGACGACTGAACCTGTAGTACACCGTGTTTTCCCATCCTGATAACTAGCAATCAGAAAGAGATTACGGTGATCATAAGATACTAACCTTAAGCCAGTGTAGTTCGGTGTCATCATCTGGTTTTGCTAGACTTGCGAACATGAAATAATAGGGATTCTGAAGGAAGCTGTGAGCATAACTGGGGTCTGATTCGTCACCATCTAGGCGAGCTGGGGAAGGAGGTTGACGAGTTTGTGGGTCGATAACACGAAGTTGGATGATGGGAGGGGGGTCGATGGGACGCCTGTCAGCTAAGCGAGAATAAGTTCCTGCAAGGAGAGATAAAGGCAAGTGACTTACCACCAACACCGCACATACGGGCTTGTTTTGGCTCCTGCCTGACGGTAAGCTCATATTCCCTGGGTGGACGATTGAACATGTTAGTAAAGAAAAAGACGATAGGAAGGAAATGGAAGTAAGTTATCAGATATGAAGGTTGAACGGTTAACTTTGATGCCCTTAGTTGTGGACGGAACCGTAGCATTGGAACGATCTTTTGGTGTGTGAAGTTGAAAGCGCTGGAAGGAGACTTACAGCCTATCCCTCTCATGGTATCCTCTGTCTCGGTCAGCTGCGTAACCGTAACTGGCTGCGATAGGATGGTAGGTAGAAGGGTCCATTAATGTTGAGCTCGTCGTCGTCGGCGATGATGACGATGAGTATCTTGATAGGACCTTTGTAAAATCGATGGTCTATTGTTTTTGCTGGCTGGGAACCACGTTCCAAACCCAAACCCGGTTTATGACATGGCAACCCAAAAACACGGCTCCCACACACGTGGCAGGCGTCTGTCAACCTCCCATGCCCGTACAATTTCCGTTCCGCCGGCCTTCCTCGAGTACTTCTTAGTCTTCGACGACGACAGGCTATGGTAGGCTACTTATAGGCTGTTATAGGTCTATCCGCTAATTTTTACCTTGAGTCAAAATTCGAGAACCTTATCATCTCACATGTTCACCTCTGAACTTTATATCTTCAGGTCAATCCAATTATATTGACGCTGTCGATCTTCCCATCTAACCACAGTAGTATGGATGTCCATGTGTTGTGTCATCATCGGACCACACAATTTCCCTGCAACGGATCACTTCCACCACGCGACACTGAACTAAATCCCACCCCGAAGATTAACTCACATCTTGGCGAACTCCGTCCATTCGCAGGTAGCAGGATTTTTAATTGACTTGGTGGGATGGTACTCTCATGGTCGACCTACTTTGCCGTATGCGCCCCACTTATTCCATGTATGCCCGTGGACTCCGCGCTTCATCGCACGCTGAACAACATTTTGAATCTTGCGAACATGTTAGTCAAAGGTGAGTCTAGATCTTGCCAGAGCGCTCTAAATACCTTCGTAGTTGAGAACTACTTATGTTCCTTTCCTTGTCTCTGAAGATTTTTCAGGTAAGCAATCATCTAGTATGGTACTCTGCTTTTTCAACCTGCGTCCCGGAAAGTCTAGAACCTATCATATTCATTCACTGACTTCACCGTTCCCGAATGTCATTATTAACGCTTCGTTGAAATCGGCTTTGTGATTTCCACGACCAGCTAACGACCATCAGTCCAGAGCTTCTCGATTCTTGGATGATATACCTGGGCCTTCCTTGATATTGATAGTAAAGATGACGCATGAGCAAGGTGGCACAATGATCGTCGTCCTTTTTTTTTTTTTTTTTTTTAATCCCATGGACGTGATTTGTCTATTAACATCGCCTTCCTTCCTCTTCCTTCTCAACGGGCATACTTATCAGCGACGAGGGCTGCGCAAGGCCGTGCAGATGGTATGTAATTCATAACAGTCGTCTTCTGTGACGACTATTGAAGGGAAATAATTTTCCCTTCCGCGCTGCTTACTCTTTTGGGACTTGGCCACCGCATCAGACATTTTGCGATAGGACAATCGCCGATGAAGGAGCGCGATATATATTATGCTATGCGACTACAGGTCATGTTAACGTTCACACCAGCGGGGAACTAATTCCCTCGACTGCCCTTTGCGTTGGTTGAGTTCAGAGTTGTCGCCCTCCAGTTGATTTCAATTTGGTATACTGCAAACGTCGGATAATGCATATGACTGACGCGAAGGCCTGGGCAGACGCCGAAGAAGAGTAGCATTGCTCTAGTTCGTGTCTGATCGATGATACTTATATATAGCCTGCCATTCCTCCGGTCCGTAGGCAACATGCAGTGTAGGCGTGGATGACGCGAGGGCAAGGATGTAACTTTCATAGAAGACCGTCTACTTAAATTATTGAAGCATACTACAGTAGCATGGGCCAGCCAGTATTCCAATTACTACAAGTGATAACGTCGCTGCAATTACATGCCCAAAACAACACGTGCCAACGCTGCAAAATTATTCATCAAAGAAAGAATCAAGTGCTCGCCGTGTTTTCTTCCCATGGTTCATCTGTGGAAGGTCGTCACAGTAGACAATCAACACTAGCGGACAATCAGACAGCGGTAACGTGGATGAGCGTATGGGATTCGGTGATACGGTAAGAGATAAGATATCGATACATCAGCGGTGAGCTATATATACTGAATGAGCGTTAGCAGCCAAACACCGACAATTATGGCACGGTGTCCAATCAACGAAGGGCGCGTTAATCACATGAAAGTAAGCGCATGCTTACAATCTGGTGCTGAGGCCACAGCCGGAATGTCTTGCCGAAGTTTGGAAATGGCCTCTGCATTGATGCTATACAAGCGCATCATATCAATGACTTTATCCAGTATATCCCGATCCGTGCGGGCCAGGAGTGTCAATTCCCTGTCATACAACTGAATACGAGTATGAACTTCCTCGCTCGTCGGCGAGGCGAGGTAGGAAGCCACCGCAAGCTTGATGACCCTAGGAGACAGTTCCTGACTTTCAGATACAAGATGAAGTATCTGCAACACGAGAGTCAAGTCGACAATGTAGGACATGAAGCGCTGAAGTACGACGCGGCTAACGAGGATCCATCAGTACCTCTTCATGAAGGGTAGGTAGAGGTACTTACGACAGTTGGTACACCTCGTAAACCCATCGGGCGAGTACAATACCTGCCGCGATCGGCACCACGATGGGAGTCGCAGATCCTGCCAGGGCGGACAGGATGCCCGCAATGGTACCCACAATGGAGAGCCGCCCAGCACTGTGATCATTTGATGAGATAGAAATTCATCTATTCTGAAAAAGAGCGGCCTACATGGCCTGATTGGGACCAGCCGTAGGTCCGTCTTCTAACTCATTGACCATGTTGACCATTAGTTTCCTGAACTCTGGGCTGTGCAAGTACTGTGCACAAATCACGTCAGAGTTGATGCGACGACATGGAAGACAGTCATTACATGATGCGGGTCATGAAAGTTCCACACAGCGACAATGTCGGTGTGGAGCACATATAGACAGTCCCACATTGTACGATCCTTGAATGCTGCGCATGATGCGAGCACCTTCCAGTATTCTGTAAGAGACATGAAGACTTAGATCGTGCTCAGTAATTTTCAACACGGAATCGGGACAGACTTTTCTTCCCAACCCTAACGCAGTGTGAACCTCGGGTTTAAAATGAAGAAAGCAAGACTTACTCAATGGACGCCTTGAATTTGAGTTCAGGATCCACGCGCTGGGCGATGAAGGTCATCACCGATGCTTCGATCGCAAAATTCTGACGGACGTGGTCTTCAGTCACTTTGATCAGACGAGCGAGTGTTTCCTTATGGCTTCTTTTTGCTGCGTTCGTACATTTAGGAAGCACGTATGAAACGGTCAGAGTATTGGTACCCACTAGAAATCGTAGCGTGGGGGATACCAGGCCCCGCGAATTTCTCTAGGGGTCTGATGCAGACATCCTGTAGCTCGATGTCTGCTTTGTTCTTAACGAGTTCCTTGAAGGCATCTTCGTCCGATCCTATTTCGTCCAAGGTACGATCCAGGCAGTCGATGAGCATGTCGAATTTCGTGAATACGACAATGACGGGGACTTTGACAAAAAGTTGAGCTGCCACCTGCGCGGAGCGATAGACATCAATCAACTCACTTTTCCCAGCTTCCCGTCACGCTTCAGTGTCAGGAATTCTTCCGTACCGGTCTCTAGTAAGCGCCCGCCTGCACGGGGTATCTCAAAACAAAGCCTTCCACGGGTTTCGTCAGTTTGTTATATGAACCGATCAGCACAAGGCCCTACCAAATAGCGTGCAGTTGATCTTTCAAAGCAGGCATGTTTTTCCGACGTTCAATGAAATTTTGGACTATTTTGAGGTTATCTTCTTCCCCTGGTTCAAAACCTTTGCTATCATGGAGAACGAATCTCTCGTTCTGTTCTGAGATGAACTCGGTATCAATGTTAGCATCACCTCGCCTATCATGCGAAGTGAGCTATGGAGATAGCATCAGCAATCTTCCGTGTTTAGTGTCGCGAGCAACTCACAGCTTTTTCCACTCCAAACGCGCTGTTTATGAGCGAAGACTTGCCGACGCCGGTCTATTGGAGCACAGTGTCAACAAATACGGGCGTGACATCAACGACGACTCGTTACCTTTCCTATAACCAGAATTCGGAACCTTGGTGCGTCTCTCGTGTCAACCTGATGAATAGCACTCCCTGGTCATCCTGACTCACCGAGGACAAATCCGGATGATTTCGTCAGTGGTGGGCTGGAGCTCCCGGTTTTCATCGGAAGAAGAGACGGGTTGCTCAGCCTGTTGGTTCACGATTTAGACGGCTTCTTATTCAAGACATAGACTCTTACTTCGGTTGTCGCATTCCTGGAAAGTTCGACGACGATCTGGAAATTTTTATGAGACTTGTTGTACGCTGCACATGTAGCGTTGTTTGTGAGCGATCTAAGACAAAATATTGCTGCCTCACCTTGTTTCTCGAGTTCTACTCTTTCACGAGACTCACGGAACATGTCTTCGGTATCGAATACAATGTCTTGATGTTCGATCCTCATTCCAAGGAATGTCTTGTGCCGTACATGTAAGGAAAATGAATCTCCGAGAGAAAGCTTCCTATAATAAGACAATTTAGACTGCGAACTATTTGAGTATCTCAAGTCCTCACATGGATGGAGAAAATGTCTGTCGCAAAGTCTTCCCTGCACCTCGTTCGATCTGCCTGTGCGACTTGCCAATCCGTGCTTCAGCAGACTCTACATTCTTTCGTGACCTGCTGAAATCGACGGAGACACCTGTTCGGTATAATATTCAGTGAAATTGATGGTTCGGCTGATGTGAGAGTTAAGTACCAGAGATATGGAGCAGACAGTGAACTGGTGGTGCGTGGAGAGAGTCGGCCATGCTGATTCGAGTTAGGGAAAACACGGGAAAACACTCCAAGACTCAGTTCTCGCAGAACCCGTTACTGTAGATTTATCTAGGCCATTCGTCAGCTGCGCCAAAGTGAGGTAACCTATAGTCTTACCTGGGAAGGCCAAATAGAAGGAAGGCAGTCGTTCGTTCTGGCACCCTCATGTATGCCTCATGCGCACCCAGCTATTCATGAAACTAAAATGAATGGGAAGGCCGCACAGAAGGATGACAGTCGGTAACCCAACGGTAACCTCGTGTATGCCTCATGGTGCACCAGGCGCAGGCTATTCACGGTCAACGCTTTGGTCGTTGATATGAAATTGACACATCCACAAGCGGCCTTGTGCCGCACCTGGGAATATTAATGGTTGAAGGTGGTGGAGTGACTATTTATATGGAGAATTTTGCACCATACTGACTCGAATTGTGGAAGACTATGGAGGTTCTCGCGGGAGTGTCTTTGAAGTAGGAAGAGTCGAAGACTATCGCATAATGAGGCAGCCGGATAGAACGCTGGAGGTGAACGGCTGATGACTGTCGACGTCGCGTCCGGCGGAAAGTGTTGGATCTTGGTGTGGGCAAGGGCAAGGGCAAGTGACTGGACTGTAATGCAGTAACTTCTAAGAGATGATCGATACAATCACGCCTTTCACTTACTAAATGCTTCTCAGCGTGTCGCTGACGAGTACGTGTACTTGTCTGATCGAAGTGTAGTAAACCACTGCAATATGTCGGGATATCTGGAAAAATTGACGATTAGCTAACGTAAATTGTGTAAATATGAGACACTATCATGATTGATAGTATCACGAGATTTAAGATCTTCGTGTCGGCCAGTCGCCTCCGATTGGTACGCGCAGCCATATGCCCATTGCCCACTGAATCTTATGGCGCTGGATCTGTTCAACTATTCTTCACATGCAAAACTCACACACGCACAGACGCCACACACACACAAACGAGACGCACACATAATCACTCCTTCGCATACACATTCTTGTATTGTAGGAAAATTAGTACTGCACTATGATCATTCATAAAATTCATTGATGCCCCAAGGTATCCAACTCTGCACGTGTCAACATTGGGCCAGGCTCCGTGATCAGAGCTGCCAACAACTGCTGAGCCGATCTTGAAACGCCTCGCAAGGCTGCCGTGAGGTTGAAAGAGTCTAGGAGACGAGTATGCGCACCTTGCATAATGACGAACAAATACATTCAAGCCTCGGAAGGCATCATGTGGCCGTGGGAGACTCTCCAGACCTTGCCGGACCTTGTTAGATTTGGGCACTTTTGCTGATGGCCCTTCTCATCGACACTTACATCAAGGATCCACCCAGCGCGAACATCTTTTTGACACCAATACTGGTAGCTTTCCGTTTTCTTTTCTCGCTCTCGTCCGCCAGCCGAGGTTTTGCTGCCAATGCTGGCGGCTTCGGTGCGTTTTTTTTGCCCTTGGACTCTACTTGATTGGCGCTTATAGAACCCTTCATTAGCAGCCTTGTCTGCAATATAAATTGATCATCACTCCGAGACCTACTCACTTCTCATCACTTCGTCTCGTCCACCGGCCAGGCCTTAAAAAGATTCGAGGCTTTGCTGCCAATGCTGGCGACTCTCAGTGCGTTTCACTCGGAGACCTACTCACTTCTCATCGCTCCATCTCGTCTACCAGCCTGGCCTTAAAAAGATTCGTCTATAGAACCCTTCATCAGCAGCCTTGTCTGCAATATAAATTGATTATTGAATCATGTCAGATCTAATAGTGCAGTACTAATTTTTCTATGGTACGAGAGTGTATGCGACGGAGTGATTATGTGTGTGCGTCTCGTTTGTGTGTGTGTGGCATCTGTGCGTGTGTGAGTTTTGCATGTGAAGAATAGTTGAACAGATCCAGCGCCATAGAATCTAGATGTGACTTGGGTACTCACAGAGTTCACACACGCCAGTGTTTATAACCGAAGCCTAAGCTAAGCACTCCCCAGTCTTCCTTGCCTTCCTCAATGGATCCTTCAAAGATAAGACAGAAATGCGAACGCTTCCGAATCCTCGTAATAGGGAGAGCGAATGCAGGAAAAACAACTATCCTCAAGAGGGTATGCGATACACAGGAGAACCCAGAAATATATGATAGCTCCGGGGAAAAGGTGTGAATAATGATACATACTAGTAGCAGGCTGGTGGTGATAATTGACCCATCCACATCAGATCGATGCCGCAGTTTTGAAGGCATCCAGAGAGGTAATGTGTACACGTACACGTGCATTGAATTGGCAACATCACCTGATGCGTTATCAGCGTGGAGAGCACGATATTGAGAATGAGATGGTGTTTCGAAGCAACCCAGGATTCATCTTCCACGATTCACGTGGTTTCGAAGTGGGCGGGCAATCCGAATTCGACAAGGTGAAGGCATTTATCGCAAGCCGTTCCGAGAGAAGAGGCCTAAAGGATCGAATACATATCATATGGTAGTCATCATCGATCAAGTTCGCGACATGTGCTAGCTCACTTCTGTGGCATAGGTATTGTATTCCAATGGATGAGGCGAGCAGGTCGTTCACTGAAGGGGAACTCAATTTTTTCTCTCACTGTGACACAGGGACCAGTAAGCTTTCGCATGCGACATCATGAACAATCGAGTGATTCGCAATCCTTAGTTCCAGTGATAGTAGTGTTCACCAAATTCGATGCCTCCTACAATGTCGAATTCGCTCAGCTGAGAGAAAACGGAGCATCTAGGAAAGATGCTAGAGAACTGGCCCCAAAGAGCGCTGAAGAGTCATTTGCGAATGGGCCACAGTTAAAGTTCCTATACAACTCCAAGGACATACGACGACCTCCAAAATGTCACGTATGCCTCCCCAGTAAGTCGGTTAACCATTGAATTGTCGTACATGATAACATTTGATCTACACCCCATATCAGACATGGACAAGGATGGTGCAGACTGCGGGCCGCTCATTGCACGCACAGCGGAGACTCTGGATAATCAAGTGCTCAAGCAATTGTTCGTCTCAACTCAACAGACCAACTTAGAGCTCTGCATGAAATATGCAGTTGAAAGGCAACTCCTTCATTCTTGTTCGTCTGTAGCGAGGAACAACTGACATTGTTGGTAGAACCCTTGCGGAACTTGTCGACTCCACTCAGACGACCTCGTCTGGCATATTTAGGAAATCTCGAAAACCCGAGGGTCATGACGTGGTAATAGGCAAGTTGGGTGCCTGGTTTCCACATATATATGTAAGATTATTGGAATGTTCGAAAAATACTCATTCAGGGTGTGCGGTTGCTCGCAGGCAGTATGTATACTGATTCTCTCTGGCATGCTGATTGAGGACGTATTGATCCATTGACAGCAAGGGGTCAGTGTGTTGATCCTCCATCGAGCCCCAGCCCTGCTGACCGAAGGCATTGTCGATCTGCTGACAGCGAGTCAGTGTATTGATCCTCCGTCGAGATCGAGCCTTACTGACCTGAAGACATCGCCCATTCATTGATAGGAAGTGAGCGCATCAATCCTCCGTCGAGCCCGAACCTTGCTGACCGACGAAATTGCTGATCCGTTGACAGGCTGTGAGTATGTTTCCTCCATCAACAGGTTGATCGTTACCCACTACTGGCATTGCTCATCTGTTGATAGGATGTGAGTGTATTTGATCTTTCGTCCATCTCCAGTCTTGCTCACCAATGACATTGCCTCAATCTGTTGTCAGCATGTGAGTGTGTTCCTCCAGCACTGAGCACCAGCCTTCCTGATCGGGCAGGTTGTAAATTACATCAATAGGCTGTGAGTGTGTAGATCCTGCATCAAGTTCGAGCCTTCCTGAGCAAAGACGTTGCTGATCCATTATCAGTATGTGAGTGTGTTTATTCTCCTTCAATTGCGAGCCTTACTGATCAATGGGCCCGCCGACCTATTGACAGAACGTGAGTATGTTGATTGTCTGTTGAGCCTTAGTAACTGATGAGCCTGCCGACCTCTTGATAGAGCGTCAGTGTGTTGATTGTATGTCGAGCCTTGCTGAACGAAGAATTTTCCAATCCGTTGATAGGTTGTGAGTGTGTTCATCACCGCAGACCTCGAGCCTTACTGATGAATAAAATGTCCGGTCTGCTGACAGCGAGTGAGTGTATTCACCCTCTGCCCAGCTCGAGCCATCCTGACCCAAGATATTGATAATCCATTGTCAGGATGTGAGTGTCTTCGTCTTCCGTCGACGTCAGGCCTTGATCACCAATGAGACTACTGATCTGTTGATAGGCAGTGAGTGTGTTGATCGATCTTTGAGCTCGAGCGTTGCTGAGCAGAGAATTTTCTTATCCGTTGACAGGTTGTGAGTGTGGTTATCACCGGTCGAACTCGAGCCTTACTCACCAATGACAATACTGTTCTGTTGACAGCGAGTGAGTGTATCTGAATGGATCCCCCGTCAGACTTCGAGCCTTACTGACGGAAGAAATTGGGAATCTGTTGACAGCATGTATGTGTGTTTATCTTCTTTAGATGTCGAGCTTAACCCTTGCTCTCCGATGAAATCGCTGACACATTCACAGGATGTGAGTGTATCAATCCTCCATCGACCTTAACCCTTTCTCACCAACAACATTGGTTTTTCATTGGTAGCTTGTCGGTGTTCTGATGCTCTGTCAACCTCGAACCTTGTTGACTCTGTTGACAGGATGTGAGTGTGTCCATACACCTTGTACCCCGAGCCCTGCTCACCATCAAAATTACTGATTGCCTGACAGGTTGTATGTGTCTGTCGACCTCATTGAGCCTTACTGACCCAAGGCATTCCCCATCCATTCACAGAGTGTGAGTGTGCTGATCCTCTGTCGACCTTGAGCCTTGCTGACCCAAGGCATTCCCCATCCATTCACAGGGGGTGAGTGTGCTGATCCTCTGTCGAACTCAAGCCTTGCTGACCCAAGGCATTCCCCATCCATTCACAGTGGGTGAGTGTGCTGATCCTCTGTCAAACTCAAGCCTTGCTGACCCAAGGCATTCCACATCCATTCACAGAGAGTGAGTGTGCTGATCCTCTGTCGACCTCGAGCCTTGCTGACACCAGGCATTCCCCATCCATTCACAGTGGGTGAGTGTGCTGATCCTCTGTCGAACTCGAGCCTTGCTGACCAAGGCATTCCCCATCCATTCACAGATTGTGAGTGTGCTGATCCTTTGTCGACCTCGAGCCTTGCTGACCCAAGGCATTCCCCATCCATTCACAGGGCATGAGTGTGCTGATCCTCTGTTGACCTCGAGCCTTGCTGACCCAAGGCATTCCACATCCATTCACAGTATGTGAGTGTGCTTATCCACTGTTGACCTCGAGCCTCGCTGACCCAAGGCATTCCCCATCCATTCACAGATTGTGAGTGTGTTGATCCTCTGTCGAACTTGAGCCTTGCTGACCTAAGGCATTCCCCACCCATTCACAGAGGGTAAGACAATTATGTGCTGATCTTCTGTTGACCTCGAGCCTTGCTGACCCAAGACATTTCCCATCCATTCACAGAGCGTGAGTGTGCTGATCTCCTGTCGACCTCGAGCCTTGCTGACCCAAGGCATTCCCCATCCATTCACAGAGCGTGAGTGTGCTGATCCTCTGTCGAACTCGAGCATTGCTAACCCAAGGCATTCCCCATCCATTCACAGTATGTGAGTGTGCTGATCCTCTGTCAACCTCAAGCTTTGCTGACCCAAGGCATTCCTCATCCATTCACAGTATGTGAGTGTGCTGATCCTCTGTCGACCTCGAACCTTGGTGACCCAAGGCATTCCCCATCCATTCACAGGATGTCTGTGCCTATCCTCCATCAACTTCAAGCCACACTGACCGATGACATTCTCAATTTATTCACAGAATGTGAGTGTGTTGATCCTCAGCTCACAAAGACCATGTCATGATTATTTCACCAGGATACCCACCCTCTATATAAGGAGATGAAATCTAGCCTAAACTCCTTGGTATGTCCCACAGGTCACACACCTATCCACAAAATTCTGATGTTAATATTGTGCTAGGCTTCTGGCTCATCAACATTGGAGCAAATTGTGCAGCTCAGTTCAGGTAAAGGTTTAGGTGAGATCAAAATGAGGCTGCTGATTATTGAGTGACTAGCAACCATCATTATTCTTGAATACTCTTTCTATCTCTGGGACCAGCAACGCTCGGTGGATGGAGACTCTGTTTGTCTTGCTGTCAAGCAGTACATGAAATCTCTGCATGCAGCTGCTGTCAGGGAAGCTGTGGGCACTGCTATTCGCACATATCAGGAAAATATGCCATCTGTTTGGAAGGCGAAGCTATCTTCTGGAGGTCCTCAGAGGAAGGCAGAGTTAATTAATTCAATTCTTGAAGTCACCTTATGCCACCACCTGTGTACGTTTCAACTCTCTTCATTGTAACAGTGCTGCTGACATGTTTATTTCCAGCAAGGTCTTGATGCTAGGAAGTGTGGCACTGTATCAATGGTTTTTGGAGTTGAGGTGAGGTGTCTTGCAGTGAACAAAGGTTTCTGGAGGTTTCTTTGATGGTTTACTGTGATGGCTTGAGGGTGTGGCACTGTACTGAATGGTTGTATGATCATGCAATATGTATTTTCATGGGATGTCTATGTGTGTCAATCCTTTCTAGGGCCGGTCACCATAACTGTACACAGTTATGGCCATACAATTGTATGGTAGCCATATGGGTACTGCCCATATCGTACTGTATGTCATATGGTGTACTCAATATTGTTGATAGTACGGTGTGGGTCACTATATGGTCATACAACTGGCCAATACAGTCATATGGGAGATGAAACCATACTGAATTACAGTAGCTAGTATGTAGTACAAATGAGTATCATTCAATCAATCACCGTGAAGGCATTACGAGCCAGGCTCAGCCGTTGTTTGACCAACATTAGTGTCCTAATAGTCTTGTGTTGGAGACTAGCATGTTGAAGGGAAATCATATCACAGCCACCCGAAAAAATGTGCTCGATAGTGACGGCAGAGCCTACACAGTGTGCAAAATTAGTATACCTATAGACAATAGTTTTGAGCAGGTTGAACTCACCAGGAATAGTGAGAATATTGTGAGCCAGATGCGAGAGATTTGGAAATTGTGAGTTGTGGCCTGCCCACCATTGGATGGGGTCACGGGCATAAAAGTCCTCCATGAGCAGCCTATAGTACTCCTTGAGCTCATCCCTCAAGTTCATTGGGTGTTTTTTTGTACCAAGCTGTGAAATTGACTTTCTGTGATGATCCAGATAAAGTTTCTGCTGCTGCAGGTTGAGGAGCAACAGGGGAAGTTGAAGCTTGCAATGAAAGGTAGTTGTCTCGATAATACTGACACATCTGATCCCTTGCGTGGTCCAAGTGGCTTTGAAGTGTGTGGTCATTGCCGCAGTCAGTTGAAAGACCTTTGAATGAAATTCGGGGGTCAAGGACTGTCAAGGAATAAGTAGACAGAACACAAAGAGACACTCAGTGTTTTTGGGACATTTCCTGCAATCAAGAACCTCCTGAAAACCTCGGTTGACAGTGGCAGGTTCACCATTTGAAGGGCTCATGGAGGCCTTTGATTGAAGTTGTGTTTTCTAAAGGTGGGGACAAGCAAGCACAGGTAGGGGAAGGGAGCAGTACTTGTGCATATTTTGACGAGCATAGTGGTAATTCCCCCTGGATTGGGCATGAGAATCAACAAGGTATTCTCGACATAAGAACTTCACATTAGAACTCATGCCACTGTCTGTTCATGCAATCAACTCAAACATCTATTTTATCCACTGCTCAAATGGCAGCATGGTCCAACCTCTCCAACCTTTCCACCCTTCTAACAGTGAGGATTAGTGGGTTCATACATGTCCTGTTGGTCCTGAAAATTTTTGATTTTGCAAGTTTCATTGATGTTGCAATTCTTTATTTCAATACTAGAACCACTGCGTACACTATCACAATCATGGAATGCTCAGAATTCCCCTTGTTAAAAGAGTTCAAGATGCATGTTGATGTTTTACCTTGGGCAGTGCAGGCCATGCGCCATGCACCATGTGCACGCCTCATCTACGACTCAAGTGCCCAGAGGTCAGACTTTCGCAGGTACTGAAAGAAGGCTATATGCACCTAATAAATGTCTCTTGAATCGTGGTATCTATCTTGCTCCGTTGCTGAGATGAAAAAAAATCTTTATACTTGATCGAGAGCGTGATGATGAAGGATATCGAGAGCAAGACGAAGAAGACGGGCATGGGTATTGATTGGAGGTGGCTGAGCGGAGGTACACAATTATTGGAAAGTCCTTGTTGAATTACATTCTGAGTTGCTGATCACTCGGTGGCTTGTCATTCGTTTGTAGGTCCATACACAGCCTGCCCCAAATGTCTCCAAAGAACAATAAGGTCATTCAAAATAAAGGGTAACTTAGAAGATCTGAGCAAGAATGTATGCTGTATGATGAACATACTTCACGGACTCAGCTGCTCATACCACTCCACATATGTATGTGTGTAGAAGACTATTATGGGAGTGAGTCCAATGATTCTTGAATATGAATGACCTACCAATTGAGGAGCTTGAAGGGTTGTATAGTTCAGGCCCCGTGGTGGGTGAACTGTGATGGAGGTGAACAGAGATCTGAGTCTGACAGGAGATATTGGGGCACCCTGACAGTGGCAGCACAGTGTATGAAAGGAAGAGGATTGTTTACCCATGCGGTTCATGATTGTGGTTCATAGTGCAGTGTGTGCAAGATTGAGTGGGGGAAGGCTTCATATGTGCGCTGAAAAGGACTGGAAATATCAGGGTATAACCAGCTCACCTGTTCCAACTGAAAATATCAGCATAACAATGAAGATAGACCAAGTGGGATGATTTGTACAAAGCAGTAGCAAAATGTGGCATTGAAGAAGAAGAGTGGATGACATGAGGAGGTCATGAGGCCATCAGAAGAGAAATCCTAGTGGGGCAACATTGATATGACAGAGAACTGAATAACAATGCGGATGCTGAATGAAAAAAGTTGGTGGATGGTGTGAGAGAATTCATGACTGAAAGAAGAAGGGTAGGAGAAGCAGGAGTGAACAGAAGAAGATGGGTGAAGGAGGAGAGGATTGGCCGGGGGAAGAGTGGAAGTTAAGAAGGTCGGGTGCTATGTGGCACAGTGGGGCTTGAGTTGAAGGTGACTGGAGGAGATATTGAGTGAAATGACCGCGGGAGGCCTCGGGGCAAGTGATTCTGACCTTGTGGTGTATAGGGCTATTGAACTCACATTATTGGTAATACAGATGATGAGTAGTATGGTGTCTATGACAAAGTGTGAGCGTTTGTGAGGGTCTAGACGAGACAGTTGGAGAGAATATTGTTGGATAAAATATGGGACTCGAGTCACTTGACGTCTACCGTGCAGGTAGTAAGTTAGAGGAGGCTTCCTGGAAAATCCCACACAACAATGCAACAGGGACCAACTGGAATGATTGAGACCAAGTGGGTTTTCTGAGTTAGCCGAGGAACGAGGCTAACGCAGAAGTTATTCTACGCGTGAGTAAGCGGTGTGACAGTAACTCTCTTTGTTCTCGTCCACACACAATACCTATTATCGTAGATGACAGCAGCCCTAGCTCTCTGTCTTTGCTCATTCAATCTAGCACACAGTTCTCATGCTAGACAATCCCAAGTGATGCAGTCTTACCAGACTTCACAACAGCCGAGTATGGAGACGCCAGGGCGCGTCTGATAGAAAAAGGCATTGTGGATAACGTGCTAGCAGCAGAAGCTCTAGCAGCAATCTGGACTCTGAACAACGACGCAGCGAAAGACGCTTGGGCAGATCAAGAAGAAGCAGAGACCAGACGAGCCCACGAGGCCCGTCGTCTCGCTACCGAACAGGAACAAGAACGCCAACAAGCGCTCGAAGATGAGCTAACCGCAGCACACAAAGAAGAGCACAAGAAAAACAAATCCAAGTTCGTCCCAGTCGCTACAGCTAAGATACCTACTACTCCCGTCATTATTCCTTCCAATTATGCAGTCCAAAAACTCAAAGCAGGCGACTATTGCGAACTCTATTACTTCACCAACAAAGGCCTAAATGAAGCTAAGAAGAACCTCCTATCGACAGAGTCGCGAGGTTTGATCCTACTCCCAGGAGCAGATGGCCAACAGACGTGGGTCAACGCAGACGAGACCCGCGACTTGAAAGCCGTCATCACCAAAGACGAAAACTTCTCATGGGAAGAGTTCAATGAAGCCGCCCCTTGCATGGTCATCGCCATGAAGCAACAAGAATGGCCAGAAGACCGCATCAACATGCACATCAGCTTTTGGACAGCCCTGCAGAATCATCACTGGTGCCATGCCATTGACACCCTGAAACAGCGTGCACTCTTACTCTACCAAAGTCAACAGCGCAGAATGTGGCACCTCACAGCAGGTGACCCACACGGCTGGTCTATAGCTGAACTCAGTCATGAGCTCATCCTCGAAGCGAGAGAGGAAATCTTCAACTTGGACCGCGATCAGGCTCTCAACGCACTTAAACAGGTGCGAGATCTCTTAACAAAACTAAGCTCCGTCTGTAGTCTGCTAATCCACCCCCCCTCATTTTTCCTACAACCGTTATCAACCAACCGCATCACGCGTTTTTGCCTCATCCATCAAAAATCGCTGCTCGTCATCATGATCGTGCGGCAACCATCATCATTGACCAACATGCGTCACATCGGCCATCACATGCCACTATTCAATCCATACCATCATGTGCCATCATGCACCTCCTAATACCCCACACACCAGGCCATCCCTGCTGTTAATCAAAACACAGGCTCCAGAGCTTTCAGTGGACAAAAGAGACCAATATTGCCTAACACTGAGGCGAGAGACCAGAAAAAGAAACCGCGATCCTTTCGAGACACGCACAATACACTCACCACCCTCCCTTGCTGCACGGTCTGTCTCAGACGCAACCCGCATCGCACAGTTGAGTGTTCCGCCTCCCGAACATGGGATAACCTCTTCGACGTCTTCTCCGAGCGCATCAAGAAAGCGCTCTGGACCAAAGACGGCCGCCAGCTATGCACTGCCTGGCAACGCGAAGAAAGCTGTGACAGCACATACCACAACCACAAACACCTCTGTTCAGGCTGCGGTTCTTCTGAGCATGGAGCCCAGCGCTGTACTCGCGCTCAGAAAACTTAAACCACTCACACCCTACAAAGCTACTGCATGGGAACGAGCGCTTCGAGACACGCAGGCACTGAATCGCTTCTCAAAGATCCCAGAAGGTTTCCGCTCCAGTTTCATACTAGACTTCCCATTAATCTCACATGTACAAATCCCTCCAAACAAAGACTCTGTTAATGAATACCTATCCGAATTTAATTCCGTCATCCAGAAAGAACTACAGAAAGATAGATACATAGGTCCCTTTCTTCCCACAACTCTCAAACATCTTATCGGCCCTTTTCAATCTTCGCCACTATCCATCATTCCTAAGCCGGGCAAGCCAGGCAAATATAGACTAGTACAAAACTTCTCCTTCCCACATTCCCTCACTAGCACCCTCCCTAATCCTTCAGTTAATTCGTTTATCGACTCGGATCGCTTGCCCACCACTTGGGGCAAATTCTCAATCATTTACCTTTTGATTTCGAGGCTACCTACAGGCTCAGAAGTAGCAACCCGAGATGTCGCCGAAGCTTACCGAACCGTTCCACTTCACCCGTCGCAGTGGCCAGCAGGGGTAGTCTGAGTATCAGACTCAGAATTCTGCATAGATACCTGCATGGCATTTGGAGCCACCCCATCGGCGGGAGTATATGGTCATGTAGCAGACGCCGGGGCCGAAATCTTCAGGCACCAGGGCATCAGACCATTAGACAAATGGGTAGATGACCACCTGTTTATCCGCATCCCGCGTGAATTCTTAGCCGATTACAACCTTCAACAGCGCGAGTGGAATAAAGACCTTGCCGAGAAAGGCATGCAACAATCCGGGAGCCGCCTCTGGTTTGGCAGGCACATGTTTGACGATGGGTCAAGGGAAGAGTTCAACGAGGACTGTGCATGGCCCTTGAAAGACCTATCAGAAGCATCTCCCAGATCAGAACACGATAAGCGCTTCAGTTATAGTCTGACGGATATCGATGATCTATCCACTGAACTAGGAATCATCTGGGAAAGACAGAAAGACCAACCCTTCGCCTCATCAACCATCTGCATCGGATTTCTCTGGGACATAAAGAATCGCACCGTCTCGCTCAGCTCACCCAAAGTCAACAATATCTTTTAGCGATTCACAACTGGCGTCGACGTGAAAGACACGTGCTGCAAGACGTGCGTGAACTATACGGCAAACTCTTACACGCCTGCGAGGCAGTAAAGCGCGGCCGAGCTTACCTCACTTCCCTAGAAAGCATGCTCGGTATCTGTGCAAAGAAACCCTATCTCCCGCACCGCCCCATTAAGGACATCGAGGCGGATCTAATATGGTGGTCGGATCTCCTACAAAACAGCGGCGCCATCAAACCAATTTACCCACCAGTACCATACTCTAACCCCCTTGCCTTCTCTGACGCGAGTTCCACCATAGGAATAGCTATAGTAATAGGTCATCGCTGGAGAGCCTGGAGACTCATTCCGGGGTGGCAGACACAGAATGGACAAAGAGATATTGGATGGGCGGAAGCCATCGGCTTTGAACTTCTCGTTTGATCCCTATCTACTCTCCCCAAACTCGGAAATACGCTCACCGTCTATGGAGACAACATGGGAGTGGTCGAAGGATGGTGGAAAGGTAGAAGCCGCAACAAAGAAGTCAACCTCGTATTCAGACAGATACATGAGCACATCCGTCTTATACCCAAGCGTTTTGCAATTCGAATGTCTTATGTCCCCAGTGAACACAATCCAGCAGACAAGCCATCGCGAGGCATCTACCCTCCAACCGAGTTTCTACTCCCTCCAATCGATATTCCCCCCGCAATTCAACAATTCATCGTCGACGCCATCAGCCCCCACACCCTTGCTGAACTCAAGCTTCTGCGCAACAGGCATTACCCCCCTGCTGCCGCCAAAATCATCAACAGAGCAGTTCTCCGACAACAAGGAGCCGAATACAACAGGACGCGCCGAGAAAAAGAAAACCAGCTCCTTCGCGAAACCCTCAGCAACAGTTCAGAGTAACACGCGGCCTCGGTTCGATTCACCGCTCCCCAACAGCATAACACCATCCTCCTCTGCCCCACAACAATACAGACCCAACCTCACCCCCATGCCATCCCCTCTTCGTCCTCACTGCCTAGCCCGCGACCGAATGCGCCTATGGCTACCACCTGGCGAAAGCCTGCGCCAAACCATCTCCTCAGGCAGAGAGAACGACATCCGCATCTCCGACGAACAACTCGACCGCATTCTCGAAGTCATGGGCGCATGCTGGGCACCCTCGACCAAAGAAACCTACGGGGGCGGTCTATTAGTATTCCAAGTCTTCTGCGACTCTCACAGAATCCCAGAAGAAAAGAGATGTCTGATTTCGCCCAACTTACTCCTAACCTTCCTATCGAGCTGCACGGGTTCTTATTCGGGCTCCGCACTTACCAACTACGCCGCCGGTCTCAAAGCATGGCACCTGTTGCATGGACAACCCTGGTTCATAAACGCTAGAGAACTCAAAGCGACGCTAGACGGCGCCACAGCACTCACGCCAGCTTCATCCAAACGAGATAAGCGCACTCCTTTCACTCCAGACATCATCATTAGCATATGTGAACACCTGCATCTCGACGAACCCAGAGACACCGCCATCTTCGCTTGCATTACAACATCCTTCTATGCAATTGCCCGCCTCGGAGAATTTACTGTACCGTCCCTGAGAAGCTTCGACCCAGCAAAACACATAACCCACGCCCGCGTCACGCAGAAAACAGATCGCAACAATCTACCTGTTACCTCATTCTACTTGCCTAGTACGAAGTCCTCCCCCATACAGGGCAAAGAAACCTACTGGTCTGCTCAGGAAGGTCTTTCAGACCCCAAAGCCGCCATGGAGAACCACCTCAGAGTTAATCCGGCAGAGGCGTCAGCACACCTCTTCGCCTGGAAACACCACAAAGGCCTCCGCCCACTCTCAAAGATAGAAGTGACCAAGCACATCAATCAGATTTCATCCGCGACAAACCTACCCAACCTCAAAGGCCACAGTATCCGCATTGGGGGCACGCTAGAATACCTCCTGTGCGGAGTTCCATTCGACGTAGTCAAGGCAATGGGTAGATGGTCGAGCGACGCCTTCACCATCTATTTGCGAGACCACGCCATAGTAATAGCACCCTACATACAAGCATCACCAGTGCTGGAACCGTTCACGCACCTCACGATGCCACCAGTGCGCTAAACGTTCCGAGTGAGCACAACTCCTTCTTTACTGGGGTTACAAGCTGCGCTGTATGCGTCGCTGCACTCCTAATACTCCGGGACTCACAGCTCACCTTTTGCACCCAGGTTCGGGCCAGCGTTTCGGGCCGGAAAACCCTGCGGGTTTTCGCCCAAACTCTCGTATACCTAGTCACCATAATCGTAAACACTCCCGATAGAATCCACTCTCGCTTGTTTCTCTGACTGATCACTTAAGCATCGAAACGCATAGAATGACAGAAGTCACACGCAGAAGTCACACGTCAAAATAAAGGAACAAACAAAGATTAATTTTTGAAAATGTGCGTTGAGTTATCGACCATCACGTTGAACACCGTAATTCGATGGGACCGACGCCCAGCTAACCTATCACTAGCATTAATATCATACTATCGAGCTCTCGAGATACAAATTGGACAGTCCCTTCCTCTCAACGCAATCAAGCACCCCATCCTGCATTTCTCTGAGCGCGTCCGTCCTCCCCCATGCAATCATTGTCTTACCCTGGTGAAAGCTCCTATATTGTATATATTCTCCCCCTTGCGAGGCATTTCCACTGTGACAGTTCCCTGACATGAAGCCCTGTATGATCACAGTCCCACTTGTGTATTCATGCAAGAATAGAAGACACAGCTTCCTCGATAATCAACGTCACGATAGCCACATCTCGTTACTGTACAACTGCTTTCTGATTCTGACTCAATTTGTGATCAAATATCATGGGCAAAAGTTGAACGTACTACCGGTTGTTCTATTCGTTCATCGTTGATGGCAAGCTGACAACAAGGGTATGTCTTATACGTATCACACGAGGCAGCGCTAATCATCTATTCGCAGGTTCATATACTTGTACATACACCTTTGTCTTTCATCTTGGCTGGTTGTTTGCACGCCACAATGCCCAGCGCATCATCCAAGCATGCCAATTGATTTTCTCCTATCTAGCTCAAGCCTTGCTGATCCGTTGACAACATTGTGGGTGTATTGCTTCTATGTCGAGGTTGAGGGTTGTCGAGCTCAGAATATGCTGACCTGTCGACAGCGAGTGAGTGTGTCGATCCTCCACGGAGGTCGAGCACTGCTACCGAAGACGTCGGTGATCTGTTATCAGGATGTTGATAGAATACAGTCTATTGTAACGTACAGCAGCCCGTAAATTTACTACAAATCATGATATCACTGCAATCCGTAACCAGATACCCTGCCAGAACTGCAAATCATACTCAAAGGAAAGAATGAGATCTATGCCTTGACGTCTTCCCACAATTCATCCGGTAATGAACCAACAGCTGGAATCTGTTTCCGAAGGTCGAAAATTGTCGCGGCATCGATGCTATACAGTTGCATCAACTCGATGATTTTATCCAAGGCATCACGATCCGCGCGCGCCAGGAGTGTCAAGTCCCGGTCATACTTCCGAATTCCAGCATGAACTTCTTCGCTCGTTGGTGAGGCATGATAGGCAGCGACAGCGAGCTTGATGGCCCTACGAGATAGTTCCTTGCTTTCCGACACAAGATAAAGTGTCTGCAACACAAGGGTCAAGTCGACGATATATGTCATGAAGCGCTGAAGCACCACGCAGCTGACGGGGATCTCTCAGTATTCTCTCGATGAAGGATAAGTAAAGGTACGTACGACTGCTGGTACACGTCATGAACCCATACGGCGAGTACGACGCCCGCCACGATCGGCACCACGATGGGAGCCGCTGGTCCCGCCAGGGCAGACATGATGCCCGCGATAGTACCTACCATGGAGAGCCCGATAGTACTGCGAACATTTCATGAGATGACATCTGTCGCGTAAAACACCGGCCTACATGGTCCTGCTAGGATCAGCTGTAGGTCCAGTTTCTATCTTCTTATCCACCAGGTTAACCATCAATGTCCTGAATTCGGGGCTGTCTAAGTACTGTGCGTAAATCGCGTCAGAATAAGTAAATGCGACGACAACAAAAAATAAGATCACTTTATGAGGGTCTTGGAAGTTCCACACAGCAATGATGTCAGTATGAACCACACCCAGACAGCTCCATGTCGTTCGGTTCTTGAATGCTGCGCTTGATACGAGCGCTTTCCAATATTCTGTAAAACAGACACGAAGATTCAGATCGTATTCAGTAATCGGAATTGAGACTGACTTCTCTTGCCGACCCTAATGATACGTAAATCGCGAGATAACAATGAAGCAAACAAAACTTACTCTATCGAGGCCTTGATTTTGAGTCCAGGGTCCACTCGTTGAGCGATGGAGGTCATCACCCACGCCTCGGACGGAAAATTCTGTCGGACGTGGCTTTCAGTCGTCTCGATAAGATGGGCTAGTGTTTCTTTGTGGTCTTCCTTGGCTGGATATATATCAGAGGACATGCACGAAACGATCGCAGTAGTAGTACCCACTAGAGACCGTGGCGTAGGGGATGTCAGACCCTGCAAATTGCTGTAGGGGTCCGATGCAGACCTCCTGTAGCTCGGTATCCGCTTTCTTCGTGATGAGTTCGTGGATCGCGCTGTTGCTCAATCCTTCGAGCAAGGATTCATCCAGGGTGTGATCCACGCGGTCGATGAACATGTCAAATTTAGTGAGAACGACGACGACGGGGACTTTGACCAAAGGGTGAGCTGCCACACGCTCAGAGCCATAGTCATCGATCGACGTACTGTTTCCCAGCGCGCCCTCACGCTTTAATGTCAGGAATTCCTCTGTACCAGTCTCGAGTAAACGCCCGCCTTCGCGGGGTATTTCGAAACAAAGCCTTCCGTGGGTGGCGTCAGCTTGCTATACAAACTCATCGAGACAGAAAACTTACCAAATAGCATGCAGCTGATCTTTCAGATCAGGCATCTTTCTCCGACTTTCGATGAATTTTTTGACTATAGTGAGGTTGTCATCTCCGCCTGGTTCGAAACCTTTGCTATCGTGGAGAACGAATCGGTCGTTCTGTCGTGATATGAACTCGGTGTTGATGTTGGCTTCGCCCGCCTTATCATGCGAAGTGAGCTATGGAGATGGCATGAGTAACTCTCCGTGAAGTATCGCACGTAGCTCACCGCGTTTTGCACCCCAAATGCGAGGTTGATCAACGAGGACTTGCCAACGCCGGTCTATTGGAAGCACCGTATCAATACTGACCCGAGAACAGCGAAATCCTGATACCTTTCCTATCACCAGAATTCGGAACCTTGGGAGCCTCTGGTGTCAACCCGAAGAACGGCCCTTCATAGTAATCCTGACTCACCGAGGACAAATCCGAATGATTTCGTCAGTGGTAGGCTGGAGATCCGACATGGATCCTACTTCGGTGGTTGCGTCACCGGAAAGTTTGATGACTATCCTGAATTTTTTGTGAATCTTGTTGTATTCTGTGAATGTGGCGTTGAATGATTAAGGTGAGAGAGCGGTGGTTATTGCTCGACCTTGTCTGTCGTGTTCTGAACCAGACACGCGGAACATGTCTTCCAGTTCGAAAACAATGTCTTCATGATCGGCCTTCATGCCTAACCATTTCTTGTAGTGTATACGTACGGAAAATGAATCTCCAACAGAAAGCTTCCTGAAAAGGACAACAGCAGGTCAGACGGGCACATTTGTCCTGGCCAATCAAGTCATTACATGGGCGGAGAAAATGTCTGTCGCCAAGCCTTTCCTGGACCGCGTTCGGCGATTGGCATGTGCAATTTGCCGATTCGTACTTGAGCAGATTCTACATTCTTTCTCGACCTGCTGAAATCGACAGAGACGCCTATTCGGTATATTCAGTAGGACTCATAATTCAACTGATGCGAGAATTGAGTACCGGAGATGTGGAGTGGACAGGGAACGGCGGTGTGAGCTTGAAGAGAATTGGCCATGGTCACTCGAGTTAGGGAGAACGAGGGAAGGGTCGCGGTAGATGTACCTAGAGGTTGATCGCGGGCCATGCGTCAGCTGCGCTAAAGTGAGGTATCATCGTGAATGCCTCATGGTGTACCCTGGGCCAGTACGGTATGTATTAACGGCCAACACTTTGGTCGTCATTCTGAAATGGAAACATGTGGGTGAAGAGAAGAAGGCCCAAAATTGAAAACAGCCTGGAAATTAGGCTGGAATGGTTGATGTGGATAATCGATAAGGCCTTGAGGCCCAAGGGTGATGTGTATCGATACTACATATGCCATATGGAGACTCGGACAAATTGGTAGTAGGGTTTGAGTAGGGTCGATAGGTTCACGCACAGAACAGTCACTGGCCGCATCATGGGGGCAGGGCGCTTTGTGCTAATACAGAATCGGAACAACTGTCACTTCTTCAAGTTGAAGGCTTCTCGAATCTATCATTTGGAATCTACACTGCCGCCCAGGGTGAACATGCGCAGTGCGCATGCACTGAGTTGTAAACTTGCAGTCTCACCACGTCCTTCTGAATGTAATTCATATGATTATCACGATCGTTCAAATTTGCAACACAGAAGGGCAGTGACTTCCGAATCTTCGATGTGAGGTATTCTGAGTCCTCGTATATGCCTCCTGGCACACATAGCCATATGCCCATTGCCCACTGGACCTGTGCTTGTGCGCTCGCAGAATTCACCCACTCCGGCAGTGGTTATAAGCCGTGCTGGACGCTCCCCAGCTGTCTCATTCACCTTCCTCCATGAATCCTTCAAACTTCAGACAGAAATTCGATCGCTTGCGAACTCTCCTTGCAGGAAGAGGCCGTGGTCATAGGCCTGTGCTGGACACTCCTTCACCTTCCTCCGTGGATCCTTCATCAAGAGACATCCAGAGCGCTGCTTCACCTCCCTCCATGGATCCCTCAACGATAAAAGAGAAATGTGGACGCTTCCGAATCCTCATAATAGGAAGGGCAAATGCAGGAAAGACCACCATACTCCAGAGGGTTTGTAACACACGGGAGAACCCAGAAATATATAATAGCGCTGGGGAAAAGGTGGGCATAATGATACTCGTAGTAAGACGCTAGTTATGATTACTCATCTCGATCAGATCGATCCCGCCGTTGTGATGGCATCCAGAGAAGTAACATGTACTCTTATCAGGTGATAAAATGACCTAATGCGTTCTTAGCGCGGAGAGCACGATATCGAGAATGAAATGGTATTTCGAAGCAACCCAGGATTCATCTTTCACGATTCGCGCGGCTTTGAAGCCGGTGGGCAATCCGAATTCAACACGGTGAAGGCATTTATCGCAGACCGTTCCAAGAGAACTAGTTTGAAGGATCGACTCCATGTCATCTGGTAATTGTAATTGATAAAATTCAAGACGTGCGCTGGCTCACTTCTTGACATAGGTACTGCATACCGATGAATGAGGCATGCCGGTCTTTCACTGAAGGGGAAATCAAATTTTTCTCTCACTGCGACACCGGAAGCAGTAAGCTTTCGCATCTGACCATCCTTGATGATCAACTGATTCGCAATCATCCTAGTTCCGGTGATAGTATTGTTTACCAAATTTGATGCCCTCCACACCATCGAATTCGCCCAGCTGAAAAGGGATGGAGCATCCAGGAAAGATGCTAAGGAACTAGCCCCGAAGCGGGCTGAAGAGTCATTTGCGAACGGCTCGCAATTGAAGTTTCTATACAACCCCAACGACATTGGACGGCCTCCAAAATGCCATGTATGCCTCCCGAGTAAGCCGCTTAATTATCGATTTATGATTTATGATGATTCGTTATCTACACGCGACATCAGACATGGACAAGGTTGACGCAGACTGCGGACCGCTCCTCGAACGGACGGCTGAAACTCTAGACGATACAGTGCTTCAGCAGTTGTTCGTCTCAACTCAGCAGACCAACCTGGAGCTCTGCATGAAATATGCAGTCGAAGCGTAGCTACCTAGGTTCTCATTTACATGTGGCGAGTATTAACAACCGAATTTTGTAGAACACTCGCAGAATTTGTCGAATCTGCTCAGACAATCCCATCTCGCATATCTGCGGGTCATGTAAATGAAATAGGCAAGTTGCTTGCCTGGTTTCCACACATTTGGGTGAGATTCTTGTAATATCCAAAAATTGCTCTCATTCATGTTGAGCGGTTGCTTGCAGGTAGTATGTCTATTTATACTCTCTGGCGCGTTGTCCAAATTGATGATCCATTGACAGGAAGTGAGTGTGTTGATCCTCCACCGAGCTCGAGCATTGCTGACTGATGAAATCGCCGATCCCCGATGACAGGAAGTGAGTCGTTATCCGCCGTCAAACTCAAACCTCGTTGACCAAAGAAATTGCCGATCTTTGGACAGCGTGTGAGTGTGTTCTTCGTCTACTGACATCGAGCCTTGCTCACCGATGAGACTTGCCGACCAATTGGTAGAATGTGAGTGCGCTGATCATGCATGAAGCTCAATCCTTGCTAACCGAACACATTGCCGGTCTGTTCATAGCGTGTTAGTTTGTTCTTGCTCCGTGGAGCTCGAGGCTTACTCACTAACGACATTACTCATCCGTTGGCAGAATGTGAGTGCGCTGATCCTCCCTCAACGTTCAACATCGAGGATTGCTCATAATGAAATTTCGTATCCACTGACAGCAAGTGAGTGTGTTAATTATCCGTCCACTGGAACCTTTCTGACCAAAAACACCCAACCACTGACAGGACGTGAGTCCATTCATCCTCCATCAACGGCGACCCTATTCACACATGACATCACACATACGTTCACAGAAAGTGAGTGTCCATCGAGCTCGGACCTTCCTCACCGATGATGTTGCTTATCCGCCGACAGGTTGTGAGTGTGTCCGTCCTGCACCAAGGTCGAGCCTTCTTGACCGTAGTGGTCGCCAATCTATTGACAGGTTGTGAGTCTGCATCCTCTATCGAGCTCGAGCTGACCTGACCGAATTCATTGTTGATCTATTATCAGCGTGTGAGTGTGTTCATCCTTCGTCGACGTCGAGCCTTGCTCACCGATGACACTGCCCTGTTGACAGGCTGTAAGTGTGTCGATCGTCCATCGAACTCAAGCCTTGCTGACTGAAGAGTTTGCCGATCTGTTGGCAGGTTGTGAGTGTGGTCATTCCTCATCGACCTAGAACCTTACTTATGAATGAAATGACTGGTCTTTGACAGCGAGTGAGTGTATTGGCCCTCTGTCCGAACTTGAGCATTGCTGACAGAATAAATGGCCATTGGCGAATCTGTTGACAGAAGGTAAGTGTGTTCGTCTTTCTTCAACATTAAGCTTTGCTCTCAAATGAACCTGCTGACCCATTCATAGGATGTGAGCGTGTCAATCCTCTGTTGACCTCGACCCTTGCTCACGAATGAAATTGGCCATGAATTGGTAGATTGTCAGTGTTTCAATCCACCATCAACCTCGACCCTTGCTGACTCTGTTGACAGGATGTGAGCATCTGAACACCGGATATGTTGAGTCCTGCTCACCAACGAGATTCCTAATTGTTTGACAGGTCGTGAGTGTTGTGATCCTCTGTGGTGCTCGACCCTTGCTGACCGAAGCCATTCCCCATCCATTCACAGCCCGTGAGTGTGCTGATCCTCTGTGGTGCTCGACCCTTGCTGACCGAAGGCATTCCCCATCCATTCACAGGTCGTGAGTGTGCTGATCCTCTGTGGTGCTCGATCCTTGCTGACCGAAGGCATTCCCCATCCATTCACAGGCCGTGAGTGTGCTGATCCTCTGTGGTGCTCGACCCTTGCTGACCGAAGCCATTCCCCATCCATTCACAGCTCGTGAGTGTGCTGATCCTCTGTGGTGCTCGACCCTTGCTGACCGAAGGCATTCCCCATCCATTCACAGTTCGTGAGTGTGCTGATCCTCTGTGGTGCTCGACCCTTACTGACCGAAGGCATTCCCCATCCATTCACAGGCCGTGAGTGTGCTGATCCTCTGTGGTGCTCGATCCTTGCTGACCGAAGCCATTCCCTATCTATTCACAGGCCGTGAGTTTGTTGACCCTCTACTCACATCGACTATGTCATCATTATTTTGCCAGGCTACCCATCCTGTATACAAGCAGATGCAGCCTAGCTTACACTATCTGGTATGTCCCATCAGTTACATACTTTCCACACAATTCTCATATTGACCTTGTGCTAGGCCTCTGGCTCATCAGCATTAGAGCAAATTGTGCAGCTCTGTTCTGGTGAATCTTTAGGCGAGATTGAAACGAGGCCACTGATCATTGATTGACTAGCTACTGTTATTATTCTCGAATGCTCTTTCCACATCTGGGACCAACGACGTTCTCTCAAGGACTGGAAAGGGTCCGAAGACTGCGTTCGCATTGCTGTAGATCATTACATGAGATCTCCGCATGCAGCTGCCGTCAGGGACGCTGTGGGCACTGCCATCCATACATATCAGGCAAACTCGTCTATCGAAAGCTCTCAGAAGACGGCGGAGTTAACCAAAACTCTTGTTGAAGTCACTTTGCATCATCGCTTGCGTACGTTTCAATTCTCATGATTGTGGCAGTTCTGCTGATTTGTTGAACTTCAGCAAGGTCTTGATGCTAGGAAGCATAGCGCCATGTTGATAATGTTCGGAATTGAGCTGAATGTGTGCTGTGGCGAATAGAGGTTTCTCGAGGTCTCTTTGATGGTCTGTTGGGTGGTTCGAGAGTGTGGCACTGTACCAAATGGTTGTATCATCACGCAATATGTAACTTTTCATGGGATGTGTATTCGTGCGTCAAACATGTCGGTCACCCGACATCCCGAGACGGCGGCGAGCTCTGTTGACCATCTTAATTAACCGCTTGATGTACATCTCAAGCGGTATTGCATGCGAGTTTTTTCAACGGTTCTCTCTACTTAATACGATCTCACTCTCCAGCTAGCTTTTCTCAATCCGCGCAGAGTTCTCACAGGTCCTTCTCCGGGCCAATCTGATGCGGGCGGGGCGTTGTTGAGCGCGGATGGAGCAACCGTGGTACTCGGAAATGGGCGTTTATCACGAACGGCGGTGGATCTCAATTCCAGTAAGTACTATGTAGTGCAAGCGAGGCTTTGGTGTAGTACATACTTACCGAATATGTTCTTTATCCGCGTCTGCAGGTACAGTGGCGCGATATCTGACCCACTACTCATTAGTTCAGGGCCATGTCGTTGTTCTCGGTTCTAGATCTAGAAGTCAACAGCGAACATGATCTACCAGACAAGCATGCAATTCAGAAGACGCCTATATTCATAGCGCCGCCTATCTTATGTACTACCGCTGAGATGATCACCAATAACTCGACTATGTGCATTAATGACAAGTCAATGATGTGGAATATCGCGGTGCGCCGATCCTGATCGAGGTGAGGGGCCGTTGATCGTTATTGGAGGTTGACGTGATTGAGTGTCGAGATGCGCTGGGACGTCACGGTGCTGGTTATGACTTGGTTGTAAAGTTTGAGTTCGAGGTGGGAGGGAAGCCTATGTAACTCGTTGTGGATAAAGATAGTTGTGCGCTCGTGACAGTAGTATCGATGATGAGGTCGTCCGGGTGTAGTAACGATACATAATTGGGTGTAGAGGGTGATGTGTGATGCGAAAGTGAGCGAGGAAAAAGCTGAAGAGATTGCCCGGTGGTGCACGTAAGACCAATTGAGAGCACAGGAGAGCCGGTCAGCAATGTCGTAGCTTAGGGTTCGTTCGTAGGCGCATACATGGACTGGGTCTCCGAAGGACGATAAGTAAGCTCAAAGTAAAGGTAACTCACGAGGCACCGAATATGTGCCGAACGGTCAAGGTACATTTGGTAGTTCGTAGACTCAGCTACTCGTTATATGTACGTATCGTGGAAGACTATTTTGGCAGTAAGTTTCCCAAGTTCAAGTGAGGATTCTTGAATAACTTAACAATGGGGGGCTTGAAGGGTCGTATAGTTCAGGCCCCGTGGCGGGTGAACTATGATGAAGTGAACTGGGATCTGTGTCCGATAGGAGATATTGGGATACCCTGACGGTGGCAGTACAGTGTATAGAGGGGCGTTCCCCTGTGCGGATTGCGATCGCGGTTCATAGTGCGGCAGCATGCGATTGGGGACTTGGTATATGCACTGAAAAAGACCGGGTATGACCAGGTCACTTGGTCCGCCTGAAGGGAACTGAAAATAAGAGAGTAGCAACATTAAAGATGTCTACTACTCACGAGATTTTCGGTCAGCAGATAAATCTGTGAGAGGGGACAGTGACGTAGCTTGCCCTCAACCTTTGGGATGACCGCAGTTAGAAGGGGCAGGTGGTACGAGTTTTGAGAAGCAGCAACAAAAGACACCACTGCAGAAGAAGAGTTGACGACGTGAGAAGGGGGCCAGAAGAAATGCTAGTAGGGCGACGTTGATGTTACGGAGGAGTGTTACGACGAACAAAAGGGGTAGTGGATGGCATGAGGACCGAAAGAAGAAGGGTACTAAGAATTCGAAGGAGGAGTGAGTAGAAGGAGATGGAGGAGGTCGGAGAGGATCGGCCGGAGGGAGAGTGGAAGACCGGGTGCTGTGCGGTACGGTGGGGCTTGAGTTAAAGGTGATTCGAGGGGACATCGAGTGAAATGACCATCGGCGAGAAATCTACGAGAGGGGACAGTGATATAACTCCCCCTCTTAGCGCCGTTCGACCTTTGAGAGATGACCACACTTAGAGTGGGAACCAAGATACGAAGCTGCAGCAAAGTGTGCCATTGAAGAAGAAGAGTGGATGTCGTGAAGAGGTCATGAGGTCAGAAGAGAAAACCTAGTGAGGCGACGTTGATATGAGAGAGAACTGAATAACAATGCACATGATAAACCAAAAAAATTGGTGGGCGACGTGAAGAAATTCACGACCGAAAGAAGAAGGGTAGGAGAAGGAGGAGTGAACAGAAGGAGATGGAGGAAGGAGGAGAGGAGTGGCCCGTGGGAGAGTGGAAGTTAAGAAGAAGAAAGGCCGGGCGCTATGCGGCATGGTGGGGCTTGAGTTGAAGGTGATTCGAGGGGACATTGAGTGAAATGACCGTGGGATACAGGCCTCGAGGCAAGTGCTAGATTGTAAGTTGCTGCTGCTGACCTCGCGTAGTAGGGTTGTTGATGCTTGAATTCGGATAATCCATCCGAGTTCAATCACAAACAACCCTGGATTAGTGGATAAGCGGAGGACTGACTGGATGAATAGTAGAATGCTTGACCAGTCACAGAAGACGGCGCAGATCTATGGTGAGTAGGACTGTGGATTAGTGAGTGAGCGGAGGACTGACTGGATGAATTTGTTGGATTCAGATGTGAGTGCGACTAAGACAGATGAGAAAAATGTGCGGGAATTACCGCGACGTTCCAAAGCTTCGTCGGAGCAGCGGCAGCAAAAAAAATGCATGCATCCTCTCCTGAGAACAAGGTAAATCAAATCAAGGAGCGCATTATAGGTGGATGTACATGTACTATTCTACAGTGAATTCAATTGGGTACCGCCCTGTGCATGCCACCGCCCCCGTTTTCCCTAAGTATTGTAAGTTTATTGATCGTGTCATATATCTGGATGCATCTCCTCGAGGGATTGAGCTAAAACGACACCAGGAAGCCAAGTTACAAGATGTCTATTCCAGTGGCATCCTACCACCACTGCAGTCATTAGCAGTTGGTAAAACATGAGAGATGTGGTCTAAATCCACGAGCCAGACTGTAGTACTTGCTAACACAAGAATGCTATTGCCTGAAGGCGACCTATGATACAACACAAAATTAGTACGGAGTAAATAACAGGAATTATGAGCGAGGACTACAAGTGCGGTAAAAAACTAGTCCACGACACCACCTTGTACACGTCAGGAGGAAGGTTGCGTAAAGTGGTGAATACAAGTATGAAGGGGATAGCACGCGATATGATGTACAATGAGGGACACGTCAAGATAAACATAGACCTCAGACTCGCTAGAGTTGTTTTGCCAGTTGTCGGTATAAACAACAAGGAGGCCACCACGAAACCAAGCAAGGGTGTAATAATTATAGCGACGGTGCTCGCGCGCCATAAGACCTGTTCTTGATATGTGGGGAAGACATAGAACCAAGCGATACAATGGATGCCGCCAAAGATGGTCGCCACGTTAAATCCAACGAGCGTAAGAAGATTGCATTCCCAGCGTTCTAGGTTGATGCTGCGGATGCCATCAAACATCGGAACTCGTAATTTTCGAGGGGACATGGCATCAACGCCGACGAGGCGCAGAAGCGAGTCGACGAGTGAAAGAACAACAATCTCCGAACGCATTACGAGCTCATGGTTTTCAAAGACTCTAAGGGGGACATAATCAGCAGTGGTAGGATTTATTGAGCCATAGACGTACTCATCAAAGTAGTCCTCTGCTGGCTCAGCGGACTCGGTTGACTTCCAGTATACTGGATGAGGACATTGTATATCAAGAGGTTTATTCCACCACAGAGCATAGGTAATGAAATTGAGAACCGCAAAAGCGAGTGTCGCCGTCTCAAGTTGTGTGGTCTTGAGGTGATAAACGGCACGAGAAATGAGCTGCAGAATGAACCAAGCCACCTGAAGGATGATCAATCCTTTTGATATCATATTTCCTTTGCTACGGTCGCGGATCTGCTTTTCCGTCAGCGTAGGGGCATCAATAGATCCAGCACGTATCAGATCGAGAAGGTGATTGGGCAATAGTGTATGATAGGGCTTCCCGTCCACATAAAGCATAAAACCGCCCATCAGCGCAAAGAAGCTGTGAGTCTGAGTCCATGTGTAGTCTACCAAGGATGCACATGAGCAAGGTTTTAGGTAGTATGGTTTTAGAGAGGACGAGTCAATCTTACCTTCAGATTGCTCTGAAACACAGTTGACCTTGAACCACTCTGCTCGTTATATGGAGTTGGTAATGCGGGCATGGGTGCGGGACACTGATGGTAAGAGCCTGCGGTTGGGTGTTGTGAGGACGGGGTTGTAAGCTCCCGCATATGCGCATACTGGCTGGTGGTGCCGCGTGTAGGTGGCTTGCATTAATAGTGGCTAGCGCTGGAGTTTGGGTGTTGAACTCGTATGATGGTGCGGATGATGAGTAGTACTAGGTGGAAGAGTGCGCAAGGTTATTCCACGAAGATGCGTGAACGGACTAGAGGGATTGTAGGATGTTGTGAGATACAGGGATTGGCAGTTATAGTAGGCTTCTTGGCGAATCCCGCACAGTAACGCACCAGGGTCCAGGTTACCACTACAACTACCTATCTGTGAATCGAGCAGTAGAAAGTTAAGCAAGAACCAGTAAGTCGCACAACATTATTTGTCTCTGTTAGGATCTGAAGCTTTCGGCACAGCATTAATATTACAATCTATCATCCTGAATTCCTCTGGATTTTTTAGGCACATATCTATTAATTCGCCCGGATGATTCTCAGCTCACTCAGCTCCTGGATTTTGTTGTCAAAAAAGTCCGAGTTGCCCAAGCCTCATCACTCATGACGCCCTTGGCTAATTCGTGCTGCATCTGACACGCGTCTTCACCGAGTCATCAAGGCTGAATGAAGTACGTGTGCATGCTCCTCGCCCACCCGGCTATCAAGGTACAACGTGCAACGTACTGGACAAGGACTCGGGAGATCCGCTGGACACTCTTGCATATGGCGCTTGTGCGGACAACGTCTCTGCTGCGCAGCGAACGGTGAAATTTACCGGTCTTGTCTTACTGCGCAGTGCGTTCTAGAATCATCCTTTCGAAGCGCGTATCGATGCATCTATCAAGGACCTGGAAAGTTATACCACATATAAGTCGAGCTGTAGGTGCAACGGATGAAGAGCGTTAGCTCTTGCAGAGCCTTTTTAATTTACATCCGAGTAGCTGACAAGTTGTTCTGCAGCTTGGGTTCTAGTCAATACCAATGCTATTATGCAGCCGCTCTTTAAACATTCAAGCTAACATTCGATCCAAAGAAGTTCCACAAGGTAAGCTGTATTGCAACTTTTGGACTGTTGGAGATTATAAGCGGATGTAAAGGACAAAATTTGTGATGGGCTTGATCTTCGTCTGTAAGTCACTTGCATAGTTATTTTCTCACTTGACATCCTTGCATCGCAGCATATAATAAAAGGTTGGAAAGACATTATGTAGTGCTTCAAGAGTCCCGTCACCCTTTTGACGTTGCTCTTGAACAGTACATGGCGTCCCCAATTGGAGCTGCTGTCGGGGAAGCTCTGAGCGCTGCCGCTGACACATAAGCAAACTCTACTAAGCGGTTAGCAGAGGCAATCGACAGATTTCTACACACGCTCTGGGGAAGGTAGAGTAATCGATGATGATGGTTCCCATGACGATCAGGCCTGGTCAGACAAACTGAAGGAAAATCGATAATCTTCATGGCGTTGCTCGAATTTGTGTCTTTTGGTATGTATGGACTGTCGTTCCTGTGACCGTACTACGGCAGCATATGGCAACCTGGACGACTCTGATGCTTTTCGTAGTTTGTACCTGTCATGCCTAGGCACTCTAGTAAGTTGAAGAACGTAATGTCGATAGAAGACGAGGACAGTATATTGTAGCGCACTACTGTAGTAATACAGCCAGAATTCCAGTCATAAAAATTACAACAAATCATGCAATCATGTACTCACGCTCTGCAAATGACACCAACGAAAGAATCGAATACTAGGCCTTTTCAACTTCCCATAGTTCATCCGGTAATGAACTGACAGCAGGAATCTTTTTCCGAAGATCGGAAATTGTCACGGCGTCAATGCTATAATATTGTACGAGCTCGATGATTTTATCCAGGGCATTGCGATCCCTGCGATCGAGGAATGACAATTCCCGATCATATTGCTGAATTCCAGTATGAACTCGTCCACTGATCGGCGAGTCGTGATAGGCCTTCACCGCGAGCTTGATGACCCTGCGAGAGAGTGCCTCGCCTCCCGACACAAGGTAAAGTGTTTGCAATACGAGAGTCAAGTCGACAATGTATGAAATAAAGCGCTGTAGCACCACGCGACTGAGGAGCACATGTCAATATTCTGTTGCTGAAATATAAGTAGCGATACGTACGACACTCGGTACACGTCGCGAACCCATACGGCGAAGACGACACCTGCCGCGATCGGCACCACGATCGGAGCCGCAGGTCCGGCGAGGGCAGCCATGATGCCTGCCAGTGTACCCACCATAGATAGCCCAACAGCCCTATGAACATTCAATGGGATCAAAATTCAATCGTCGCGTAGAAGACCAGCCTACATATTCTTCTTGGGATCGACCGTAGGTCCAACATCTAGCTTATCGATCATATTTACCATAATTGTCTTGAACTCTGGGCTGTCCAAGAGCTGTGAGTGAATCACGTTAGGGTAGTACCGTGAATATGACGCAACGTAGAACATGGCAATTACTTACATGATCAGGGTCATGGAAGTTCCACACAGCAATGATATCGGTGTGAAGCACTTGTAGACAGTCCCATGCTGTACGGTTCTTGAATGCTGTGCATGATGAAAGCGCTTTCCAATACCCTGTCAGACGTGAAGGCTCAGCTTTTGCTCAGAAATCAGCAACACGAAATCGAGACTGACTTCTCTTTCCAACCCTAACGATAGGTAAATCAAGAGATAGGAATTAAGCAAGCAAGGCTTACTCGATGGAGGCATGGATTTTCAATTGAGGATTCACTCGCTGAGCGATGGAAGTCATCACCGACGCCTCGGGTGCAAGATGCCGATGGACATGGTTTTCAGTCATTCGGATCAGACTGGCCAGTGTTTCCCTATGGTCTTCGTTGGCTATGCTCATATATGTCAGAGGGATGGATCGGTCAGGATGTTGGTACCCACTTGAGATTGCAGCATGGGGTATATTAGGCATATGATGCCCTGCGAATTCCTGTAGGGGTAGGGTGCAGGTATCCTGTAGTTCAGTTTCTGCTTTGGTCTTGCTGAGTTTCTTGATGTCGTCCTGGATCAACCCCTTGACAGATGATCTATCTAGAGTGCGCTCCATACGAACGATGAGCTTGTCGAATTGGTGAAAACTACAACGACGGGAACTTTGACCAAAAGTTGAGTTATCACCTGCACGGAGCGATGGCCATCAAGTAATGCACTGTTTCCTAGCTCTCCTTCGAGCTTCAATTTTAGGAATGCTCAGTTCTTGTCTCTAGTAAACGCCCGCCTGCGCGGGGTATTTCGAAACAAAGCCTTCCGTGTATGTTGTCAGCTTGCCATATGGTCTTGTGAAGGCGGAGGCCTTACCATACAGCATGCAGCTGGTCTTTCAGATCAGGCATGGTTCTCCGACGTTCAATGAAACGTCGGACTACGTTGACGTTGACTTCTTCGCCAGGTTCGAACCCTTTGCTATCGTGGAGAACAAACCTGTCGTTCTGAGGCGAAGTGAACTCGTGGTCGATGTCAGCCTCACCCGGCTTGATATGCGAAGCGAACTATGGAGACGTTATGAGTAGCGTTCCACACGTATTGAAGTGTCGCGAGCAGCCCACCGCGTTTTCCACTCCGAATGCATGATTTATTAGAGACGATTTTCCGACGCCTGTCTATTGGACGCATGGTCAACACCGGCCTAAGATCCACGAAAACCTGATACCTTTCCGATCACCAGAATTCGGAACCTTGAGGAGCCTCTAGTTTCAGCCTGGGGGAATGGCGCGGCACGGTAATGTTGACTCACCGAGGACAAATATGAATGATTTCGTCAGTGGTTGGCTGAAGCTCCACGATATCATCGGGAGATGCAAGCTGCTCAGCCTGCTTATCTACGACTTAGCAGACGTGTTCTGATGCGAGACATGGACCCTTACCTCAGTTGATGTATTCCTGGAGAGGTCAACAACGATCTTGATTTTCTGATGAAACTTGATGTATTCTGTGTATGTGTCTGTGAGTGACCAAGGTAAGAGTTGCAATGATTACTGCTTGACCTTGTTTCTCGGGTTCTCCCCTTGCACCAGACACCCAGAACATCTCTTCCGTATCGAAGTTAACGTCTTCATGCTCGATCTTCCTTCCAAGCCATTTCTTCCACCGCACATGTAAGGAAAATAAATCCCCAAGGCAAAGCTCCCTATGATAAAAATACATAACAATTCAGATAGCGCATTCGTCCTGATGAAATTTTTACAAGGGTGGAGAAAATGTCTGTTGCAACGCCTTTCCTGCTTCGCGTTCAATTGGCCTGTGCGACTTGCCAATCCGTACTTCAGCAGATTCTACATTCTTTCCCAAATTGCTGAAATCAATAGAGACACCTGTTCGAGCGATTCAGTGGGATGGACATTTGAACTGATGTGAGAGATACCAGAGATGTTGAGAAGACGGGGAATGGTTGTAGTGTGGTGAGGATTGGCCATACTGATTCGAGTTTGGGAAAACAGGGGAAACCTCTCTACCATGAGGAAGAATCACGGCAGATGTATCAAGAGGTTAGCTCAGGTCGCGCGTCAGAAGTGAGGCATCCTCGTGAATGCCTCATGGTGCACCGAGTAGGGTATGTATTCACGGCCAAGTGATCAGAAGAGTTGTCATTATGGAGAAGGAGGGCCAAAATTGAAAACAGCCTAGAATTGGTGTTGATGATCGATGAGCCTGAAACGGTGATGCATTGATGCAAGGATAGAGCCGGGACTAAGTTGATCGATGGGCACAGGGCCGCATCGCCGATTCGTGGAGCTCTGGAGGCCGGGCGCTTTGCAAAGTTCCGAACGTTTGTAAGTAAACAGATTATGATTGGCTAATTCAGATCCCTACTAGCATCATGAATCATGATAGGGTGAACCTGCATGCAGAATTCACCCACTCCGGCCTGAGTGGTTATAAACCGTGCCGGACACTCCCCAGCTCTCTCGTTCACCTTCCTCCATGGATCGTTCAAACTTGAGACAGAAATTCGATCGCTTCCGAAGTCGCCTCATCGGAAGAGGCCATTCATCTTCCTCCGTGGATCCTTCGTTAAGACAGATCCAGAGTGTTCCTTTACCTTCCTCCGTGGATCCTGCGTTGAGACAGAAATTCGATCGCTTCCGAATTGAACGCTTCCGAATCCTCATTATAGGAAGAGCGAATGCAGGAAAGACCACCATACTCCAGAGGGTTTGCAACACACAGGAGAACCCAGAGATATACAACAGCACTGGGGAAAAGGTGCGCACGATGATACTAGTGGGAGGCTAGTGAAGATTGCTCATTGCGATCAGATCGATCCCACCATTGTGATGGCATCCAGAGAAGTAACATGTGCCCTTCTCAGGTGACAAAATGACCTGACGTGTTCTTAGTGTGGAGAGCATGATATCGAGAATGAAATGGTATTTCGAAGCAACCCAGGATTTGTCTTTCATGATTCGCGCAAGTTCGAGGCTGGTGGGCAATCCAAATTTGACACGGTGAAGGAATTTATCGCAGACCGTTCTACGAGAACCAACATGAACGGTCGCACACCTTTCAGTCTTATAGTACTGCAGAACCTGTTGATAGGACGTGTACATTGACCTGCAAAACCAGGTGTACAGGACACCGGCCGGCCCATGCACTGCCTGTATAGGCCGGCCATGCAGAACCTTGCAGGCCGATGCCTAAGACAGAACATGATATGTCTGCACTGCCTGTGTAGGCCGGCCATGCAGAACCTTGCAGGCCGATGCCTAAGACAGAACATGATATGTCTGCACTGCCTGTATAGGCCGGCCATGCAAAAACCTTGCAGGCCGATGCCTCAGACAGAAAATGATATCTCTGCACTCCCTGTATAGGCCAGTCATGCAGAACTCTTGCAGGCCAATGCCCCATAAGTAGAAAAGATATATTTTGCTGATGATGTAGGACTCCTGCAGGTTCATGCCTCATAAAGAGAATGATATTTCTATGCTCCTTATATAGGTGAAACCAGCATATCAAAGTACAGTTGTCAATCAGTACTTGAGATGTGAAATTGAAAAATGAAGTACTGTGCTTTTACAACACCTTATACAAACTCGGTTGTATTTTTCCCAGCAAGTAGTATATGTCAAAATTGCATATCTGAAGTTTCAGAGAAAAATATAAAACTGTTCACGGACAACACTCAAAACAGTGAAGGGACCTCTTTTTTGCTCATTATCACTCCATGAGACATGTGACTCATTAGCTAATCTTTGCTTATAGAACATTAGCAAAATCATTATCAGTTGCCAAATAGCAGTTCAGAGGTATTATTGAGGCCATAAAGTGAATTGTGGATGTGTGAGATGCATTTTGTAACATGGAGTGATAGTGTCTCATGGACCAATTGATAACTGTAGATCTGGCCAACCTTGCACCCTGAATATTTATGCAGGCTGTCCTAAATTCTCTAATATAAAATGAGATTCCATACAGGAGTAAGTCTAGCCAACCTCACTCATGTAACCAAAGATGTATCTCGTATGGGATAATATAAATGGTGACTGAATAAAAAATAAAAATACAGTCTACCTACACTCCTTACATGGTGACTAGGGAGGCTGGCTTAATGGGCCAATATGTTATTCATAGGGCGGCCGGCCATGGTCTACACACTGCACAGACTGGCTGGCCCAATGGAATATGTTATTCATAGGGCGGCCGGCCATGGTCTACATACTGCACAGACTGGCTGGCCCAATGGGCCAATATGTTATCAGTAGCCTGGCCGGCCATGTCCTACATAATGCACAGACTGGCTGGCCCAATGGGCCAATATGTTATCAGTAGCCCGGCCGGCCATATCCTACATAATGCACAGACTGGCTGGCCCAATGGCCCAAACAGTGTTCAGTGGCGGCCGCCCCTGCCCTGCATATAGCATAGGGTAGCTGGCCCACTGGGCCAATATAATATCAGTAGGGCGGCCAACCATGGCCTACATGCTGTACAGACTGGCTGACCAATAGGCCAATAAGTTATCAGTGGGTTGGTCATTCCCTCTGTGCATACTGCTAACATCAATGTTACTCAAAATATACATGAAAATCGAGGTGTATATGACAACAAACTGCAAGAAGGGAATTCTAAGGTATTGTGCTAATGATAATGTCTCAGTTCTTATACTTCTTTGAAGCTACTTTGTCTCTGGCAGAGCGACGAGGAGGATTAGGAGGAGCAGATGTCTTCACCTTTTTCATGACTGAATCATCCACATCTGTTGCTGGGCGTTTACCCTTCCCTTTTCCCCCAGTGTTAGTACTGCTTGCCTTCTTTGATGTGGCAGCCCTCTCCTCAGTGATCCGAGATGCCTCAGCAACCCTCTTCTCCTCAGCAACCCTCTTCTCCTCAGCAACCCTCTTCTCCTCAGCAGCCTTCTTCTCCTGAGCAACCCAAGCCTCCTCAGCCACCCTCTTTTCCTCTGCCACCCTTGCCTGCTCCACCTCCCTCCTCTCTTTCACCTGCCTTTTGTTCTCCAGATGCCTCATATGAACTTCTTCCCCCACTGTCATCTGCTTCTCATTACCATCTGGAAGCATTGCGTCCACCTTCACCTGGATTCTGGTAATTGCCTCTTCAACCTTGTCCGCTACCCTCGATGCCAAGGATGGAGCCGCCCAAATATTGAGGTACATCATCTCCAGCCTCATCTGCTTCATACTCCTGAGTGCAGCGACACTCACGAAGGAGGAGTCCAAGGCCCAGGACAACAATCATACCCCAACCACGGGATTTGATGATATAGTTGCCTAGTTCCTCCAAAGCCACAACGGATGCCTGAATATCATTGTGCATATTTTGAGGTAGATATGCCTCAGACCACATCCAAGATGCCCAGACAGGCAGATGTTGCTTTCTAGCCTTGCCCTTAGGATCTGGAGTTTGCTTTTAAAAAAGAGTCAAATTTAATGCTGTATCACAAAAGTAGTGAATTATACATACTGTGTTGGAAAGTTTTTGAACTGTGGCCAACAGATGACGGTATGATGGGAGGTTAGAGAGGGATTGAAGATAACTGACTGTGTCACCACCCATATGGAATTTCGGGCAGGAATTGGAAAGAGATGGGGTGTGGCATTCCAAGTCTTCCTCTTCGTCAGAAGAAAGATTGGCTTGGGGGGTCTTCTTCAGTACCTCGTCCTCATCCGATGATACTTCGACATATTTTTGGTTCTTCCTTGATTTTTTACTTACATCCCCCTTCTTAGCCAGTGAATCATAGAAGTCGCCTTCCTTATACCCAACAAACCGTACAATTGGTTCATTATGGTTAGCACAATATTTCCAAAGTGAAAAAATCATACTGATAGCTTCCTTCTGCAGGTGAGAAGGATCCTTGATGACGACATTCCAAGGGATACAGTCCATGTCAAGGTAATGGTCTGGATCTTGGGTAATATGACCCCAGGGGACTGCAGCCCAAGGGTTGTTTGAGATGACCGCTGTTGAATGTAAGCCGTCAGAAAAATACAGTACTTCGAAAATAGAAATGAATCACCATAAGCCTTTTGAAATACCTTTCGTACGACCTTCTGCTGGTTTTTGAGCATGAGAGATTCAAAGCCTGTTGGTAGGCAAGGATAGCCCTCATCGTCTACATCCACTGTTAAATCGGGCAACTTCTCATCTTCCTCGTCAGATTGGTCCTCAGGGTCTATGTCTGTCGCTAGATCATTAGCGATTAAATACATTACAGTATCCAAGACTTACTGTACTCGGCTTCATTCAGCCAGTCAGCAAGTCGGTCTTGCGACTCTCCAGCCCATTTCTTGTTTTCTTTGGAAGCCAGAGTAAAAGTTTTCTTTGCTGTCCTGGGACAGGATTCCCAGCTAAACCAATAGATTATTGATAGTGATGTCAATAGGAAAACATAACACTGACATGGTTGTTCCAGGCATTTTGCCCTCCCCTCGATCATGAGCTACGAGCATGACGACATGTAAACCCATAGTTCTTCCTGCCATCTTTATGAAGTCCTCCATGATTTTCTTCTGGTGTCGGCTGCTATATCTGTAGATACACATGAGTTTTTCCTAAATATAGCAATGTAGTGTTAAAAACATACCTGTCCTTGGCGTCGGAATGAGCACCTTCCTGGTTCCACTTTTCTGCCACAAGTCTGAGCTCCTCATGTACATCTGGTGACAGGGCATTGTACCAGGACCGGACCAGCTTTGTCCTTGTCCCCATGGACCTTAGGTCAGAGGTGTCACAGTGCTTCTTGTCATACTCCCCAATTCCTTCTTTGAACAATTTCTGAGCGACATCAAAAGTCGAGAATTCAGTCTTGAATGCTGCAGCATCCAGAGGCTTATCATCCTGACGGTCTTTGACCATATCTACAGTGATGATGCCTGCACCAGATGTGAGTTTATGAGCTCCCTCGATGATTTTTTGCTCAAGATCGTGGTCCTCGTCGTCCTCCAGAAAACGCAAGTAATATGTACAGATAGCCTATAAAATTAGATTAATATAGACAAAGAGACTGGAAGCTCACCTTCCGAACGTTATTGCCTGGAAGCATAGTCGAAGGATCCTTAGCCTCGTTGCTTTCAAGTATAGTATCTTTGATGTTTTTGAGGATTTGTGCCCTCTCAGCAGGGTTTCCTTTAGCTGAAACATAGGAAATCTCGTGCTCATCCAAAACAGCCTTGAATACATGTGTTCAGTCAGCCATTGTATGCAAAAATCTTGAGAATGCAGGCCGGTATAAGTTTGCAGAACGTGTAACCAGTCCCAACTCACTTGACAACAGATCAACAAACCATGTCACATGATTAAAACACGGTCACATGCTAATCATGACTTCACACAAAAATCACGTCTAAGTACATCTGGCTGACACAAAAATTCAATGACATTAGTTTATACACCAAACCTCAAGATTCACAAACACCAAACAAATCATTAATAAAACTAGTAACAGTGATCACATTGAGCAAAAGTAAGACATGAGGTAAATATTGCTGAAAAACACGTAAATCAAGCCAACTTTGAAGCCACAGGAATATCCAACCAAGTACCACCATGCTTCCTACCAGAATACAGTATGATGGACCCTGGTGGCTGAGAGAACAAGTGGCTTACATTGCAAGAGTCATTTTTGCACTCAAAAATGTAACTCTTGTCCTTGCTCCCATTGACAAAGGCAGACCACCATGAATTAGCCCAACCACATCCACTGCATTGGATAGGCAGGTGGTTGCCCCATGGACGGAACTCCAAATGAGCCCATGCAAACCTAGAGATCTTGAGGGCTCCCTCCATGACAGGTGTCAGCAGAAATACGTCAGAGTGGCGGCCAAGGTCACAGGACTGCGCAAGCATATCCTTGAATGCCAACCGAATTGGGCACCGTCCAACAAGAACCTTCTCTGTGAATGCAAGGAGCAAATGAGAGGCGAAAGATGGTTGAAAGCGAGGGGCATTGAATGCCATGGTAGCGGTCAAGTTGTGTCTATTGAAACATTAGATCAAGCATGTCAAATAATGGTCAAATACACTTACTGAAGAACGGCGTCTTGCAAGCCAAGGAATGACTCGGAGATGGTGACAACTGAGCCGCAACACAGCATCCACAGGTATGATTCCTCAGCTTGGTCGATTATACCTTGCCAGGGGTGGAGAAGAATTTCCAAGAACTAGAACAGAAGTCAATAACGGTCATGTTGAAAAAAAAGAAAACTCACATCATTGACCGGAGTGCTGACATAGGCCGTTGGATCATCATCCCCATACCCGGTAAAAGGGTCTCCGTATTGGTTGTCAGTGTGAGTGGACATGCCAATGATGACGCGCTCCCAGACAAATGATTTCCCCAAACCTTTGATCATCTGGCGCACTTGATTTCGGTAGGGGGCAAGCTTGGCATCCGTAGCGATGTCATAGTAGATCTCGAGGTATCGAATGCTGGCGCCAGAGAAGTAAGGCTTGAGGAATGTGTGAGCGAGCGCAAAAGGGCTAGCAGCTGGATGGAAGCCGATGAGGATAAGGTGGATGAAGAGGACAGGAGCAGCCGATATTTCGGCTTGCTCGGACACCTCAAGTGCGCCTTTGATGGCCAAGAACCTGTCCAACAATGGAAGGCCATTGGCGTTATAGAAACCCTGTAATCAAGTTATCTATGAGTTGTGAACAAATCAAAAGAAAATCGAAAAGACTCACAAAGTAGGTGCCACGTTGTTCCATCTTGATATGGCAACAAATACACCTGAATGAGATGTCCTCTTGCAGGACTTTAGTGAGGATGTCAGGCGGCAGCTGCAGGCACATTTTGCAGACTACTCTGGGACACAGAGCGCACATGAAGAGAGTATTCTCTTCAGAGCGCTCTGCACCGTCCCTGCAGATGATGCAAAACTGAAAGACAAAGTAGATTAGCAAATAGAAGAGAAAGAAAACACACACTAGACACACCTCATTGTGAACAAAACTCTTCTCTAAGTCGCCACCTCCCACAGGTAAGGTACCCTTGGTAGTAGACGAAGCCTTCTTGCGCTGGCCTTGTCCTCCAGAAACACGTGTTCTTGAGGCCTTGAGGAGGACGCGTGGCGCTGAGCCACCGTTTGACTTCTTGGCGGTCATCTTGGTGCGGGCCATGGCTGCTGATGAGGGAGAGCAGGCAGAAAAGTTGTAGTCAGTACACCACACCTACAAACGCCAATAAAAATGAACAAAACAAACTCACATGAGAAAAAAGACTGGCTGATTAGCAAAACAGACGCGTTGAGAATACAGATGCAGTGAGAACAGAGGACAAACTCACTTGACAAAAGAGGCGTAGACTGGCCGGTTAGCAAGACGCGTGAGAAAACAGACGCGTTGAGAACAGTGGACCACTCACAAGACGAAAGTCCTAGGTGCAGACTGGCTGGTTAGCAAAAGAGACACGTGAGAAAACAGATGCGTTGACAAAAGAGGACAAACTCACATGTCAAAAGAGACGCGTTAGCAGAAGAAGCGCCTTGAACAAAAGAGCAGGCAACAAAACACACTCAAGAGACACGTTGAGAACAAAGACGCGTTGACGAAAGACACGTGTCCAAAACCAACCAAACATGCACGTGACATCAGCCGGCAAAGTCCAAATACACAGAAATTTGGACTTGGTGAAATTCAACCGTTCTTTCTGACTGTGGCAATACCCGGTGCAAACATGAACAAATAAATACATGTACTTCAACCATGCTCACTCTATCTTTCCTTCTTGTGCGCGACATATCAACTTGTTCTGTGCCTGTCCTTTGGCTACTTGCAGACTGCAGCTGCAAGTAGTCAAAGGCAGTGCTACAGTAATTTTTCAAGCGCACTATGTGACAAAGTAAGTTTTTTTTTACATGTCCTTCACTGTACTAACTTGCTGTTTGTGATTCACAGCTGTGCTTCATGCTGGCGCACTATCAAATCCTTTTGATTTGATAGTGCGCCTTAAGGTCAGTCTCTTAGCTTACTGACAATATACTAACTTGTTCTTTGTTATTCACAGCTATGCTTGATAGCTGGCACACTATCAAAAAGGTCAGTCTCTTTTGATTACATCCACATCTGACATATGTCTTTAGGGAGCGGATTTGACTTTGGGATCTGGGGGATATTTACATGGCTATCTATGTCCCCAGGGACTGGCGGCTGTGACCTACAGCTATCTATGTCCCCAGGGACTAGCGGCTGTGACTTTGGGATCTGAGGGATTTTTTCATAGCTATCTATGTCCCCAGGGACTAGCGGCTTTGACTTTGGGATGGGACTAGCGGCTGTGACTTTGGGATCTGAGGGATTTTTTTCATAGCTATCTATGTCCCCAGGGACTAGCGGCTTTGACTTTGGGATGGGACTAGCGGCTGTGACTTTGGGATCTGAGGGATTTTTTCATAGCTATCTATGTCCCCAGGGACTGGCGGCTGTGATCTATAGCTATCTATGTCTCTAGGGACTAGCGGCTGTGACTTTGGGATCTGGGGGATTCTTTTACTAACTTGTTGACTAGCTTTTGCGCCTTCTTTGTTTGTTGATCTGGTCTTTTTCAGTTTTCAAATATACGCTGTACTAACATTGTTTCTTTGTCTAGCCTTTTATCACACTTTCTGTTTGACTGCGCCTACCCACTGGCGCCTTTACTTTTGTCTAGGTTTTGTGCCTCTCTCTTTCAGATTTTGCGCCTGCCTTGTTAAGCCCCATTTTTTCTTCTTCTTCAAGTATACCCCAGCACTAACCACATTTTTTTCTCTAGCTTTCCATAACAGTTTCTTGCTTTGTGCCTGTCTGGTTGAGCAGGTTTTTCTTCTTTCAATCATACTCTAACACTAACCGCATTTCTTTCTCTAGCTTTCTATATCATTTTTTGATTTCACCATTCCTTGGTTATTTTTCAAACTGGTAAGTGCCGGTTTAATATTCAATATCATACTGACTTCCACTACATTAGATTATTAGTTCCTGCGCATTTTACCTATATTTTGTACTCTAGGGTGCAAGGCTTGGATGGAGAGGGCCCCTCCATCCTTGTCTTGCATCACTTACATTAGTTTTTTGTCTTTGTTTGCCAACTTTGTACACTTTAGATTAGATGTGAAGCCATAGCGCAAATGTACTGCCCTTTATGGGCATTTTGATGTCATGTGATCCTTAATTCTTGCCAAAAATAATTGTCACGTGATCGTGAGAGTGCACCTCAAAGGGTAATAATGTCTAGAGATTATATCTGTCTATGGCGACTGATAGGGTGCATCATGGTCATTGTTGCGTTTTTCGCCTGGTATTCCAAAACACAAGCCCGTGCCAGTACCACCGCCATCAAAACACAAGATGTTCGCATTCGCATTGCCAGCTGTTTAGTGGTGGCGACTGATAGGGTGCATGGTGGTCATTGTTGCGTTTTTACTATTGCCACTTATACACCCATTTTCGCCCTTCTCCATATCTCAGCGCTGTCAGTAACGGTGAGTTTATTTACCAGGACTATCTATACCCTATGCTTCACTTACTGCATTATCATCCATATGTTGTTATTTACCAGGACTATCTATACCCTATGCTTCACTTACTGCATTATCATCCATATGTTGTTATTTACCAGGACTATCTATACCCTACAGCATCATTACTTGTTTCTCAAGGAAACTCCGGGAGCATGCCTAGCCCAAGACGTCGGATTTGGTAATGTTTTACGGTCAAAGATCAAGTCTTCTAACCATCAAAGATTAAGTCTTTTAATTAGCTTAAATCTTGACTTTCACCTTCATTCACTCTACCAACACCACCATAGCAAGTCATGGACTACGTCAACCTCCAGAACGAAGATGAGATGCTTATTGACGAAGTGAGTAGTCAATTAGCTTAAATCTTGACTTTCACCTTCATTCACTCTACCAACACCACCATAGCAAGTCATGGACTTCGTCAACCTCCAGAATGAAGATGAGATGCTTATTGACGAACATGAATCCCAAATCACTAAAACAGTGAGTAGCGTATATCTTGTATTCATTTATATTTACACTTCATTCCTTCTTTCACACTACATAGGGAGAGATGGACGACGTCAGCCTCAATGACGAAGAGGCGATCCTCGTTGACCAAGACGACTCAAACAATGTGAGTTTATTATATTATATTTTGCTCCTATATATTGACACTGTACTCCTCCTACACTATCATAGGATATGGACGTCGACAGCCTTGACGAGGAGGATGTGATGCTTATTGACCAAGACGATTCAAACAATGTGAGTTTATTATATTATATTTTGCTGCTATATATTGACACTTTTTACACCATCATAGGATATGGACGTCGACAACCTTGATGAGGAAGATGTGATGATTATTGACCAAGATGACTCAAACAATGTGAGTTTATTATATTATATCTTGCTGCTATATATTGACACTTTCTACACTATCATAGGATATGGACGTCGATGAGGAGGATGTGATGCTTATTGACTAAGACAACAAAAACAATGTGAGTTTATTATATTATATTTTGCTGCTATATATTGACACTACACTCTCCTTCTACACGATCATAGGGAGATATGGACGTCTTCAGCCTTGATGAAGATGATGTCATGAATATCGACGAGGATGAGATTCTGGTATAGGAAGGCATTTGGATGTAAACAGTATGTGATTTGCGGATTTATCATTTACCAGGGAATCTGGAGATACCCCTGAATGTAAACATTGTACTACTATCATAGCTATCATACAACCACTTCTTTTTTTTTTCTGAGTTGTAGGTACCCTGTCATTGCGTTCGCATTGCCGGCTGTTTGGTGATGGTGACTGATAGGGTGCATCGTGGTCATTGTGGTGTTTGTTCTGTCGCCACTTATACACTCATTTTCAGCCGTCTCGATGACGCCACTAACATATACACTTTCATCGCTGTTGGTCACCATCAGTAGCGGTGCCTTTATTTACCAGGACTATCTATACCCTACAGTATCATTACTTGGCCCAGTGTCATTCTGGGACCATGCTTCACTTACTGCATTATCGAGGCATTCAATGCCCCTCACTTTCAACCATCTTTCGCCTCTCATTTGCTCCTCGCATTCACAGAGAAGGTTCTCGTTGGACGGTGCCCAATTCGGTCGGCGTTCAAGGATATGCTTGTGCAGTCCTGTGACCTTGGCCACCACTCTGACATATTTCTGCTGATACCCGAACATCTTGTCAAATATGCCTTAATTAGCAATAATTAGCCTAATCATGTTTATTTATAGACTCATTAATTACATCACAACTAAGTTTCAAGTCCGTGAGAACTTTGGTTCATTTTCTTTTTTACATCCACCATGGAAGAGAACCTGAAGAGCCAGGCATCTGAAGTAAGGGAAGCTCTGAGTAGCAGGATCAGCAAGATACTTGGGAATTCATCTGAAATGGGTGTCCTGAAAGATGGGCAAGTGGTAACTAAGCTGTTGCATAAAGCTAGGTATCTATGGTGGATCATCAATTTTAGCTGAATTCTAATTGATTAATCTTTTAGAATGAGAATATCAGTGCACCTCCAGATTTGCTTGGCAACGCCGGATCACACTACATTTACCAATACATCAATTTTGGAATATGAAATTGATTGGGCCGCACTAACTATTGCCCATGCAATGGTCAATCCCAGTGAGTGTCCCCAAATATTTCTAATTGTCATGAATTCTTAAGCAGAAGTATAGTCAATGTTGATTGGGATGTGGATCGATATGCTGACAGGGTCAAGTTGTCACCACCGAATCGGGATGGGTCAGCAACCTCTGAGCCGGAAAGGCTAAAGAAGTACTTCTCTGAGGCAGTGCTCGGCAAAATTTCAACTCCAGCCACCATTGTAGACAGGCATGGCAGAATTTTGATGGTTTACCTGCCCAATATTTTGTCACCTGCTCGCCTGGTATGTTTCTGGATGGGATTTTCCCTCAGGGACTGATTGATTAATTAGGAGTACATTAACAATGCCACCTCAGGCTTACGAAATTCTCTTCTTGATACCCTGCCGCCCATTTCGGATCAAAAAAAGAGTTGGAGAGATGATGGCTTTGTGGTGCCAGAGGGAGGGGGTGAATTTGGGGCTGGTAGGATTACTGTGTCACCTGCATATTTCATGCAAAGACAAGAGGTATTGTATTTTCAGTGCTGAATTTTCCCAGTTCTCACTTGGTTATTAGCGATTGATAGATCCTCTCGTAACGTCGGAGTCTTACAACTCAAAGGAGGTCCAAAAATGGCTAGAAGCTTTAACAACATCAGAACTTCTATGGAACTCCATTACTGCAGCAGTGGCACCAGAACTTTTTGAATCAGGCACCTCTGCATTTTCCAAGGTTGTCAAGGAGGTTCGGCGGCGAAAAAATAATTCGGCTCCAGTGGATTCTTGGCCCTCTATCTTTTCAGGGTTGGAAATCATTGCCAACCGAACAACCTTCAGCCACAGAGATCCTGGTGGATCTCCTTCACTTTTTGATCTTCTAGTCAGTTTAGGTCGGAACCATCATGCAACTCTTTCTTTGGCCGATGTTCATGCAGAGCTAGACTATTCCCCTGGTGCAATGGTCTACATCGCCGGTAGGGTACTGGAGCACTCTGTGGGTCCTTGGATTAATGGAGAAAGAATTGTGGTTGCCCATTTTATGAAGGATGCTGTGCATGATAGAGTTAAAGTGCCAAGGCCAAGTTTTCCTTTGCAGAGGAACTTTTTAGAGTTGGTAGGGAGGAAACCCAAACCCGCGGGTTGGAGAGCCAATAAATTACAAATATAGTTAGGATAGGAACAGGACTGTTTTGGGGTGTGTGGGCGGTGGTGGTGGTGGACTGCCTGGATAATGTCAATGTTCTTGTTGTTTTGTCCCCTTTGACAGACTCTCGATTTCATGAGCTTGCAAATCACACCAAGGAATAGAAACAGGGTCAGAGTCCAGCCATCTTCATCTGGAACTCGCCCATCAAAGAGAAAAAGAGGGGCTTATAAATATGCATATATCCCTTCAAAAACTCGGAGGGGAAAAGATTCGTGGAAAGAAGCTAATGCTTCATTTGTCTATGAGGACTCTGATAGTGAGATAGAAGTGGTTTCACCATCAAAACAAATCAGGCATCACCATATTGAAGATCATATACCGCTGGAATACAACACAGAGGTTCATGGTGATTTTTGGATGGGAGGGAAAAGAAAAACAAAAGTGAGTTTGTTGAATTTTGGAGTCTCAAGTTTTTAAAAAAAATCATGTGCAGGCCCAAAATGATTTCCTTTGAGATTATTTGCCTTGGCGCACTGAATATCTTTCAGTGTTATTGGAGTTAGAGCAGCTGGTGAACAATGGGAAATGCGAAGATTGTGGAGAAGGAGAGGGGTTGATCCGGTGTTTGTCTTGCTCAGGAACACATGCTTGGTGTTCTTCTTGTGTTCTTAAAGCTCATCAACACAACCCCTTCCACAACCTTCAACTCTGGAATGGCAGGTTCTACGAGACTACTACCCTGCAGGCTCAAGGGTATATAATGTATCTTGGCCATGGGGGGGAACCTTGCCCCAATCTCTCACATCAGCCAGACCCATCTCCCTGGGAAGATCTTGGGTCCATGGAAGATGTGTTTGCACAGGAGGAGGGGGATACAATTAATGACACGCAGTCAGGAGTATCTAACCTGGTCATTGTACACTCTACTGGTGTTTACTCACACAGTGTATCATGGTGCTGGTGTCCTGGAGCTGAGAAGGCACATCATCTCCATCTCATGAAAGCAAGGTTATTTCCTGCCAGTATCACTCGCCCTCAATCTGCTTTCACATTCGATGTCCTGGATAACTTCCTCATAGACACTTTGGAGTGCAAGACTTCAGCCATGAGTTTCTATCAAAAGCTCCGTCGGTTCACAAACAATGCTTTCCCTGATAAAATACCAGTGAGTAATTTTATATGATTGTGTGCCCTGCTGATAGGACAAAAAGGATCGATACCGTGAGCTTATGCGAGTGTCACGTATATGGTGGGATTTGGTCAATAGAAAAAGGTTCGGGTTTGGACATGACACGGAACGGTCCCCTGGTCCAGGGGATTTAGCCCTTTATTGCCCAGCATGTTCACAACCTGGAATCAACTTGCCAACGTCTTGGAGATATGACTATGAAGAGTAAGCTGACTCATAACTATTGCAGTAGTATGTCACTCATTATTGGTCTGTGGTAGGTGGTTAGTTATGCGAAGATATGTGGTCGATGGAAATTTCACAGCACAACATATGAAAATGAAAATTCCGGAAGACGATGTTTCTCTAGCAGATGGAAAGGGATACATGGTAACAGAGGGACCTTATCAAGCTCACATCCATGATTCTGTAGAAGAGAAAGAGGCAAGTGATGATTTTGAACGATTGGTTACTCCTGACTTATAATATTTTTGAAGAAATCCACTTGCAGCAATCATCGGGCAGTGAATGCAACAAACATCCAAAGAAGCAACCTTAGAGCTACAGGGGTTGGGGCAACAGCATGTGCCAGGCATGGATGCTTTGTTCCTCACGCAGTGGTGGACTTTCAAAAGGGAGAGCAGTCTGTAATTGTTTTGTTGTTTCAGACAATGGACTGACCCTGTAGTCAGGCACATGAACATGGACTATTCCATTTGCAATGCGGTTAAATATACACCCGAACATATTGGCAGTACGCTCATCATCTATGATGTTGCATGTCAGTGGAGTATTCACTTTGCTGAACGGGTGGACCAAAGCTATCATCTGTCCCTTCCCGAGGGGACCGAAATATTACCTGCAGTTGGCAAGTTTCATTTGAGTGCACATAAGCTTCAATGCTTTCCTAGGTTCAGCCTGAATTTTATGACCAGAGCCGGGCATATTGATGGGGAAATATTGGAGACGCTCTGGGCTCCTTTCAACAAGATTTCCCCTACTGCAAGATCCATGTCTTTGGCTCACCGAAAGGAAGTTTTGGATGACCATATGCGGGATTCCAATTGGAAGAAGCTGGTTGGCATTGGCAAGTCCAATTTATTCTGGTTTCTGTTACTTCGCCTGACATAAACTTGGCAAAAGTCAAGTCATTACTCAAAAAGTATCGTCAAGCCCTACAGGGTGTTAGTGACACTCAGGGTCCATATGAGGAATTAACCAAATTGCTTGACTTGGATGATGTTCAGGAGTGGAAAAAGGCAGCCGAAAAAGCGGCTCAGGACCGTGGAGAGCTTCTTGACATCTATCAGCTTAAAATGGACAAAGGTAGGTCTTACATTGTGGACATTGATTTTGCCCTGATGGAAAATAATTCAAAGCACCCTCTATGGCTGAAATACGTCTCAGATTGACTGAAAATGAACTATCTGCTAATGGTAGGACTGGGTCTGTTGCATGGTTGATTGAGGGTATAAATATAGAAAATTCTCAGTAAGGTATTTTAACTTTGGGATTGGATTGACTTAAATTGTGTTACTAGAGATGCCTTGAGATTGTCTATAAGGCAGCTGCCCCAGGATCCGACTGCTTCTCAGAGAACTGCGATTGAAGAAAAAAGGCAAAAGCTCATGGCACGGATTATTAAGTTCCATGAGGCTGCAGAGGTCATGACTAATGGTATGGAATTGAAGGGAGGTGAAGGAGCGCCACTGGACAACCCTGAACTGTGCCTGGAGGAGGCTGACATATCCAATATGGAAGATCCAGAGGAAGAGGACATTTTGGACTTTGATGGTAATATTGACTCACCTGCAGAAGTCACCGAGATTTGGATGCCATCATGGGCAACCTCTGGTCACATCATGGATGATGCCATCTTGGCATTACGTCAAGAAGAACTCGAGCTTCGGAAGGGCCAAGCAAACGACTGCCTGGAAAAGCTTTGTCAAGCCCTGGGTGATAGATCAGTTGTCTTTCGGGAGAAAATACACTCCAACAAATCAGTCCATCACCAGGGCACTAGATCTAAAAAGGAACTTCAAACGATAACTCTCTCCATCAACAGACATGCAAGAGGCTACAGCCGGGCAAGGGCTGCAATGCTCCGCCTAGGGGCTGACTCTGATACAGTGGCAGTGTATCAACCCCTAAAGCCTCAGGACCTAGTGGTGAGCAAAGAAGTCACAGAAGAAAACAGACATGGGCAGGGTTCAGATAAATTGGCTTGGTTTTGGAGGATCAACAATGCAGAGGACAGTCAGAAGAACGTATGGATGAATGAGTGTAAGTTTCATTGTGATCTGTTTTTTATCAAGTGAATTAGCTTATATTCCCCATTTCCAGTTTATCGTGTGAATTGGTTGAAAGCTAAAGCAAGGTACGACCGTTGGTCAGAAGAACTGAAATTGGTACAACATGAAATGTTTTGGACCATATCCTGGTTTTGGACACAGGAGGAGAGGTGGAGAGTTTGGGCAGATGAAAGCATCAAGAATGGGAATAGGGCATATGCTGAGAGGCAGGCATCTATGTGAGCAGAATTTTCAGCTCAGGGCCTCAAGAATTTTGAAGGAAAATTACTTATAACAAGTTGATAGTTCACGAGTTGATAAGCTAATGTAATGTTGATCTTCCTGACTTGTAAAAAAAGTGTGATGTGAGTATTCAGAATGTAAACAGATTCTGGCCTAGTAGGCCTGCCCAGCTCTGTGGTATGTGGGCTGTGGCCGGCCGCCCCATGAATGATTTTTTGCTGGGCCAGCCCCCCCTTACTGTCTGCAGGAAGGGGCCGGCCAGCATCATGTGGGCATCTGGCCCAGCAGGCCTGTCCATTTCTGTAGTATGTGGTATGTGGCCGGCCGGCCTAGGAATGAATTCATGCTTGGCCAGCCTCCCTTTGCAGCCTGCATAGATGGGCCGGCCGGCGGGCTTTGGGCATCTGGCCCAGTGGCCTGCCCACCCCCTGCAGTATGTGGAGAGTGACCGGCCAGCCTCAGAATAAATTCTTGCTGGGCCAGCCTCCATGTGCAAACCGCAGGCCATGGCCGGCCGATGTGCTGTGGGCATCTGGCCCAGTAGGCCTGCCCACCCCTGCAGTATGTGGAGAGTGGCCAGCCGGCCTAGGAATAAATTCTTGCTGGGCCAGCCTCCATGTGCAACCTGCAGGTCAGGCCGGCCGATGTGCTTTGGGCATCTGGTCCAGTGGCCTGCCCACCCCTGCAGTATGTGGGAGGTGGCCGGCCGCCCTAGAAGTGGAACTTGACTTAGTGTGGTTAAGTGTGATGATAAGGGGTACTCCATAAATGTGTTAGATAATGAGTGTATAACCCACTGGAGCTTTACTGAGTGGTTGGGTCAGAATGGGGAGGGGGTGTACTCTATACATCAATTGTAAGGGCAAAGGTGCCAGTCTCCAACTCTCCTTTGTGGTCAATTCTGTGGACAGATAAAAGACAAAAGTACTGAGCAAGTATGTCCCAAGAGTCCACAAATTGACTCTAGCACATGCAATTCTGATGGAATCCTTATGTATGTTTTATTTAGGTTCCCCCCAACATAATACACAGTGCCATATTTTTGTTTTGAAGAAAATCCAAGTAGATCTCTTCCCATGGCCAACTTATTGGTGCTGGAGGCTAGTTTTGTGGTTGGCTCTAAAGGTCAGATCACCACATAAAGTTCTGGAATGCAGTATGCAGAAGTAAATGAATGTGTCATAAGCTATAAATTGAGCACACTACACACCCACTCCAATAAATATCTCTCCAAATGTACTGAAATTTGCTTCAAAATGACAACTTTAAAATCTATGAATACTATTGTCAAATTTGTTATGTGTCCTACTAGCTCTTGTCTCACATGTATGCCAGCAGTATGTCCCATCCATGCAGACCATAAAAGGAGGCTGACCCAGTAAGAATTCATTCCTAGGCCGGCCGGCCACACTCCACATACTGCAGGGGTGGGCAGGCCACTGGACCAGATGCCCAAAGCACATCGGCCGGCCATGACCTGCAGGTTGCACATGGAGGCTGGCCCAGCAAGAATTTATTCCTAGGCCGGCCGGCCACTCTCCACATACTGCAGGGGTGGGCAGGCCACTGGGCCAGATGCCCAAAGCCTGCCAGCCGGCCCCTTCCTGCAGACAGTAAGGGGGGACTGGCCTACTCAGCCAGATATGAGAAGCAAACCGGCCGTCCCCTTCCCACAGACTGCTACTGTGGGCTGGCCTACTGTGCCAGAAACCAGCAGCATGCCGGCCGGTCACCCCATACAGCCTGCATGACCAGGCCTACCCACATGTCAACCACAGCCTGGATATGTATATAGGTAGTCTGTATCACCGGCCTACACAGATACTGCAGAGATATCATTCTGTATATAGGACACCGGCCTGCCAGGGTTCTGCATGACCGGCCTATACAGGCAGTGCATGGGCCGGCCGGTGTCCTGTACACCTGGTTTTGCAGGTCAATGTACACGTCCTATCAACAGGTTCTGCAGTACATATGACTGAAGGGTCTGAGGGTCAAATCCATGCCATATGGTAATTGTAATTTATCGATGATAACATGCGTTAGCTTACTTCTTTGGCATAGGTATTGCATACCCTTGGACGAGGATAGCAGGTCCTTTACCCAAGCAGAAAAGAAATTTTTCTCGTGCGACACTGGTGGTGGTAAGTTTTCGTACCTGACCATTGTAAGTGATCGAGTGATTCGCAGTCCACAGTCCCAGTTATAGTAGTATTCACAAAATTCGATGCCTTGTATGACGTCGAATATGCACAACTGAGAAGCGATGAAGGCTTATCTTGGGAAGATGCTCAAGAACTGGCCCCAAAGCGCGCCGAAGAGTCATTTGCGAACGGGCCGCAATTAAAGTTTCTATACAATGTCGAGGACATCGGGTGGCCTCCCAAATGCCATGTATGCCTCCCTAGTAAGCCGGTTAATCATGATACATGATAACTGTTGATCTACACGCGACATCAGACATGGACAAGGATGGTGCAGACTGCGGGCCACTCATCGAGCGCACAGCTGAAACCTTGGACGACGAAGCACTCAAGCAGCTGTTCATCTCAACTCAGCAGACGAACTTGGAGCTCTGCATGAAATATGCAGTCGAAGTGTAGCTACCTAGGTTCTCATTTACCTGTGGCGAGTATTAACGACCGAATTTGTGCAGAACACTCGCGGAACTTGTCGAATCTGCTCAGGCAATCCCGTCTCGCATATCTGCGGGTCATGTAGATGAAATTGGTAAGTTGTGTGCCTGGTTTCCACACATTAATGTGAGATTCTTGTAATATCCAAAAATTGCTCTCATTCATGTTGGGCGGTTGCTTGCAGACAGTATGTCTATTTATACTCTCTGGCGTGTCGTCCGAATTGATGATCCATTGACAGGACGTGAGCATGTTGATCTTCTGTTGAGTTCGAGCCCTGCTCACCACTGACATTGCGGATCCGTTCACAGCCAGTGAGTGTGTCGATCCTCCATCGAATTCGAGCCATGCTGACCGAACACATTGCCTATCCGTTGACAGAAAGTCAGCATATTGATCCTCCACTGAGCTCGAGCATTTCTGACTGACGACATTGTCGATGCTCGTTGACAGCTTGTGAGTCTTTATCGGCCGTCAAACTCAAACCTCGCTGACCGAAGAAATTGCCGATCTTTTGACAGTATGTGAGTGTGTTCTTCGTCTACTAACATCAAGCCTTGCTCACCGATGGGACTTGCCGACCAATTGATAGGATGTGGGTGTGCTGATCGTGCGTGAAGCTCGAGCCTTGCTAACCGAACACATTGCCGACCTGTTCATAGGATGTTAGTTTGTTCTTACTCCGTAAAGCTCGAGGCTTACTCACTAACGACATGGCTCATCCGTTGGCAGAATGTGAGTGCGCTGATCCTTCCTCAACATCGAGGCTTCCTCACAATCAAATCTCGTATCCACTGACAGCGAGTGAGTGTGTTAATTATCCGTCCACTGGAACATTTCTGACCAAAGACACCCAACCACTGACAGGACGTGAGTCCATTCATCCTCCATCAACGACGACCTTACTCACACATGACATCACACATCCGTTCACAGATAGTGAGTGTCCATGGAGCTCGAGACTTCCTCACCGATGATGTTGCTGATCCGTCGACAGGCCGTGAGTGTGTCCGTCCTGCACCAAGCTCGAGCCTTCTTGACCGTAGTGGTTGCCAATCTGTCGACAGGTTGTGAGTCTGCATCCTCTATCGAGCTCGAGCCGACCTGACCGAATTCATTGTTGATCTATTATCAGGGTGTGAGTGTGTTCATCCTTCGTCGACGTCGAGCCTTGCTCACCGATGACACTGCCCTGTTGACAGGCTGTAAGTGTGTCGATCGTCCATCGAACTCAAGCCTTGCTGACCGAAGAGTTTGCCGATCTGTTGACAGGTTGTGAGTGTGGTCATCCCTCATTGACCTAGAACCTTACTCATGAATGAAATGACTGGTCTTTGACAGCGAGTGAGTGCATTGGCCCTCTGTCCGAACTTGAGCATTGCTGACAGAATAAATGGCCATTGGCGAATCTGTTGACAGAAGGTAAGTGTGTTCGTCTTCCTTCAACATTAAGCTTTGGTCTCAAATGCACTTGCTGACCCATTCATAGGATGTGAGCGTGTTAATCCTTTGTTGACCTTGACCCTTGCTCATCAATGAAATCGGTCATGAATCGGTAGCTTGTCAGTGTTTCAATCCACCATCAACCTCGACCCTTGCTGACTCTGTTGACAGGATGTGAGCATCTGAACACCGGATATGTTGAGTCCTGCTGACCGAAGCCATTCCCCATCCATTCACAGCTCGTGAGTGTGCTGATCCTCTGTGGTGCTCGACCCTTGCTGACCAAAGCTATTCCCCATCCATTCACAGTGGGTGAGTGTGCTGATCCTCTGTGGTGCTCGACCCTTGCTGACCGAAGCCATTCCCCATCCATTCATAGGGTGTGAGTGTGCTGATCCTCTGTGGTGCTCGACCCTTGCTGACCGAAGCCATTCCCCATCCATTCACAGTATGTGAGTGTGCTGATCCTCTGTGGTGCTCGACCCTTGCTGACCGAAGCCATTCCCTATCTATTCACAGGCCGTGAGTTTGTTGACCCTCTACTCACATCGACTATGTCATCATTATTTCGCCAGGATACTCATCCTGTATACAAGCAGATGCAGCCTAGCCTACACTCTCTGGTATGTCCCATCAGTTACATACTTTCCACACAATTCTCATATTGACCTTGTGCTAGGCCTCTGGCTCATCAACATTAGAGCAAATTGTGCAGCTCTGTTCTGGTGAATCTTTAGGCGAGATTGAAACGAGGCCACTGATTATTGATCGACTAGCTACTGTTATTATTCTCGAACGCTCTTTCCACATCTGGGACCAGCGACGTTCTCTCAACGACTGGCACGGGTGCCAAGACTGCGTTCGCGTTGCTGTTGATCAGTATGTGAAATCTCCGCATGCAGCTGCCGCCAGGGAAGCTGTGGGCACTGCCATACATACATACCACGCAAACTCGTCTATTGAAGGCTCTCAGAAGACGGCAGAGTTAACCAAAACGATTCTTGAAGTCGCTTTGCAGCATCGTCTACGTATGTTTCAATTCTTATGATTGTGGTAGTTCCACTGATTTCTTTAACTTCAGCAAGATCTTGATGTTAGGACATGTAGCGCCATGTTGAAGGTGTTCAGAGTTGAGCCGAAAGTGTGTTGTGGCGAATGCAGGGTTCTCGAGGTTTCTTGGATGGTCAGTTGGGTAGTTTGAGAGTGCGGCACTGTACCAAATGGTTGTATCATCACGCAATATGTAACTTTTTCATGGGATGTATATTCGTGCGTCAAACATGTTAGTTACCCGAGATCCTGAGACGGCGGCAAGCCCTGTTGACCATCTTAATTAACTGCTTGATGTACATCTTAAGCTGTATTGCAATGCGAGTTTTTTCAACGGTTCTTTCTACTTAGTACGATCTCACTCTCCAGCTAGCTTTTCTCAATCCACGCAGAGTTCACACAGGTCCCTTCTCCGGGCCAATCTGATATGGGCGGGGCGTTGTTGAGTGCGGATGGAGCAACCGTGATACTCGCAAATGGGCGTTTATCACGAACGGTGGTGTATCTCAATTCCAGTAAGTACTAGTACAAGCGAGGCTTTGGTGTAGTAGATACTGACCGAATATGTTCTTTATCCGCGTCTGCAGGTACAGTGGCGTGATATCTGACCCACTACTCATTAGTTCAGGGCTATGTCATTGTTCTTGGGTCTAGATCTAGAAGCCACCAGCGAACATGATCTACCAGACAAGAATACGACTCAGAAGAGGTCTATATTCACGACGCCGCCTATCTGATGTACTACCGCTGAGATGATCATCAATAACTCGAATATGTGCATTAATAACAAGTCAATGATATGGAATACCGCGGTGCGCCCACTCTGATCGAGGTGAGCGGCCATTGATCATTATTGGAGATTGATATGATTGAGTGTGGGGGTGCGGTGGGACGTCGCAGTGCTGGTTATGACTTGGTTGTAACACTTGAGTTTGAGGTGGGAGGGAAGCCTATCCAACTCGTTGTGGATAAAGATGTGCGCTCGTGATAGTACTATCGATGACGAGGTCGTCCGGGTGTAGTAACGATACATAATTGGGTGTAGAGAGTGATATGGGATGCGAAAGTGAGGGAGGAAAAAAGCTGAAGAGATTGCCCGGTGGTGCACATAAGACCAATTGATAGCACGGGAGAGTCGGTCAGCAACTTCGTGGCTTAGGGTTTGTTCATAGGCGTGTACATGGACTGGGTCCCCGAAGAACAATAAGTAAACTCACTTTGGTCACCCCATTTCAGACACCTCTTAGGTTGATTGTGGCCTACAGAGGTTTTCACCTAAGAGGTGCTTTTCTGGTGGTCTGCCCGATGTTTTGTGGTCTTTCCCTGTTGTGCTTGGGGACCAAAAGACCATGAACCAAAGACCATTGGGAATGTGTTATGGGAGGACCATAGGACGACTTGGACCACTTGAATACAATATAATGCAGGGGTGTCTTGGGTCCTCAAATACCAATTTCTTTGGAAATTTCCCACTATATGTATTGCATCTATGCCCTGCACCCTGCCTCCTGCACACCTCCATAAACCTGATAAATCTTCCTATATATAATTGAACAATATATCTCGTGGGTATATCGAAAAAATGAATGGTCATTATTTTGATTGAACCTCTTAATGAAAGTTGTAGTATATATTAAGGCGAGTCTATATGTGGTCATACCTTACCAAAATTTTAATGTGAAGGTGAGATATGGCCATAACAAAAATCGTTGTTGGGCTTGTTTTCAAAAAAAAAAAAAAAGTCATTATCCTTGATGAAAGTCATAGTCCTAGTTAGGGTATGTCTGTACCTACTCGTATTTTATCAATTTACAATCATTTGGGAAAGATATAAGCTTTTGGGAAAAACAATAAACAGGGAAGACCATATGCTTAATGGGAAGACCATAGGCATAATAATATTCATCTAATAGGGAAGACCACATGCTTAATGGGAAGACCATAGGGACAATATTCATCTAATAGGGAAGACCACATGCTTAATGAGAAGACCATAGGGACGATATTCATCTAATAGGGAAGACCGCATGCTCAATGGGAAGACCATAGGCATGATATTCATCTAATAGGGAAGACCGCATGCTCAATGGGAAGACCATAGGCACGGTATTCATCTAATAGGGAAGACTGCATGCTTAATGGGAAGACCATAGACATGATATTCATCTAATAGGGAAGATCACAATCTAATAGGGAATACCACATGCTCAATGGGAAGACCATAGGCATGATATTCATCTAATAGGGAAGACCACATGCTCAATGGGAAGACCATAGGCATAATATTCATCTTATAGGGAAGAGCATGACAATTACGGAGGATAGGCATTGGTTCAGGTCACTATAAATGACTAGCATTAGTAACTGACATTACAGTATAATAACAACCAACTCACAAAAATCTTTGACTGGTGGATCCATCTATGTCATACCAACAACATTAGCAGACACTCGAGTGCAATCACTCCTTGAGTGTCTGGATGTTCTTTACCAAGCTGCTCAAACAGAACCACTGGATCTTCAAGGATAACACCAGAGGTGTAGATCATGTGGGAGCCAAATGTTGAGAGCAGGTTCATAACAAGGTGATAGGTGCCAGAAACGCCAAGTGAAAACCATAAATTCTATATGCGGTGATGTTTATGTGCTAATTTAATAGGGGAAGAAGGCATATAGTCATCATCAATGTCATTGGTGTCATCCACCAACTCATTGCTGTGATCATACCTGTACTCATCCACTAATGCAATGTCTTCAATAGCATCCATCAGTTCCTCATCTTCAATCTCACCATATCCCATGTCTTCCTTGCAATCACCCTCTTCCTCTCCTTCCACACTATCATCATCATCCTCATCCCGAAAAGATGACCACACCTGATCACAAGCAGCTTGAAGTAATGCTTCATCAGAGGGTCCCCAGCTTTCACCAACTGACCATGCACATGGAATACACTGAACCTTTTTCTTCCAGACTACACAGATGTTAACAAGTTCATCCGCACAAGACCGAAGGTGGAAAGACATGACTGCATCTGTTGCAAAGTCACTAAAAACTATTGATAACATTGTAAAGCCACATGTACCTGCAATGTTCAAGGCACCTTGTATGGCCTCCCACTCCACCAACATCCATTCTTGAATGATAGCCCTCTCCCGCATCAGTCGAGCTTCCTCCTCCATGCACCGATCAACTTCAAGTTGCAAGCGGATACCATTCCTGACGGCATCATCTGATAGCCATGCTGGCGGCATCGTAGTATCATCATCAAGCCCAACATCTTGCCAGATGTCATCATCAACATCAAGCAGAAAGATGCCATCACGGGGGATGATATGAGGGGGAACAGCATAATGGGGTGCTCGACGCTGCCGTATAAGAGATCGTAGTTGAGAACACAGACCATTGTATGTTGAAACTAATTTGAGGATGCTAGGTTCTTGCCGTTTGATTGAGTGATGGGTATTGGCATGAAGCTTATGCTTGGCTGGAAAAACATGAGACATGCACCAGTCCGGTTAAACTGTCAATGCACCATTGATTGTTGCTCTGTACGATCTCTTGAGTCTCTCCAATTTGAACTTGCGTTGACAAAGATGGTCGTGAATATGAGTTTTGACTGCAAGAGCATTCAAGCGAACTGTAAGATAAATATCCTTCTTCATCTTTTCCAGGTTGACCTTGTCCTCCGTTCCAAGTGCAGCTTGACGATGTCGGAGAGTGTCAGCTGTTTTCGCTCGCCGGGACCGGGTGTCTGTGAGCTGCAGGTCGAACTGCACAATGTCAGGGACACAGCCACCATGGAGCTGCATCTCGAGCTCGCAGATAGAAGCCTCCTGAGCTTCTAGGGTCTTCTCCAGTGCCAGGATGGTAGTAATCACCTCTGCTGCCTTGTTTCTAGATTGTCCTACATGGGGTTCAGTCGAGGACTCTTAGCACACTTGGTCATTACACATGTACGTGGTGCGGGTTTCGTCTGGTGATCAACCTGAGCCTTCCACTCTACACGAAGCATATGCTTGTCCACCTCCAAGTCATGTAAACTGTCCAGTGCACTGTTTTTCTTCGTTTGACAGTGGATCCAGCGCCAATGGAGCCAGTGTCCAAACCCTTGTAATGATTTTGAGTCCAGGTGACGAATTTGTGTGTTGAGGATGAAAAGCCGCTGATTAAACTTCATAGGGAGGAGTGAGATCCATAGAATGGTATGAATAGAGTATACGTACCCCAGAAACACACAAGGAGGGGATGAGGGGCTTGAGGAAACTCCACAGTCGTTCACATCCTTCACCGTCAGACAGTCCAAATCCTTCTCGCTTCCTGGGGTGGTAGATGATCTGACAAGGCCACTGGTGGCCATAGGCATGGAATACAGCAACAGCAAACGCAATGCGAGATAGAATAGAGTTGTCCATGAATTTCCACTTGCGACAGCTCCATTCGAGTTGGCATCCAATGTCATATAGAAGCCCAATGGTCATCTGAGCAGGGAGATGTTTAAACAACCGGTCCAATAGCGCAAGCGCATAATGTTGTTTTTCTCCCGCCGATGTGAGGTTCGTGATCCACAGGACACGATCGTGTCTACAAAGGAGGGCCATCAGGCCTGTATCGGTAAAGAAGTGAGTACTTGCCTTCTCTCGCTTTTCATCTGCAGCGATGAAGGAGTCTCCACATCCATTCAAGACTGACACTGGTATACGCATGCCCTCTTCATAGCAATCTTTGTCTGGCTCCACCCTGGAGGCCCTTTTTTGACATTTTTCTCCGCAACACCTTTCAACAAAATCTTCCATTGCTTTCACATTGTCCATCGGTAGAAAGAAGGACAATGTCAGGTTAGGAGGATCGCTACTGGTAGCACCACGGGCATTTGTGGAACATTTTTGTGTGAAGCACGCGTCAATGCAAACAATAACATCTGGCCTGGAAATAGTCAACTGGTGCAGTAGAGTCATAATAAATAAATAACGCACATGGAAGGAGAATCTCTCGCTTCATTTCACCAATTGTTCCCTCCGAAACAGAGTGGGCACTGCAAACGAAGATACTCACTAGGCTGGTCCACACGAGAACCATCCTTCTGAGCATCAGTAATGAGGGTAGAGATGTGATCACGAGCCAACACAGTCAAGACCCAGTACCAGTGAAACGCATTACTGAAGCGACGCCGCAAGTTATTCTAAAAGAGGGTTAAGTATACAGGTGCACCCGTAAGCAGGAAAACACTGACCTTCGATGTCAACTTGTATCCCATTCCATCAAGAAAGGTCTCCAATGCATTGCACCAAGCAGTTTGGTTGGGGGACTGACAAATGAACAGGAGGCGGACGAACTCGAGAACTTGTAAGTCTACTGCCAGAGAGGGTGCCATGGGTGCACATGGAAAAAGGCCGTGACAAAGAAGCTGAAGTGGGGCGGGAAAACAAGGGCAGGTTAAGATGGTGATTTCTTCGAAAGCTGTAATGTACATCAGACCAATGTTAGAAGACAAGAAAGACAATAACATACCGTCGAAAAGTACACATGCAACCTTGATACTACGAGTTCTGCACCCAGTCCTGCACTCTCCATCGTTCTGATGGCGCTCTCCTGGTACATTGGCATGTCATAGTGATAAAGTCTCCTGGATATATGATAGATACGGTACTACCATGCACAGAATGATGTCTTTTGACCATCTGTGCCATTGATTGACCTTTTTCTGCGAGCTGGTGAGACGGCGGGGACCAGGATCATTAGAGAAATGTAGGGAGCCGCTGAATGGAATGGTAGCTTTGTCATCCTCCTGTTCTAGTTCTGTCCTAGACATGGACAATGAACAAGGTAAACTTTGCTGTGCTAAATGTCGTCGTTCTGGTATAACCAAGACAGGAGGCGGGCCAGGGAGATAGAGGTTGAGTTTCTTAGTCTCGCGAGGGCGTTTCCACGTCTTGACCATCCAAGGTTCACAAATAATAGTGCTCGGCTGTTGTATTGACGGAAGTGATGGTGAATTGTGGGTGGTTACTTTATGATGTCGAGGCTTTGGACGACGGAGCGCCATCATGAAATTCCTTAAGACCCGAAGTCTTACACAGAAGAAAAACAATGACATGAAGTCAATTGGAGAACCTCAGTTCATGGACACGTAGTCCGGCAGAGTTCGCTGGGACAGTCGGAGAGAGTTCAACGGACAAAGGCGAGTAATGGAGTGTCCTACACAGGAACATCAAATAACGCTAGAGGCAGTGTCACTCACCATGTCACGCAAATTCAAACTGGTAGGAATACGGCAACATCAATATATCATGAGGTAACGAAATAGGAAAACATTGCTACCGACACAAGACAATACGGCAAAATTATGAAATCATGATTGCATGGGGAGCAAATGGGGTACGATGGGAGGCCTGCCAAAATGATCAAAGAATGTTTGAACGTAAAATGTCGTCACCACACGCTTAACCTCCCAGGACTTCGTATCTGTGAAATTGTCTGAGGTCAGTGGTGTCGTAAGACAAGGCAGCACGTCATCCCAATCGCAAAGCAGTCGCCGGAAATTCTCAAGGTAAGGAAGACAGCCCATCAAGGTGTTGTTCCACAACCCATAGGTCTCCAACGGAAACGACTCTGACCACATCACTAAACCAGCCTCGCCCAGGAAGATGCTATGGAGGAGCTGCTCACGACCGACTGTATCATTGTCCCAGCATCCCCATGCCAAGTAACAATCGAGATCCCTCAACTTGTACCAAAAGCCAAGTTTGAACAACTCCCATGTGATCTTCTGAACCAGAAGCGCAGGAGGGGTGGCGAGACTAGCAATGGAGATTTGTTCACCCTGAAATTCAACAACTCCTTCTGGTGAAAATATATCGCCCTGAGTTGCCAATAGGTCATCACCGAATAAGTCCTGCATCGCTCGCTTCCCCTTCTTTCCACTTATCCCTAGATTCACCTGACTGGATACGGTGAGCATCAATTGGATCTGAAAATTGCGTGAGCATGCAACATACACGAAGAAAAAAGGGTACTTACAAGGCTGATGCCATTGTTTGCCCTTTTGTTTAGGCGCCTTGCCAAGAGTAGACGATTTAGGACCAGAAGCAGGATGACTCGAGCTGGACAATGGCAGAGACGATGTGTCAGCCCCAGGGTCTTGGTATGTCGTGCCTGCATACAGGCGGCGAATGTGTATATGACGATTGCAACCACCTTGACCACGGTGTATGACTTCAAATGGGCGGATTTTTCTACCCTCTGCATACATGGAAATAATGATGTGATCTGGTCGTGTGAGCAAAACGGGTTCAATGACCTTCATGTGCGGGGGTATGTATGCGCTTGCACGGACATACCAAGCGGGGACGCCAGCGGAGAATAACTTGTTGCAGATGTCACTGCTCTGTGCGAACCCTCCCATCTATTCTCTGTTAACCTCATGGCAAACGCCGAGAATAGTATGAGGTTGAGTGATAAGTACCCAGTCGATGTAAGAGTATATGTCGAGGAAGAGGTGCTGAGTGTTGGTGACAAAAATGAGAAGATCTCAAAAAGTAAGGGGGTGGGACTTCAACTGTGTGATGGCGTGACGGAGGCACAAGAGGCGACTGTATATAGTTTGACCTCTGTCCGGCTGATCCTTTCTATAATCACGGACTCATTGCTCTGCCAGTTTGAGAAGGGATCACAAGCCATCGACCTTATCAGGAGCCAGCATGCCTACAGGAAATGAATTCCCTGGAATGGACTTAAGGTCATCCTGGCTAGGGGTGAACCAAGCCCAATGTAGCGGGTGCGGGAATGGAAATGCCTCCTTCTGAGGGATGCAAAGAGTGTGACAAAAAGCTTTGTCATAGGACTGAGGCCACTGGAAGCAATCAATAACGCCAAAGCAGCCATCTGCACAGGCTTGTAGGTCTTCTTCTTCAAAGTGGTGAAACTCTGGAATGAAATGCATGTTGGGCGTCGTGATAACCAAATTGCCCTGCACGGCGACAGCGCGGGCATCAAAAGCTTCTAACCAACCTGTTTTAAGCATCAGCATCAGCACATGACAGAGATAGATTGAGAAATATGTACTATCTCTGGAGGTGCAATTCGACTTGAACAACGTCAGAGCATTGGGCATGATGAGTGCTACAAATCCTAAGTGGATGTTTGTAACAAAAGCGAAAAGTCAACGTACCTTGTATCGCATTGTGGAGTATGATCGTGAGAATTAGTGTCGCTGCTCACGACGAGAGCAATGAGACCAGGAGAAGGACAAGTGGGGGCAGATCAGTAGAAGTAGATAAGAGACAATAGGTGCGCTCACCGGTGAAAGACTGAAAGTGAAGATCAAAGAAAAGACAAAAGTACAATGCACCAGATAGAAAACGGATGTAAGGCACTCTCGCGGAAGATCTTCAACCCTATTGGTGCAGCAACAAATGAGCAGCCAGGGCGACCCTCCAGACACGCACTCTAAGAGTGATAGATCAGTGACATGAAGTCAACTGATCAAGAATTGAACGGCACGAAGCCAGTTCAGATGGAAAGAGAGGGCCATGAGTCGGAAGTTGAGCCTGGGAGTTGAGGGCGGCGATGATGGGAAGGACGAGAGAGATGGGAAGGATGATGAGGAGCGAGAAGAGGGTCAATGAGTAGCAGTAGTAGATGGAAAGTGTAAGGAATTTAAGAGAAACGCAAAGTGGGAAAATCCCAAATGAAGTTCCGACAATTGCACCCAGTTGGAACTTCATTTGGGATTTTCCCACTTTGCGTTTCCATCAAATTCCTTACACTTTCCATCTAAGTACTACTGCTACTTGTCAACCCTCTTCTCACTCCTCATCGTCCTTCCCATCTCTCTCGTCCTTCCCATCTCTTTCATCCTTCCCATCATCGCCGCCCTCAACTCCCAGGCTCAACTTCTGACTCACGGCCCTCTCTTTCCATCTGAACTGGCTTCATGCCGTTCAATTCTTGATCAGTTGACTTCGTGTCACTGATCTATCACTCTTAGAGTGCGTGTCTGGAGGGTTGCCCTGGCTGCTCATTTGTTGCTGCACCAATAGGGTTGAAGATCTTCTGCAAGAGTGCCTTACATCCGTTTTCTATCTGGTGTGTTGTACTTTTGTCTTTTCTTTGATCTTCACTTTCAGTCTTTCACCGGTGAGCGCACCTATTGTCTCTTATCTACTTCCACTGATCTATACACTGTCCACAGACGATTGGAAAGAACTGAAGTCTGAATTTGAGCGACTATGATCTAGCAGGTAGGTGCCAAATCCTCAGAAAATGCCAAAATCTTAAACATCATCAATAAACCACGTCTGGACGTGTTCACCCCAGCACATGGTTTGTTGCACGTTGCACTTAAAAAGGTTTCCGGCGACACGGTCGATTTCGAGTAAGTTCTGTCGAGCGAGGTCTTAAACACCCTTCTTACTGTCAAATCATAGTGAACTGCGAGCCCTGCTCGAAGGCAGGCAAACCAAGCAGAGGCCTAAATTTCTAACAGCAATCAATGTGTTACAATTGATTGTCCGGCAGGTGCCCAACTTGTGAGTTATACTAATATTACATTTTCATCAGTAGAAGCTCATCTTTCTTCTCTGCAGGAAATACCCCAATAACACTCGTGGATGGCAACTTGCATACCCAAATATAACCAGGGTGCAACCCTCATCTCAGACATCACTATCGTCATTCATCCTGGCACCTGCATATTTGGGCGGTCCATTCAATCTGTTATCGTTTTCGGTCTTTTATTGGTGAGTGCACACTTCTGCCTCTTATCTACTTCTACTGATCCACCCTTACATGTCCATTTTGTACACCGTCCATCTACGATTGAAGAAACAGTCATCCCCCACAAATGGAGCACTGGCAGGAGGTCCTACTGGCATCTCTACTATGCAGCCAAGTCTGGATTTGAGTGACTATGATCTAACGGGTGAGGGCCAAATCATCAGAACACGCAAAAATCTGAAGCATCTGTATAAACAGGACCTTCAGCCTCATCATCAATTTCTCCACTACCTGCATATTATAGCGGTCCATTCACACCATTCTATGTACCTTCTGTTCCTGGCCCTTATAATGCCATACCTTATGACTCGATGTCCTGTGCACAATGAGCCAACTAGTGCGTCTTATGATCATGAGCGATGAAGTATGACCCTACTACTTATTCATTTCTTCAGAGCGCTCTCATTGTCGTGAGCAGCCATATCAATACTCTTGGTCCTGGTGCATCAGAACAACCCATCGCCATCATCTTTCACCAACTCTTGTGTTCTCTGTTGTGTATAGCCTGCTTACGAACACCATACTCCTAGTCTCAACTTTATTTCAACCGTTGTTTTGGCTCCATCATATCACCATGACACATCCCTGAGTAAGGGCCACCATCTACTAACTTTGTTTGGGCGTGACATCTTGACATCCTGATATGCAAGCAAGTTCCATTTCAGATAAATATTTAATTAACACACTAACTCTCTTTGTAGAATCTGGCCGCTGTATATAATGTGATGCGATGCGATATTCAGACACTCTAAATTTCAAGCCCCTCCAATATTCACTCTAACATTCTCAACTCTTTCAAATTTTTCGTATCCTTACCTGACTTCGTGTCGGTGAAATAAAACTGTTGAGGCAACTTCATGTTCTTCAACTCGTCTTCTTCGTATCTTTGTGATTGTTGAAAGCAGTCTCAAATGCCTCTTGTTACCTGTTTGGGACGCCAGACTAAAGCCCCATCACCGGCCGACTATGTTCGCACTGACGCATCCAAGGACCAAGGGGCTACCGAATCTGATGTCGATGACAACCAGGTAATGTGTTACTTATTATTCATACTGCAATCACTACTGATTGCTCAAGGCCTCTAAATGTACTACGCAAAAGACTCGCTCTCATGCTGGCCCAAAGTCTATCATGGGTGTCCAAACCAAAGACCATGTAAGCTTATAATTATCATTTGATTATCTACTGAGTCAACATCAGCCGCATCCTCGACCCAAGGCTCGTCCCCTTCCAAGGTCCAAACATTCTGGTCACCTGACATCATCTGCTGAGGATGAAATTTTTTTCTCTAACTTCACCAGATGTTCGTCACTTAGCAGGAAGAAGTCCAGTGACGTGAATGAGGCTCCCGAGGTCCAGTTGGCTGATGGTAGTGTGCTGATGCAGGCTGAGTTCTCAGCCAATGGGTCCACCAATGGTGCAGATGACAATGAGTCATCAGGTAAGTTTTCTCTTGGTCTTTTACTCATTATTAACTCTTGTTCTCCAGCTGGTCCCGGGGAACATAGTACCGTATCTGGCAATAATGATGATGCTAATGAGAATTCAGGTATGTGTTTTATTCATTTGCAGGATGGATTTAAATATTGACGTGCTGCAGTTACAAACGGCAGAGAGCAAAATGCAAGTAAGTACTACTGTACATTTCATAGTAAATAACTAACATGTTGTATTACAGTTCCATCCGATGGCGAGTGCCGTGGTGCTGCAGCAACGAACAAAAGGGGGATGAATGCTGGTAAGTTTCGTGATACACTTTGTACTAAAGAATTAACATGTTATATCACAGTTTCGTCCGACGGTGAATGCGGTAGCGCTGCAGCGACGAACGAAAGGGAGAGAGATGCAGGTAAGTTTTGTTATATATCTTGTAGTACACAACCAGCATGTTTTATTGCAGTTCCCTCTGACGGTGAAGGTGATGGTGCTGCACTCACAAGCGAACAGGAGAAGACTCCAGGTAAATTTCAATATATATTTCGTTGTACACAGCTAATATGTCTTATTGCAGTTGCATCCATGACTGTTCGCCCGCGTAGATCTGGTGCCCATAAATCCTATGCTCCTGACCATGAGAGCAAACCCGCAGAGAGCTCTGACAGCGACTGGGCAACAGTTGAAGGGAAGCGAAGGGAAGCAGAACGCGCTGCAGATCCCGCGAGGCCATTCACGAAGACTGCAGGTAAATTTCAATACATATTTCGTTGTACACAGCTAATGTGTCTTATTGCAGTTGCATTCATGACTGTTCACCCGTGTAGATCTGGTGCCCATTATCCTATGCTCCTGACCATGAGAGCGAACCCGCAGAGAGCTCTGACTCTGACAGTGACTGGGCAACAGTTGAAGAGAAGCAAAGGGAAGCAGAACACGCTGCAGATCCCGCAAGGCCAGAAAAGCAGAAGGGACCAGCGGCGGCAGCCGACCACGGTTACGATGCCGAGGGCTGTGATGAAGAAGACCCATCTGAAGATGAGGATGGAATCACACATAAATCAGGAAGACTATCCAAAGAAGGTGTTTTGAAAGCGGAAGAATTTGGCAAGAGGGTTATGGCCGAAGCAACTGCAATCGGAAAAGAGTTTGGGAAACATCGGAGGGTGATTCTTATTGAGGTGGGACTGGCGACAAAGGCAACTCGCAAGGAGTCTCCCTGGAACCAGCATCAAGCCTGGTTCCGGACTTTACTACACCCATCCAAAGAACGTAAGTTATTGTATTCATGGTTGTTTCAATATTTATTCATGACCTTCCAGTGAACTTGGCATCATGGAAAGTCAAGCAGAAGGCGCACTATTATACCCACTTGTACAAAGACCCTGATCATGAACCCCTATGGAATAAAATCCGACGCCATTGGGATAGTGTGGTTGCCAGCCCTGAGGATCTATCATCACGTGAGTCATCCAGTCTCATGACAGCAGTTCATGAAGTGTTTGCGAAATCGGTAAGTGTTCTTTGGTGACTGATCTTAATCAATGACTCAATCTTTGCAAGGCTTCATATTGGTACTGCACCCACGGAATTCATATAGCTGGTATCACCATTTATCCAGGAGATGAGGAATCTGGCCACCAGGCCTCTGGCCTTTTTGCGGGGTCCAATATGGTGAAGGCTCTCATTGACGCTCGACAAGTAGATGTAAAGCGGTTGATAGACGAGTTCACTACAATCCTTAAGTGTGTTTTTTTTTTGTCTTTTTCTTTGAGGGGATGTGATACTAATATACATGGAATGCATTACAGATACAATGACTTGGAGGCTGCGCAAGCAGAAGGCAAGGGTTTCAGTTTTCTCCCCCCGCCTGTCGCAGTCCCCAATGCTACCCTCTTGCAGAACGGCCAATCCGACAGGGATAGAAATCGCATGGTGGCACCTCCCATCATTAGTGAAGCATTTGGTTGGTGTCTCACTTGATTCCGCTGTCGGTGTACTCACATTTTTCGGTAGTTGCTGCTGGTCACCCCTTCAAAACATCGAACAGCAGGTGGACCAAGATGCTTGACATCCTTTACTATATGCAACTTTGCATCCACAACTGGCCAGCAGGAGTTCCACCCCCTGGTCATGATTTCGATCTAAAATCGCTGTCTGCCAGTCAGTTACGCGCCATAGTGGGTCCATATCTCAGGAAGGAACTTGGTGATATATATCTGGATGATTTGGGCTGAGACGAGGACGAGGACGATGCAGAGAAAGCTGTGTCGACAAAGCGGAAAGGTAAATCCAAGTCCAATGAGAATAGGAGAACCTGGGGCACTGTTGTGGAGGAGCCTGACGTCGTCTTATCTATTGAGGATTGGTCTCCTCGTGCATTTTCAAGTAGTCTGCACCCTACATAAGCTAATATTTTTTTGTATTGTAGTTCAGCGAGCAGACTTGGCCGGATACTGTGGCGAGGTGAACTTAATCCCTCTGGTCATTGCCATGGATGGCATCATTCTGTGTCGTCTCCAAGACTCAGAGAAATTTATTAAGGACCTCCCTCCACACGTTGCTCGCAAAATGTCCACAACAGTTCGTGAAGAGTCTCCAAACTCAGATGCAGACGCTGAGCACTTGAACACTGGGGCTTCATGCACTATGGGAGCTTCGCAATCTAACCCAGGAGCTTTGCGCTCTCACTCAGGACCCTCGAGCTCTCACCAGGAAGCTTCGCACTTGCACCCCGCAGTTCTGTGCTCTGACTATTGGGCTCTGCACCCTGACTATCGGGCCCCATGCTCTGACTATCGGGCTCCATGCTCTGACTATCAGGCTCCGCACTCCAACTCTGGGGCTCCGCACTCACAACATGGGGCTTCACGCTCAAATCCACCTGTCCCTATGCACGCTAACTATGATGAACTTCTGGACTATGATCTTCCACCATGATCTCCACCACCATCTCCACCACTGTCATATCCTCGTGTGACCCCTCAAGGTTTGAATGCAGCAGCAGGACGATACCAGTACAACTGCCTACGTGAAGGTATGCGCCGCTCGATGGCCCCTGAGCTAGCCACTCAGAAATGGACTCGTGATGATTATGAAACTGCGAGGGAGGCTGAGGACATTGAGACTGGAATAGTGGATGAGAGGTATCGGAGGAGGATCCATGTGCGTATTTTTGCACCATATATTTTTCTTCATTCTCACATACCTTTCACACGGCAGGACAGGGCAAGCATGGATATGAGGTCTACTCTTGGCCACAAGTATTTCGTTGTTGTGTTGCCAATTTTACTGTGTTAACTGTTGTCTATTCCCTTAGTAGTCCTGAGCCATATGTTTGTGCTCCATCAAAGGCACACATGGGACCTGCCCCGAACCAGAACACTATGCGCTTACCATCTCATTCGTCAACCATGCCCTACTCTGAGGGCTCTCCATCTCCGCCGCACCAATATAACTCACGTGTTCGGTCTGCTCATGTCCGCCCAGTGGATCGCCGTTTACTTGCACCTGTAGATGAGTAGGAATTGGAGTATAACTAATGTTTACAGCTGTTCTCACTGCCTTTCATATTTTCCGATCTCAATTGTGATACTTACCATGTCGTGACTTATGCTACTACTTGCCTATGACTTACTTTACTCATTGCATGCCGATGACTCATGTTAAAATCCTTATGCCTATGCAAACACCCTTTCTTAAGCTATGGCTCATGGTTTATGTTTCATCCTTTATGTTGCATGTCAATCACAATTGTCGAGACTTACCTGATATTGAAAAATCTTACTGTGTGCAGTCTTCCCTTATATGTATTGTCTTTCTATATATCCCTTGTGCAGCATCTGCCAAATGACACATCAGTCTCATCCTGTGGTTATGAACCAGACATGTCCATTAACTGCCACTTACGACGAATCGGAAAGAGTCCTATGCCAGAGTCAATGGAGACAGTACAGCACTTCCTTCTATTATGTCCCCAATACGCGAGGGAATGTCACATCCTCACCAACACCCTCAAATGATGAGCTCTCTATCTATTGTGAATGTAACTGACTGTTTGTGCACATGTTAGACTATCAAGACTCGAGTTGTTGCCATGCTCAGTGCTTCAGATATTGATGTGAGGCTTGAGGTCTCCTCACGCAGATTGTCTCTACCGTTCTCTAGTGGCTCAACAACAAGAGTGTAAAGGTCCGACTGCAGACTGCAGATCTCACAACCAGGCTGGCTGTTATGATCAAGCAGTGTGGGGAAGTTCAACTTCTCAGCACTCTGGGCCTGATTCTGTTTGAGCAGCTTGGTAAAGAATATCCAGACACTCAAGGAGTGATTGCACTCAAGTGTCTGCTAATGTTGTTGGTATGACATAGATGGATCCACCAGTCAAAGATTTTTGTGAGTTGGTTGTTATTATACTGTAATGTCAGTTACTAATGCTAGTCATTTATAGTGACCTGAACCAATGCCTATCCTCCGTAATTGTCATGCTCTTCCCTATAAGATGAATATTATGCCTATGGTCTTCCCATTGAGCATGTGGTCTTCCCTATTAGATGAATATCATGCCTATGGTCTTCCCATTGAGCATGTGGTATTCCCTATTAGATTGTGATCTTCCCTATTAGATGAATATCATGTCTATGGTCTTCCCATTAAGCATGCAGTCTTCCCTATTAGATGAATACTGTGCCTATGGTCTTCCCATTGAGCATGCGGTCTTCCCTATTAGATGAATATTGTCCCTATGGTCTTCCCATTAAGCATGTGGTCTTCCCTATTAGATGAATATTATTATGCCTATGGTCTTCCCATTAAGCATATGGTCTTCCTTGTTTATTGTTTTTCCCAAAAGCTTATATCTTTCCCAAATGATTGTAAATTGATAAAATACGAGTAGGTACAGACATACCCTAACTAGGACTATGACTTTCATCAAGGATAATGACTTTTTTTTTTTTTTTTGAAAACAAGCCCGACAACGATTTTTGTTATGGCCATATCTCACCTTCACATTAAAATTTTGGTAAGGTATGACCACATATAGACTCGCCTTAATATATACTACAACTTTCATTAAGAGGTTCAATCAAAATAATGACCATTCATTTTTTCGATATACCCACGAGATATATTGTTCAATTATATATAGGAAGATTTATCAGGTTTATGGAGGTGTGCAGGAGGCAGGGTGCAGGGCATAGATGCAATACATATAGTGGGAAATTTCCAAAGAAATTGGTATTTGAGGACCCCAGACACCCCTGCATTATATTGTATTCAAGTGGTCCAAGTCGTCCTATGGTCCTCCCATAACACATTCCCAATGGTCTTTGGTTCATGGTCTTTTGGTCCCCAAGCACAACAGGGAAAGACCACAAAACATCGGGCAGACCACCAGAAAAGCACCTCTTAGGTGAAAACCTCTGTAGGCCACAATCAACCTAAGAGGTGTCTGAAATGGGGTGACCAAAGTGGTAAACTCAAGGTAAAAGGGCTGCTCAATTCTAAAAGTTCGTGTTCACTTGGGATCCGAGCACCACTAAGCATCGCCAAACCTTGTCCTAAACAGGACTTGTACCTAAACCTTACGGCACGTAGTGCCAACACTTGGTGTTGTAAATTATCTGCAAGCAGTCTGAAAGTATATCCTAAACCTCAGCAAGACTCCTAAACCTCGTCATTCCTAACCCTCAGCAGAGCTGACCCTTATCTCAGCCAGCAATGTACAATCAAGTGCCCATTTTTGAGTGAGAAATGATTATATTATATTCACAAACATACTACATATGATGTGCTCTATGAAAATGGTTAGGAAAAGGTTCAGGAATGTTAGGGTCAGACCTGACAAGGGTTAGAAATGTAAATGATGAGGTTTAGTGAGGTTTGGGATGTGCTTTAACATCACCAAAAGTCCTCAAATCAGATTTTGCCTGATTTGGGTTGACATCGCGCCACAATGCTTCTCTTATGTGCCACGTCAGCAATTGTGAGTACTACATCATGCTAATACAACTAGACACCTGCATCAGCAAATTCACACATTGCTTATTTCAACTTATTTGGCACTTATCCCTACTTTTGTCACTTATCAATAATGGGATCTACTTATTTTTCTTCAACTAGCCACCTGGGCCCACCACCCTCAACTAGAGTACACCAAAATATTTGTTAGACTATAGAAGCTCATTTGACAATATCAAAACAACCACATTGGTTGTTTTAGTCAAGTGGAAATGCCAAAACAGTAGCAAGAAGATTTTGACTTAAATGCTTTCCCTAGGCAGCTACACTTGAGAAGACTATATTCTATCATTATCAAACATGTATTTGATAGGTTATTAGCAATTTGAAACACTCAAGTGGAGGGTGGTGGACTGAGGTGGCTAGTTCAAGAAAAATAAGTAGATCCCATTATTGATAAGTGACAAAAGTAGGGATAAGTGCCAAATAAGTTGAAATAAGCAATGTGTGAATTTACTGATGTGACAGCAAAATAGATAATGAACACCTCACTCTGCTATGAGGGTATCTACATGATATGCAACTGATATTACCTTAGCTATCCCATGTGTAGTATATCACAATGTAATCAAAGTGCACCATAACCTTCTCGTGCGAGAATGTCATCATCAAGTTCTTCGTCCGAATCGGCCTCCACCTGATCTGGGTCCTCTTCCTCTTCCTTCTCACCGTCATCCACACCGCTGACTTCGTCATTCTCACCATCATCCTCACCATCATCCTCACCTCCGACATCGTCTAAGTCCTTGTCATCTTCCTCCACATCCTCCTCAGCATCCATATCAATATCCGAATCCCTGTCATCGAAACCAGTGACATTTACTGGAGCCCCATCACTCTGTAAGAAATTGTCCCATTCCTGAGTGACTTTATGGCCAATGCCTCCACCACGAAATCACATGAACATATCTCGGTCTATGAACCTGCAACAATAGTTAGAACTGTGAGTGGAATAAAAGTAAAATAGGACATAGATATTGACGTAGAAATACCGCCAGTCTTTGTTACCATCACGACAGACAAATGAGGGTCCCATGTAATGATCAGTGCAGTCATGGGCGAATGCAGGAATAAGATGAACCCCGCGGATTACTTGATCTGGGTCAAGGAATCCAAAACATGCCGGGTCATTGCCTGGAAAGAATCCGAGTTGGTGCAAGCGCTTCGCAGACCAGCCACTGTTGAATGTGACATTGTGCCCAAACCAGCGTATGAAGAGGACATGCATGCACAGTGGTGCTAGTCTTGCCACATTCTCACCACCATAATACCAGACATCTAGGTGAAAAATTCAGACGACATGTGCATACCAATATGGATGGCGTTCATCATCATCTTCATGTGAGAGGACCATGATGTTGGCATGTGTTCAAGGGTTGATGGAGTCTTGTTCCCTCCGAAGGTCATATGTAGTGTAGTTTACCCATAGCACACCATGTTTGTGGATTTGGTTGTTGGTGAATAGAACCTGCCCCCGATCTTCGCCAGTGAACTCATGCTCGTCGCCTGAGTATTCAATCCCTCAAAGGCAGGCTAGGAGGTGGTCTTTCAGTCGCGGAATAAAATTCTGAACCACAGTAGATAAGTAATAGCGAGTTAGAGTAAAAAAATGACATACCTCCTTGGCAGGATCATCTTCAAGCTCGCTCAGCCATGCAGTGAGATCATATGATGCCTTCGGGTACTTTGAGATATGGTAGTGGTCGGATTGTGAAGTGCATTGATGTTTCCTTCTACCATGACCAGCAGCTTGGAGTTGCTCACGTCGTTTCAGGATCTTCTTCATCAGTTGGTGTCAGGCCTCTTGACGAACCATGCTTTTGAGCATGGTTTTCTTGTTTTTTTTTGGAGTTCGTGGGTACCAGCGTTTAATACTGCGATGTTCCAATTCACCCTAGGGTGTGTATGAGCATGCAACACCTTGGTTGAAAAAAATCGCACCGTTTGTGTACTAAAATTATCAGTGGTTCCCATCTGTCGGATGGTGTTGGGATAGTCCCCGAGTGTGTGATACTTGTAGGTCTTGAGGTTAAGCCTCTTCAGCTTCAGTCCAGTCACTGCCTCTGACTCATACGTAGCTTTTTGCTTCCCTTCCTTAACAGTCTGCCGACTTGCCAATGCAGCCTTTCATCATCCACGAGCAGCATATTCTTGAGGGAGCTCGTTGGTGTGGTAGACCATACACGTTGTTTTGAGGAATTTGCAAACTGATTTACCAAGAACAACAGTTGCTGTGTCAACAAAAGTCAGGGTATCATCAGTATGCAAATGAAGCTTTGCATAAGCATGCCACACAGCCAAGTCAAAGAGAAGGTCGAGGATGGTCTTGTTGTTGTCAGGCAAAAGGCCCTCGAATACTGGAAGAGCACACTGTAGAAGGTCTTCAAAATCTCTTGCTGTGAGGTGTTTCATAGATGAAGCATTCTTGTTGAAATGCTGAATGGTGCCCCAACCGAATGTAGGAACCAACCAATAGCTGTATTGTCGTGTCAGTTTATTAACAGACATAGTGTCTGTGCCCCATACCGTTTATTAAGTTGTTGAACAGAATCACCTGCTGCAGCATGCAGGATGCGCATCAGATGAGTGAAAATGGCCTTCCATACTCCAAGTTCGAACTTGTGTAGGAGGTCCACAACAAACAGCTTGAACAAATTAAAAGCGAACTCGACCAGTTTCTCGGAAAATGCGTTCTAGGAATGGGTCAGCCTAAGGACCATATGAGGTAGTCAATCCTTACATGCATAGGTACCAGTGATTTGTCATTCAGAATCTGGTTCACCCAGGCCCTGGTGACAGGAGCACCATTTTCAAATATGAGTTTACATGCCTTGGCAACTCCCTGCCGCCGCGAATCATCATCGACGCGCTGCAGCTTATCTTGCCGTCTCATGTCGAGTTGGGTTCCCATCTTCAGAACATCGCACTTCTTCACCAGACAGCGAGGGCAGGGACATTGTCTTAAAGATTTGATACTTGCAAGTAGAACTCTGGAGTGGGGTTGACAGAAACAGCGTGCATTGGTGAGAAATACTTCTCTGGGTAGTCAGCTGAGTAAGAGAAAAATCAAGGAAAGACTCTGCGAGTCACGCTGTCAGAACATTTGATGATGATACCATGTTCATAAGCATCCATGAATTTACCGTCAAGGAGGAGCTGCCAGATTGCATGAATTAGCTCTCACTTGCAGTAAGTGTATACCTCGTCCGTCGAGGGTTCTCCGAAGAAGTCCAAGTATTTTTCTTGGAAATCATCGGGGAGCTGTTTCAAGATGTTCAGTTGGAACATTGCACAGTAGATATTAAAATGTACCGTTGGTATGTAGGCGACGTGATGACAAGCACTGGACATTGGCTTTCCTCGCATATACTTGGATTGATTCCCGAAAAATAAGTAGAAGGGCCACATGGAAGCATCCCTGAAATTTGTCAGATGGGTTGCGTCAGACCAAAGCATGAGGGAAGCAACAATGCATTCAAGATCATCACCAGCTTCCCATGGCAATGCATTGATCTCTGCATACATATCAAGCATGGCGGGGGAGCTATGGGCCTCTGAGAAGACTCGGACTGTCTTTTCCTTGGAGACCTTCCAGTATTGACTAAAAGGTGTCATGTGGAAGGTCTGGGAGACATTGTCCTCAAACACAGCTGTGATAATGTCAATGAATGAGCGGTGATATACACCAGGTATTTCCAGCTCGGGAGCATCCTCCTCTGATGCCCATTTCTGCTTCTCCTTTGGTAGACGGATCCTGGTCATTGACTGCTGCCAGCCATGCTCTTGCCGGAATGGATTGGACTTGTCATCCAAGTATTTGTGAAGTAATTTTGACTCACAAGCATGGCTGATGCCACATACATCTTTACTGCAGAAGAGAGGATCCTCAAAGAAGGTGCCAAGGCAATCAAACTCAGCAGCAGACTTCATGTTAGTACCAGAATACTGCCACGCCATAGTGATGTGGCATCCGAATGGTGCGTCCAGAACGGTGCGATACAACTGGGGGGGACAGTGCTGATGGCTCTGCAGCCTGCTATGATATTCATATCAGAGATTAGAAATTGTAATAAAACACTCACATCGTGTTCGTGTGCAGGGGGCACTATATCATCAGTTACATGTGACGGGCCTGCCATGGCATTATCCTGCTAAAATATTAGTGTGAGTGATACTAGAGAACATGAAATACGTACATTGACTGCAGGTAGAACATTGCCGTCAGCTGGGTCAGCCCAGGTATCATCATAGACACTCTGGATTCCATCCCTGATGATCTCATCCAACTCCTCAATTCGAGGCCGTTTTGCCTTCTTACTGTGCTTATCCGACTTGCATTTCTTCTTCTTCTTCTTCTTCTTCTTCTTCTTCTTCTTCTCGTATACAGCATCTGTCAGCTTGACAGACCTGTTGTGCCCACACTGCATAGCATGAGATGATAGCTGCCTCGTCGATCCAAACTGTTTCCCACAGCTGAGGCAGGTTGGATGGTCTGAAGACATAGTTAAGAATGAGAATGCAAATAAAGTATTGTATGGGGAGGGGGGGGGATGACATACCTGGGCAACTCTGAACATCTTTATAGTTGCTAAGTATTGAGGATCTCCGCCATGTGTCAAGGGATACAAGAAGTTCGATCCGAGAGGATCATACTAGGACGCTGGCCACCAAAGTGAGTATAAGAAACTCAGACCTTGTGGATGATCCTATGCAGAAGACTGGGCACCCACCTATCATTTCTTGTGCGATCTTATTTTCATATTTGCAGGAGGCGAGGGTGAGCACATTCGGGAGTTTACTGTTATATATATAAAAATGTATATATAAATGTACTGTATAATCACGGTACATAACAAACAGCATGCGCCTCATAAGCCTCAGTCCCAGGTCCCTCCACCTTACATAGTATGATACGACTGAATGACTGCCACCGCCGCAGGGGTGAGCAACTATCATTCAATGAACAACTGTGGCTTGTGGTGAGGAGTTGAGTAGTTCGATGAAGCATCCGAGCATGCTCTTCATCCAAGGCATGGGGATCATCCGTGTGCAAACATAACTCTGCTCGACGAGCAAGTTCATTCAGGGACGGCAGAAGCATAGATGCAATGGGCCCCTCCACCCTAAGTGTATTTGCATCAGTGCTTCTGACCAAAGTAGAGGTTTTGATTGCAAGCAGAGCTGCTCTGGATAGGTGGCTATCGGCAAGGGAGACATTGCAAACTTCATTCAGTAACTCTTTAGCTGCATCAGCATCTGCTTGAAATCCCCGTTTCGCGAAACAAGACAGTAGAGCGATGGCAAGATGGAGTTAGGTAAGAGGTCGGTCTGGATGACTTGTGAGATGCATATCAAGCGCATCTTGAAAGAGAGAGATGGGGATGTCGAGGTCAAGGTAGGTTCCATTAACCTGGCAACTAACGAACTTTGTGGTAGCTAGATTGAACAGTGCTGCAGGGCAGCATGGATTATCGAGATCCCTACTGTTCTGCGTCCTGCGGCATTGTGCGAGGAGACAATGTCCAGCATCCGTCGAAGCTTGTCGATGACGATGAGTTTCAAGGAAGAGGCAAGAGGCAATGTGCGAAAATATTGATGCTCGCCTTTGTGCGACGCATCAATGACAAGGGACGCGGAGGATCGAGGATGGGCCGAGTGGTGGGCGGAATGAGCGATGGGACAAGACAGAGGGTAGGGATACTGGAGGATGAGGGTCGTGATACGATCTGCCATGGGTTGAATGCCTCCCCCGAGCCTCTGAATGACACTCTGTACATGTCCCCAAACGTGCTGTTCGGGACTAGGAGCGCGTGAAACGAGTCGACTAGGTACTTGGCTTGTAGGGTCTGAATTCAAGTGTGGCGATCGCGGACGACGAGATAAGAGTTCTGAATTGACCCAGTCGAGTACACCATGCGGGAGTGTATGAGCATGGTGCACATGCGGATGTGGGTGTGGAGGTGAGCTTGCACCCGGGGTAAAGGACTTGCTGAGGCCTGGTGTAGGGGAGATGTGTGGAGCGGAGGATATGTATGTTTGATCAGAACACCTTACACAACAAACACTCGACCCTCGCTAAACTTATTCACCATACAGATATTAGCCCTACATACAACAAATTGATGAACGCGCGTCGACAGATACTAAAAAGACAAGAACGCACCAGAACTCACTCACCCAAACCAGCTTGTTGAATGTAATCTCAGTGGGGATGAGCGACGCAATGGTCTCGAAGATAAGCTCCTTGCTCTGAATGACCTTCATCAACTCTAGTTCGCGATCGGAGATGAAGAATTGCCAGCCATCCTCGCCGATTTCATCCGTTGGACGCAATGAGAGCCTGCGGATCATGAAGACATCTATCAAGACCAACTCCCTTTAAGCGAATATCTCCAGAACGCGCATGGTAGATAGAGCACGCGGACGCCTTTGGCGAGTGGGATAAATTTACAGAGGGCAGTGAGGGTATCACTGATGTGGTGAGGTTATGTAAGAGGCCAGCGCGGACTGCGGTTGCATGAAGTTTGTAGGAAATGAAAGAGGAAGGGTTGGTGGCAGGGAGGTGTATTGAGGATGGGACAGTTCCGCTGAGTGCAAGTGAGAAAGGAAAGACATGTTTGCCTGCTTTGAGGGTATGTGAGTGGCGTTTCTTGCCTTCGAGGAAGGACTAATCATATGTGCAGAGACTGAAACTCTGGCTTAGGGTGATTCTAGCGAACCGAGATGAGACAAGGAGATTGAGATGAAAGAAATGACGTACAGGTCATGAAGAGAAGGTGGTATGCGAGATTTATCATGAAATTGGAGATTGATCTCTTTGATAGAGGTCGCCTCTGAGAGAGTGAGGATGAGGTGACCAGAAAGTTAGGTGAGGTGAGGACGGGCGAATGTGTTGGTAGTGCCAAAGGTTCCTCTGGTGGAGGGGTATGAGGAGCGCTCCTCGAACCAAGCTTTGGTTTGGCGTCTGCATGTATCGGAATGGGATGTCAGCTGGACTTCCAAGGATGGCTCCTCCTTATGAGCGCCATGAATAACAGCCGTCAAAATTTTGTTTGACCTCAAAGCTAAGACCTCCGGCTTCTGTAGTACTTGATGAGTGAAGACCAGTCGAAAGGCACAAAGTCAATATACTATAATTTTGCAGATGTAACCAATAGCCTGCAGGGTGGCAATCTTCAAATTGGTGTCATCAGATGTGTTGATGAAACTGAGGAGAATTTTGATGAGATCCGGCCATTGGCCGATGGGTAATTCTACCACTGTGATCGCTAGCAGCATTTTGATGTGTTTCAGTGTCTGTCAAAGGTACGTGATGGGTTAGGACGAGTAGATTTGAAAGAGAAAAGAGGCTTACCAGGAGATATGGTATTAGCAAGGAGTGCACTGGTGTTCACGATGATTTCAGAACTGTTTCAGTGCAACAGTCATCAATATAAAACTAAAAAGAGATATGGGTACAAGAAAGGTCAGTAGCTAGCATTGGTGAGGAGAATAGCAAACAGATAATCAGGGGATGTGGTGGAAGGGGAAGTGGTGCTCCGCTACTTAGCCTTAGGGCAATCCGCCAAACCAGGCTAAGTAGGAAGGGGACTTTAAGCAAACCAAAAAAGAAAAGACACTCACCATGACGCCCAATGGTACTAACTAAAGAAACAATAAATCAAAGTTTGAAGTTTCTGTTTGCGCATGTTTTCAAAGTCCGGCAAATTAGTTGACGCATACACAGATTGCATACCCATATCATTTTAATCTTATACCACTACATACTGCTTTTTCTAATGCCTTTGCCTTATGGACCTGTCGACTTCAGCGACAAGTTCAACACTGATGGCAATTATATTGTCCTTGATGTCAAAAACCTTCTTAAGGGCTGGCCTACATATATCATAGAATTCACGCCTCAAAAACCGGGACCAGTGGTGTGTACTACTAGCATCATAATACTTTAACTGACTCATGTTCACCCTACAGAAACTGCTGTTGCGCTTGAGAGATGCAAAAAAGCTCAGATGGATTGATGATGGTGACAGTGAAGCCGATGAGTTGATACTGCAAGGGACTTGCAGAAAGACCCCAAAAAAGTAAGCTATCATTTTTGTGAGCATACTAACATATGCTGAAGACAATCCAGCTCCTCCACTAGTGCCATCAAAACTGATCCAGACACTGGTACCATAGGTTCGAACACTCCCAGTGCCTCTGAGCTGTAAGTTTTATTTCTCTTTGTGTTATTTTGCTGACATCTTTGTACTTTCAGGGGCAGCCCCACACTCCTCGCAAATCCTGTGCAGTTCCTGGGTGTATTGGAAGACCCGCCAGTGAAGAAACGCAAGTTTGCTGATGAAGACTCTGTTTGGCCTCCTCATCACTCTCAAGCCTACAGAGACGTCCTGGATCTACCCCTTGCTGCTTTTCGTAACCTCATGATTCTGTCTGCTCCTGTGGAAGCAGCAGTTGATAGTCCCATGTAGGATATTTGTCGCTCATTCCTATTGCTATTTTGCTCTGTCATTTATTTCTCTTTGCAGCATTGTCATCTCATTTGCAGCTCAATGTCTTAGTAGCCCTCGTCTCTCTTTTGTTGTCATCATTGTTCATCTACTCACTTGTCCGTACTCAGTCAAATTAAATTGTATTTCTTGTCCAGCAACAATTAATGTACGCCCACTAGTGAAGTGTCGCTTGCATATGTCTCACTTAGTGTATTTCTTGTCCATATGCGCATGTAATTATATTTGTGAAACACATCAATGGAACCAAACATGGCTCATAACTTGATATGACGTGTCCTTTGTTTCTGATCTACCCGTTATCATGCCCAACAGAAAGTGCTCATCTTCCATGTCCAGCAGCTCATCATCGGGTAGTGACTACTCAATGTCAAGTGATTCGACACCTAAGTGACATACTTCGCCTCCGACAACTTCACCAATGCCAAGCAATGAATCAAAATCAACGAAACTACAGCAAAAACGCAAGAGAGGATCATCAGATACCGACATCAATGACAAGAAACGTAAGAAACGATCAAAGTGAGTCAGATTCACGTTATCGACGCGCATATATACACATCTGATCACTCCATCATAGGAAGCAAGAGCATAGCAGAGACTCAGACTCAAACAACAAACTCCATAAGTAAGTACAAATGACACCAATAAATTCTATGTGCTAACAGTCAGGTACAGGAAAGGAATGACACCATGAGAACAGTGTTTGCACATTGCACGTTGGATTCCCCAAGGGATAGACATGTTTTGCAAGCTGACTGACGAGTTTTGTATTGCTCCTCTCATCAAGCAGCAAGACGCAGCTGAAAAGGCCGATGATGTTGAGGACGAACAGAAGAAGAACGACCATGAAGCGATTTTGAATAATGTGTAAGTACAGCTTGCAATTGTTTTGTTTCGTCTTGCGGCTGATCACACTACTCCAGCTCAAAGGATGTTGAGGTCCGAACAATCCGAAGCTACAAGAAGATCACTACCGCTGCCCCATACCTGTTGACTTTGGTGAATGGTAAGAAGAAGCAGTGACAAGAACTTGAGGGTCTTCTTGCCAAGGTCAGTAGCATATACGCATGAGGTCATGACTGATATCTTTGATAGATGCAAGTTATCATTGGGCAAGTCTGTTCAGAGGACGCTAGTCATCTGAAACCAGTCATTGGACAGTACGCAGCACCCGAGCCAGAGGTAAAAGGCCTGGAGCCTCCCATCTTTGCCAATAATCAAAAATCACATGCAAAAATGAGTATTAATCACCCGCAGCTTGCTGCTATGCTATGCCCTGTCAAGCACTTGGGTGAATACTTGGATGATCCTAAAGGGTAAGCACTCTCCACTGCTGGTTTGTATTTGCTGATGGTCACTTATAGGACACGTCAAAAGTTGGAAAATGGAGATATCAAGATGCGTGCACATGTCTGGCCTGCTATGGTATACTCCGGTAAAATCCCAGGAGAAGACTTCAACCCTAAGCGGGTGCAGAATGGGCTGCTTGAAGGATACCTCATTGAGCGGGTGAGTTTTTTTAATACATTGATTGATCTTTGAGCATTCATGATGCATACATCAATCAGGTGATGAGGCATCTCTTTACAGGACCATCCTCTGTGCTTGGTGCAGATGGTGAATCTGTTGGGACATGACCATGTAATGCACGTCTCCACAGCATGACAGAGGTCGAGGCAGAGAACATTGCATATGGTGTGATTCAGGTCTGTCTCTCGATGAACTCTCCGTTGCAGCATTTTTACTAGTACACATATATAGAGCCAATTCACCATCGGTTCACACGACAAGTGGAGGGAAATCGATGGAAACTACAACTATCGAGACACTTACTATAGGATCATTTCTACTATTCGGGATGCCCCAGACCACGGATGGGCAAAGACGTTGCATGAAAATTGGAATATGTATGTATCAATTTTCATCACAAGCTGTAACTAACCTTGATCGGTAGTAAAATGTTCAAAAATAAACTAGGACTTCATGCCTCATCCTCCAGGAATGCCACTGATGTCGACGACGATGACAATGACGATCTCGCTCTGATGAGGAAGCAGTACGAGGAGAGACTTGCAGAGGAGGCCACTGCACCAGTGCTTGGGCCAATTCCTACAGATTTCAGACGTAGAGAGGACCTACCTACTGCACCAAAGAGCCCATTGGTCCCTATCACATCTGATGACATTGAATCCAGCACGAGTGGTTCCCACCCCCCAGAGGAGAGTTCAGTTTCACTTCCAAGCTCAGATCCGAAGCCCCAGCCATTACCTTTGGATCCAACCAATGAGGAACTCAGTGCTCTCAGTGAAGACGAAGAACCTCGGCTACCAAAGCCAAAACCCACAAGGACCCACATCCACAAGGCTGTCGTGGAGTGGCCACTACCATTGCCCAAGAAGCCCCGGGCCAAGGCGACCCACAATGCCAAGAAGAAATAAGTCTCTGTGCACCGTCCAAGTGTGCTTTCCTTACACCTTGCTGAATGCTCATATTTCAGGTTGCCTCGCATATCATTCCACATCGCATCATCGCATATCATTCCATGTTGCACCATCGCATTTCATCGCTTTTATGTATCTGCAGTGTTCTTCTCACATCAACGCTTTCGCAGTGCTTTCCGTCTCTTAGTTTTCACGACTCGGAGTCTCATCAATTGTAATACCATCAGGCCTCCTCGTTCCATCTGCAACATTTTCGCTCTGTTACCTCACCCCAGCTTACAGTACCATCAGTCCCTGTAATTGTTGCTAATGTCATGTATTATAGTAGCAAATTGACATCAGTTTAACATAACATATCAGTGTGATAGCTCGAGAGAACTGCTTAGCACGACATATCAGCATGATAACGAGCTAGCAGCTGAGGGAGCACTGGCAGTTGAGCAGTACATTAATGAAAAAAAAAAACCTAGATATGACCAGATAAGCTGACCCTGTGACCTGATACACCTGCGAGACCTTAGAGACCTTCTAAGGTCTGATATGACCTTAGCTTACCATCTCTGAACTGGGAAATTTTGGTGATGAAGACTGCTTGTATATACCAAGTGTTGGCGCTGTGCGCCGTAAGGTTTAGGTACAAGTCCCGTTGAGGACAAGGTTTGGTGATGCTTAGCGGTGCTTGAATCCAAGTGAACTCAAACTTTTAGAATTGAGCAGCCCTAAAGGTAACCCACAAGGAACCAAATATATGCCATATGGACAAGGTACAGTCGGTGGTTCGTAGACTCAACTGCTCGTGATATGTACGTGTCATCGAAGACTATTTTGGCAGTAAGTTTCCCAAGTCCAAGTGAGGATTCTTGAATAATTTACCAATGGGGTAATCTCGGCTCCAGATCCTATGCAGGCGGAGATTGAAAGCGGAGGCAAAAAACATACACCAAAACACACACAACAGACCTGCCTAGGATCTGGTGCATTTTGTAGAGAAGGGGATAGATCGTAGCCAGCCCGGAGTAGTTACTGTACCAGTACTTTACTTACCACCTCAATGGACGACTTCAAAGATCTTTTCTATCCTGAGTTGGAGTCCTTGGAAGATGAGGATGACTGCGAAAACACTTGCACCTGCCCTGGATGTCTCTTGTTACACGAACCTAGTGATACTGAGGCTGCAATGTCTGATGAAGAACCTGAGCCACAGGCTCCCATACAACTAGAGCAAACTAGACAAAAAAAGTTGGTGCTAGAAGTACAATCCCTCGCACCCAATGTGCTCAAGATTCTCAACGCAATCTCGGAGCAGGGCACAACACTGTCCCTCTTCCTTGATGCTCTCAGCTGGGGGGACAAAAGTTGTCATTCCAATGACAGAATCCAGTTTGCACAAACTGGCTTGATGTTGAGCGAGGAACTACCAGTAATCCTTGAGCGCTGGTACCGTCCACCGAGAAACCAACACAAAGGCTGAAGACCTGTGGGTGCACGTCAGAACCTGTAAAAATTCGCCGTTAAGTGCGTGGCAGACTTACTGGAGTACGAGATAGAGCATATTGCCCCACTCTTTGCATCACCACCTGACGAGCTCTCTCAAGCACATCTGACAAGTTTCAATTTTGAAGACTTCATCAAAAAAGTCTCTGCCAGTGCACCAGTGCTGTGGGATGTACTTGAACGTCTCGTGTTCAGTGCAAAACAGTGAGCACGTAACACACACAAGAGTCCAGCAATGGTGCTCCTCTTTAATACTCTGAAATGCAAAGACATTAATATGTGTTACAGGTAATCTTGCACTTAATATTGCAGGCGCAATATACACGATCACATCGTCGGGGACGCATGACAACGCTGTGGGCAATCTACTTGAAAGCATGTGGGTTATCAGTGCGTGCCTTCGATGCCCTTCATGGACTTGGCATTGTAATGAGCCATAAGTGGGCAGCCAATGCGTACGGTTCATTGTCGAGCTGTGCTATGAAGGAGGTCAGGGAAGATATTCAGTGCTTGCCATGGGTAATCTCACACGACAATGTCAACATACCGATGTGTGTGTTTTTGCAGCACTTGCACAATAAGAGCCACTTTACAAGTGGTTGTGCAGCTACAGTATGGGTCTTCCCTGCTGATGCTATGCTGCCTGCTGCTGCGAGTGACCATCTTTAGTCCTGTCGTGCTGAAAATGGCCAAACTCATTTTGCACTTGATGAGGTGCTTGATGGAGATCCATTAGCTGCCGCACGCATCAAAAACCAATATATCTACCATGTCCTTTCGATGGTCTTGAACTCACCGGAGTTCTTTGACTATGCCTTCTGCGACAACAATCTGTTCAAGCCTCCTCAACCTGTTCACCTGCTTCCAAGTGGTCCAAAGAACATTGTCAAGCAGTACATCCTTCACACAGTCGATATTGAGGAAGCTAGCTATGAGGGAAACAATAAGGTCATGGCAGAGTGGTTTTGTCAGCTTGGGATGGACAGCGAGGATGCAAAGAAACACATAGGCACCGGAAAAGTGATACCATGGATAGGAGACCAGATGACAGTGGAGAGGCTGCATGGCTTATACAAGTACCGACATGAGGACTTCAACTCCTTTGACCGCATGGACTATTTGATTCCTGTCTTTGGCTGGTTTCATCTGCAGATGGCGTTTGCAAACTCGCTACACAAACAGTACCTTGGAATGTCAGTGAGCATGGGAAGCCTACAACAAGCTTTCGACTTACTGCAACACAAGGGACTGCACAAATCAGAAATGAAAGGTCCTTTTTGGCATCACCTTCACAAAGCGCTTCATCACATCAGTGAAGCGCACATCCGAGCATCATGGCTTGCTGTTGGTGGTGTTAAATCACCAGCGAACTCAAATCCAAGTCTCCAACTGAAATCCTCACCCTTGCAACAACACTTGTTGATGAACATGCCTCACATCATGCGATTGCAAAGCTGAACCATCTTGATGAAAAGGACCGCAATGCTGTTCTGACACAGTGGACTATGTTCAATGTAGACGTACTTTCATATATTGAACTCACCGCTGCAATGAAGATGGGCGATATCAGGAGGATGGAAGACGTGTTGCCAACCCTATTGTTCCGTTTTGCAGGCGGCGGAAACTCCAAATACACCATTGAGATCCTCGAATTGTTGCAGGGGCTAAAGCAGGAATGGCCAGGGGACATAAAATAAGTCACGAAACATTGAACTGTGGATACACTCACCATCAGCATGAGCAGAAACCATGTATGCCAGCATTGCTGGCTTATCAATCGATCAGGATGTCCAGATGGGTGGACACCTATTGACAAAGGACAGGAGCAAAATATTGGCGACATTAAGGTCACATATCACTTGTTTGGCCCAGGAGCAACTTGGACATACCTCCATAAAATATCCCCTGCAATCCCAACACTACGTGCATTGCAGCGGCATATGGAAAGCAAATTCAAAACAATCACACGAGGCGCATATCATGGGATCCCTGACAAGGAGGCTGATGTCACCAAACTTACAGATCAATACATCAAGTCAAACCTTCATGTTCACGAACCAGGACGGCAGATTAAGGCTACCGCGAAAAACAAAGCTGAGGATTTTGTGACTACGGGCGCAATTGACATTGAGCGCCTGGGAATGTTTGATAACTGGTGGCGCAATCATGCATACAAGAGGTCAACTGATGAGGAATGGGATGATATTGGCAGAGGCTAGCTAGTGTCAACCTCAGGAGGCGAAATGCCATGGAGAAGGGTATGGGGGAAAAGTTTGCATAGAAGAGATGGGTGTAGGTGTGGATGGGGGATGGTATGGGGGAAAAGTTCGCATCAAAGAGATGGGTGTAGGTGTGGATGAGGGATGAAACAAGGGAAATGTTCGCATCAAAGAGACGGGTGTAGGTGTTGATGGGCCAGCATGCAATGTTAGAGGAGTGTGATGGTTGTAACATGAAATTGGTTTATTGAGGAGGGAATCGTCAGAGTCGTCAGATTCGTCAGTGGTGTTGCCTTCGTTCTCATTGCCGCACATCTGGAAGACATGAGGCTGGTGGCCAGCAATGTGAAGAGTTGGCAAGGAAATTTGATTTGGAGTGTCTGAGGCACTAAGCACAGCCTTTTTGGCACAAGAGGTTTGAGGCTTCTTGGGAGCAGTCTTCTTGGCTTCACGAACACGAGCCCTGTCCTCAATAGCCTTGAGATGTTTCACCTCATTCTGCTCTTGTGTCTCTTTCTTTTTTGCCTCTGATTGTTGCAACTGCTCTGCCTTCCGTTTATCATCTACTTCTGCATCAAACACTCTCAGCAGCTCCAACACCTCCTCACCATGTCTTCATGCTCAACTTGTGCTCCACCCAACTCCAACAAGATCTCCAATAGTTTTCTGGTTTCCGGCTTGAAGCGATTTTGCTCAGCATGAGGTCAGGGAGAAGTCCCTTGGGTCCATACGGAGCAGCTTCAGAGTAGACAGTCATCCAAGTTTTGAACCGCCAGTTAACAAGTAAGTCTTTCACATCTTTGAGGTTGTCTTCATGGCGAGTGGCAGGCCCATGTTGGACCATTGGTCGCTTGCCGTTTTGGATAGGATACTTGCTCGGGGTGAGGGTAAGGCTGGTATCAGTAGTCTCTGGAGATACAGCTGGCAGAGGTGTTTGAGGGCGGGGAGGATGGCAATTGTCACAGCAGTCACCGGTGGGAGCTGCAGGTGCTTGTTAGTCACGCACAATAACAAATGCTACATATGTATGTCTTCTTTTCACACCACTATGGAAGTACTCATCTGCAGCATCACGACAACGCGTTTTTGTTTCAAGCCAGGTGTGCAGGCCTTCATCAATCATCTTAACAAAGAGAACTTCATTCTCATGGCCAGCAGATTTTTTATGCTTCTCTTGAAATACACTTGGTTGCACCAAGAGGATTGCTCGTGCTTGCAAGGTAGTTGCACGCCCCGCTCAGCCTGCGCGCTGCATCCATACTGACAATGATACAGGTACCTTAAACTGTATGACGAGCTTGATATGTGGCATGTCACAGCCCTACATCATCGTTAGCTGCAGTTTTGCTATTGTTACAACAGCTCACCATTCCCGCTGCCTCTGTGGTAAATAGGACCTTGATCTCACCCTTTTTGAACCGTTCAAGTAAAATTGTCTTTGCTCGAACAGTACATCGTGAGTGGTACACAGCTATCTGACCATGCAACTCGACAGGGCATTTCTCGCGTAACCAACGACACGCTGACATTAGTATAGCAATGTCGTCACCAAAAACCATAGTTAGTTTGAAGTGAGTCTCTCCTTCTCCTGAGCTTGTTGGTAACAGGAATGAGAGTAATTCGAGGTCACTCTTTCCAGCTTTCATGTGTCGGACCTCCCAGGCTATATTTGGGCAGTCGATTCCTAGGTTGACATGGTAGGACATCAAAGGATCGATGTGCATGGCTGCACATACCTCTGTGAGGACAGCTGGTGGAAGGGTTGCAGAGGTGACCAGGACGGGGATGTGGCTTGGTACAAATGCTTGTAAGGTCCCCAGCTTTGCATACTCCTCATGGAATTTCTCACCCCACTGAGAGATGCAGTGGGCTTCATCGATCATGATGGCAGCTATGTGACCAGCGAAGCTTGGGGAACTAATCAATCCCCTGAACTTGTCGTGATTCAAGCACATCTCAGGTGAGGTGATGATCACCTGATGTTTTTGCAGTTTGAGTTGCTAATTTCAAGTTAGGGCAGTCAAAGCAATAAGTCATGATACCATACTTGATGTAGATGTTGATTGTACGAGTTGCCGTTCACTGCTACATCTGTAAGATTCATATCTTGGAATTTTTTGGCCTGGTCTGCCTCAAGAGCATTGAGCGGGGATATGATGAGTACGTGTTTGTTTGGTTGTGCAAGTAATGGGAGCACGAAAGGCATTGTTTTGCTGGTGCCAGTACCAGCAATGACTGAACAGTCGAGACCTAACAGAAGTGCCTCGGGGAGGCCCTTGACTCTGAACCACCACCATGGTCAGATTTTCCCATGCATGCAAACTGCGGGCAAGGTAGAGCCAACAAGGCTCACAGCTAACAACTGGCCATACCCACCTGAACCACTACAATAATTACACCGATTAACAAAAACAATACCCACTACACATAAGAAACCCACCAAACTGAATCACAATCCAACACCCACAGCACTTAAGAGCAACATCAACACCCCCACCAACCATCACAACCGCAAAATAAAAACACACCCGAATGTAAAACAACAGCCCTCAAAACTACAATAAAAACACAAAAACTCCCCCAACACGAACAACAAAACTCTGAGAGCCCTACCCAGAAACAAAAACTGCAGACACCACAACAAACCCACAAGTATACTGACCCCTCAGAACAAAACCCCTCACTCCAACACCCCAAACTAAACACACAGGAAAACCCATCAAGAAAGACTCTAATAATCACTAATACTGCAATATCATCCAATCATGAGCCTAATAAACATGCACATGTATAAAACCCTGCGAGAACAAACCAAAAAGACCCCAATTGACAAAAAAAACCCGCGATAACCACTAAAATTGTGGTATACAGACTAACACACTGCCCAAATGCCAACTAAACCTCCCACAATATGTCAGATCAACAGCACTCCACCACCCCCAAAACCCCTGACAGGGAAAACACCTCCTAACCACCAAGATAAACCAACCTGACCTGCCCTATCCCCAGAACCTCAACAAATATAAAAACCTAGTCGACACCCCATCCAACACCCAATGAAACATGAGATACCCAACCCTCCTCCATCAAATCCCTCTCTCAATCCCTCCGCCCATACCCCAACAATACATGCCCCAACCCCTCCACCCTACGCGCTGGGCCGCTCTTCTTCCTGCAAAATGTTCTCTGTGAAGACGACAACATGGATCTCCATCCCAATGAAGAAACCACCTCGCAAACACCTCCCTCCCCCACATCACCCACCTCCCCACCTACCCCAACTCCCGTCGTGAGAACACTTCATGCACCCCCCCCTCCTATAATCCCCATTACCATGTCAGACCCACAGCCCCCCACGGCTAAGGATGCCCTCCCCATAGAAGGGAGCAACCTAGCTCTATCAATCCATGCGCCCAATGCACCAGCGGAAGACCATAACATGAGCTCAACGGCCACCACAGAACCTACCTTCTTACCATCTGAGGAAGACCAGGCCATCCTGGCCCACATCGCCCTCGCAGAAAGAAACTGTTCTGTCATCAAACATGACGGCCCCAACAACACCACTGTGCTCCCCCAATTCACCCCAGTACCAATCGGAGGATTTCCACTCATGCACATGTCACACTTGGCACAAATATTTGACCATCTAGACAACAAGGTGCTCCTCGCCTGGCTCCAAGTCAAACACCCTAAGCTCATAATCCAAGTCTTCGACCACACCAGTAAAGAAGTCCATGAATCAGCCGCCGTCCTCACAGAACGCATTAGAGCAAACATCTCCGTAATATCCAACTTCATTCAACAAGAAGCCCCTCCCATCCGTGTCTCCCCACCCCGACCCCATAGAGGGAAAGACGCCAAGGAATTCCCAACATGTTTTCTTGTACACAGCATATCTGTCGAGACGAGAGACCTCCTAGTCGCCCAGCGCATCTGGTCCACAATGGACATTACCATTGAATCCCACCCCTTTAGCTGCCAACGCCCCCCCAACCTCTTATTCTCTGTCTCAGGTTTTACCACCTCCGACTGTGAAATCATACAGCAAACAGTAAAAGATGTATGGTCCTATGAAGACAATAGAACCCAGATAAACGACATTCTATCTATGAGCGAAATCCCCAAAGAACGAGTACACATTGCCACCTGGAACCTCATCAACTCGACCCAAGTTGAGCGCCTCAACTTCAAAATTGCGGGTGGCCTACCAGTCCCCTGATACAACATCTTTGCATACAGTCCCACCTGCAACGTGAAAGCATGGACTGAACTACGCTCTGTCCTATGAATCCTAGACTACCCTACCAGTCTAGACGGATGTGGTACCGCAGTTGCCCTCTCCCCATGCCTGATCTGCGACTCCATCACACACCCCCGCGGGCTATGCCCCTTCCCATTCGTCACACAGTGGAACGGACCCAAGACGAACAGCAAAACCCCACAATCTAATAGGAACACAGGAAACGGGAGGGGAAAAGGACGCCGTAACTAGTAATTACCCCACACAATACCAGCTCACACATAGGAACTGTTGTCACTTACCCGCCACTGACTACCCGTAAAATACAATACATATATCACAACCCCGCTCAACCATTATGCACCCCCCCGTCAGACAAATAACCCACCGATAACACCGACACACCCCCACCCCACAATCCACTGAATATCATACAATACACTCCTTCTACCACCATCAATATACTTGTCCCTGAGAACATCACCTAAAAACTAAACAAAAATAAGTGCCCGTGCCCGCTAAACCACAAACAAAACTGATCTGACTTGGGCCCAAAACTCAATGTAACATGAAATGTTGACCTATAAGACAGGTTCAAAGGAGACAAGAACCGTCACCAGAAAGACTATCGCCCACATACACTGATTGTGAAAATGAGACAGGAAAGCGAAAGTCGTCTCACCACACATGGGGTATACCAGACCACGGAAACCTATTCAGGTTCGGACGAGCTGTGCCGAGAGGCTGAAGTTTTCACTAGTAGACGATACAAATGTTTTGGGCACTCAATATCCCTCGAAAATGCTAACATAGTCCACTGACGACTGACCAGGATACGCCAGTCCTAAGCTACAACATGATCGTAAAATAGCATTAGTAACACAATCACACAAAACCCACAACACAACCTGCCCCCTCAATACGGTCTCTTTTCTGGTTTCGGTGCTCGCCCCCCGAGGCATGGAGGAGGGCTGCCTCAAACCACTGGGAGGCCCTCTGATGACCCTCCTTGGGGTTTCAGAAGTGGAAATGCCCAACACCAAGGGTAACAACACCCTCAAAACTCAAATAACATAATCCCCCCCCAGCCCCAACAGGCACACAAACCAACAAGAATAAGCAATGCAAACGCGAACAAGAAAATGAGAGCAAACATAACCATAGGCACTCTCAATATCAAAGGACGTGCGTCCAACGAACTAGGCCCAGGTCAAGTATCTAAATGGACCGCCATCAATCAAACCATGCAAGAAAAGAAGATCGGCATACTATGCCTCCAGGAAACCCACCTAACCACAGAACACCAGGCCAGATAGAAACACTGTTCTCGAGAAGACTAATGGTCCTAAACACAAATGGCCCCACCCGCCCCAGGAACTCAGCCAGAGTAGCTTTTGTTCTAAACAAAGAACTCACCAATACCGCCTCAGCCAAAATGAAGACTCTAATCCCAGGATGCGCAGCCACACTCTCCCTAAAATGGCACAATAATGAAAACATAAACATCCTAAATGTATACGCACCAAACAATGCGAGTGAACACCCCTCCTTCTGGGAAAAAGTAAAACAGAATGGCAAAGGAGCGACATCGGACAAATAGACCTTATGGTGGGTGACTTCAACCTCACAGAAGACCCCATCGACTGAGCACCCGCCCGCCTTGATAACAAAAGAGCAATTGATGCACTGAGAGACCTGAGATCAGCTCTAAACATGCAAGATACATGGCGGATGACATACCCCCAACACAGAATGTTCACGTTCAGCAGCAACCACAACACCCTGTCCCGCCTAGATAGAATATACTCATCAGATAAACACAATGAGAGCCTTATAAACTGGGACTCACAAATTTGCCAAATCCCTACCAACCACCACATGGTCACAGTAAGGTTTGCACCACCAAACCTCCCACACATTGGTACCGGCCGATGGTCATGGCCAATGGGAATAATATCAGATGATGCACTACAAAAAAATATCATCACACTAGGTCTTGAAACACAACAAAAAATAATAGAGAATGAACAAAGGAATGAGGACACAAACCCCCAATTAATCTGGGAAAAATTCAAAGACGACATGATCAACCTCACTAAAAAAACCGCAAAAACCCACCTCGCCAGAATCAACCAACATATAAAGCGACTGACAAAAGACCTACAGAAAACATCGAACATCAGAGATATCGACACGTCAGAGGACATGAGACTGAATAGAATCATACTGGAAAAAGAAATCGAACATCTACAAAAAAAAAGATACAAAAACGCAAACCTTAGAGCATGGGCCCAATGGGCGAAACATGGCAAGACAATAAGTAAATACTGGTCCAAAGTGAATAGTCAAAAGACGCCAAGAGACATCATCAACAGACCAAACACACCTAACACCAATAAATACACGACAAAGTTCGAGGAGATGGCCGAAACCGCCAGAGACTATCACGACAAAATTCAACAGCAGGAAACATCAGAACAAAACAAATGCACCAGACAAGAAGCAAAAACGGCATCAATGAGAGAAATACCAGAAATACAAAAACTCGACACACCAACAAGCAAAATGCACGGACCACTACAAGAAGACCACATTCTGAACACACTTCTATCATCAAAATCAGGAAGCGCAGCCGGCATAGACGGAATCCCATATGAAGTATGGAAAAACCTAAACAAAAAACACAAGATAGCAAAAAGAGATGATAAGCCAAGCTTCGACATAATCAAAACACTAACATACATTATCAACGACATCCAACTCCACGGAGTGAACGCGAAATCAAACTTCACACTAGGCTGGATGTGCCTGATCTATAAAAAAAAAGACCGTGATATGATTGAGAACTATCGCCCAATCACACTACTAAACACAGACTATAAAATATTCACTAAAGCGCTCACGATACATCTCGCAAAAGAAATACATACCCTGATACACCCCAACCAAAGCGGGTTTATCCCAAAAAGATCCATCTTTGACCCAATAAGACTAGCACAGACAATGACGGCCTATGCAGACCTGATGGAAGAAAACGGGGCGATAATAGCACTCAACCAAGAAAAGGCCTATGACAAAGTAAAACACAACTACCTTTTTGAAACCCTCAAAACCTTCAAACTACCACAAATCTTCGTCAACATGGTAAAGAACCTTTATAAGTTGGCATATACACAGGTAGCCATAAACGGCTTCCTCAGCTCACCCTTCAGAGTCATGAGAGGGGTGCGCCAAGGTGACCCCCTATCATGCCTGCTATTTGATTTAGCCATAGAGCCACTAGCGTGCGCAATCTGCAACTCAACTAAAATCAGAGGATATGAGGTCCCCGGCATACCAGACAGGGTAATAGTCACCATGTACGCAGACGACACTACAATCTATCTATCACAAGCGGATAGATACATAGACCTAGAAGAAATACTACAGCACTGGTGCCTAGCATCAGGCACCAAATTTAACCTAGAAAAAAACAGAAATATTACCTATCGGAACAGCCGACCACAGAGCAAATGTAATATGCACACACAAAATAAACGCCCTGGATGAACCGTGGCAAGAACCAATCAAAATCGCAAAAGACGGAAGTCCAATAAGAACCCTCGGCGCATGGATAGGTAATAACATAGAAAACGCAACATCCTGGGAGCCTGTACTAGGAAAGATTGAGAAAAACCTAGTGTGCTGGAACAAATGCCACCCCACCTTAGACGGGAAAAGACTAATTACTCAAATGGTTGTCGGGGGAATGACCCAATTCCTGACGAAAGCGCAAGGAATGCCCCAACAAATAGAAAATGCTATATCAAAAATAATCAAAAACTTCATATGGGATGGAAAAAAAGACCTCACCTATTAGCCTGGAAAGACTGGAATGCCCCATATCTAAAGGGGGCATCAACCTACTTAACATCAGCATGAGAAACGAAGCAATAGATATCACATGGCTAAGCTCCTACATGGACATCTCAACATCACGCCCGACATGGGCCTCCGTAACTGACAATATAATTAACACCTTGAAACCAAGCAGGACCAAGAATAACGCAGACCTAATCCCCTTCCTAACCATCATGGAATCCGCCCGTCCAAGGCCCAAAAGCCAACAAATTACTGAAACAAATAACAAACATGCTCAAAACTGCCCACAAACACAACATAAGCTTCGCACCGCTAGAAAGATACTAGATAACCTCCTCCCAAAATTCAATCCAAACATGTCGCCTAAGAAAGACGACTTAACACTAACACACCAAAGACTAGAGAAAAACGCACAAGCAATGAGACAACAATGAGGCGAGATCATCTTCAACCCATCGGTAACAGAGAAAAACAACCTATCTGAATGCTTCCGCATCTTTGTTGACACAGAAAGAGAAATCCAATTACCAGCATATAGACTAAAGATCCCTGCAATGAGAAGATTAACGAACAATAACAAAGTAGTGATATACACAGACGGATCCTGCACCAACAACGGAAAAGAAAACGCAAGATGCGGCGGCGGAATATGGGTAGAAGAGAACCACCCGCTAAACCGCGCAATCAGAATCCCTGGCCCAAACCAGTCAAACCAAGTAGGAGAAATAGCAGCTGTGCTAGTGGCACTACAAACAATAAGTCTGACAACTCCAATCACAATCATCACCGACTCACGATATGTTATCAATGGAATGACCTCCCACCTCACTACCTGGGAAGACCAAGGATGGATCGACATTGCAAATAAACAACTATTCAGGGCCATCTCATACCAACTACGGCGGCGATCAGCCCTGACTGCCTTCCAATGGATAAAAGGCCATAGTGGAAACCTAGGAAACAAAAAAGCAGACCAATTAGCTAACAAAGGCGCACAAAAAAATGAATATGACAACATCGACACCTACATCCTGATAAACTTCAACCTTCAAGGTGCGAAACTAACAGCCATCTCACAATGACTAGCATACAAAGGAATCATGGAAAAAACACACCTAGAATACAAAAGATCAACCCTATCCCTACTCGACATCACCCGATATGCCGTAGAGAACGTGTCATCTACACTCGAATCCGATAAAAGCATATGGACCAGCTGCTAAAGACCTTCAAAAAAAAATACAAATGTTCATATTTAAAACGATCAACAACACATACTGAATAGGGGACTTCTGGACAAAGATCCCAAACCTCGAACAACGAGCAAGATGCCAACACTGCGGCGAAAACCCGGAATCTATGGAACATATATTAATCACCTGTGAAAACCCGGAAAAAAAGAGGATATGGGAAGTAGCGAAAAGCGCGTGGCCCAAAAAACACAAACAATGGCCAACCCCCACCCTAGGACTTGTCCTGGGGTGCAGCACAATCACCGTCCCACATACCCCAAATGAAAATGACAACGATAAAGAAAACGCGAAGAAAACTGCGATATAAAGGGGGCAGCTAGACTACTCCGCATCCTAATCTCGGAATCAGCATACCTCATCTGGACCCTGAGATGCGAAAGAGTAATCAAAGAAACATCACACAGCAATGAAGCTATCACAAAACGATGGACCAACACAATAGACAGAAGACTACAACTAGATAGAGCAATAGCGAGCAAGGACAGAAGAAGCCAGAAAGCAATAACGCAAGTCCGCAACACATGGAACGATATAATCAAAACAAACACAAATACACCCCTACAAAAAGACTGGGTGACAACCCTAGAGGTTTTAGTGGGTATTAAGCTACCCAGGCCCCCGCAGAATGAGGATACCAGGTAGCATACAGAGCCCCACACTACTCTATGACAATAGAGTGTGCGTTAGTAGCATTTTCCCTCGGACGACACCCCATAGTGTTGCTATAAGTGTTTTATGTAGAGCCAGACAGTGTTGGTTGCTATATAATAAACTCGCTTTTCCAAAAAAAAAAAAAAAAGAAGTGCCTCAGACACGTCTAGCTGCCATGGATAGGGAACCTTGCCTCCTGTCCGCTGTTCAAATTCTCCAACAATTATTGCACGCATCGCAACAGAATCATACTTGTGTGCCTTAGCAGCGCCGCCACGTGCTTCTTGCAGAATTCTGAGGGATCTTGCAACTTCGCAGTCATGATCAAAGTTTGTCCTGGAATGTACAGGGGGCATCAGTTGAAGAAGATACCCAAAGGGAGTCAATGCAGAATGAAGACAGCTTGAATTGGTAAATCAACAAATGCGATGATGAGCGCGTTTCATAGCACACGTGATATGACATACCCCCCTCTACACGAAATGCACCAGACGTTCTAGGGCACACTCACACACACAAATCAAACATGTTTTTTGCCTCCGACTTGAAACTCCGCATATGTGGCTGTGCTACATTCTCATGTGCCCTAGAACATTGGGAACGAGACTACCAATGGGGGGGGCTTGAAGGGGTTTTTTTTTTTGTATCCAATTTTTGTCCATTGAGAGTGAGACTCTATGTAGGACATTACTATCTAGTCTCGGGACCCCGTGTCCCAACCCTGCCTCAAATTCCCAGATGCAATGATGTAGGGCATACCCCCATCATTCTGCCGTTCCCACCGGCCATTTTAGGTGTCGCGTTTGAGGCGCATTTCAACCTACCATTCAAGAAATCCACCTTCCATGACAACCGTGCAAGGTGGTTCCGTGCACCTCAGACACTTCGTGACAAATACACGCAGAGCGGTGCAAAGCCTGCACTATGGCCTGTATTCTTGGCTAAGTATCGCGCATGGGAGCTTAGGGCAGTCTAGACACCAGTATCTTCATTCATTCGTTTTGTATCATTTGTAACAAGTCTAGACACCAGTTATTGATTTGTAATGAGCCTTTCATGTAGTATATTCTAAAGATTCAATGGACTCCCACTGCAACGGCCTCTGGTGCTCCCTCTTCAACTTCTCTAATGTAAGGCGGTTCCTGCACAGGATGACCTCATCTAGGTAGAAGTCAAACTTAATGGGCATCATCCCTCAAGTGATTGAGTTGAACTTCCCAAACCACAAGTTTGTCTGCTCACACACAGACGAGTTGAAGTACCACTTCCCATCACCATCAACCGTAAGCTCCGGGAAGGCCATGGGGTTGCAATTTTCTTGACAAAAGAGGTCATTCTTGGAGTGCTTGCAATTGAAATGAAAGACATCAACAGATAGGCTGATGTCATTGAAGAATGGGTCATCTTTGACATGCTGAGCGAGATGGCAGTTGTTATCATAGAAAATATGTGATGGTCTTGTCAGTGGATCTGTCCGTCAGTAAAAAGACTCGAGTCAAATTCACACCGGCACTGACTCAGGCCATGGGGATAACCGAATTGTTCGAACAGCGAGTGGGTGTTGTGCTGCAGCGTGAATATGTCTTTCCAGATATCATGTTTTAAGGTGGACCAGCAGATTCGCACTGAGTCTTGTGTCAGGGAGCATGCGGAGCCCAAAAACAAAGACACGCTAGGAGGCATGAAGTCCGGAGGTGTAGATACATCATATGTTGCAGGCTGGGCTAATATCATATCTTCCTTGACAGCAGAGACCAACGTAACAAAGGTCAGAATAGTCTCGAGTGAGAGTCCATGAATATTCGAAAGTGCTTGGCCTAAACATACGAGCTCGACCATTGTGGCAACTGATCAATACAACGAGCCGCACTACTACTAGCCGCAAAAAATGCTATGTTTGGTGCTATTTGTGGTCGGCCGGATCAGGCAGACAGACCGGACAGACGGACGGACAGACGGACGGACCGGACTTTCGAGAAACCAGGTGCCCTCATGACAGAAGTCACACGTCAAAACAACCGAACAAACAAAGATTAAATTTTGAAAATGTGAGTTAAGTTATCGACCATCACGTTGAACACCGTAATTCGATGGGACCAACACACAACTAACCTATCGCTAGCATTAATATCATACTATCGAGCTCTCAAGACACAAATTGGACAGTTCCTTCCTCTCAACGCAATCCTGTCGTCTAAGGTGAGCAAGCACCCCATCCTGCATTTCTCTGAGCGTGTCCGTCCTCCCCCCATGCAATCATTGTCTTACCCTGGTGAAAGCTCCTGTATTGTATATGTTCTCCCCCTTGCGAGGCATTTCCACCGTGACAGTTCCCTAACATGAAGCCCTGTATGATCGCAGTCCCACTTGTGTATTCATGCCAGAATCAGCTTCCTCAATAATCAACGTCACAAGGTATTCGTTAGCCATAACTCGTTACTGTACAACTGCCTTCTAATTCTGACTCAATTCGTGATCAAATATCATGGGCAAAAGTTGAACGTACTGCCGGTTGTTTTACTCGGTTATCGTTGATGGCAAGCTGACAACAAGGGTATCTAATCATCCAAGCACGCCAACTGATTTTCTCCTATCTAGCTCAAGTCTTGCTGATCTGTTGACAACATTGTGGGTGTATTGCTTCTATGTCGAGGTTGAGAGTTGTCAAGCGCAGAATCTGCTGACCTGTCGACAGCGAGTGAGTGTGTCAATCCTCCACGGAGGTCGAGCACTGCTACCGAAGACGTCGATGATTTGTTATCAGGGATGTTGATAGAATACAGTCTATTGTAGCGTACAGCATTTACTACAAATTATGATATCACTGCAATCCGTAACCAGATAACCTGCCAGAACTGCAAATCATACTCAAAGGAAAGAATGAGATCTATGCCTTGACGTCTTCCCACAATTCATCCGGTAATGAACCAACAACTGGAATCTGTTTCCGAAGGTCGAAAATTGTCGCGGCATCGATGCTATACAGTTGCATCAACTCGATGATTTTATCCAAGGCATCACGATCCGCGCGCGCCAGGAGTGTCAAGTCCCGGTCATACTTCCGAATTCCAGCATGAACTTCTTCGCTCGTTGGTGAGGCATGATAGGCAGCGACAGCGAGCTTGATGGCCCTACGAGATAGTTCCTTGCTTTCCGACACAAGATAAAGTGTCTGCAACACAAGGGTCAAGTCGACGATATATGTCATGAAGCGCTGAAGCACCACGCAGCTGACGGGGATCTCTCAGTATTCTCTCGATGAAGGATTAGTAAAGGTACGTACGACTGCTGGTACACGTCATGAACCCATACGGCGAGTACGACGCCCGCCACGATCGGCACCACGATGGGAGCCGCTGGTCCCGCCAGGGCAGACATGATGCCCGCGATAGTACCCACCATGGAAAGCCCGATAGCACTGCGAACATTTCATGAGATGACATCTGTCGCGTAAAACACCGGCCTACATGGTCCTGCTAGGATCAGCTGTAGGTCCAGTTTCTATCTTCTTATCCACCAGGTTAACCATCAATGTCCTGAATTCGGGGCTGTCTAAGTACTGTGCGTAAATCGCGTCAGAATAAGTAAATGCGACGACAACAAAAAATAAGATCACTTTATGAGGGTCTTGGAAGTTCCACACAGCAATGATGTCAGTATGAACCACACCCAGACAGCTCCATGTCGTTCGGTTCTTGAATGCTGCGCTTGATACGAGCGCTTTCCAATATTCTGTAAAACAGACACGAAGATTCAGATCGTATTCAGTAATCGGAATTGAGACTGACTTCTCTTGCCGACCCTAATGATACGTAAATCGCGAGATAACAATGAAGCAAACAAAACTTACTCTATCGAGGCCTTGATTTTGAGTCCAGGGTCCACTCGTTGAGCGATGGAGGTCATCACCCACGCCTCGGACGGAAAATTCTGTCGGACGTGGCTTTCAGTCGTCTCGATAAGATGGGCTAGTGTTTCTTTGTGGTCTTCCTTGGCTGGATATATATCAGAGGACATGCACGAAACGATCGCAGTAGTAGTACCCACTAGAGACCGTGGCGTAGGGGATGTCAGACCCTGCAAATTGCTGTAGGGGTCCGATGCAGACCTCCTGTAGCTCGGTATCCGCTTTCTTCGTGATGAGTTCGTGGATCGCGCTGTTGCTCAATCCTTCGAGCAAGGATTCATCCAGGGTGTGATCCACGCGGTCGATGAACATGTCAAATTTAGTGAGAACGACGACGACGGGGACTTTGACCAAAGGGTGAGCTGCCACACGCTCAGAGCCATAGTCATCGATCGACGTACTGTTTCCCAGCGCGCCCTCACGCTTTAATGTCAGGAATTCCTCTGTACCAGTCTCGAGTAAACGCCCGCCTTCGCGGGGTATTTCGAAACAAAGCCTTCCGTGGGTGGCGTCAGCTTGCTATACAAACTCATCGAGACAGAAAACTTACCAAATAGCATGCAGCTGATCTTTCAGATCAGGCATCTTTCTCCGACTTTCGATGAATTTTTTGACTATAGTGAGGTTGTCATCTCCGCCTGGTTCGAAACCTTTGCTATCGTGGAGAACGAATCGCTCGTTCTGTCGTGATATGAACTCGGTGTTGATGTTGGCTTCGCCCGCCTTATCATGCGAAGTGAGCTATGGAGATGGCATGAGTAACTCTCCGTGAAGTATCGCACGTAGCTCACCGCGTTTTGCACCCCAAATGCGAGGTTGATCAACGAGGACTTGCCAACGCCGGTCTATTGGAAGCACCGTATCAATACTGACCCGAGAACAGCGAAATCCTGATACCTTTCCTATCACCAGAATTCGGAACCTTGGGAGCCTCTGGTGTCAACCCGAAGAACGGCCCTTCATAGTAATCCTGACTCACCGAGGACAAATCCGAATGATTTCGTCAGTGGTAGGCTGGAGATCCGACATGGATCCTACTTCGGTGGTTGCGTCACCGGAAAGTTTGATGACTATCCTGAATTTTTTGTGAATCTTGTTGTATTCTGTGAATGTGGCGTTGAATGATTAAGGTGAGAGAGCGGTGGTTATTGCTCGACCTTGTCTGTCGTGTTCTGAACCAGACACGCGGAACATGTCTTCCAGTTCGAAAGCAATGTCTTCATGATCGGCCTTCATGCCTAACCATTTCTTGTAGTGTATACGTACGGAAAATGAATCTCCAACAGAAAGCTTCCTGAAAAGGACAACAGCAGGTCAGACGGGCACATTTATCCTGGCCAATCAAGTTATTACATGGGCGGAGAAAATGTCTGTCGCCAAGCCTTTCCTGGACCGCGTTCGGCGATTGGCATGTGCAATTTGCCGATTCGGACTTGAGCAGATTCTACATTCTTTCTCGACCTGCTGAAATCGACAGAGACGCCTATTCAGTATATTCAGTAGGACTCATAATTCAACTGATGCGAGAATTGAGTACCGGAGATGTGGAGTGGACAGGGAACGGCGGTGTGAGCTTGAAGAGAATTGGCCATGGTCACTCGAGTTAGGGAGAACGAGGGAAGGGTCGCGGTAGATGTACCTAGAGGTTGAGCGCGGGTCATGCGTCAGCTGCGCCAAAAGTGAGGTAACCTCGTGAATGCCTCATGGTGTTCCCCGGGCCAGTACGGTATGTATTCACGGCCAACACTTTGGTCGTCATCATGAAATGGAAACATGTGGGTGAAGAGAAGAAGGCCCAAAATTGAAAACAGCCTGAAAATTGGGCTGGAATGGTTGATGTCGATGATCGATAAGGCCTTGAGGCCCAAGGGTGATGTGTATCGATACTACATATGGAGACAAATTAGTAGTAGGGTTTTAGTAGGGTCGATAGGTTCACGCACAGAACAGTCAGTGGCCGCATCATGGGGGCAGCCTGAGGGTGCTTTGTGCACAGCTAATACAGTACTTTTCGTAATACAGAATCGGAACAACTGTCACTTCTTCAAGTTGAAGGCTTCTTGAATCTATCATTTGGAATCTACACTGCCGCCCAGGGTGAACCTGCGCAGTGCGCATGCCTTCTGAATGTAATTCATATGATTATCACGATCGTTTTTGCAACACAGAGGTGCCGTGAGTTCCGAATCTTCGATGTGAGGTATTCTGAGTCCTCGTATATGCCTCATGGCACACATAGCTGTAAATTAAGATAGTCAACAGGGTTAGCCGCCGTCTCATGATCTCAGGTGACTGACATGTTTGACGCACCCAACAGACCGTCCAGCACGGCTTATAACCACTGCCAGAGTGAGTGAATTCTGCGAGCGCCCGATCACAGGTCCAGTGGGAAATGGGCATATGGCTATGTTGTACATCTCAAGCGGTATTGTAATGCGAGTTTTCTCAACGGTTCTGTCTACTTAGTACGATTCCACTCTCCAGTGACCCCTGCTGACGGAAGACATTACCGACCTGTCAACGGTCTGAGTGTCTTGATCCACTGTCGATCTCGAGACATGCTGACCCAACTTCCGAGAACTTTCCATCTGTCGACTTGACAGATTTTGAGTACATTAATGTTCCTCGGTTAAGCTCGCGCTTTGCTAACAGAAGGCGTGGGCAACCCCTTCGCAGCTGCTGATGCCTGACATTTTGGAATACAGACCACATTCTCAATGGCTATCCGACAATGGGACTAGAAAATGTGTACGCAGGGGCGCATTCATCGAGTTCGAGACGCTGGCGCTTCCTAGTGGCACGGTGTATGAAGTAAATGTTCAAATAATGATTCAAGGTCATCATTCCTACTACAGAGCGCCAGACCACAACGGCACCGACGACTTGATTCATCGTATCGTCACTTGAAGTACTTGGTGTTCCATTCTGATCCATCATAGATGCTCAGGTTGTTTTATCATCACTCTGCATTCAGAGCACCAGTGGGGCCTTCCCACCGATACAAAGGATATAACTCATCATAGTTGTCGACGATACCAGCGGAGTCTGAGGTGGGAATATATTCGGCGGATGCAACAGCCTTCTCCTTACGTGTTGACCGACCCACCAATTGGTGTCTATGGAACGCGGCAGATAGTAAAACGACTAGACATTGTGAAGTAAGAGATTAAACATACTTAATAAGGTAATGAGAGAGAGAGAGAGAAATTCTATATTTATATACCGCAACAAACAAAGTGAGCTGTTAAGACGCGGTGCCCTGTTAGGGCTGTGCTGGGGAGTGTTGTAACAGGGTGAGGGATGTAGGTATAGTACGAATAGCCAAGCGGTCCGCGTTTGATGAGTTTTGGTGTGCGTGTGGGCTCGTTTGGTGTCCAGGCTTAGTATAATATGATACACTTTCTCTCCTTCCTCCTCCTTCTGATCTC